AGAGGGAGAAGGAAGGAGCCAGGGAGGGAGATTAACCTTTCAGGTTAAGCCTCTCAGTAATGGCCTTCTACCCCCAGGTCCGTCCTAGCAACACTCAGCTCTGAATTTATCAGTGGATTAATCTGCTGATGGTGAGATTACCCCCATGATCCAATCGCCTTCCAAAAGCCCCACAACATGTAACGTATTTGGGGACATTTGAGATGTAATTTTGAAATTCTTCCTTCACTTCTTCTTCCTAATTTTTTTCCCTACATTACATCTATGCCTTTCTAGTCTTTCCTGGATTTTCAAAATCTGTTTATTGATCACTTGCTACATGTGAAGTGGTGTTCTAGATATTTGTGATATGTCCATAAGCAAAGCAGAAACTATCTTGCCCTTAAATAACTTGTCTTGCAGATAAGCGTGATAAGTACATTAGGTTAGAAGGTAAAAAGCACAGAGCATATGAGATTCTGTTCCACTTTAAAGTAAGTTACCACCCAAACCTCTCTAGCAAAATGTCATCAAATAGCAAAACATTTCATGTCCAGGCCTTTTCCTTGCCATCCCTCTCAGGTGTTCGGTCTCATTGATACTCGAATTTCTTTCTTCCTCCGCTTTGGTCCATCACTGAAAGAGTCCCTCCTAGGCGACTTCTGTAGTTTTGAAATTACAAGTTTCTGAAACTTACTTTTCCCTCTTCTATGTCATGTTTATTTATAGCATTTAATACATTTCAACCATCACTTTTGTTAACTCTACATCATATTAATTTTCTGTACTTGCCATTTTTTCTGTATAGAAAAGAATTGCTCTTTGCCATCATTCAGGTTCTTGAAATTTTAATTAGGTCAGTGTTTACAGATACACAGCTCATAATAACTAAATCTTAGAGCAACTTATAGGTCCACCAGTAGATAAATAAAAAATTCCATGTATATGGGAACACTGTTCAGTCTTAAGTAAGATAACTTTGAGTCATTTGTAAGAAAATGGATACACCTTGAGAACATAATAGTAAATGAAATAAATCAAACACAAATTAAATATTACATGATTTCTCTTATATGCAATACTCATAGTATAAACAATTTAAAGAGCAAAATAAAAGACATATGACAGGAAAGAAGTGGGTAGATTTTGTGGAGATGAGAAGGGCATCTGTGGAATGGGAAAGACGAGAGGGATGCGAGAGGAAGCGGAAGTGAGGAGGATTAAAGTGTGACATGTATTTGTACACAGTTCCTCATGGTGAAATCTATTCATTATGTCTCATAAACACTTACTAATACATAAAATATTTTTTAAATTTTAAAAATTTAATTTTCAATATTGATAATTGATGCTTTTCTTGCACATATACTTTCGATTATCTTCAAAATTATTAACATAAATTGTTCAACATACTATTTTTATGTTTGTAATCTTTTCTGTGCCTGTATTAATTCCCTATATTTTCCTCATATTTTTTTCAGACCTTCCTACTTTCCTTCTTTGGACTTTGGCATTCTTAATCTGCTCTGTTATGTCCTAATCATCTTCTCCCTTCCATTTCCCTATCAAAAGAAGGAAGAGTTTCCCCAATCTTCCATAGGAGAACAGACATGGAGGGTAGAAGCCAGGATGCTGTGAGGTCTTGGACCAGCATGATGGCTGTTGAGCTGTTAGGTGCTCAGATTCATTGTGAGGGTAGTGCTGTCAGAGTTTTCAGCATTAAATACTGATTAGGAAGAAGGAGGAGTCATAACCCTGTTATGTTGGAGCTAAGAAACTGAGAAAATGCAATCTCCATCAACAGACATGGGGAAACAGTGGAAGAAACATAAAGATCAGGTGTTGAGCAGGAGAACAACGAGTGTTTTTCTTACCCGAGCTGACAAGTGGAGTAGGCAGGTAAAACATGGGTGCTCAGGAAGGAAGTAGAGGCTAGAGATAAAAATACAGTCCCTGTGAAGTGTGAGGAAAGAAGTGAAGAGGAAAGGATAAAAGATTGTGCCTTTGTGAGACATCAGAGTGCAGAAAGTAAACCAGCAAAAGTCTAAAAAGGTGCAACCAAGAAGGCAGAAGGAAATCTGTCAAGGGATTGTCTAGGAAGCCAAAGCACTCAAAGACAAGATGCTTTCAGTAGAATATTCGTGATAATCTTTTTAAAACAAGTTTCCTATTATAAATATATCATTATATATATCTAATCTGTAACAATGCACTTAAAATTAAAAAAATAAAATTCCACACAACAAGGTGATCCCTGTAATCCAAGCGCTTGGGAGCTTGAGGCACAAAGATCACAAATCCAAGCCATGGAGTTCAAGGGTGGTCTGGACTACAAAGAGAAATCCTGAGTCAAAAATAAAAGCAAACAAATTACAATTTAGGTCATGTCATTGCTTTGCTCAAAACTCCCCCTGGGCTTCTGTCCACTCAGAATAAATGGGAGGGACTGAGGAGAGCTCCTCAGAGCTCCTGCCTGTCCTCCCCAAGTAGCCTACTTGCTCCTTTGTTCCGTCTCTAGCCACGGAAAGCTATGGTGATAATTCTTTCACTGAAGAGGATTTTCCCATCACTCCCTTTCTTACAAGTTTTTGCTTCCTGTATTTTGAAGCTTACTAGGTATCCTTACGTGGAGGTTTAATGTGTCTTCTAGTAAGTTGAAAGTTTCATCATTAAACCATTAATTATTTTAATGATTTCTCTTTTGATATCTGTTTCATCTGATATTAGTATTCTCTCAGTTAATATTACCTCATATGTTCTTTTCCATTCTATTCATTTCTAATCTTCTTAGTGATTAGGTTCATCTTATAAAAAGCAGATAACGATATTCTGTTAGTTTCTGGCAAAAATCTGAAACTCTCCATCTTTTAACTAATAAATTTATGCATCACTCACATTTATCTATAAATGCTGATACGGTATCTTTGAATTTACATTTATTATCTCATTGCTTCCTGTTTTTCCATTTTCTTTCTTTTACTTTTCCCCTGCTTATACATTGCAAGAGGAAGTATTGTTTGCTAGTTTGTTTCTCTTACTTCATAGTTTTTCTCCTTATTTCATAGTGTTTCCATAATTTTTTCTTGAAAGTTATATATTCCAGCTGTACAGTCTATCTTTTAACTTTGGCTGTGGGCGTTTAACAGAATTGAAAGTGAATCAATATCTTGACTTTCTCTTCTTAATCAATGTAAGAATTAAGAACTCCTCTTTTCTTCCAGTTTATAGTCCACTGTTGTCCAGAATTATATCATGGACACTTTGCTACCACCGTGAACTGAGTTCCAGGCACAGCTGTTTGTGTTGCCTCCCACTTATTACGGTTTATTTCCTGTGGTTGATGATATTTGTCTCCCTGTTACTATATTAGCTGCCAACTGGGCCACATTAAGTCTCACTGAGGATTCTGGCTACACAGAGGAGTTCCAGGTTCAGTGTCTTGCTTGTATTCTAAAACCCCAGTCTTCTGCTGCAATAGAGAAATATTTGACCAGAGCAGCCTGGCCTATTTTCAGTGTGTTTTGCTCACAGGCCAATGATCCAGTTTTGGGTCATATTTTACTAAGAATAGAAAACCTAAAGCTTTTACTGACCTCCTATGATCTAACAAAGTAAATTACACTCATGTCTTGCTCAGCATTTTGCTGTTTGACAGTGAGAGGGCCTCTCCAGGGGACTAGTAATTTTGTGTCAGCCGTAGACATTCTTTCATCCTGTGTTTGAACATGCTTTTGTTTATTCTGACTACTTATAGAGACTTTGTGCAATGCATATATAACTAAATACTGTTAGGTATAAAAATCAGAGCTGGCTGTGCTTATATTTCACATTTGTCTTCCAGTCACTTTGGGAAGTTTCAGCCTAAACTAAAAGCTACAGAAGTGTGCCCAGATGTAACAAGGGAAGTAGTAATTTAAGTATTTGCCACAAACAGGTGCTCTGAGGGAAAGCCTTGCCCTCTGTCCTCCTGTGGTCAGGTATTGGCTGGTTCTGAGACCCTCCATCTAGCACAGATGACTTGTGTATACACATATGTGTTAGTCACTTGCTGGTTTAAAGAGGTCAAAATGCGCCCATACCAAAATATAACAGGATAGATATAATTAGACCAAGATATTTTCAACATTAGGCAATCACTTATGTGGACAAATGCATACCGGGCTCAACATTCTAATCTATAATATTTATTTAAATCCTTCTTCAAGTGTGTCTCATTTTAGGCTGTTTTTGCTTCTCTTTTATCCAATTTACCCACTAAATCCTGGTTTGGGAAAGCAATATTAATTTTACCTAATGTTACCTTACCCTTCCTGTCTTCCTGAGAAACTGGTTTGAGATTATTAAATATATATGTCATTTTATAAGAATTTGTGAAAAACACAAATTAAAAGATTCAAATGAGCTCATATAAATTAATAGAAGAGTTTATATAGTTGATCAAAAATATGTGTAATCATCACATTTGATTTTTCCATTGTGCTTTGCAAGGGACCTTGTACAAAATTTTCTAAGCAAAAGCATGTTTTCAAAATATATTTTAATCTAACTGGCTTACTTCACATGGTAGCAAAGCATCCTGCATGCATTTAAACTAAAACTACAGAGCCTAATACCTTTACCATAAAGGGTTAAATTTCTTGGGCTTAGTTATAAGCTTTTAACAACCAATAGCCAAAATGTAGGAAGGGGAAAAATAACTGAAATCATTGTTTGTAGCAATAATTAGATTTTTCTTTGAATCGTGTACCTTTAAAATGACTGAATGCACTGCTATGCAAGTGTCATGTGTGTTTCAAAGGTGCCATAATTATCAGACCCGGTTCCAGCAGCATGTCTTCTGTACAAGTACCAGGTCCTGCTCAAGGTAAAAGCCCAAGATAGGCACAAGGCTGCATGTGAATGTGGCAGCAGGATCAAACTGTGGAATACATTGACTCATCAGTGCAGGCTGAAAATTATGCTTCCCAGCCTTCTGTGAAAATGCTTCCTCATTTTTTTATTTTTAAAAAATTGTATGTTAGGATCTGCTTCAAAATACAGATGCCCACAAAAGAGCATTCCATGAAATCTACCAGACGAGGTCTGTTAACGGGATCCCGGTGCCACCTGACCAATTAGAGGACATGGCTGAGAGGTAAGAGAATGTCTGCATTTGTATGCAATCTCTCTTTAAATAGCTGTGTGGATGCTTTTTATCTTCCTCTTCCTCTAAATGGCTTGCTTGTTGTCTTGTTCAGAGATGTCTATGTTTGGTAAATGAAAAGTGGATCCCCATGACATAAGCTAAGAATGCCAATATGCTAATATATTATTAACTGCAAAGAGTGAGCCTGAATGTACCCACAGCCTGGAAATCACAGGAATGGTTTCTTCATAGGCTGTATTTTTATTCAGTACTGTAGGGAACATTATGTAATATTGCAAAAACAGCTTATAAAAGAAACAGATGAGAGATGTGTTGGCAGGGGAGAGAACTAAATCAAAGACTTTAGTCAATAATGCTTTGCCTTTAAACCCAGAGCTAGAAAAGGACTCGGGATGCCCAGAGAGCAATCAGCCAGAGTTTAGAGGACCTTGTGGCTGCATGATATTTAAGGCTGAATGTAACAGGTTGAGCAAGCATCGTTCTGTTACTATTAGTTACATGCTGTAAATTCTCCCTGTTTTATTTCTAGGTTTCAGTTTGTTTCCTCCACATCAGCGTTGCACTTAAGAAAAATGGAATTTCTAGAATTAAAGTACCGCCTGCTCTCCCTGCTGGTTCTTGCAGAGTCAAAGCTGAAATCATGGATCATCAAGTATGGGAGACGGGAGTCAGTGGAGCTGCTTCTGCAAAACTACATTGTAAGTCCCTGGTGTTTTGATGGGGAAATCAGATGACCTATAGATGTAGCATTGTACATGTACCAGTTTGGTTGATGCTAATATTTTAATCTTGAATTTAACTATAAAGATACCAGTGTGTAGATGGCTTAGACCTAGGATATAAGCTTTTTGCAATCATCTCAACTACAAACCTGTGTTGTTTAGGATTTGAATTTGAAAAACCTTTGGTTTGGAAGGCTTTTGCTGCTTGACTGGTCTTTATTACTTTAAAAAAAGTTTTTGCACTGCATACCCACATTTGTAACTGGAATTCAATTGCCCTTTTGAAAATAGATTACAATACTTAAAAATTACCTTTATGTCTTCTGAAATCTCATTTTGAACAGTTTTGAACAGTTTTATGTTATTCAAATGGATGCCACCTACTTTTAGATTAGTTCCAATGTGCCCCTTTCCTGGCCATTTCCTGAGCTTCATTCCCCCTAATGTGTACCTGGACAGGGTAAAATTTTTGTCTATGAGTCTCTCTGTATCCAGTTACTTTTTAAAGATTAATTAATGTTTGGAGATAGTTTTTTTAGGTAATCCTATACTATATAGGATAATATCTCCCCATAATGAATTAGGCTGCTCTGTGACCAGAAGCTCCATTTACATGTGGTTCCTGTGTCATACTTGAAAAAGGCAGTTGATTCCATCAGAGACAATTAAACTGCCCCCAAGTTTATCTGCAACGTAAGTTTTCTCATAAAAACAAATGGTAATAGAGCATCTCAGTCCTTTATTTTTTCACTTGCTTAATGCAAATTCCAAATAATAAATTGATAAACTTTCTAAACCTTGAGTAGTGACAATGGCTCAATAATGGTTGTGTTTAAATATTTATGAGTTTCTTAGAACCATAGTCTTGCTTCCTTTGCACTTGAATTTCTAAATACATGATAACAACATGTTATAAAAATTTTAATTGATTTACAGTAAATTTTTCTCTAGATTCATGAAATTTGACCATGAATCACTTGCCAAAAAAGGTAAAACTGGTTATGATAGATTCTTTTATTAATTTGTAGTTATTTTAAAAAGCAATGAAAATCTATTTTTTTCATTTTTAAAAATATCAAGCAATTACACCGCTCCCTTGAATGTTAAATACAGATATGCATTTATATTTTCAAATTTAGTCACATTAAGTGATACACCCTGAGCCCCGTAGTTAATTACACAAGATTCATTCTTTGTTCTTGCTATTTAAGAACAGCCAATCAGATTTAAATACTTAACAGGACTGCTTTACCAGATTAGTATTCTAATACAAGAATGTTAATAATTCTTTTCAACCCTCTCAAACAGACACAAAGAGAATTGTTATTAACGATAAAAACATCAGTACATCTTCCCTACTTCATAAAGTTATAGAGTTTAGTAAGTTGCTAATTTCAAACTGATTTGTAACTTTCACTATTATTTATTCATTATTTATAAATTACTAATCACCCTTTATGCACAGCATTTTAATGACCTTTCACTCTCTAGTGAAATAACTACTTATCATACATATTTCTTTTCCACAAAGGGTTTAAATGTATCTTTTTGTTTAATAAATTAATAACCGTGGGGTTAATAACTTTAAATTTAATTAATAACTTTAAATTTAATAACTGTGGGGTATTACATGTTTCATTTTTCATCTAAGTGGACTTATGGTCTGGGCGTGGTTTTACCCTGTGACGAAACCACGGAAATAGCAGGGCTTTGAAAGTCCAAGTCACTTGTTTCAGGTCACACAGTTGGTATGATGTAGAGTCAGAGGCTGAACCTCTTATGTGCAAATACTGAATCTTACAGTCTAAACAGTTTATGGAAGTTGTTTGCTGCAAAAGACCAAATATAATAAAACACCTCACATCCTCATAAACTAGGAAGTGTTGTGCACATGTGTATTAGTTCTGTTTAATATTAGTCGATTTGACTGGGTGTTATTGTTACACATGGTAGACTGGCCACTACTTTTATGTATGCCCTAGGGACCATATGGCATAGGACTAGGGATGAATTGTTAAAGACCAGCCACCAGTCACAGAGAAGTGTGTTCAAGTCATGATTCAGCCACTGTACCACCCCTGTGACTTTATGGATAACTCAATTTTCAGAAGACTTAAGAGTCTTCCCTGAGGTTTTTTTTAGTTCATCTCTGATTATCTTTTCTTTAATCTAAATTTTCAACTCAACCTTTATCATCTATAAAAAAGACTGATAATATAGTTTTAAGAGTTAGTTAGAGAATGTGCTTCCTACCTTGGGTATGCAGCCACTGAGTGACAGAGTGCTTACAAACTCTTTAAAAATACTTCAGGAATACTTGCAATGGATTCGGTTAGGCCACATGCTCTTGATAAGAGATTACATACTTTAGCGCAAATCAAAATGTGATCAACTAATTCCTGCTGCTAGAATTGTCGATTGTTGACAATGGCCATGATAATTAGCATGAGCCTGGATTTTACTATAAAGACAGTAAGATATTTCAGTCATTTATATAAAAGAAAAGAAGAACTCTTGGAATTATGGACCGTATGAGAGCAACAAAAGTGATGCAAACATTTATTTTATTATTTGTAACTACTTTATTTATAGTTACATGTAGACATTCAAGTAGACAGTCTCAATGAAACACTCACAAAAACTGATTTTAAAAATCTTAAATTAACTGTTAGCTTCCTTCAAATGAAACTGATGAGCTTTGTATTTACGTGAAAATAGAAATTTAGTTATTTCTGCTAACATTTTGAATTTGGTGCCAAATATGTATCTTATTTTTCTTGTAGTAGCATCAATTTGAAAAGTTGCCTAATTGACAAAGTTTATTTGTTGAATTTGGTATCCAAGTTCAGACTAATTTGGAAAAAAATAAAGTCTTTTTATTATGATTTAAAGCATACCTTTGTAATTACCTTTTCACTTTTATGGAGATGTATTGTTAGGTAGATTACAGTTAAAAGGAGGGAGATTTAGTGATTCTGGTGAGGTGGTTCTAACATACAAGTCATATACAAAGTGGATTTACTCCATATTCAGCAGAAAAGGGGAAGGCAAATTGCATAGACTAATAAGAATTAAAATAATAAGTCAGAGACTGGAGTGTAGCTCAGTGGTAGAGTGCTTCCAAGCATTTCAGAGGCCCTGGGTTCCATCTCCAGTGCTGAAAACAATAAGAACAGCAACAACACTCATAATACTGTTTACCTTTTTAGAAAATCATTTGCCTAGTCTTCAAAATAGGAAAACTCAAAAATACTTTAATGAATCCTGCAACATTTTAAAAATATTCCAATCTCCCCAGCTGTTGGACCAAAAATGTATCTGGAAGTAAGCTTTTCTCTCTTACTCATTTTCAATTAATTTATAAACCACTGCATAAAAGTCTATTAAGACTTTCTGTCTCCCTAGGTACTTTTTCCATTGCTGTGCCACTTAGAACAATTGTTTTTCTTTTGGCCTCTTGAAATTTGTACCAAGGCTACACATAAACTAGTCTTAAAATTCATCAAATATAATTATTTCTTCAATTTCTTAACAGCATTGCAAACATTAGATGGCATTTCTCACTTTTGACCAAATCAGGATTTGCTTGTTGGTTAAATTATTCACCATTTAAATTCCAGTAAATTGCTCTTTCACTAGTTGGGCAGTAAAAATGACATAAAAATAAATAAGGAGTTAGTCAGAATATTATTTTCTTACTCTGGTCTTAAACAAAAAGGACAAAAGTCTATTGAAGTTATTGAATAAATTGTTGATTGTGGAACTTCTCATCCCATGTAACTCACAGCTTTCGTATTCCCTGAAGAATATAATGATTTATAAACATGAAATGGTCCACAGTCTGCTACACATATAATGTATTTAACTTTTATCTTGAAACATAGTAAATATCAGTAAAAAATCTATGAATGTTATGAAATCACTGAATGTGTAAAATTTCAACCTGCACACAGCCTTTTGTGTCTCCATATTAAGCATCATCAGCATACTATACAAGACTTCAGCTAGTTTATAAAGGCTAATTTTAAATTTTATAACAGTAACATCTATCAAGTTTTCTAATGGATTCAAATAGTAGGAATACATTATTTAAAAAAACTAAATGAATGAATCTGAGATGAATACACACTTCTCAGATGCAATACAAATGTCAAATAAATACATGAAAAAACATTCAACATCACTGGTCATTCGAGAAGTGCAAATTAAAACAGATTTTTTATCTCACCTAAAAAAATGGCTATCAAGAAGTCAACCAATAAGAAATACTTATGGGATGTAGGGAAAAAACAACCCTTCTTCACTGTTTGTGGGAGTGTAGAATGGTACAACCACTGTGGAAATCAGCATAAATATTCCTCAAAATAAACGAGATTTGGAGATCCCATTCAATCCAGCTATTCCTTTTCTGGGTATTTTTCTAGAAGAATTGAAAACTTCATACCGCAGCATTATTTATATACCCATGTTTATAGCAGCACAATTTATAATAGCTAAACCTTGGGAACAACCCAAATGCCTATCAACCATGGAATGCATAAAAAAAGATATGGGATTTTTATATAATGAAGTACTACTCAGCTGTAAAGAAAAATAAACTTGAGGCTTTTATAGATAAACAGATGCAACTTGAGACCATATTGTTAAGTGAAATAAATCAGACTGGCGTATGTAAACATTGTATTGTCTCTTTAGTGTACAAAACTGAAAGAGTAAATAAGCTCCAAAATGTACAATAGATGTGAAAGAGGAAGAAACTATTCAAAAGAAAAGTACACCTGGGATGGGGCAAAAGAGAAAAGAAAGGAAAAGATTGTGTATGTGTGTGTGTGTGTGTGTGTGTGTGTGTGTGTGTGTGTGTAGGAGACAGTCATACTACTAATTTGTATTAGCTCATCATGTGATCTGAGCAACTACTCTGAAGATAATAATACACAATACATTCATCATTGTTAATCTATTATTTTGTTTTGAAATTTTGTACCATTGTTTTTATTTTTTTTTTTTGTTTTAAAGTTTAAAAAACTCTATAAAAAAACCCTGAAGAGTCTTTGGTGACGTGTTAACTATAATTGCGTTAATTTTCTACTGTATGTACAAGAATAAGCTTTGAAAAGAAGTTGTTTTACATTTTTGGCCTTAACAATAATATGTATCCAAGAATGTTTTGTGTATGTTCTCAATTTCACTGTATCCATTTTCTGATAGTGATGCCACTATGTATGTAAATTATACACAGAAATGTATGTATGTATATATATCATATCTTGTAATTTTTATGCTGGATAATTGAACATGTTACCTCTGATAATATGGGTGTCATATACGATTATTTAAAATTTTCTACTTACTTTTTATTTTAAGGAAATCATTTGTGCTCTGTCCTTTATTTAAGATCCAGAGTTCCTCAAGGAAGTCACTTACCAGGATGAATACTCAGAGAATAATAGACTCCCACAGCTTGCACACAGTGGAATGCTAAAATGTTCCTCCAAATTTAGTGCTTTCTAAATATTAGGCCCAAGTTCTCTGAACTTTTTTCTTCACAGAAAGCGAATCCTTGGGTGGTAAAGAAATAGAATATTGTCTCAATCAAGTGTTGAATTAGAATTGACAGTATAAAAACAATTTTCTTATCAGAATAATTTTAGGTTATATGTGGCAGTGGAGATAATTTTAGTTTTTCAAGAACAGTGAAGTCGACTAATTTGGGTAAAATTTTCAGAGACTTTTACAAAACAAAGTTGATTTTGGCATTCTGTGCAAGCCTAGTTACTGTTGTTTAACCAACCATTTTTCCTTTTCTAGTCTTTTATAGAAAATAGCAAATTTTTTGATCAATATGAAGTAACATATCAGATCTTGAAGCAGACAGCTGAGATGTATATTAAAGCAGATGGTTCAGGTAAGATATTAAAGTAGATGTTTCAGAATTTGCTGCACTCTTGCCTGCAATAGAATTTAGAACCTACAGATATCTATGTGATAAGATCAGTTTTCTTCTCTGTAAAAGCTCTGTGTAACCATACTATTGGCTTTGGAGAAAACCTACTAGATTCAGTGCTCTTGAGTTTGCCTAACCTGCGTACTGTGTGTGTGTGTGTGTGTGTGTTGAGAGAGAGAGAGAGACAGAGAGAGAGAGAGAGAGATCTTGAAAAGAACAAAACAGGCATTCATTTTTCTAAATTACAGTTTTCAATTTTAAGAATTAAAAGCAAAAGGACAATAAGTTGAATATCATAATCAAGCAAATGAGAGCTTATTTTGAAGACACAATTTTTAAAGTACATTTATTTTAGATTTATAGATACATCTGTTGTATTTGTTAGGAATAAACTAGCATTTGTGATTGATGCTACTGTACACCAGTGATAAGACCACACAAAGAAGGTACAAAGAGTTTTAAGCACAAAAGAAGGCTTGTAATTTGTCCTGTTTGTTTCAGTGGAGGAAGCTGAGAATGTGATGAAATTCATGAATGAAACCACTGCTCAGTGGAGGAATCTCTCAGTGGAAGTCAGGAGCGTGAGGAGCATGCTAGAGGAGGTGATCTCTAACTGGGATCGCTATGGCAACACCGTAGCTAGTCTTCAGGCCTGGCTAGAGGATGCTGAAAAAATGCTGAATAAGTCAGAAAATGCTAAAAAGGTAAATTGTTTCATACAAAAGCAAAAACGTGATGTTGGTTTAGATTTTCTTACAGCCTTGTTCACAGTGAATCGTATATATTTGTAGGTGTGACTCAGAACTTCTCACTTTGCCTGAAAACTTGCACTCCCAACTAATAACTTATTTTAGGCCAATATATACTTGTTCTGTGAAGGTTCTGTTAAAGCAGTTTCCTATTGGATCGGTTTAGCTTTCAAAGGCATGCGGAAGTGTAATTGCAGGTCAGCTTGGCAGATCCGCCAAATTCAGCAGGCAGCAGAGGGCGCTGTACACTCCCCGAGGTGTCTCGGTCAAGACGGGTGGCTAAGGCCCCATCCTGGGTGGATTTCCTGATTTAAGAGGACAGAAACAGTTTTGGATTCTGTAGTGCTGACTCGCTGGGATAACACACCATTTGAACAACTGGACTATCAAATATTCTTTTTCTTTTAAATTTTATCAATCCTTATTCAAGGATTTCATTCTGTATAAGATTTCTTTTTTCACTTGTTACGAGAGTACATGTATATGCACTTTAGTGAGTTAGTATTTAATGTCACATGTAAATATCAAATGAAGTGGACTGAATTGCATGTTTATTTCTTAATAGAACCTCAGTATTTTTACATGGAAAGTAACTTGATATGTAAAAGTTGAAATATCAGGCTTCCATAAAGAAGTACAATACGTATGTTAGAATGAATTACTGCTTGCCGCCCAAGACAGATTTACCCTTGATTGCTCATACAAGTAGATGTATCACTTTTCAGCGTTTTACTATTCTTTATTCATATGTATTAAATATCTTTGTGTAGCTAGGGAAACCTTTTACGTGTGCACATTCAGATTTAGGCTTTTCTGATCAGTACTCTAGTGGATATCATGCTTATCAGTTTGATCCTAAGGAATATAACCAACAGAAACAGAAGTCTTCTAATCTGTTAATGTAAATTTTGCCACACAGGTTTTATGAAATAGAGTTTTAACTATCCTTATGATGTATGTGATGTATGTATGAACACATGTATTTAATTTGAAATGAGATGAAAATTTTTATTGATAAGTGTATATGCTTAAGCAAGTAAAGGATGTTACATTAAAATTTCTTGATCTAAATATTTAATTTAATTTTTTCTTTTATATTTATCTCCATGATTTTGTTAATTATTGATTAAAAACTTATATATATTCAAATTTTGATATTAGAAGTTACTGGCCCCTAATTTATTTTTAAAATCTCTAAGAAATTTTTCCAATGCAGTGAACTTCTTATGTGATCTTGGAACAGGTATTTTCTACCCTGAATATCATGCAAAATCTCTGAGACTGATTAAAATGTGTTTTTCTTTTTCTTTTGTGAAATGAAATAAGGAATGATCATCATGTTTTGTTTCAGCAAAAGCTATGGCATAAATATTCTTATAAAAAGACACTCACAGCTGGGCACAGCAGCATACATCTATAGTTCAGTCACTTGAGAGGCTGAGCAAGAGGATCACTTGAGCCCAGGAATTCAGGGTCACTCTGGGTAACACAAGGAACCCTCATCTCAGCAAAAAGAAAAAGGCACTCAGTATTTCTAGTTTATATTTTTAACTTATTAATAGTTATGTTTTGAAAGACATTTAAAAGGTCTTAAATTGTGCATGAGTTTTAGAAGACAAATATTTATTCTAGTCTGGTCACTTTCATATTAGTTACTAATATTTGGTTTACGGTTTATAGTAGTGTGCATTCTTTGTTGTTTAGGACTTTTTCCGAAATTTACCTCACTGGATTCAGCAGCACACTGCTATGAACGATGCTGGCAATTTTCTAATCGAAACTTGTGATGAGATGGTTTCTCGTGACCTCAAGCAGCAATTGCTCCTACTCAATGGGCGATGGAGGGAGTTATTTATGGAAGTCAAGCAAGTATGTCTTTCAAACCTGTGTTCCTTGCATGTGGATATGTTATCAACGTGGTGAAAAGCAGTCTGCTTAGAGGCAATTTTACTTCTATAGCATAAGCTTTTTCAGGCAGAATATAGAAGTGCTCCAAGCTGGTCTGTTTTATAGTTGATTATTCATTCTTTTCCATTTGTAATGAAGGAGAATAACAAGTATAAAGTCTGATTAAAGATCATGTTGACATATGGAGCCTACTTATACGACGTGATTCGCTTTTCAAATCATGGTTCTTCATTTCTATGCTGGTTCCTTTTTTTTTCTTTCAAAGTAATTGGACTTACTTCAAACTCATCTAAATATAAGCATCAGGAATTAGAGCCTTTCTTACCATATAACAATTCAAGAATATGAGACTATGTCAAAAGAAGATTGTGGGTTTCGAGAGTCACAGCGTAATGGCTTTCAAATGTTGTTCTTCCCATCTTCCCTCAACAGTATGCTCGAGCGGATGAGATGGACAGAATGAAGAAAGAATACACAGACTATGTCACTACGCTCTCAGATTTTGCAGCTGAAGCCCATAAGAAATTTGCTGAACCTTTAGAAGTCTCTTTTATTAATGTCCAGTTGTTAATTCAAGACTTAGAGGTGAGAAGCTTTTGGTTATAAAATGAAAACCCTACTCCATTGTGAAAATAAAGATTAGCAGCGTTTCTCAGATCATTAAACAAGCTGTCTCCGTATCCTCTAAAACATCATTTTGACAGGCCCACACGCCCAACTCATGCCTCTCATAAAAAGTACAAGGAGGCTGGAGTTTTTTTAAACTACGTTTTGATCACACAAAGTAACTTCAAAGATATTTTTTCAACTTTTTTTTTCTACATCACAAAACATAAGAAAAATTAGGAAGTATTAGAAAAGCTGGGAGACATCTATAAATTGCACTTCCAGATGACACTTCAAACAAGAAAGGATTCCTTGAATGAATTATTGTATTCGTGTGTTTTGAAGAGCATTTAGTTTTGAAAACTGATAGTGGAACGATATTTTATGACATGGAAAGATTTTACAATACATAGTTAAGTAAGGAAAGAAAACCAGGCTATCGTCCTTTTGTTTTTAATTTAGCAGTGCAGACACACAGGAAAAAACTAATAATGGTATAGAGATGAGATATTGGTTTGGGTTATCATTGTTTAAAAACTATAATTTAAATTTCTTCATACTACTAACCCTACTTTGTAAGTTTTATACAATTAAAATATGTTACTTTTTAAAGAAGTATTTCACTTTTAAAGTCTGAATTGCCCTATGCTGTTAACATGCCTTTTTATGATACTGTATTTCTCTTCAGTATTAATGTATGATTTGAAAGTGTAAGATTACTTCAAATCATCTTTGCTATGTCAAAGATATTTGGTCTTTTTATTTGTGTGTAGGGCTGGGGACTAAATCTAGGGCCTTGACACTAAACTTCTTCTCCAACCCTTTATTTTATTTTTTTGAAAGGTCTTGCTAAGTTGCCCAGGCAAAGTTTAACACTGCCTCAGTTTCCCAGAGTGCCACTGTGCCCAAATGCTTCTCACTTTTAAAGGGCAGTTGAGAGGTTTTTATTTATTTGTATTATAGTCCTCTCTGTTAGTAAAGAAAGACAGAATCTCTAAAAGTGTATTACAAGTATGGAATTGTTGAAAATGTATATTGATTTTTGTTCTGCTTTCTGTGGAATTTTAAAATTAAAAGAATGTGTCATGTGTTAATTGAGCTGTTGCACTGATTCATGCAGGATATTGAGCAGAGGATTCCTGTGATGGATGCTCAGTACAAGATGATCACAAAGACAGCACATCTCATTGCCAAAGAAAGCACTCAAGAAGAAGCTAATGAGATGTTTTCGAACATGTCCAGGCTCAAAGAGCAGCTTGCCAAGGTATGAAAATGCCTCAATGCACACCACACTTTGTGGCACCAGCACCAGCTTGCCTTCTGCCTCATCCTTCCCATGGGGAAATTGTTTACTCATCAACAAATCATGCTTTTCGTCCCACTGGTGCTCCTGGTTTTGTGACTTTGTCATTTAATAATTTTATCGTGAACTTTAAAAGCAAAACTATGGTGTTCACACCAAATATTACCTCTGTTAGTTTAGAAATGCAATAACTATATTTTAATAGTGCCTGGGTACACTTAAATAAAATGGAGAAGAGGAAAATGTGAAGGAGAGAGAGAATGAGGAAGGGAGGGGGAAATGATAAGAGGGAGACCACATGTATTAATGAGAATTTACTGAAAGTTGATACACGAGCACTACAAGCTTATTTATATTTCCTGCTAGCACAGTGGCAAGGCAGTGGAAATTCTACCTTCTTACCCTGAGGAGCTCACTGTAGGCTAAGCGTACATTCAATCGTGTCACTTCTGTGCAGGGAACTAAATGAGTACACACACTAACCATAGAACTTTCCAATTTCATTGAAGGATTTTCTTTAAGACCTTTGGAAGTTCCATGGGAGCTTATATCTATCAAACTTTGAATGATATTGCTTACAAAATCTACTTAGACTGGGTAATTAATTTCTGGTAAAAGCAAAGAATAGTTATTTAAGTGAACAGAAACACCTTATAACTGGAAACAAAAGAAATGGAGAAGTCTTTATTATACAGGCAAGGAAACATAGAAAAAATAAGTAAAATCAGTGGTGGAGAATCAATGAAAAGGATAATTCAAAACATGCAAGTAGGAAGAGCATAGTCAAGAAAAATATGTCATAGAAAGTTTATTTTTAATAACTATTTTAACAAAGTTAGAATTATTTTAATTTAATATTAATACACAATCATGATAATACTGGCATCCAGGAAAAGATAAATAAAACACACTTATTTTATACACAAGTAGATTCTCTTGATTTTGCTCAATCCACTTGTAGCAGAGTGTAATTGGAATAGTACAGTTCTTCTGATAAGTTAGTTCATCATTTTAGCAATGTATTTTAGAACACAAAAATATGTCTGCATCTCTAATTTTTTACTTCACAATAACAAAATGTCCTCCACACATTTACATCCATCAAAAAGTATTTTTGCAGTATTGCTGTGTATATGGCACCCCGTTGGCTTTATAATTTTATGAAAAGCAAGGCACAGTCTAACAAATAATAATTAACTTCCTTTCCTTGGTTGTTTAAAAGTATTAATTGGTTGGAATAAAGATAATAGTAGTTAGAAGCAACTGCAGGTAAAACGGGAAGGGCTGGAAGGCTTTTGGAGGATCACAAGTTTTTGGAATTCAGCATGAAAGTGATCAGGCACACATTTCATGGGGCTCTTTAACTCCAAGAGTTTATGTCCTCACTATGAAGCAAGTGCAGATGTATTGAACAATAAGCACCTGGTTGGGCCACTTCAGTCGAGATCGGGCATGCATTCCGTGTGACATGGGCGTAGGCAGGTGGGGCCATTTCAGACTGGGGAGATGTCCACGAGCATGAAAACCCCTCCATGATTAAATTAGTGTGTATACCTGTACTTGGGTTGAGTAGGAAGTTAATGTAGTGAGACCCAGAGCTGGAGAGATGTGCAGAGGGAGAGAGGGATCTGGGAAGAGAGAGCCAGCGGATTTACAAGTGTATCTGGTCACAAGCATCACGTCAGAGAGCTTGTGAAAATAAGGCCTGAAGACATGGGGCCATGAATATAACATAATAATAATCCATAACTGTCTGGGTTAGACTTCAAGACCATGTAAAGATGAGTTTTATGTTTATGAAGCGAATTTGATGCCATCTGCCTCACTAACAATCATTTAAATGGGAAAGCGCTATCCAGATGGACTACTTACATGAATTTTCATTAGATAACTCTGTAAGCACTCAGTTCTCTCATTAATGGCTAAGTTTAACAAGACAGAGGGAATATTAATAAATAAATGTCCTTAGAGATTTGTAAGCACCAAATAACCGTGTCACTAAGTAAAATGTACCTGAGAGCTACTCCCGTCACCCCTAGTTTGTAACACTTAATGGTTTTCATGGAACTTTTGTCTTCCTGTTTTTAAAGGTCAAAGACGATTGCTCACCACTCCTGTATCAGTCTCAGCAGCTGTTGATTCCACTGGAAGAATTAGAAAAGCAGATGACATCTCTCTATGACACACTTGGGAAAATCAATGAGATTATAACAATTCTTGAGCATGAGGCCCAATCTAGTGCTCTTTTTAAACAAAAACATCAGGTAAAAAAAATCAAAGATGTAATTATTTTAAAGCACATTTAATAAGATGAGAAGTTGTTTTTAGTAACAGAAATTCAGTTAGGACAAACATACCTTTAGAATACTATAGTACTGGTAACTCAAAATATAGGTGCACATCTTGTCCAAAGATGAGAGCTTATTCTGTATTGAAGTATTTCCAGGGGATGCTCAAGCCAAACACTCAGAGCAGGAGGGCTTAAGGAGCCTGCATCTTTGCTCATGAACTAGGAAGTTTCCTGATTTGAGCAACATTAGAAGGGCCAGCTTGTGTGGAGTACCTACCTCTGCCTTCTGTGGACCGGACAGTGTTGTGGCTGACGATACTCGGGAAGCCTTTATGGCCATCTGTTCTGTGCATCCCTATACATGAGTTCTGATTGCCAAGCACAGAAGGTGGAAGTTCACTGTGACTCTCCAAAAATAAGGAATGTGTCATAGAAGAAGTGCCCAAGTCTTGAAACAAAAAAGGCATCCACAATAGAAGGACCTTTCATTATCCTTTCTGCTTTGTAGTCATTTAATTTTCTATTACTATTTTTTTAACCAATGAACAGAGTCCACGAAAAAGACTAGCTTAAGTAAATTCTCATGTGTAACTTTAAAAGAATAGAAAAACATATCCAAAACTTTTATTTTTATCTTCATGTTGACTCTCTTTGGGAAATCACTTAGTGATTCTTCCCACACACATCTTTGGGCATCACCTGTCCAACTGATGAAGTGGTTAGTTTCATTTTAAAAAGTGTTTGTTCCTACATTTCTTGACTAATTGGAATCATGGATGGATATGGATAGATAGAAATAATACATATTTTTATACAATAAATAATTGATTTTTTTCTATCTAATGAGTATCTGTAACTTACGTCTTATGAGAACTTTTCTTTGATTCTGGGAATAGATCTTTTTAATCAATCATAAAAGTCTGGAAACATCTTCGCTGTGGTAGTCATGTTTAGTGAGCACATCTGCATCTCTAACAATGTGCAGTTAGCTGACTTACTTAGCTGCTTTCCTATAAATGAACCTATTCACCAGATGAGGGCAAGTGTCACAGCATTAATTGATATGGATTTAGGGAAAGAGGCAGGTTCATTTGTTAGAAAGAGCAGGGGCCTGAAATGAGCCATAAATATGCAGACCTCAGGTCTGACGTACAGCAAATTATAAAACCTTGTTTAACTTTCATATGCTTATTGTAAAATGAAGGTGATTATACATGAGAACATACATTCAGTAATGAAGAGTGTTGTTAGTACTATTTATAGTACCACAATGAACATATCACCAAATCCCATTGTGTGGCTTGTCATGCTGAAGAGTGTTTTATTTTGTGATATGATGCCATTTTCTACTTGCCCAAATTGCTATAAATTATCATAACCATCCCATAATTAAAATGATACTTTTATTAAGTATTGGTATTTCGTAAGAACATATTAAAACAATGTTACCATTTTGCCTCCTAAGTCTTCAAAAGGAAAGAACGTCTTTGTTCTGCTTTGCAAAAGAAAACAAAGCCTTCTTGTTAATGTTAACATTCGATGACCAAAAATGGCATCCAAAAAGAGCAGTTTGAAATATTTTTTTCAAAGCTGCCGAAGATGTTGAAATGCAAGTGCTGTGGACTCAAGAAAAAAAAAAAATCTGCCTTGGCTGGGCTGGTTCATTTCCCCTCTGCCAAAGTTGCTAGGATACGAGGCTGCAAGGAGGAGGGGAAGGTCTGTCAGTCACCCAAGCATCTCAGGCTACAAACAGGGCGGGTGCAAGTCTTCCCTACATCTGTGGGGTTTTTTGATGATCATGATCTGAAGTTTACTGTTTCTTTAAAAAGAGATTGATATCTTAGGAACTGTAGGAATTCAACTATAAATTTAGGGGATACAAATGAGATATAATCTGCTATGTCTGACTCAGTAAAGTAGGCATGCATTGAGGTTAAATTTATTTTGTCTGATTAAAACCTAATATGTTGACTGATTTTGTGACTGTTCTCTCAAAACCCTACTGATCTGTCAACCAGTTGGAAGAGTAAGAGCAGACAAAAAATCATTTTTTAATGTTAATAAGATATGCATGAAAAATACAAAACTCAACAAACTCATTGTAACATTTAAATGCCTCGTCTAAAAAGCACTGACTTCAGTGATGACTTCAATCTGAGTTCTTTTGAAATATTCCTCTGTATGTGTGGTTTTCCATATTGCTGATTGAAAATCTAAGAGCTATGTAATGTTTGTGTTTGTAACTTCTCTTCCCTTTCTCGGTTGTTTCCCTCTCTCCTTCCTTACTTCCTTCCTTATTTCATTCTATTATTTAAATAATATTGTCATGGATACCCTTTCCTTGTAGGAACTGCTGGCTTGTCAAGAAAGCTGTAAGAAAACTTTAACACTCATTGAGAAAGGCAGCCAAAGTGTTCAAAAGTTTGTGACCTTAAGCAGTGTATTAAAGCATTTTGATCAAACCAAGCTACAAAGACAGATTGCAGATGTTCATGTTGCTTTTCAGGTAACTTGCTTTTCTTGTCTTTACACTTGCTAGTTCACAAAAATCCAAAGATTAAAAACAAGTAATCACCATTTGTTTTAATACTAAAACACCTTATCCTCTGGTATTTGAAAAAAAACATTTTACTACTTTTTCTGATTTTAATATTAAAAAGTTAGTGATTTTTATCATAATGAAATAGCTTAAAAAGAGATAATGCTGTATGGCCAAATGACATCTTCAGTAATGAAAAAGCAGTATCGTGTTATGATTATGGTCAGCTTACAGTAGCCACAAGTTCTACATCTGTAAATTCAACCACCTGTGGGTTGAAAATATTTAGAAAGAAATTGTATCTAAACTGAACATGTACAGCCTTTCTTTCCTATTAATATTCCCTAACCAATATAGCATGACAACTATTTATGTAGCATTTACATTGTGTTAGATATTATAAGGAATCTAGGGCTGATTTATAGTATGTAAGAGGATATACCTTGATTTCATGCAAACATTGCCCCATTTTATATAAAAGCCTTGAGTGGCTGTGGATTTTGGTATCCTCTGGGAATCTTGAAACTAACCTGCAGAGAATACCAAGGGACAACTATTTTTTACACCCAGAATATGGTAAAGAAAACTGGAGATTGGAAAAAGCATGTGGAAACCAATAGTCGCTTGATGAAGAAGTTTGAGGAGTCTCGGGCAGAGTTGGAGAAGGTGCTTCGGGTCGCTCAGGAGGGCCTGGAAGAGAAGGGAGACCCTGAAGAGCTTCTGCGGAGACACACGGTGAGTCTGCGCCTCCATGACTCATGTAACCCAGGGGAGGGGACAGGATGCTGAATGAGAGAATAAAAAGCATTGTGATCCATTGTTGGGGCGGAGGGTGGAGTGGAAGCTGGCACAGGGACTTGGAAAGGTGGAAAATTTGTGAATAGGAAACACAAAAAAATGAAAGCCAGAAGTACAAGTGCAGTTTATTAGCTTACTTCCAGGAGATGATCTGTAAGCCTCCAGAATAATAGAGAGTCAGGATAATCCAAGCTGTCCAAATTACTCATTCATTTGTTTAGCTCAGAAATTCTTACATAACCACAAGTTCTATTAAATAGACCAGTTGAGGAGAGTAAGTCCTTCGTGTCATTTATTTATTTATTTATATAGAAGCACTGCCCTGCCTACCTGGCCCTTTTAAATTTTCATTTTCATTGTTTATTTTGAAACTGGGTTTTGACATTGCCTAGGCTAGACTCAAACTTGTGCTCCTTTGTCTTAGTCTCCCCAAGTGGTGAGATTATAGCTTGCACTATTACACCTGGAAATTTGTGTTCATTTCTTGAACCAACATATCATAGTATAAATATAGTGTCACTTAAAGTCTTGTATTTAATAAACAACGTGAGTCATTTCATGTTTACTTGTTTAAATGGCATTATTGTTGAGAACCTTGGTGATATATGAAATGGTATATAGAGACTATCAACATTCTGCAAATATTATATTATGAACTGTTTTACCTAAGATTTCACTGGCTACTTATATAAACTACACTCTCGAGTGAGGAATGCAGGGAATTTGGGGTGCAGCTTTCTAGACTCAAAGTCTATGTCTATAATCACAAAACTCAAAAGTGTCATCTCAATTTATACATTTCCACAGTAGGACACTCCTGTTTTGAGTCACTGTTGTGTCAAAATTTCTCAGCATACGCAGTCTTGAGTGTGTGAGACTTAGTCACGGTGTATACTTGTACACATGTATTGTCTTAGTTTGTTTAGACTGCCATAACATAATGCCACAGACTGGAGGCTTCAGCAATAGAAACTTACTTTCTTTTTTTGTTTGGTACCAGGGATTGAACTGATGACCTCTCATTTGCCAAGCAGGCACTTGCACCACTGAGCTAAATCTCCAGCCCCCAGAAACTTATTTCCTTAGAGTTTCTGAGGTTGGAAGTCTGAGATTGCGGTGCCTCTGGCTAGTACAGGGATGCCTTTTTATAGTCTTCCATATCAGGAAGAGAGCTCTTTGGTGTTTCTTCCTATATGGTCATGAATTCTAAAGTCAAGGTACCACCCTCACAACCTCATTAAACCTAATTATTCCCCACCCCAAACACACACAAAGGCCCCATCACCAGCTACCATCACATCTGAGGTTAGGACTTTAATGTATGAATTTGAGGAGGACACAGTGCTATTGACAGCATGCGTGTTTCCTGCATGTAACACAAAGCCCTGGTTCAATCCTTAGTACCAAGACAGGGAGCTATGAGACTTAATCCTGGCTTCTGTCCTGCTCTTCTGACTTTACCAAAGAAGAACAAAACTCTGCCACTTGAATTAAGATTGTAGGGTATTTCATTGGCGTTTCAGAATATTTTACCAAAAATTTGAAAGCTGCAGACATTTTCCCAAAATGTAAAAAGTACTGCTTAAATGCAAATCTGAAGAGTTGCAACTCATAACTATAGATATTTGCAGTTTGTTTCTGAAAAAAAGAATTGCAAGTTGCCCAGAAGTTTTGATGAGGGCAACAGATAAGTGTCTAAGAGACTCAGTCAGGTGTATTTATGTCGATGCCGTCTTTCATTTTCCTGGGAATCTTAACTGCACTCCCCTCCATCTCAGGAGTTTTTCAGCCAGCTGGATCAGAGGGTCCTTAACGCTTTCCTGAAAGCTTGTGATGAACTCACGGACATCCTCCCCGAGCAGGAGCAACAGGGGCTGCAGGAAGCGGTCAGGAAGCTGCACAAACAGTGGAAGGTGGGCCAGGGCACTTGGGAATATGGGAACATCGTGTCCTGACTGAAGCGACAAAGCACAAGGGAGCTGAGGGCCAGGAAAAATGGAAGTGTAGAGATGTGTGCAGTGTTCCCAAGGCTACTTATCCACTAAACAAAAAACGAATGCAAATAAAACGTGATCAGTTATGATAGAGTTTTGTTCTTCCACTGTATGGCAGCATCAGTTTTATCATATTCAAATACTCAGCTTTTTGTTTGCTTTGGAATAAGTGTGAAAAAGTCATTAATTTATTTAAGCAACTCTTAGTGAACTCTTTGGAGAAATAAATCATGTTAGGCACACTATTGATATTATACATATTTGGCTGTGCTCAAATATTTTATTATCTCAGATAGTGATCATCTGAAAATATAAATAAAATTTTAATAATGAAGAAAACATACTTCTTTTACCCAAAAAGACTTAGAGTTCAGTTAGGGAAATAATTTGTTGCAAGTATTAAAAGTGTAATATATAAGAAGTCCACATATAAAACCTCATTGAAGCTTTGAAAGAAGGAGGTGGACCCACTAGGAGACTGGAGAAAAGTGAATAAAATAGCCACAGTAAGCTGAGACTTCGAAGAAAAAAGAGGCACTGTAGGCGTAGGAAGAAAGGAAATCACAGCAATCAGAAGAGAGAAAGCCAGAGAGCGGCATGTAAGTAAGGCAGGGATCCTTTCGGGCTCTGTGTGATCCAAGTGTCATGTGCTGGAGGAATTGTGGGGGACAAAGCTGGTGCTGGCACAGAGATCCCACCAGGTCAGTATCTGAGGGCGACACACTGTGTCTTTGGCCTTCCATGAGAGTTGCTGCTCGAGCCAGGAGCATGAGTGCTCTCAGGAGGTGATGGTTCATGTGCATTGTATGAAGAAGTCTTGGGGTTTGGAAGACTGGTGGCTAAAACCTTCTCCATGAGGTTGTGTTATTTTCTGGATTATTAAAATCTCAGTAACATTGGCTAAACATCATTCTTGTATATATAGGAAAGATGCTTGCTACATTTGAAATTTTTTTTTTGTTTAAAAAGAAAAGTTGCTTAAAAGAACTCAAGCTTTCTAAGATGCCTTGAAGCTTAGCATACCAGAAAGGTAAAATGAAACTGGAGAGTTTCTCCTCAAGGAGAAAGGAGGTGAATCCTTGGAAGTCACCTGTTACAGTTGTTCTATGGCTCTACCACAGTTTTATCATCAGTTATCTTAATATTTCACTTAAAGAAAATCCTTTTATGTACTATTGGACACAAGCTGGCTACAATTAATAAATTAGAGCACAAAAATGATAGTGGTGAAGCTTACACTTATATCACAAGGGAATAATATCAAAGTTGTGCATGGTTTAAGTGATTGCTTACCTACTTGCTTAGTATATATCTATAGAGAAGAGATATGGCAGGTGGTCATGTGCCCTAAGTATTTAATCCTGAGTCTTGTGTGTTCTAGAACTTTAGTGGTTCAATCCTTAAAATAAGAGGATTAATTTCATGTAGGGCTTTTATGAAAATGAAGCAGAACAATTTCTGTGAAAATACCAGGCCTCATCAGTCTGCAAGGACTAGGAGCAGTCAGTGTTTGGAAAAGCCCAAAGAACAAAAAGAACATTTTACTTTTTGCCACTTCAGTTATAAATGTACATCATCAGAAGCATGATTCTGCTTTACTGGATCTTTCTATGAAATGCAGGATCTTCAAGGAGAAGCCCCTTATCATTTGCTCCATTTGAAGATTGCTGCAGAGAAGAACAGATTCTTGGCTTCTGTAGAAGAATGTAGAGCAGAGCTGAACCGAGAGACCAACCTGGTGCCCCAGGAAGGCAGCGAAAAAATCATTAAAGAGCACAGGGTAGGTTTCACATACCAACAGCACAATCCTGTAGAGGTTCACTGTTACTTAATGTATACTATGGAAGCTTTAGTTTGGGTTGGAAAAAAGTAGTTTACTTCTTCTCCAGTGGTAGTTTATAGGAATCTCCCACTAGTTTTTCTATGAAAATGTAAAGAAAGGTATGATACGGCTTATTGCAGGGATTATAAAAATGTTTATTGCTTATTAGATTTTCTTCAGTGACAAAGGTCCTCATCATCTCTGTGAGAAAAGGTTACAGCTCATTGAGGAATTGTGTATGAAACTCTCCGCCCGGGATCCAGTAAGGGACACACCTGGCACCTGTCACACGGCTCTTAAAGAACTCAAAGCTGCCATCAATGCCACCTATGCAAAGCTGGTGGAGGACCCAGACAAGTGGAAGGACTACACTAGCAGGTAGCTTGGGCTTGTCTCCAGAGAGGGATTCAGTCCCTCTGTCCTGCTATAATTCAGAGATGATTATGCAATAAGAAATGGCAAATATTTCATTTTGTGCAATAAAAAAATCATATTGTCCGATCCTGCTTATGTTCTTACCCAAAAATACTTCATTTCTTTATAATGATGGGTTTCCATCAGAAACAGGGAAAGACGTATTATTTCCAGTTGACTCAGATGGTCTTTTGGGGGCAGAATTGGCTAACCCCTTTTCCCCTCCCTGTTTCACCATCCACCCCACAGAAGCATCTGTTTCCTTGGTTTAGTACCTCATCGTGGTGGACACAATTGAGGAGCCTCAGGCATCCCCTTCCTTCCAGATGCTCAGACCCTGGGACACGTCTTGTCCTCAGCTCCTGCCAAGTTATTGTGCTTAAAGTGGCCATCCTTGCGCTCCACTTTATGTTACAAGTTTTTCAGAAAATGTGTTAATCAGTTTTGTTACTACTTGATTTCTACGTGTCCATAAGTACATTCATTAAAAATGTATCCTCACCATTTTGATGTTGTCTCCCTTTAATAAGGAAATGCTGGTGTTCTTTCAGGTTTTCTGAGTTCTCATCTTGGATATCAGCCAAGGAGACACAGTTGAAGGGAATCAAGGATGCAGCCATTGATACTGCCAATCACAGTGAGATTAAATGTACAGTGGAAGTAAGTGCTGGCAGGTTTACTAGAGGCAATTTTCCAATAAAAAAGGCGATGTTCATGTTGTCTTCTCTTTCTTTCTAGAAAAAAATAGGTTACTGAACCTTGTTTTGAAAACAGTTGTCCTCTTATTACTGTGAAGAATTTGAGTTTGTTTGCTTTCTTTTTTGCTTTTTTTTTCTTTTCTTTTCTTTTCTTTTTTTTTTTTTTTTTTTGTCTATTGAATTGTCCGTAGCTGTAAGAACGTCATGGTCAGTGGTATCTCTTGTATCTTCAGATGTGAGTGGCATCCAGAGAGACCTTTTCCTCTCAGTTTGGTCTTTGTTTGTAGACCATGCTATTGCAAAAACCCTTTCTGTTTTTTTTTTTTTTTTTTTTTTTTTTTTTTTTTTGAAACCTTGCTGGTCACATAGTTCCATATTTAAGGAAAATATATTTCCTTTCTGTTTCAATCCTCTAAATTCCATTTTATTTCCTATTAAATTATAAAATCACCTTAAGTGCTAGAGGTGGCTAATAACATCCTGGTATACATTTGCAAGGATGTCATTTATTGCTGGTACTACAGTACAAAAGATTTCACATCTTACAATGTAGGGACCATCTGCTTCCGGAGCCAGTAGCCCTCCTGATAGGCATGCATCTATCCTGAGACAGCCCTTTGCACCTCTAGAGTTTGGAAAACACTGCCCTGCCCTACTTCAAAGGGAGTATAGAAGGGCCAGGCTGCCCTGTCACCAGTCCTGCAAGCCTGAAGCTGCAGAGATTTGGCAGGATTGTCTTTGCTGGCAAACACTCCCAGCTTACATTAGAGCTCTGGTCCTCTTCATGCAAAGTCAATGTTATAAAAGGTATTGATTTTAAAATCTAACAAAATGAGGCAGCGTGCTGTGCATGGGGTTGCACACCTCTAATCCTGACAATTGAAAGATAGGCAAGAGGACGGCTGTGAGTTGTAGGTGAGCCTGGACCCCATAGCAAGACTCTGTGTCAGAGAGAGAGAGAGAGAGAGAGAGAGAGAGAAGTAATGTATATTAATGAAGTTAAATCTTTAAAACATCCATAAATATATTCAACAAGTAAACTCTTCAATAAAAGAAAAGCAGGTTACTGAAAGTAATCAAATATATGTAAGGATTTTGCTCATTTTTCTAAAGTTACTGTTTCTTTAAACATATAGAAAGTGAGGTAATAAAACATACAATTATAATTTCTAATTTTGATATTTCATATTCTTAGTATCGTTATAAACACCTTTGATGTGAATAAGGATGTTTCTATAAATACCTAAACAACCTAATTATGAAAGTGATACTTTTAAGTGAAGACAGTATTGATTTCACCCATTAGCTATTTGCAACTGACACTAGCGAACCTTTCTTTGAGCACTTGTAGACGTGTTAAAGATGCCTGCAAAGAGTAAAAGAAGCAAGCTATCTGCTGGTGGCTGAATGTCGCTTACCTCCACATGCAAACTTTCTTGAGTTGAGTCCTTTCCTGATATAAAGTCATGGTTTATAGTTGCACTGTGTTCGACAAAGGTGTTCTCTCATTCCAGGAGATCAGACATGATGTTACCACAAGAGGTGAGAATCTTAGCTGGCTGAAATCCAGGCTCAAAATTTTGATGGAGGTTTCTTCTGAGAATGAAGCCCAACAGCGAGGAGATGAGCTGGCAAAATTATCCAGCTCTTTCAAGGAACTCACCACTTTGCTGTCAGAGGTATATCAGTTCCTTGCACTGTGCGTAGATGGTTCTCTTTCCTTTGGCTATAGTTTCACAAGTAACTTTACAAAGAAACTGTAGTTAAAACTGTATAGTTAGCATAATTATTCATATGAAAATTATTGGACAAGGTGAGTAGGATGTTTAACTTCAGCGTCTTTTATGAATGTGTTCGAAGTTTAAAGCTTATCCATCAGGTTTGGTTTTTTTTTTTTTTTTTCGGCTCTTACTTAAAGTACATCAGTCTGCAATTTTTGTTTTTGTTTTTGTTCTCTCTAAATGTATTGTAATTTCTCTGTCACCTTAGGATGTAAAATAAATGTTAAAAACAAGGTTGGAACTCAGACAAGGGCCAGAGTTTAGATCTGATGCCCAACTACCTCTAGAAGCTGGAGTTTGGTGTCAGATGTCTGTAGGTTCTCATTGCTTTATAAAATGCACTTTAGAATAGTTTCCTAAAATGGTAGTGATAGGGACTAACTGCAATGATGTGGATAAAGCAGTTAGTATAATGCTTGTCCGAGTGAATGGTTGACAACAGCTAACTCGTAATAATAAACTAGTCAATAAAAATACTCAGTGAATATTCAGCAGGCCAGAAAAAAATTCTTTAGGCCAAGATCTACTCACTTTAAACTTTTGAATATGAAATTCAATGTTTATGTGATTCTTTTATAGATTAAAATACGCAAGTCAACCTACTTAATTTGTAGTAGGACCTCTTTCACTCTCAGTTATGAGTTTATGAGTAGGAAGATACTATAAGAAGGTAAAGTAAATAGATATTTATCACAATTTTTTGCCATTGTTTATCTATAACCTTCTATGGAAAATGATCTACTAGATGACTGGAAAATGTCCATTAAACTGTCTGATTCTAAAGAACAGGAATTCTCTATAGATGTTTCTAACTATTTGTCTGTCAAGCTTTTATCATTTTAATCTAAATAGATCTGCCTGAGCCTGAAGTCGTGAATTCATATAAGCCGAAGATATTCTGAAATGCTTGTGATTTTATTTTTATTTGAGAATTTTGATATAAATTGTGGTTTTCTTTAGAATTTTGGACTAATTGGGCTTTGTAATCTGATTAATCAAGTTAAGGTATATAATCTATTTCAGTCCTTTGAGTGTTCGGTTTTTCATAGCGGCGGTCAAGTTCACTACCATATTTTAGGAGAATATTTGACATTGATCTTTCCACTCTTTCCTTAGTGAAGGTGGTAAAAAATAAAGGTGATGGTCTAAAAACTAGTGTACATATAAAGGTGATCTTTGAATCAAAATTTAATGATCAATTTTACTAGCAAAACCACAGAAATTTATTATGTATTTGTCCCCAACCCTGCCTCAAAACATGTGAAATAACCAGTAGTGTCTATCACATTTTAGCAAGGCCATTTGCTTTATTTGCCAAGTACTCTCAGGATGATGCTGTCTTTGGGATTTGTAGCCATAACCTGTCTCTAACAACTGTGTAGTAGGTAACACATTAATTCTTTGCACACTCACCTATCATACACTTCTGTGTAATTTATATTATTCCTTTTTGTTTCCTAATCACTTAATGAAAGCAAAAAAAGAGAACTGAGAAAAATGTATATTCTGTTCAAGTTTAGATTATAAAAATGAATTCAGCAATCAGTCCCTTCCTCTGATAACAATCAGTTTAATACTTAAATTAGTACTGAAAATAAAGTGTTTACATTGTCCAACAGAAAAAAGAAGGCTATAGATAGAGTCACCGTGTATAGTGAAAAGTGACATTTTTTTCTGTATTGCAGGTTGAACCTAAGACTTTTGCATTGAGCTATATCTCAATTATTTTTTTAAAATAGACTAGGTCTTACTAAATTGTTAAATTACCCAGGCTTGGCTCAAATTTGTGATTTTCCTGCCTCAGCAGAAGCATTTACATGCATGCACCACCCCACCTGTTTGAAAAGGTCACTTTTTTTCCAACACATGATGATTTTTACTGAGATCTGGAGTTCATGGTTTTCACAGGTTCTTTCACTGCTAGTTATTTGGAAAGCAGCATGCTGTAAGTTGTCTTAGAAAAACTCAAATCAGAAGAAAATAAAAGGGAGAAAACGAAGATAAGAGACAGAAGGCTTCAATGGATAATAAATGTTAAAATATTTGAATGATTGTCTTAATGAAGATAGGGAAAGCAAAAAATCAGACAGAAAAAAAGCTGAAAATTCAGGAAAATTACAACAAAATCTAATTTTAAAACTCCACAAAATTATTGATGTTTTATGTAGAAATACCAGGAGGGCATTTTTGACAAATACTTTTATTTCTTCTCTATAAATGTTTTCCTTATTTAAATATGATGGGCTCAAGTTTCTTGTAAGGCACTTTTATAATTAGGCATTAGTCATGAAATTATAATTCAAAGAACCCAGGAGACAATATATACAATAGGTAGAGCTTTATTTTCCTGCCTTGAATGCTGAGTGGAATAGGTTTTCTTTGTTCTTTTTCCTCTATTTAGAATAGGCTTTTAATATATTATAGGAAATCAGATAAAATTAAACTTGCAGTTCCCATAAGTGACTATGCAATTTGGTAATCATTAAAGAAGCCTCCGAAATATGTGAAAGAATAAAAATTAGAGATCTGTGACTATATTTCTAGTTGTTGAGATAGACTTTATGTACATTCTTAAAATATGTAATATCACACAAACTCAAGAGGATAACATCTGTCAAAGGGTAGAAATAAGTTGTCAAATGAATAAATTTTGGAAATTGAATGTGCTACATACTTTCTACAGTTAATAATACTGTGCTATGTGCTTGAAGCTTGCTAAGAAAGTGGAACTTACTTTTCTCTCTCTCACACACACAGAAAAGAAGGCATAGTAAATGATGGCTAACTGCCTCGATTAGAGAAATTATTTCACAATGTGCATGTGTATCAGAGCATCACACTGTACACAGGAAATATTTGCAATGTTAATGCATCAGTCTTTTTCAGTTTTTGGAAAGTTTACATGAACTTCACTAAATCATATCATATAATTTTTTTCATGAAAATCTAGGTTGAAAAAATGATAAACAACTTTGGGGAATGTGTTCAGTACAAAGAAATAGTAAGAAGTTCCCTCGAAGAATTAATTTCTGGCTCTCAGGAAGCCAAAGATGAAGCTGAGAAGATTTTAGACACTGATAATCTGTTTGAAGCCCAGCAGTTGCTCCTTCATCACCAGGTAAAAATGCCTCTTCAGTCTGTTTGTGAAAGCTGATTAGTGACTGATAGAACCAGAGAGATACCTAATGTGACTTAGAGCTTGGGTTGGAGGAGAGGGAAGGGAGGGAATCCAAACTTGGTTGAATGGTTAAAGGAATTTGGAGCTTCTGGTTCCTCTTCTCTCTGTTAAACATCTATTCTCTCTTCTGTTAAATATCCTTCAATGCAAATCCCCAGTGATTTGATGAAATCAAAAAATTCAAAGAATACAAAGCAAGAAAATTTATTTAACTATGAAAGTGTGGCTAAAGCTCACTAAGCTATCCTTTTCATAACAGAGAAGAAAATCAAAAGGAGACAGAGTGTTTCATATTTGAGATCACTATCTCTTATCATTATGGTTGTTTTGTTTTGTTTTGTTTTTTGCCTTTTTGAGAAAGGGTCTTGCTATTCAGTTCAGGCTGGCCTTGAGCTAATTTTGCAGCCCAGGTTGATCTCAAACTCTCAACAATGGTTCTACCTCAGCCTTCCAAGTGCTGGGATTACAGGTGTGTGCCACCACACCTGGTTTCATTATGTTAAAAATCCTTCTTAATTTACAACTTTGAACCCATTTTAGTTTGGGAAATGGAGCTTACTTGCAACATCAGAGTTTCCAGAACAATACACTATTGCAAAGAATTAAAATAAGAAGTAAAGGAATTCATATTCATAATTGAACTAATAATTTTTGGTGCTGGGGAGTGAACTTAGTGTTTCATGTATGCTGACCACATGCTATATCCCCATTCCCTGATTATAAACAATTTATTTTCTTATAGAAAGGAATTGGGCATTATAATATATGCATAATGAAAGTTATTATTTCTTAAACTATATAAAAGGAAATATGACTCAAATAAAACATTTTAATGGTAAGATAACTATGTATAGTAAAGCAAAGCTAATTTTTTTTTTTTGTCTTTTTCATTTTTATTGGTACCGGGGATCAAACTCACGACTGCCTGCTTGCAAGGCAGGCACTTATGCTGCTGAGCTAAATCCCCAGCCTGAAAGCAAAGCTAATTTAAAAATTAGGAGTTACATTAAAAATGCAGCATTGTAAAATAATATCCTCTACTAAGATTTACTTAATCATTGCAAAAAATTGCCAGGCGTGGTGGCTCACACCTGTAATCCCAGCACTTGAGAGGCTGAGGCAGGAGGATTGTTGTGAGTTCAAGACCAGCCTGGGCTACAAAGTGAACTCAAGGCCAGCCTGAACTGCATAGCGAGACCCTGTCTCAAAAAAAAAATTGTGAATATAAGAAATTAATTTTCAGTATTACATTTGTTCTTAGACATTGTAAAAATTATATTTAGGTTTATAGACAAATTTAAGATTCTAGATACTGGTAACAATGTCTTAAAGCTTCTTCCATATTACTTGGACCAGTTGCTTATTTCTGTGAGCGTGTCAATTTCACAAAATTCAGGATCTCTAAATTTGAGATTTGTTTACCATTCTGCTTAAAGATTATACTTCAGTAAAATGTTTTTTAAAAGTAACTTTCTACAAAACGTCTTAGGATTTGTATTGATCAACTTTCCTATTGCTGAACAAAATTCCTGACATTCACAATTCAAAGAAGTAGAGATTTATTTGGCTCAGAGGGTTAAGTCCACGGTTGGCTGACTCCAGCACAGAAACATGGAGGAAGAGCACGGCACAGGAAAGCTGGCCACCTCATGAGGTCTTAAAGCAGAGCTGGGGAAAAGTATCAGAAAAGAGGCAAGAGACCAGATACAGCCCAGTTTCTCAAGCGACACCTCCATGACCCACCTAGGTGTGCCCAGAAATGTAACTTTACTGGCCCCCTAGAGAGCTCTCAAGTCAACCAAGTTGGCGGTCAAGCTTAACTATCAACATATTAATACACCAAGGAAGTATAAATCTCATAATATTTGCATTTTAATGCACGTAATGCAATATTGGTAATGAAACTAGAGATGAGACTAGAATTTAGGCAAAAAATGATTAAGAAGAATCACAGAAATTAATTGTTTTGCAGATTCTTCCTGAAGTATTGTCTAAAATGCTAAATGTTCTACAAATGAGCACACAAAACATCAAACTTAAATTATATTGTTTGCCATTAAAAATTTAGAATGTTTATAAATTATGCCTACTTTTGATTAATACAGAGCCTCCATTATTACTATGTTAACCATCAGCCTTAACTTAAAACAGTTCAGGCCACGGAACATGAGTTCATATCTTTCTCTACTTTTGTTGAGTGTGGGTGCTTATGGCCCTGCTTACTGAACTCCAGGGTAAAATTTATAACCTTCTGTTTAACATCTACTTTCAGCAAAAGACAAAGATGATCTCAGCAAAGAAGAGAGACCTGCAGCAGCAGATGGGGCAGACGCAGCAGGGAGCAGGTGGGCTGGCTGACCCGGGCAGGGAGGAGCTGCAGAAGCTGGAGAGAACACTGGCCAGTGTGGAGCACAACAGGGAGAGGCAGGAGCGGCGCATCCAGGTAGGGCTGGGTGGGTAGGGGCTGGCTCAGTGAAGGCCAAGGTTACAGCTCACCAAAGCAGGATCAAATGTTGGTTTCAGCCTCTGCTGCTCTGACATTGTGCTAAATACCTGACATGAGTTACCTCTTTTAATCATCACATCAGCCTCATGAGGTGGGTCTTGTAATCAACACATCTCACAAGTTTGGTGCTTAAGAACACCACTGTGTGCTGTGGGGGTAGCCCAGTAGGATACTTGCCTATCGTTTGTGAGGCCTTGGGTTGTTTAAGTCCCAGCATAGAAAGAACAAAAAAAAAAAGGAAGGAGAAGATGTTTGAGGATTTGGCCTGGTGTCATACAGTATCAATAAATGGTAAACCCAAGATTTAATCCACACTTGTCTGAATCTAGAACTTTGATATTATTATTCTTTTATGGGAATTCCAGTAGCCACATTTACAGTTTATTGTGTTACTGATTTACTCTCTTTAATGAAGCTGACTTGTGTCCACTTTGGCCACTCTGACACACTATTTTAAAATAGCTCTTGAATTTGGCAAACTCCTCACTTTTCTGTTTGCCTCAGTCTCCTCTTTGTCTCTTGATGGAGATTGAAGTTGTCTTTTTCTTTTACTTGTCACTCACCTACCTTTTCAGTAATATTATTAGAAGCACAGGACTTTACAGCTGATAGAGAACTCAGAAATCATCTAGTCTGTGTTTTCTCTTTGGGTTGGTGAAAATAATGAGATCCAGAAAACATGCCCACAGAAGACTTTAGAATCTTCTTCCTCCACCGTGACTCTGAAATTCTCAGTGCTCACTGGGCACTGGCAATTTAGAAAGTGAATGAAGATATGGCAACATATTGTGATACACTTTGGTAATTTATGACCTGACATGTATTTTTTTTCACATTTAGGTCACATTAAGAAAATGGGAGCGATTTGAGACAAACAAAGAGACCGTGGTCAGATACCTTTTTCAAACAGGTTCCAGCCACGAACGTTTCCTGAGTTTTAGCAGTTTGGAAAGTTTGTCTTCAGAATTGGAGCAGACAAAGGTACATTAATATGACCATATGCTTCCTTGATGCCCATTTTTCAGATAAGAAGGCACTATTTCTTCTTATTATTAACTCATTTAATCAATATTTTTATGGATAATGCACACTTAAACATAATGTCCCCAAAACCCTAAATGATGTTTTCTAGACTACAGAGCTAAATCCACTGAGTGACAGTCACACCACTAAAACTCTGCTTTAGAGAGGATCTTCTAAGGAGGTGTGGATAGTTGGTTCAGAGGGTAGAAGACTGAGGTCACAGAATTTGATAAAAAAGTTATTGCATATGGTAGCCCAAGTGGGCTTAAATAAGGGTGGTAGGACAGCATTCAGCACATGGAGACAGTTACAAAGGGTAATATGGTGTTCACATAATAAAGATAGGGCAATAACTGAACAGAGTGCAGGAAAAGAAAGTGAAACCCCAAGTTCTGAGGCTTCTGGAAGTAACGAGTACCACGGGAAACTGGGAGTTGTCCTTCGTGGATACACTGGATGAACAATCCAATTTTGGACATAGGAAGTTTGATGCTCTGGTTCAGCATCAGAGAGACAGTGTTTAGTACTATGTTTGGTGCATTCGACACTATAAACTCAAACACCTTGGGCACTCAGAGCAACCCAAAGTATTTGTATGAAGAATTCAGAGTTGTTCAGTCTTTTGTGGTTGCTTTATTCCTAACTAAGGATTATAGAAAAACTGAGTAAGCACAGAAATAGATTAGACAGTGTGTAAGAGAGAGGCTTGTGTATACAGTTTCCCAGCCTTTAGCAAGGAAACCCTCTGCTTATAACAAATAAAACCTTCTTTCTCTTGTACTGCTATTTGTATTTCTCCTATTATTAATTTGTTGATGAGTTTAAAGTTTTTTTTAAGGCCCCAGAGTCAGTTTGGTGAAATGTTCTTGGCCATATAGCATTGTTTTAATTTTAATTTTTAATTTGAAGTATACTGTATATGGAAATATAGCAGGTATCTTACAAATAAAAAAAGAAATGTCTTTCAGTTAATTTTCCTGTATGTTTCCATCCAGCTTCCTTTCAGTGTCTCCAACTCCTTTTGCACCAATCCATTTGGACCAGTTTGACTGTCAATGAAACTATCATGGTTTTTAAAATCTTATTTTCAAAATTCTCATTAGCCCATGATTTTCTATACTTTGAGATTAACTTATTACAAAGTAGCATTTATTGACTCTATATCATATACTGATGTCACAGTTGATGTTTATCATCTTGTTTCATCCTTAAAACAGTTATCAAACATAGATATCACTATTTGTTCCAAATAAAGTCATGTAAGGTAAAACGTTGTTGATATATGTTTCCAAGAACTCTAGATTCCTATGTAGTGAGGTGAGATTCAAATACAAAAAAGTCTGAACCCAGAGCCCACACTGTAAGCCACTGCTTACATTTTCATTCCAAAACCCAAGTGGAATCACAGCTTATAGACACTAACACACAAGAATCCCAGAATAGTTGTTCTCTCCTCTTGGCCTGCTTTACATTGTTATTCCCACCTTTATTCCAGCTGACAGCCCTGGAGTAGCTGCCCTAAGGAACTAGAGTGTCTCTGGGTGCCCATGTGTGGGAGGGTGTACCTAGCTGGATCGTGCTTAATCTTCACAATGAGCCACGGCTTCACTGGTGAAGAAATGAAAATTTAGAGTTATGGGCCACAAGGACAGAGCCTGATTTCAGCCCTAGATCTAATGCCAGTTAGTTCTTTTCCTGTGCTTCCTTCTGCCACTCATAAATCTTCTTCTTAAGACTTAAAGATAAGGCCTTACAGTTGTCACATTTTTTTAATTTGATTTTTTAACATATAATTCTGGTCTTTGAATTCCTCTGCAGGAATTCAAATTCACATAAATCCACATAAATTCACATAATTCACACAAATTCACATAAAACACTCTGAAAGTATGTAAGCATTTTCAAATATTGCTTTCTTTGTGGTTTTTCCCTGGGTTCTGGGAAATACTGTTTTACACTTTGGGTTCTATTTATGAGATTCTGAGAGGCTATGCTGTGATTCATGGGATTCACAATTGAATCTACAGTCACTATGAGTTCACAGATATTAATAGTGAGAGCTTTCAAGCACAGAATTTAATGGTATGACATCAAGAACTATCATGTTTTGTGATACTATAAATCTCTATGCAAAGAAACTAGTTACTCAGTTATGTTCTCTTGGCTCGCAACCTATTTTTTGAAGTAATGTTGCTATTTCTATGAGGATACTGTCTTCAAACAGAAAGTTATAGTAGTCTGTCACTATTTTATATGGTATTTATGATAGTGCTGCATAGTGCATTGAATGAAAGCTGGCTTTTTATAAATATTTACATTGGATTTCTACAGCACCTATTAAAGAGAGGAAAGTTGATCAGCATTTAAACTTCCTCTGAAATTTTGCTACATGAAAAGAAACAAGACTCCCTTTTTTTCATTCAAGATTATTACTAGATTTATCTTTTCTACTTCAGTGTTCAATTATTTACCTAACAAAATTTGGATAGCATAAGATTATCAGTGTCTTGTACATATTATATTAACTTTTGAGTTAAAATAGTTCAGAATAGTTGAAAATAAGTAGATAGGATTAATAAATGATTTTGCTCAATTTTATATGAAAGATATAAAAATGATAATTGGTACCTGCCAGAGTATAAGGCACTTCAAAGGGAATTTACTGATGGAAAGCTAAGAGTACTCTTCAAGAAAAAGCATTACAAGTTGCATTTTATTAAAAAATAAAAAAGAGCCTGAAAAGTAATTTGGCAAAGTGGAACAACTAGAGATTAGCAGACCCAGGCCCCATGCCTAGGTTTGTGTGGTTCAAAATTTACCTTCTTTCCATACTGTTGTATATGCATAGGAAAAAATATGATTTAAGAGCATTAAGGTCAGAGTGTAACTCCTGTCAGATGACTAGCAAACAAAATGTATCTGTACAGGGAATATCATTAATATTCTGGACTTAGATATTCTTCAAACGAGTCTTTTTATTTGGTGACCTGTAAATCTGTTATCTCCATGCAATCAGTCACCATTGATCTTTAGATGAGCTGACCAGTAACACATTTCATATTTGTGGCTAAGCTAATTACAGTGCAATTAATAATTCTACACAATAAACCAAAACCTAAAAACAACGTAGAAAATTTTCTGAGAATTGCTGGTAACAATGAAGCCAGGAAGCTGTTTGTGTACATAAAATGAAAAAAAATTATCTAACAGGAAGTTGTGTAAATAAAATGAAAAAAAAATTATCTAAGTGTCTAACTAAAGAGGACATATGAAAATAAGTCAGTTTTATTAAGAACAATGCAGATCCAGTCCTATGTGAATCCGTCTATTTGTCCATATGTCTGTCCTGGAGGAATACCCAGTACATGCGATTTACATGAAGAAGGAGGTGCAGCGTTCACGTAACTGTTTGATCTTTTTTTCTAGGAGTTTTCTAAACGGACAGAAAATATTGCCATCCAGGCTGAGAACCTTGTAAAGGAAGCTTCAGAGATACCACTTGGGCCCAAGAATAAGCAGCTGCTTCAGCAGCAGGCCAAGTCAATTAAAGAGCAAGTCACAAAATTAGAAGACACACTTGAAGAAGAGTATGTGCTTCACAAGTCCTAAGCTTTCTTCTCTGAGATAAAGCTCATTACAGTCTTTCCTGTGTCTTGTATTCAAAACAGTCTTTTAAAATCTCAGTGTCTGTGTATTTCAGCATGTCTTGAGGAAGAAATTCACAATTCAAAAAAAAAAAAAAAAAGGGGGGGATCTTCAACACAGGAACCAATGTCTAGAGCAGAGCAAGAATATACAAGGGATGTGGAGTTTGCATCTTAAACTGATTGTGTTCACAGGAAAGCCATACTTATTCAATGCCGTGGCCTTTGTATTGAGAGAATCTCAAAAAAACTGATACTTAAAATAATTTTTGTCATAGTGTTCTGCTATCACCAGTTAGAGACAAGGAGACATATTCTGATAGTGCATATTCTAGACCTAGACATTCTCACATCACATAGACCACGTCTTCAACTCAAAGCTCCCAACCTCGTTTACAGTGCCTCGGTATTCAAATTGCCATGAGTTGTTAAGCTAGCTCCAGAAATTAACTTAAAAATATTTCTTTTTTTTAAACATTTAAATTTATTGGTCTTAAAAATAACTATTTGATTTATTGATGCACTGCCATCTATACATATATATGAAGCTTACAGGAGTTAAACTTCCTAGGATATGGCCAGTAATTCTTCAAAATAATATAGATAAACATTTCTGTTTAGTGACAAATTAATGACATATAGCCTATTATTCTTAAAACAGAGGGTATTATTTCTAAGATAAATTTTAAAATACGTAATTTGTTTTTTATACTATCAACATCTTGAAATTAGCATTTCACATTTGCTTAAACTTGAAAGTTTGAGGACACTTATTTAAAACAAATTGTGATTTGAAATTTTGAGAATTTTGTATTAACAATACTCTCCAACATACTATGGAGACAGTAAAATTTAGACTTTATGAGAAAGGATGCTAATTCTATTAATAATTTCTGTTTGAATCTTTATTTTACTTAAAAACTTGCAATACAGTATAACATAGCGTGCATTTCCAGTATTGCTAAGAGCACTAGACATACCCAGGGTATAAATTTGAGAATGCAGTGCTATTTAATTTGACAATCAGTGATGTCATTATATTTTTCCTCGTGTCTTCAAGTGCCTTTTGGTAAACAAGGACATTCATTTGTTGTTTTATCTTTAAACCCAGGGACGTATCAATTCAATGATATGCTAATTATCTCAGTCTTTCTCTAAACTAAAAGCCATATGCATGGTTATATATGCATAGCTAATATAAACAGAATCTATAGCTGAAATTCACTAGAGCTATTATTTATAAAGCCTAAGTTATCTAAAAAACAGTTAGGGTGCTCATGTACAAGAATTTTTGAAAGTCTTTTGGAATCAGTATGCTAGGACATCTGTGAGCAGATGAAGTCATAAGAGATGATAGATCAAAGGCTTAGCTGTAATGACGGAAACAGTTCCCACTTGTCAGCATGGAATTCAGACCAGAAGCTCCACCTTGATTCATAGAGATCGTGTTATAAGAATCAGCGTTAAGTATTATGACAGCATCTCTTCCTTCTTCAGCAAAGAGAATACGTTTATGGAGACAGGACTATTAAAAAGCAGTGCACACTGGAGTATATTCTGGTATAATTTATAAACATAAGCCCTGAAACTAGCAGTCACATGCAGAGTTTAATAAGCTTATACCTGATTCAAACTCCTTTGAACCCAGCAAAATTTTGTTCAAAGCTCAGTTTTATCTGTAGCACAGCATCAATGCTGCCTCACTAAATTCTCAGTCTCAGAAGTTAGGAAGACTTGAGACCTGAAGACTACTCAGAACAAATGTATATTGTTTTTCTGTTCAAACATGCCCAATCCTGAAGACCACAGATGTCTTCACTGTCTTTACCTGATGATTTAGGGGAAAATGTGTTGTTGTTTTCTATTAAAATACTGCATTTTTTACTTAATTTGGTTAATTTTAGTATTAAAACCATGGAAATGGTGAAAAACAAGTGGGATCATTTTGGCAGTAATTTTGAGACCCTGTCCATCTGGATAACTGAGAAAGAAAAAGAACTCAATGCCCTGGAAGCTTCGTCATCTGCCATGGACATGCAAATCAGCCAAATTAAGGTGACCTGCTCACACATTATGTTTATAATCTGTGCCTAGCTTTTAAGAACTCCTTTGTTGTATTTATTTCATCAAAATTATTTGATCCCAGGACAAACTTTTCATTGCTGTTTGATTCTGTTAAACTAAATTCACACAAAATACCAAGCTAAGAAATCGTGATCGATAACAGGGTAACACTTTATAGATGGAATTATGTATTAATATTGTCAAATTTATGCATTCAAGCCAATATTGTGTGTAATATCATTAAAATATTTTTATGGTTACATTATTCTTTTCCTTGATTTTGAATTAACCCACACGGAGATCTCTGTTGATTCATTTGTACAACATGAAATGTATTCATCATCAACAACTGTCCTTATAAGAACTATCTCAGTATGATTTATTTAGCTCTTTGGGAAAGATACCTAAAAGGGAAAATGAATACCTAAAAATGAAATTTTTAATTTTAGTTCTTTGAGAAACTTTCATGCTGATTTCCATAAAGGTTCTATTAGTTTACATTTCCACTAACAGTATATAAATGTTCCTTTTTCACTACAGCCAAGACAATATTTGTTATTCATTAACTTCTTGATGATTGCCATTCTTTCTAGTATGGAACCTTAATGTTGTTTTACTTTGCATTTCTTGGATGACCAATGATATTGAACATTTTTCATATATTTGTTGGCCATTTGTAAATCTCCTGAGAAGTGTATGCTCACTTCACTTGCATACTTCTTTACTGGGTCTTTTAAGTGGAGTTCAATGTTTAGTCTAGATATTAGTCTTTTGTCTGAGGAATAGCTGGCAAAAAAAATTTTCAATCTTTAGGTTGTCTCTTTACTAAGTGATTCTTTTGCTGGGCAGAAACTTAATTTGATATAATTCCACTTGGTGAATCTTATGTTTCCGGATCTGTTTAGAAAATCCTTTCTTAGTTCTCTTTCTGAGTTCATGTATTTTATCTATTTTATGTTCCAGTAGGTTCAATGGTTCTGTCTTAATGCTTAGATCTTTGATCCAGTTTGATTTATATTTAGTACAAGGTGAGAGATATGGGTCCAGCTTCAGTCTCCTGCAAACAGACCTTTCCCCAGCACCATTTCTTGAATTAGACTATCTTTCCTCCAACATGTGCCTCTAGCCTGTATTAAATATCAGATTGCTGAATGTGTCTGGGGATGTTTTTCTATCCTCATTTATTCTGTTGCTTCACATAATATCTCTCATTTGAGCAAGGCAAAGTACAGACAAAGAGCATAATAAATAAGGATAGAAGGAAACGCACAGATGGATCTCTTACAAAATCAGGAGGAGGAGATGGAGGGGAAGGGAGCAGGGGAAGAGGGAAATAAGTAGAATTAAGATGTGCCATGTACAGGAAATTAATAGCTTCAATGAACGTGGCATAAACATGGATTAAGAATAATAATAACACAAGTGAAATGGGGAAAGGGGAACTAGAGGCTGAGGGATGGAGGTGGGTGACAAGGGAAAGAGGATTTAAAAGAAACAATCTGTATTACGTACACATATCTACTCCCCAAGATGAATGTAAACTTTACGTGCTGCAAACATGCACTATAACAAAACAACAAAACAAAACCTATCCCAAATATCTATCTCTACTATCAGTGCTCTTTGCCCTCACCAACCACAAGGAAGAGCGTGGAAAGGTACTTTCTGTAGGAGAAGCCATCAGATCTGGTTGTTCTAAAGTGCATTTTTGACTCTTAGCCCTAGGTAGAGATGCTTCCAAGTTTCAGAACAACCACATATTTAGGTTAGTATTGCTCACTTCACTTAAAACAGTTTGAGAAAAATAGACTGAAGGAGTTGGGTTGAGACTCTTTATCTCATACAACTGCACATCACACATTATCAAAATTTGACCATTTCTTTTTAAATCTGAGCTTATTTTTCTTTTTGAAAAGGGAAACCCTTTGCCATTTCATCCTGTTAAATATAGTAAAATAAATGCCAAAACAGGAAACATTTCACACTGTGACTCAGAACAAGTTGCTGCCATGTGCCGAGTGGGAGGCTGCTATGTCGCCCAGCGGAGGTTGTGCAGTGTGCACCTCACACTTGCTCATCGAGCACCTTTGCAAACAACGACACACGGAGTGGGGCATACACAGCCTGCTCTGGCTTCTGTGGTGTCCTGCACAAAACACTCGTCAGAACATGGATGGCATTTATAAAGTATTTATCATCATTAAAATCATTTTGAGAAGTCGTCATCCCATAATTTTCACAAAATTCTAAAAGAAAGTAGCATATTCAAGTAGGGCTGCCTCAAAAGCTCTGCTTTGACAAATTAAACCTATCTTTTTTAACCGATCCTTTCTACAGTTCATTTGCTGTTATTTCAGGTTTTATTCTAGAACTTCTGAAATACATCACTGATCAAATGTCCTCTCGCTGTTTTTCTTTAAGAAAACATAAGCACATGTTTTATTTTTAAATATATAAATACTCAGTTGTGGATTTCCTTCCCCTCGTGTTACAAATATGTTTTAATATGTCTGAAATTTACATTTTGAAAATGATCTAAAATACATTAAATGAATATGAATATCAGAAAAAAGGTAACACTAGAAATATGTGAAGGTGAAGAGAAATACACCAGCCTATGAAATTTAGTCTAAGAGGCTCATGTTCTATTTCAAAAGAAGACTACATTATAAGAAAAATCAAATATATTAAAACAATGTATTACTCTGAAGATAAATTCCCTAAACCTTTTTCTGTTGATCATTACAGGCTATTCAAATAACATTCTTGTTCCTAATTAATATTGATAAATGATAAAACTATCTGCTGGATGATTTGCCACTTTCTTCGCTTAGATGAGATTTTTTTGATTTTTATTTTTTAGTAGTGCATGTTTGTAGTACCTGATGTTTACATTCCTTGTAAGAAGCTGGTACTTGCACATAATGCAGCTTCCTCCCTTTTCAATCTCCTGCCCCATTTCCTCTCTTTCTGCATCTCTTGATCTCTTTCCAATTGAGAAAGATCTATCTCCCTACTTCCTACCTTTTATTTTACCCTTTATTTATATCTTAGATTTCTTAGATAAAATTTTTTAACCAGAATCCCACAGTATGATTGTTTGGGTTGTGTTTCTGAATTTACTGATGACAAGTATTAATCTGAGAACTAAGAACTTCTAACTAATACTATCTCACTGATGTGTTCTAAGCATCTAACACTGTTGAATAGTAAACACTCAGTATACATTTGTTGAATTTGAGAGTGATTTTTCTAAGATAATTGTTTAGATAGAAAGAAGAAAGAGTTTACTTGGGCTCAAATAATAAACATTTATCAGATATACTACAGTACTCACACATTTGAAAAAAATAAGTCATGCCTACCTAACAATCTGATATAAATTATTTCTCATTGCCTCCTTTAGATGAAATATTTTATCACAATTTTTACTTTTCTTCCAGGGTAATAGTATTTTCCATGCAAATTTTTTGAAATTGAAACATAACTTGAATTTTTGACATTATTTTGAAGCATTATTTGCTTATTTGCTTCTTTTCCTCAGAGACATAATTTTTGTGTTCTTATACATAAATAAGCCCTATGTTTTCGAGAGACATACCCCTCCCACACATGGGGACACATGCTGATAGTTGTCACTTTTCATGATCAACTATATAAAAATGTCCTTTCTGCCTCAGCTAAAGTGATAGTATGTAAGCTTTTGTGTGTGCGTGTGTGTGTGTTTGTATAGTACACAGTTAATAAAGAAAGTGATCAGCAGACGTAACATCCTCGTGAATTTTTTAGAATTTAAAAGTTTGTGGTTTCACCTTAGACTTAGTATGCTGAGTCTTGAGGATGACAACCAGGTGTCCTAATGCTTTATCGTATGCTTAGAAACTATTGGCATAAAGAATAGATGATACTCTTGAAAAGATTGGCTTTCCTTAGGAGTACAATCCAAAAACCTTTCAAGTTTAATGAGATATTAAACACTCAACTACATTTTAGAAAAATTAAATGAATGTTAATATTATCTTTCCCCAAAATTCCTGGAACACATGGCTTTTCCAGATCTTTCCATTAAAATGCTTGATTGACAAGATAAGAAAATAATTCTGTATGTCTTCAGAGGTATTATAAAAAGTCTCAGAGATATTTTCTCTTTTATTTCATTGCAAACAAGAGTAGTTACTTCTCTTTATTCTCTACCCTACAAGTACCAGCAGTAGCAGTTTGTAAACTGCAGACACTGCCTATAACACCCTTCCCAAATGAAGTCAAGAAGCATGGGCGGTTTGCTCATAGCTGCCTTCCAGCCCCTCAAGTATGTTCAACTGTCAGCTAAGAAGTGTTCCTTTTCTCTCTCTGTCTCTCTTTCTCTCTTTGTAGATACTTGTATCATGTCTACCAGTCAACTTTTGTCAAAATACATTGTAACTTTTCTTGTTTTAAATATTAGGTCATAATTCAGGAAATAGAAAATAAGATCAGCAGCATCACTGGACTGGAAGAACAAGCTCAGTCTTTTGCTCAATTTATTACCACTGGAGAATCTGCTCGAATCAAAGCCAAGTTGACTCAAATAAGGAGATACTGGGAAGAACTCAGGGAGCATGCACAGTGCCTGGAAGGAACAATCCTTGGGCATTTATCTCAGCAGCAAAAGTTCGAAGAGAATCTTAGAAAGGTAAGAAGGGGACAGTGTGTGGTAAAGTTCTGTATTTTACATGTGTTTATAGATGCATGCAGTAAATACTCTATAAATAGTGCCATAAAAAAGGTAGATGAGAAACAAATTGTATCAAGTTCTCAATGAAAACAAAGCCATAATTATTAACGGCACCTGTTGGGGGACATAAAAATGTCATTATATGTTGTGTTCAGCTTAATGCTTAGTTTTACCTTCAAGTGGGACATATTGATTTCATATTTTTAAATACATTTTATCACCACACTGAAAGTTATCTGTTAAAAGTAGGCATGCTATTTGCTCAATAACATTTTTTGTTTTTATTATATTTCCCCACAATTTTTGTATGGCACCGTTTTTTTTTTTTTTTTTTTTTTAGATCCAGCAATCTGTGTCTGAATTTGAAGATAAACTTGCTGATCCAATTAAAATGTGTTCATCAGCTACAGAAACATATAAAGTTCTCCAAGAACATATGGTAAGAATATGCTTCAACATTTCTGCTTATTTATCCACTCAAAAAGTTGATAGCTCTTACTTGAAAAGAAATCAGAGTAAATATTTTTATGAGAGTTGAAATTGGAAAGACTTTTATGTTAGTTGAAGAAATAAATAAAGTGAATTCACTTCATGTCACACAAGGAATGTAAGCATGAAAATGTCCCAGTAAAAATCCAAAGCATACTTATTTAAAATATATTTCATACTTATTTAAAATATATTTCTCCTTTCACTAGAACATGTAATGTTTTCAGAATATAGCTTTAATAAACTCTTTAACTTCCTGCAGCATTATAAAATATAAATATACAAGAAAAAAATATTCAATACAAATTTCAGCTTTCAACCCACTACCTTCAAATATGCAGAGTATGCCCTCAGTACCTGTTTCCAATTCCAAGAGCTGACTTTTTTAATCTGGTTTTTGAACTGGTGATCATTATGAGTCTTTGACAAGACAACCAACAGGAAGCTTTGACAGAATTTTGGGGAAGGAGAAAATAGGGATAAACAAGCACAATAGAATAATGAAATATGTTAATAAAAATACATCTGTTATCCCTCTTACATGTGTGTGAAGAAATGTACATGTGTGCGGACAAAAGGGGCTGCTATCACTAATGCAAATGATCAACATATTGCACATTGGAGAAGGGAATGGAATTTGTATTGTTTGGATATTTATAATGAAAATGCAATTTTGTTATTTATGTCACTTTTACATACAAAAATGAAATGCTGAGAAGTAAAATTTGATGAAATTTATTTTAATGTACAACTAATTTTATAATATAATTTAGAGAGATAACATTCTATTTTTTAATATTTAATAGAATTTAGAGAAAATTTTTTCTAATATTTAGATTTCAGAATAAATATCTAGAAACAAGTATTTTATGTCTTGAGTTTTCTCAACTGTAAAATGGAAAATAATGAAAAACAAAATCTATTTGGTAGGGTCGGGTACTATCAGTGACATGCATCTGATGATTTTGTTTTTCAAAATTATGAAGTATTATAAATTAATATACATTAACCACACTCTGAAGTACCTTATTATTATCATGTGTTCTTGACAGCAGCTACTTTAGCCATTAATTTTTCCATAGAGTTTTGTAGAATTAATCCTTCAGTCATGTAGCTTTACTAAATTAAGAATAGAGTTTTAAAATATTCATACATTTTTCATAAGATAGACTTTTTTCAGAAATTACCTGAATTGTAATGAGAAAGTAGAAACTACTCAGAACTGCAACAGGACATTATTATTTGAGGAAAATCTCCCTTCTCCACATCTGTAAGACACTCTCTCTCCATTTTTCCCTCTGCCCTTCTGTAAATCATAGCAGAGAGATTTTGGTGCCATTGATGTTTATTGTGACTGAGGGAAAGTTCTTGTGACATCAAGTCTCAAAGGAAAACACAGGTCGCCATGCTCACTTGTGCGCTTCTATTGTAGGATGGTCTCCTTCATGTGTGGGTTGGCTGTCTGTATCTCAGTTACCTGTGATCAACTGCAGATCAAACACATTAAAAGGAAAATTCCAGAAATAAATTATTCATATTTTAAATACCTTTTATGATAGTACATTTTTAGAATTGTTCAGTTTTAGAATTAGTCATTGTTCCTAACTGAACCCCATCCAGATATGTATGCATAGGAAACCTGGCACTGGTAGGGTCGGCTACTATCTGTGACCTCATGCATCTGCAGAGTTTTGGAGCTTGTCTCAGAGAATGAAGGGCACTTCCCTGTTCCCTTCGGCCTCTCCTCAGGATCTCTGTCAGGCCCTGGAGTCTCTGAGCAGCACAGTCACCGCTCTTTCAGCCAGTTCCCGGAAGGTAGTGAGCAGAGATTCCTGCATCCAAGAGGCCACAGCTCTTCAGCAGCGGTACGAGGGGACGCTCCGACGGGTAAAAGACAGACAGACTCTGCTGGAGAACCTGCTGGCCCACTGGCAGAGGTGAGCAGTGCATTCTCCTGAGATACTGGCCCAACGAAATAGGAAATTCTGAGTAAAACACTCTTTAAGCAATGGTGAATGAATAATCATCCCAGATGTAAAGTGTGATCTTGTGCATCTACAACAGAGAGATCTTAACCTCCACTGTCAATGAAGATCCCTGAAAGTGGAAAAGTTGTAAATGTGACTTCACATGTTACATATGTAAGCATGTGTGAAAATGACGGAATTTTGTGCCTGTATGTCTAGGAATGACTAAACCAGAGGTGAATCTTTTGTATTGGCTCCTGTTGGACCCTCCAACAAGATGAAAGGTCTCATCTTTTAGTGTGATGACTTTGAATAAAATTGTTTCTCATCTCTGCTTTCTTTAGGCTAGAGAAAGAACTGTCATCCTTTTTGACGTGGTTGGAGCGGTGTGAAGCCATAACCAGTTCCCCAGAGGTGGACATTTCTGCAGACAGAGTGAAAGTGGAAAGTGAACTTCAGTTAATACAGGCAAGTTCGAGGAGTTGATTGGAAGGAAAATGAAAGGCTTTAGCAATGCTGTATTGTCTTTAAAATAAATAAAATGCACCTCAGCTCTCCATCCAAAACTTCTTGCTTTGGTTCTATAATCCTGAAAGAATCACTGAAGGTCCAAGTTTAAATCTTGAAATGACAGCAACCCTGACCTGAGAGACAAAGCAATGGTGAGAACTTTCTGATGACCTGGATTGATTATTGGCTTACCTTTAGAGCTCAAAATAGGTGTGATCTCCCCACTTTTATCTTCGAATGAATTTCTGGTAGTAAATAGGATTGGTTGATTGATTGATTACAGCGCTGGGGCTAAAACTCAGGCATCTAAACAAACACTCTACCACTGAGCCGCATTTCCAGCCAATTAGGAAGTATTTTTAGAAGGAAAAAAGTACCATGTAGAAAGAAATAAAAATGATGATCAATTTTATGCAAGATAAAAACTGAATGAGCACAAACATGAATGAAAGTAGGAAGACAAAAAGATTGCTAGATTGTTACATCTTTGAAGAAGCAAACTTTTTAAAATAAAACAATAATAACAACAAAAATTAGATATTCTTGAAGCTGTAATGCTGATTTCCAGAAATTAATAACTTGCTTAAAGTGATTCTACTCTGCAAGAAAATTGGAGAGGCAAAATTACTTCTTAAATAACATCAATAAATGTTACAGATTTATACTCCAACCATTTTCATCAACTTTTGTAACAGGTTTAATGAAAGCTGAAGTCTTTTTGTTTTTATAATTGCTTTTCTTAAAACTCCAGCAGACGGGTCTGCATCCTCATCTGTTTTCTCCCTCTTTGACCCTGACAGTGTCCACACCCTGTTGTCCTGCGTTTCTCATTTAAGCAGCGTGGATTCTGCATTCATCTTCCAATAAGCCCCCTCTCCAAAACCCATAGTGAGTGCTAAAATAGACACTGAGCTACATCTCTAGCTCTTTTTATTTTGGAACAGGCTCTTGCTAAGATGCCTAGGCGGACCTTAAACTTACGGCCCTTCTGCCTCAGCCACCCACTCCAGGAGCTGGGATTACAGATGTGCACCACCACTCCCGTTCAGTCCAGCTCTTCCTTTCTTAAAAACACAAAGTGGTGCAAGACAGGAAGTCACAAGTCTTTTCCTTAAAAGAGGCAAACACAGATCCAGTGTTACGTGTACTGTAAAACTTTCCTCCTCCATGTGTCTGCATGGAAGCTAAGTAGATAAGAGTGAGAGCACCCAGAGACGGCTACAGGACTTGATCTCTCCCCACATCCAACAGTGCATCATTGGCCAGACTGAGTCTTCACTGAGAGCTGGCTATGGCCTTTATCTTTTCACCTTCCCTGTCTCTTTCCTGTGTCCTACTCAGCTTTAGGGTCTTCCCTTTCATTGGCTTGGTACCACTACTTCTGATACTTTTAGAGATTTTTCTGTGTTGTACATTCCTCCTCACTAGAAAGGGAAAGAGAGCACTTGGACAAGCACCCATCTGCCATGTCACTCCTGTCATCTCACTTAACTCCGTCCTGTGTTGTTGCTATGTGTTTAAGTGTTTGTGTTTTATCTCATATTAGGTAGGAACCACACTTTTATGTGCCTTCACAGCACCTAAGAGACTCAGAGCTTAACTCAATTTAAAAACTAAGTATTTCTGTTGCACTTAAGTCAAATGAAGAGCTCTTAACTGTTTGGCCAAACAGTTTCTAAATCGAGAGGGTCACTGTTACTGGTGTCTAGAATTCCATCTTAGTTAATTTTAGATATACAATGATTCTAGTCCATAGTTATTCTTCTTCAATTCTCATCACCTATTCACTTTCTGTATCCTAAAAGAAACTCACGACCTCCAACTTTACCTAACTTACAACATCTACTACAGAAAACTCATTCATGTTTCCATAGCATTTTAAAAATTGCATTAAAAGTGAAGTGAACATGGATGAAAACATCCCAGTCAGTTGCTTGTGACTGTGAATGGCTTTGTTCTTTGCTTCTTGTGTTTTTCTTTTCTGTATTGTGCATATAAATTTTTTTCAAACTAAAGATTATTTTTAAAACTCCTGGAAGAAAGATCAAGTGAATTCACTTCTCAAACTCTCCTTGGGTCAGTTCCATTTTGCAAAAAGGTTCAGCCTGCAGAGTGGCCCCAACCGTTTCTGGCTGGCTGTTGAGCTGTATGGCTGAGGTCCGTGCTCTGTTCTGCTTCCCTCAGGCCCTGCAGAATGAAGCCATTTCCCAGTCCTCCTCGTACAGCAGGCTCTTACAGCTGAAGGAATCACTGTTCTCAATTGCTTCCAAAGACGATGTGAAAATGATCACTCTGCATTTGGAGCAGTTGGATGAGAGATGGAGGAATTTGCCACAGATAATTAGCAAAAGGTTGGTTCTAAAAAATCATCTAATATTATTCCTTTGTTTTCAAAAGAGTGATTATATAGATGAAGCAATAGTTTTATTTTTATTTAACTCAATTCTTTAGGGGATAACTACAAAGTGGGAACAAAACTGCCTTGTCATTTTTAAAATCAAGGTCCTCAAAAATCAGCATTGCCAATGATTCTCAACTCAAAACTTTAACTTCCACCTAGGGAAAATGATTAAAGAATTGAAGTGTTAAAGAGAATAGGATAGGGCCAGGGATTTAGCTTAGCGGCATATGCACCTGCCTGCAAGCTCAAGGTTGTGAGTTGGATCTCTAGTAACAAAAAAGAAAAAAAAAGCTGGGGATTTAGCGCAGTGGCATAGATGCCTGCCTCGCAAGCCTGAGGTCGTGAGTTCGAATCCCAGTACAAAAATAAAATTAAATAAATAAATAAACAAAGAAAATATGATTGATAATGTTTAGAGTATTTATCCTGAGCTGTTTGTGTATGGGAGAACAGTGGTAACTAAAATTTTTGCCTTACCTGATACTTACCAACCAGAAGCATTTTATAAACATCAGCTATTTAATTTAATGCCAACATAGATCGTGGAGGGAACAAGTGAAATCATCATTATTTTAAATGGAAGAGAAAATAGACTTAATCTTCATTAACTAGACAGTTAGCAGTTAGTAGCTAGCATTCATAGTTTTCTAATTAAAAACAAACACTGTTTTCTCTTTAAATTAGTATTGATTACTCTGTGATGTATGAGCATTTGACCTTCTTGTTTTAAACATGTATTCATTTTAAAAATATTTTTTGAGTTTATGAAATGAATAGAGCATTCTTTTTATTTAATTTTAAAGGTACTAAAATAGACCAATAAAACAAATTGGAACAGTGGTAAGACAGTAGGAAATCTCCAATAGTTACTACATTGCATATTGTTGTCCTTTAAATAGTCGCTTGGCCTTAGGTTTGCAAAATCAATCAAACAATACAGTTCCTCCAAATCAGTTGGTTGCTCCCCATGAGGCAGGGAGATGGAAGAATGGTGGGGTGGGGCTGTTCTCTCCCCTGGCTTTTCTCTCCCCAGGCTGGGCAGGGGAGTTTAGCTTTTTTCTTATTCTCCCCATCTGCACTCTAACTACAATAGAGCTTTCTTCAACGTGTCATGGATCGTGCTACTTTCATGGAGTTGGTATTTATTCCACTGTTTATTCCTACATTTATTCAACCAATCAACAAATGTTTGTTAGTACCAAGCAAATGAGAGGTGAGCACAGAGCAATATAGGAACAAAGTGAAAAAGGATATTTGAACAAGTCCAGGAAAGGGCACAATGGTTCAGTCAACCCTTGAATGATGAACAATTTTCTATAAGACAGAATTTTTTGTCTACCACCAAGAAGGAAAGTAAAGGACTTTCACAGTGGTGCAAATAATGAAGAGATTCAAAAATATAATACTTTCATGTACAAATAATGTGCATATATTATAAGGATTAAAATATGGAAGTCTATTTAGAAACTAAGACTCTCTAATATGTACAATTAAAGTGTGTTAATAAAAGTTAGAAATAAATAAAATAAAAGGGATTAAAAAGTTGAACTCTGAACAAAACCAGTATTAATATTTGGCTAACGTATTATTGTATACCAGTTTCTGATTCTGATCTCCAATCACCTATTACTAACCAAGTAATCTAGTGTTGATGGATTCTTGATCATAATGTGGAGTCTTTTCCAGGTACTGGAGACACAGATAAAAGTCTTGCTGGGGCATGGGCAGGAAGGGGATAGAGGAGTAGTTCTTGTGGATTGGGGGATGGGCAGGAAGGGGCTGGAGGAGGTGTAATTAAAGAGATGAGGAAGTAAGAGCCAATCAGTGGTGTTCAGTACTATGGATATGGGGGCATGTGTCAGGGGCAGCAGGACAAGGCTTCTTTAGCCTGTGCAGATGAGCAAGGCCTCTGTGAGTGCTGCACAGGAGCAGGCCCAGGGCACTATGGGACCAGCACACAGGAAGCAGAAGGACCCAGGCTCTCAGAAGGAGCTGTACACCCACAGAGAGGGAGGGCCAGTGGGAGTGTGGCGCAGAGCTGTCAGAGGAGATAAAAGAAGTAGATATGGGATCCCTTGGAGACCATGATCACATTGGGGGTTTTGCTTTCCTGAGTGCAGTAGGAAACTGCAGAGCCGAAGCAGGACAGGGAATGGAATGGCCTGATCCCACCATACCTTTTTTGGATATGCTTTGGAGTAGATGGTAAGGAGGTAAAGGCAGCAGGCAGGAAGCCAGCTTAGGAGCGATTAGAGGCCAAGCAAGAGGTGATGGGGGGGGGGGATGAGAAGGGAACCTGTCTTAGTTACTTTTTCATCCCTGAGACACATTACTTGACACTCACACCTTAAAGGAAGAGAGAGTTTCAGAGGATTTGGTCTATAAATCAGGACAGGCAGGTGCAAGGCTCTGGAGAAGGAAAGCTGCTCACGTCGTGGTGATGAGGAAACAGAACACAAGAAAGGTGTCAGGGCAGGACACATATGATGCACCCTTCCAAGTCACACCCTCATACCCACCCCTACCAACCCACTGCCAGCAGTGATCCAGCTATGAACTCACAAGTAGACGAATCTACAGTGACTGTGACACTCCCAAGAGCAATCACCCTCCAAAAGCCCCAGCTCTAAACATGAGACTTTTGGAAGATATTACAGACCTAGACTGCAACACAGACACTATGTCCACAGCAGAGGTGCTAAGGGAGGGAAATGCAGAGCTGGGATGTGGGGCTGAAGGAACAGACTGAGAAAGATGGTTAGGATATGTGCTGTTCATGTTAACTCAGACAGGAAGATCATGAGAAAAACAGGTCTTCAGAAGCAGGAACTATCAAGAGGAACTATCAGAGCTTGCTAGTGTATATTACAACATCACTTTACCCCTGGAAGAAGCTTAAGTCCCAAAATGTATCTCTAACCCTCTGGGGCATTTTAACTTTAGCGCCTTTCTGCACATAGGATTAATTTTCTCCAGTCTGTGGTTGCTGAGCACCAGCAGTTTGATGAGCTGCTCCTCTCCTTTTCCACGTGGATTAAGCAGTTTCTCAGTGAATTACAAATGACATCCGAGATCAGCATAATGGACCATCAAGTGGCTCTCTCTCAGCACAAGGTGAAGTACATGCTTTAAGGATTACAGAAACTTTTATTTGTAATAGGGGGCTCATAAATTACAAAGGGATTTGACATTTTTAAAAAATACTTGGCAGTAATTTAACTTTTTATTCACATGAAAATATTTTAATAATTGAGCACCTGGGTCTTGACAATGTATTTTACAGATAAACTAAGCAGATAAAACGACTCTAGATAAAATACGTTAATTGTATTTAAAAATTGTTTTTTCACAGTAAAGCAAATGATTTCTACCATAAAATGAAAAGAAGGTACATTTTTTAAATTTCCAACTTCTTTTGTTCTGATACTGAAAATTAATATGCAGTTCTATTGGTTTATCTGAAGTATTATTTAGTTTGAAAGTGCTATAAAGTTTATGACTTATTTCCCTTATTAATAAATTAATTACTGAATTATGCATAATATCTATCCTGGTACCAAGAAACACTTAAGAAATCACATAACCATCAGTAAGCATTGAGAGAGTGGATTATAATAACACTTAATAATAAAGCATTTAGTATTTATTCAGTGTCTAGTCCATGCTAGGTTTGCTAATTAAATTTATGAAGCAAAAAATAAACTTTCTTCTATCTTCAGAACAGAAGATAGTTTCCCATGCTCCTTGGAGAGTAGGAGCCTAACTTGGGCAATTGGTTGCCTTCCCAAATTTAGGTTCCTACCGTCCAAAGAACAGGGAAAGTGAGGTGCTGTCTTCCAAGAGAATTGTATTTCAAAGGGGTGGCACCCAGGTCCTTGAGTAAGAAATTCTGACTGGGTTGCAAAATTGACCAGAAGCTTTAAAAAAGATACACTTCTTAAGAGGGCAGAGAATTACTTTATAAGTTTTCTAGAGTAAAAGCTCAAAATCAGAGGAAGTAAGGGCCCCAAAGAAGCTAACTAAAACTTAATAATAGTTCAACTGAGGTCATCTGTGTGGCAATTGTGGTTAAAATTAAGAGTGATAATAATGTTTCTTTAACGGGAACCATGTTGAGATTGTTAGTAATTTTCAGCTAGATTTTAAAAGTGATTTATTGTGAGCTAGTCACATTTCTTTATTGTTGCTTGTTTTTTCTTCTTCTTCTTTTTTTTTTTTTTTTTTTTTTTTTTTTTTTTTTTTTTTTTTTTTTTTTGTTGAGACAGGGTGTAGTTAGAGAGTCTGTGATAGCCTTAAACTCATTCTGCAGCCCAGGCTGGCCTTAAATTCAAGATCCTTCTCCCTCAGTCTCCTGACTGCTAGGGTTATGGGCCACGTTAGGCATAGTCATATGTTTTGCATAGCTATCTCACATAAAACAGTCCAATATGAGACTAAACAATCCAGGATTGTGTTTTAAATGGAATACACAGACCAGCAAAATAAGAACTGTTATGAATATTTCTAAAAAGTTCACTGTGAATGACTTTTGATACTAGATGGCTCATGGCACATAAAATACAACTCTACAATAAATAAAAATAGCAGGATATATTATAGTAACCCACTTTGACTTTCCATTATCTGGATTTAAAGCCCTGTATTACTCTCACCATCTTGTTTTTGACTGATGTCCCCCTATTCTGTTTGGCTGGATAGTACCAGGTTCGAAAGTTTAGGCAACAGCTGTGAAGATAGTGAGATTCATTATGACGCCCATTCTCGATGACTTTTATCTACTTTTGAAGACCTACAATGTCTCTAATGTTTTGGTTTTGTCGGTTTTGTTCTTTACTGTTTTGTTCAATTTTATTATAACTGATGATATAGGCAATTCTATTAGAGATAGCAGGAGGCATTATGCTAACCATTGTTGATCACCTTGTATTATGTTTTTACATTATCTATTATGTCCACCCTTTTGATTTGACCGACTCTGCTCTGTTATGTCACATTTGGTTTTACTCTCTTCCGAAAAAGTAACAAGAACCGTGGGAGCAATAAAACCCAAAATGTGTAATAATCATTGTACAAAGAGAGGAAAAGAAAGTGCTCTAAATGATATAACTGCATGTATATTTAAGTGTATAAGATAAAAAATGATATCACTGAGTTTTATTGGATCATTGAACAGAACTGTTTGCAGTATCATTGTTGGAATGTCCACTTTACAAGCTTTAATTTTGTGACTTGAACAATTATCTCTAAGATGACAATATGTAATCCATTAACTAGTGATTTATTTTTTTCTGTAAATCTGTATAACTTGCACCCTTTCTCTGCTTTTTTTTTTTTTCTCCTTAAATAAAATTTTTAAAAAATACAACTCTACATCACACAGCCTACGGCTCTGTCACCAGCTGTAGTGCACCTGGGAATCAGTGACTCTGTCTTTCTTTTCAGGACCATGCAGCAGAAATAGTGAACAAAAAGAGAGAATTGCAGAGTCTGCAGGGGCACTTGGCAAAGCTGGGGTCTCTGGGTCGACCTGAAGACCTCCACCTCCTCCAGGGCAAGGCAGAGGACTGTTTCCAGCTCTTGGAGGAGGCCACACAGGTGGTGGAGAGGCGGCAGCTCGCCTTGTCCCAGCTGACTGAATTCGTACAGCGCCAGGCCTCTTTGTCTGGAGCACTCCACCAGCTGAAGCAAGCAGTGGAAACCACGAGTAGCATGACTAAGAAGCAGTCGGACTTGCTAGAAAAGGACCTGAATGACGCCATTCAGGATGTGAAGACGCTAGAATCCACTGCCATAGGTCTCGATGGCCTCCTCACCAAAGCCCAGTACCACTTGAGAAGCAGGCGGGCTGAGCACAGGACGTCCTGCAGAGCTGTGGCCGATCAGCTCTCTTTAGAACTTGAGAGGATCCAGAGCCTTCTGGGAAGCAAGCAGAGTGAGGCAGATGCCCTGGCCTTGCTGAAGAAAGCATTCCAGGAGCAGAGAGAGGGGCTGCTGAGGCGCATCGAGGACATCGAGGAAAGGGCTGACAAAGAGGGGCTGAAGGAACCCACCCGCCAGGCGCTTCAGCAGAGGTACCCGAAACCAGTTTTCAGTTAACTTTGGTGCAAAGCTTTAAGAGTGCGATAGGTAGCAACTTCTGTTTTTTTAAGTATTCAAAGATAAAGTGAGTGATTAATTTAACACCACTGAGAAGTACTATGCATTCTTTGGCTTCCTTGGGGGATTTTCTGAGATCCACAGAAAGACTACACAGATCACACCTTCTGTTTGTGAACAGTCGTTTTCTGACAGCAGAAGATACTGGTATTCTGCAGCAAGCACAAAGGCAGAGGCCTTGTTAGGTGGCAGCTCTGGTGTTAAAATACCAAGGAGCTCCTGCCTCACCTTGGTAACAGCGGGAGCATGCACACTGGCTGAGAGTCAGGGGCAGACATCAGAGGAAAGAAAATTATCTGAATGGTTCTGTCTCTTAGAGTGAAGCTTCGAAAGGTGATGAGTAGCCATCTGAGACCTATTTTCATTCATTTAAATTGAAGCCAGTGGACTCGCACAGGGGTTTCCAGAGCATAGAGACAGAGGAGATACCTAAAAGCGAGTTGAAGTACGTCAGCTGAGTTCAATTGAAATGAGAAAGTGTGAAAAGTCAGTTTCCTTGGTAATTTTATTTTTTCCAGCAGTAGGGATTGAATCTACGGTCTTCTCATGCATTACATCCCCAGTCCTGTGTTTTGAGACAAGGCCTCACTAAGTAGCTAAGCCCAAACTCGGCTTGAGCATGTTATCCTCTCATTTATGCCACCTCTCGATTGCTGTGATTATAGGCGCAGGTATGCACCACCATGCTTGGCCCCCCGTGGCAAATTTGTCAAGCAATTTTCCCCCTCACACAACAGGCTTCCTTTTAGTCCTCTTTCTCCCTGTTAACCTTGTTCCCATCTCGTGGCACAGAGATACCGTTTAAATGCCTTCATACCCATCTCTACTTGATACAAATGTTCTTGACCCTACTCAGACCATTGTCACATGCCCCCTTTTAGCCAGATTCAACCATGAAACCAAAGTATTAGTAAGGTGGCAATGGTGTTAATATTGGGCTAGAGACTTAGCTCATAAGGTTGCACTTCTTACAAGTTGGAAGCTTTCTGACTAGTTTAACAAGATTCCCAAAACAGAGTGAGGCTACAGAGTGGGGAGATAGCGAGCTACCTTAACTCACTTAGAAGTCTGTAGCAGCTTTGGTGCTTTGGCATGGTGTAGCCCTTCCTAACTGGCTCAGAACAAGCAAAATGGGACACTCGAAAACTGCCAGCAAAGAGGCCTAGGCTGGGCTCCACGCACCAAAGGTGCATGCTGGCCGAGCAAATGTTTCAGTGAATTGATGAGTTTATTAAGGCCCTGCCATCCTAGTCACCATTCTTCTTATCTTATAAGATGAGACAAGAGCAACACCTGCCCACAGCTACTTTATTTGGGAATAAAATGGGATAATATACACATCACTACCATATACTCTACGGCACCACCTCAAAACACAAGACATCAGTGGTTACCTGCAAAAAGAATAACTTTTTTTTTTTTTTTGGCAGATACTCAAATATCCATAGATTAAGGATAAAAAGCAGTTTTCTCATTGTAATATTTTCCATAACATAGATAATTAAAAGTTTTAAAATAGACTTTTTAAAAAGCTCAGTAAAGCTATTTCTATCTTGAAAGAAATAACTGTGATCTTTAAGTATGATCATTACATGGGCTGGAATCTCATGACAGTAGCTTTTCGTACTAAAGATCGTGCAATAAGGATTCATCTACTCGGCTTTCAAGGTTAGTCTTAGTCTTAAAAGTCTTACTCCATCAAAGCAAAGGGGAAAGAGAACATAAGCTTAACAGAAGGTTCAGAGTGAGTAGTAAGGATGTTAGTGCTTTCTGAGGTATAGCCTAAATCATCCTGCAAAGTGAAAGTGCCTTTATCAATCGATACACACTAACTGCTGCACTAAAAGTTTGCTAGCCATTTAAATTTGTGTTTCCTATACTTATGCTATTACAGGAAAAGGAAATATTATTTACTTCCTTTAGTAAATTAACAGTAAGGTGGCATTTTAATTCACAGATTGAGAGTCTTTAATCAGCTAGAAGATGAACTGAATTCTCATGAACACGAACTATGCTGGTTGAAAGACAAGGCTAAGCAAATTGCCCAGAAGGATGTGGCTTTCGCTCCTGAAGTTGACAAGGTGATAAATCGCTTGGAAGTCACCTGGAATGATACCAAAAGACTAATTCATGAAAAGTAAGTCAGAAATGCCCTACTTTTGTTTGTAACTTCCTATTAATTTTGTCACATTAGGCCGTTGGGTGCAAAATATGATTGAAAACATCATTTTTGTTATGTACAAATTTTTTGAAACAAAATCAAGTAGAAATTACATACTATTGACTATTAATATACTCAAACCTTATACCATATTGTTGTTCTACATTGTGACTTCTTAGAGGTTGTGGTGTTCAATTTCAAAAAATATATAAATTTATTTAATCACTGATCTATTTTTTAATATTTAGACTATTTCCATATTTTCTTTATTATAAATGATAGTGTGTAAATGCTATAATTCTTCCTAAATGTTAGTGCACACAGATCTGTTTCTAGGAAAAAACATAATTATAAGTCAAACTGCTTGCTCAAATGTACTTCATTTCTATAGACAAAATCTACTTACTTTGATCATTTTCAGCAGATTCGTGATCAGTGAAAATTTGTTATACTGCTATGAAAGAGAAAAGCCACATATGTATTTTATCTATCGAACTACATTTTTGTTTGTCTCTTCTTTGTTTTGTTGTTTTTATTTCTTGTCCTTAACATATGCCATTATGAAATGATTGAAACAGCATAAAAAACATTTAAAACAACAAAACATTTGGATGATTCATCTGAGTTTGAGCTGTCAGGAATAGGTACTGCTTCTTTTTTGTCACTGAGTTTACAGATTTTGTTTTAACACCTGAGAATGTGTTCATAAAATATATTTTGGGCATTTGTATTAAGTGCATTTACCAGCAACATTGTTTTGACCAAGGTAGAGAGAAGCATGGTTTTCTAGTGGTTCTACGATCCAACTCTGAACACATTCATATAATGGTGCATCAGATCCAGTCATAAGGAAAGAAAGCTTTCTCTTCCTTACACATGACAGTAAATGACATGCTTTCCTTTACTCATTACAGCCAAGGCCAATGCTGTGGACTTATTGATTTAACGAGAGAGTATCAGAACTTGAAGTCAACTGTCTCTAAAGTCCTAGAAAATGCCAGCAGTGTCATTGTAATCAAAACTACTGTAAAAGATCGGGAGGATCTTAAGTGGGCTCTTTCCAAGGTAAAATTCAATGTGCATTTGTTTTAGTAGACTAGTATGTGTGTTTTCACTCACTGAGTAATTCTCTGCGTAGACATACTTGTCAATACATTTAGATGTGAGCAATTCCTGCTAATAGCTTAAATTTTTTTCTAGAAATTTTGATACTATAGGATTTTAGTAATTCCAATAATTGTATATATATATATATTACATATTCATTGAAATATGTATTACAGTTAATTGTCATTAATTTCTGCATAAAGTCAACTATTAATTAAATTTCCTAATGGAAGATGGTTTTAAACTTTTGACTTAGCACTGATTGTCTTAGTGATTAAAGAAATATTTATGTCCACAGCTTGAAACTGCCAAGAATGAAATGAACTGCAAGCAGAAGGAGCTGGACAGTTTTACCAGTAAAGGCAAACACTTGTTAGCAGAGCTGAAAAAGATCCACAGTAGTGACTTCACCTTGGTGAAGACAGACATGGAGAGCACCGTGGACAAGTGGCTGGATGTGAGAGCGCCCTCCAGACAGTGCCCTGGGATGGCTTTAAACAGTCAATTCCTCAGCCGGACATTAGGGCAGAGGGTTATTCAGGGGTGTAAATTCCACTCTGAATGCTCAGTGCTAATTGCAAAGTGATATGCAGTAAAATTAATGTTTACATAAAGTTAGAAACAGAAAAACGGATTACTTGCATTATTTTGTCAAAACTTGTTGGTTGATTTCTGGATTTACATTTGGTTGCTTCAGTCCTAACAAATCACAACTCCAAATGTTTTTCTTCTCAAAACTCTAGAATTATGGGTAAAAGAGAAAAATTGATAGACATCTCACAGGGTATCAAAATGTAATATGCATTTAAATTTAAAATAATAAGGCTGTAGTTTTGTGCTGAAAAACATTGGGTTTATTTATGTTCTTATGTTTTAATTCTTGGTCACTTAGTATGTGATCATAAAACAAGTCATTTTGTCTTCCTAGAAATCAACACATCTACTCATAAATATTTGTACATTACCTTTCAGCTCAAAACTCCAGTGATTCTGTCCAGCGATTTTTCAATGCTTACGTTCAGAATTTTAACTTAAGATGGGTACCCTAACTCAATAAGGTTTAGTAAGCTCAATTTACTAAGTTAGTCGTGATATTTTTACAATACATTCATATAATTTGGGGGCCTCAAAGATATTATATGCCTCTTAAAAGCAATTATAGAAGAAGTAGTAAGCAATAATAATTTAAATAAGCATAGTGTGTTGCTTTTTACGTATTTACTTGTATTACAAATATGCCCTCAGAGCCAGGGATTTAGCCCAGTGGCATAATCACCTGCCTGGCAAGTGCTAGATCATGAGTTCAATCCCCAGTACCAAAGAAAGAAAGAAAGAAAGAAAGCCCTCATCTAATTAATGGTTATTCTTAAACCTCAGCATTGCAAATAAAAGGACTTATGTTGTACTTTGAAAAATAAATACTATACTACCTTAGATGGACCTCAGTCCTGCAGAATTCAACCTTATAATGAGTTATATTTTATATACTATTTTTGTCACTAGAATCCCATGTACAGATGAAAATCTAAAGTTGCAGGAATTTAAGCCACTGTGTATTTGTTAACATTTACTTGAATTGGGAGCATTAATAAACTCTCAATAATTTTATACACTGTCATTCAAATCTAATTTTCTAATCAAAATAGCATTGGTGGGGGAATGAACTCTTCAAGCTGCATACTTCAGTGGCATAACTTCTGTTTTCTATCCTAGGTATCAGAGAAAATTGAAGAAAACATGGAAAAGCTGAAGATTAGCCTGTCAATTTGGGAGGATGTACTTTCAAGTAAAGATGAAATCGATGGATGGTCAAACAGCTCCCTTCCACAGCTGGCTGAGAACATCAGCAACCTGAACGACAGCCTCAGGACTGAAGAATTCCTTAAAGAATTTGAGGTAACTGACGATGCCTGCATCGTTGTCATGCTCCAGAATATGAAAAACAACTGTGTCTCTTTCCAAGTCCATCTTCTTTTCAAAGACACACAGGGGTATTCAAAAACTCTAAACCATCGTCTGCTATTTATTCAAACTTGGAATAGGCTCTGGTTAAGTGCTTCTTGCTTTTTTATTGTGTCTTAGTGGAAGGTTTTACTTGGTTTTCGTAGAAAAATAAGAGGGCACGAAATGCATACTTTTGCCCATTTTATGAGAATGTGGCACTGTGCAATTTGAAAATCAAGTTAGAAGTGTTTTTAATTTAATAATATTTGATACTTATTTTTCTCTATTCAAAAAACTACCAAATATTTAAAATATACTGTTATGTTTTGGTACTAGGTTCTTCTACTTCCTTGTCAGAAATGAAAGACACTTGGAGATTGTTTTGTCACAGGTTTCCAAGAAAAGTTTCTGATCTCCTATAGCTTGAGTCATAAAATACCTGTTATGTTCATTTATTGCATTCATTTATTTATTCATTTATTCATCACATTCTTGATGAATTCCTACATCGTATCAGCACTGAACATTTAGACACTGAACAATGAAACAAACAACATCTCTACCTTTATGAAATTCATAAGGTTTATATCACTATATACATTGTATGTAAAGAGTCAAGTGATAACTGGTTTTTGCTGGAAAATTAAGCAGGGTAAGAGGAAGTGGAGTGAGGACACAGATGTGTTTCACAAAGCCTTGCTGAGAGCAGAGATGATTCACACTGTATCCTCTGATGCCCGACACTGTACGCGGCACACACAACTTGACTGGTGAAGGAATAAATGACTCATCTGAAAACAAGTAAATGAACTACATCTAAATATCTAAGTATCTAAATACATCTAAGTATCTGGTGGTTTTTGACCCATATAACATTCAAGAGATTTTATAACCTAATTCCGGTTTCTAAGGGCAATCAGAACAAAAGAAAATGATCCCGACAGTAAAAATGACAGGTACTTTAGTTGTTATTGTTGCCTTTAGTTCTTATTGTTGATATCGTTGCTTCTTACTGTCACTGTAACCAGCCCAGTTCTTAGTGGCCTGCCCTGGGTCATGTTTATACCCACTCACACATGGTTACAGTTTCAGAAGTACTGTAAGCAAATGGTAGTACTGTCATTCATTATTATAAGTTAAATCATAAATAAATAACAAGATAGTTTTGCTTGGCGGGTGGAGCACCCAAGGTTCCATAAATAAATCAAAACAAATATATCAAATCCTCCAAATGTATCATTCCTAATTATTACTCAACACGGTACTGTCACGCAGACCCCAGAGTTACTGCCATCTTTAATGTCTGCACCGGAGACGCTGTAGAATGGTGTGCCATTGTGTGCCTTCAGCCCCATGTGCAGCGACATGATGCCACCGCCGAAAGTGCAGTAAAAGCTGCCGCAGGTTTTAGGGAAGAGACACAATTGTTAAACCAGCCTGCGACTGCTGACCTCAGAAATCTAGGAAGTCAGGATCCCTCAGCCCCACTTTCAATGTGACCAGGTTCAGTCCCCCTCTCTCTGGTGGGTCTTTTGGTTACTGACTTTGTGATGCACCTGATAAAGTCAGTGCCCTGTGCCTGGCACCATCACCTCCCACTGCCAAGCAGAGCTGCCTGGGTGTGGCTCAGGAGGTAAGGCCTGGCAGTTCCGCATCTTGGTGTGTCAAGTAAATTGCTTTCTGAATTCAAGGCATCAGGAAATTTGTTTGTATCTACAAAGCCCCAAAATACTATTTTTAAATTAAGACAATTTATTTCATGTTTCTTTGTGAATTCAAGTAACTGATGAAATTTATATGCACTGATGTTCAGTAATATTTAAGTGGAATCATCTGATTTTAATGAAACAGACTCTCTTTTGAGGACATCCTTTGTGTGTTAAAAAAAATGATAAAATACTAGTCATGCCTCAATTTCTCAGTTATTTTGGTTTGTTTTTGAATTGCCTATAAACTTTTCTTTGAGTTGATTCTTGTGTAGTACATATTGTCTGCAGTTTTGGGGCTCCCCTAATGTGTATTTGTTTTGAAATGCTTTGAAGTGAATTCAGTACTGCCGTGGGAACTGGTCATAGCATTGCTAATGAATAAATGACAGCCTACTGGAAATCCCCACTGACTCCAGGCTTTTGGTTGGTGTTTAATTTTTTCCACGATCTTTTTTCTAATAAAAGAGGGTGGGTGGGTGGGGCGAAAGTAAGTTCCACATACTTTCTCACATTTCAAGTGAATGCTAAATGTAATATTTTCCACATTCATAAAGAATGACATCCCTCATAAAAAGAAACGGATGCTTTTATACACTGGCTCAAACTCTGTACCTTGACAATTAGCTCTTAAAATTATGAAATGCCAAGCATGTCAGTGTTTCTGAGTAGTGATGCATTTCCCCTTTTATTTTGTTAGTCTGAAGTTAAAAACAAAGCATTGAAATTGGAAGAACTGCATTCCAAAATTAATGATCTTAAAGAATTAACTAAAAATCCAGAAACACCACCAGACCTTCAGGTAAGACATCAGTTTTGTAATTAATAACATACAGTGGTACCTACATTGTTGTCATCATCCTAATACCAACAAAACATATTGTCTTTATCACAGCTAAATATTAACATCTATAAAATTTCTTACACCAGTACTAATAGCATTTTTCCAATCCAAATATTACAATAAGAATAGTTACTATTTCCTTACTAAGTTTTGAGAGCTTTATCAGCTTATCTCATGGACGCTTTTATGTCCAGACAGAAACAGAAATCTTGTTTCAGTGATGTTCTTATTGATATTTCCCTGATTCATTCACTCGGTATATGGGTTGGGAGGGATCACCACTGAAAATTTTCCCTTCCCACACATGAGATGGCACAAATTCCCAGGACAGCTGAGGCAGGACAGAGAAGCAGGGCTGGCTCAGAGACCTGGGCTGCTGCAGCACCAGAGTCCTCAAAGAACCCTGTGTGGTCAGTCTCCTTTGGCTGCCAGCCCCTTGGCTCCTGGCTGAGGACTCTGATGTATTATTTGACCTTTTATTTGCTACTCCTTTGTGGATTTTCTTCACATTGTCTTTCTTCTTATTTCATCTTTATTTTTGACTTGCTGTTTCCTGTTAACCACCCAAACCAGCCTGCAACCGTGCTTTCACTCTGACCTGAGTCTGGGCACTCCTCACTGCACACCACTGGTGGGCAACACAGATGTGCAGGAATGTTGCAAGTTCCACCTGGAACAAAGAGCAAAGCAGGTGCTATTCATATGCAGAACTAAAAATGAGGAGTGGACACACACACACACACACACACACACACACACACAGAGTACATGTCAAGGAAAAGATGTGGTGATTCAACTTACCTCAGGTTGAGGCAGAAGGGTTTAGTGGCAGAGTTATCTAGAAAACATGGCCTGCGTCTCCTGCAATTGACAGACACCAGAGTCTACTTTCTTACCTTCTGCCAGACCAGTTGGCTAAAACTCCTGGGTTTGCCAAAGGAACATGATGATTGGGTATGAGCTGCCTTTCAGAGTTAATTGTGGGGTGAGCGCCAGAGCATGGCTGCCAGCCCAGAAGTGAGTCATGAGAGGAGAGGAAAGGAGGAGACCACCATGGGAGGACGTCTAGGCTATGAAGAAAGACGTCTGGGTGAGCAGATCTCAGCAGTAAGTACTTGAAGAAATACCTCCGGGCTGAGGAAGCAGGAAGAACAGAGGCAAAAGGGTACAGAAGCTCATATAGCAGAGTCAGTGGGAGGTCCCATGTGAGGGGAGTCTCAGACAAACCCAGAGACCTAGGCCTAGCAGAGGAGTAGACATAAAACTCAGGTGCCACCTCACAGCATTTGGCACACAACTCGGAGCTTCTTCCCCACCTGATGCCAGTGAAAAGCTTTGGGACAGAAAGCTGTACAAGGCGGAGAAGCAGTGGTAAAATTAGGCAAGAGAAGAGGAAGACCTTGACCTCCTTCTCCACAGCGGGCTTCCTGCCTGCAGCAGGTCTGAACTGGAACTAAAGAAAACCCTTAACCTAAGTTCAAGTCTTTCATTGCCTAATATACCTGAATCTTTGAATTACAGAATTGAAAGTGTTTTGCAGTTTATAGTAACTATAAATCCTTTTATTACCTAAGGGGCTGAAGAAGTCACCTCTTCTGAAATGTCAGCCCATAAATAGAAAGCATCAAGCCACAATGAATATTTCATACAAGAATAAAATTGCTTTATCATGAAGTCCTAGTGGTGTTTATCACAAGAAGAGGTTACTTCTGGGCTGAGAGTGTGTTAGTGTTCCTTAGGAGACTGAAGAATAGTTTTGGTCACCTCCTGTCCTCAGGAGCTTCATGTAGATCTAGTTATGATTTTAAATATGATTTCATGTATTCCCTAAAGCCTCAATCCAAACCACCCCTTAACATCCAGTGTTAGCTGCAAACCCTGCTCTCTACTTTTCTGTCATTCGATATGGTTGGCAATTTGTACTACTGGTTTTTCTTCTCGGAAAAAGACATATTAGCACTGCATCAGCTTCTATGGTAAGGGTTATGTTTTCTCAACAAAGTTGCACATAAACAGAATTCTTACTGAATGAGTGTTCTTTTGGTCTCCACAAACTTTAATAAAATCATGCCCTATATTTAGTTTATAGAAGCAGATTTAAGACAGAAACTGGAGCATGCCAAAGAAGTAACTGAAGAAGCAAAAGGAACCTTGAAGGACTTTACTGCTCAAAGCATAAATGTAGAGAAATTCATCAATGACAGAACGGAGTGGCTGATGAAAGTGGAAGAGTCCCTGATGAGCTGTGCCCAAGCCAAGACTTGTAAAGGACTAAAGAAAGTAAAGGTAGGTGCTGGGCTGTCATAAGTGCTTCTGCATGAATGGTGCTAGTGGTTCTCCTGACTGTGACAGCCATAAGGAGAAGCCTAAGCAGCCATAAGCAACCTATTTTCAATTTCCTGTATTGACCACTAGACCAACTAACTTATTATTATTTATTTGCTGGACATAGCAAAGTAAGTGACAGGTGAGGAACTGGGCACAAGTGTTAAAAGATGGAAGATAATCTAAAAACAGAAATCATGCATTTGTGATGCCTTCTCGAAGGCTGTCCTTATTTATGCATACATATACATGTACATAGATGTACACATATACATCTATGTACACCTATGTACATAGATGTACATATATGTGTACATAGATATGTATGCATACTGGTAAAAAAGGTGTACTCATAGAAAAATTAATTTGCTTCCATCAATAACTTTCATCAGTATTCAAGCTTGAATGCAGGTAGATTTTTTGATAATTTTTATGTCAATCTGACTGCTATCTTCTCAAAAATGCTATAATTTGGGGGAGAAGTACAGGAAACTTTCCACTTCCACATTCCCTTGACTGTATTTATTGATAACGTTCCTGGCAATGTATATAAAAGATGTATAGTGAGTTAACTTTTAAACATATGTACATAGTCTATTTGTCTTTCTATTTCTTACTGTTCTAAAGACTAAGGACATTGTTTTTAAAAATGTGGTGTTGGTGTGGCCTGTGACCTTAATCAAAACTCCAATGACATGTTCAAGAGTATAGTATTTCTTCTAAGTGACCAACACCAAGACCTTGGAGTTGGACAGAAGTTCATATGGAACTATTCAACTTGCCTGAAATCTTAGACTGAATCTAAATTCTAGCCGCTTCCATACAGCTGCTGTTTCCAAGGAGAACCAGGAAGACTCTCCGAAGAACCAATACAGACCCATTGCAAATGTTAAAAAAGAAAGAAAGAAAAAAACCACCTATATGTATATCCTCCTGTATGGATTTCACCAGCATCGCATTCAGATTGAAAAGATTGTTATGGTAGAATTATTGCCTTGCTTCTTTTGAGTCTCTTTCTAATGAAAACCCTTACGGTATACTTCTATTCTGTAGGATATAGAAAAAGAGCTTCAAAGTCAGCAAAGCAACATCAGTTCTACTCAAGAGAATCTCAACAGTTTGTGTCGCAAGTACCACTCGGCAGAGCTGGAGAGCCTGGGCCGGGCAATGACAGGCCTGATAAAGAAGCATGAAGCTGTGAGCCAGCTGTGTTTCAAAACTCAGGCCAGCCTGCAGGAGTCTCTGGAAAAACATTTCAATGGTGAGGGCTGACGGACCTTAGCATGAGTAATTGTTTATTAGAACAAGTCCAAACTAAATGCTGCCTAGAAACTGCCAGGAAAAGTTGGAGGAAATTTGACAGAAGGATATCATTTTAAATTCATTTCTGCATTAAGATTTGAGAAACAAAAATACTGTGCTGGAGACTTTTACCCTACACAGAATTCTTTTCCTTTCTCCACAAAAAGGCAGTGTACCCCATTTTGACTATTCTGAATTTCATTTGGACTTTCTATGTATTAACTCATGAATGTAGAGAATCACTTCTGTTTTGCATGTGGCCCACGGCCGTGAATGAAATACTAGGGAAGCTTTTAGTGCTAGGATGAAGTGGTAGTTAGGAGAGACTGGAGACTGCCAGCCGTGAGGAAACTGCCGTGCCCCTGTGCTTCTGCTCCCCCACAACAGCACCAAGGTGCTGACTGAATGCCCAGCAGCTCTCTCCAATGACGTGGTAAAAAGAGGAAATGGTCCATCTCTGTTTGATGAAAATATCTTTAGCCAGGCACAGTATACCCCAGCCTGTAACCCCAAGATTCTGGGAAGCTGATAGAGCCAGGAAGTCTGCAAGTTCAGGTCCCTCCAGGGCAACTTAGTGACTTAGAAGAACTTGTCTCAAAATAAAAGATAAAAATAGCATACGAATATGATTCAGTGCAGAGGCCCTGGGTTCAGTCTCCAGTACTGGGGGGAAAAGTTAGCTCCAGTACTGCAGAGCATCTCTGATCTTGACTTCTTATAAGTCTTTTCCCAGAGAAAGAAGCAAGATGAAAAATCAGGCATGCCAAGAATACAAACTGCTTTTCAGTTTCTTTAATTTTCCAATTCTGCCATGTACAGTAATGGTTATTGATCACGCTACATTATCATTTTTTTCTGGAGTATTTTGTAGGGCAGAATGAGATGGGCTGAAACCTAGAAATAATTCACTGTGACATGCCTGGGAATTTATTCAGTGTTTTGGACTTATTCCTGATTTTATATCTTTCAAAAGATTCTATGCAGGAATTCCAAGAATGGTTTTCGGGAGCAAAAGCAGCAGCCAAAGAATCATCGCATCGAACTGGTGACAGTAAAGTTCTAGAGACAAAGCTCCATGATCTCCAGGTACCAAAGCTGCCGGCCTTCTTCCCCACATTGCGCTCAGATGCCTTCAGGTCAGATTAGATCATCCCGTTACCCAAATCTTATTTTAATTCATCTCTTCTTCTCCCCTAATAGAATTGTGTCAGATGGATGTAGGCAACTTGGAAAGTCATTTAGAAAACAATTCAGAGCTAGAAAATGTCTGGATCCTTTTGTCTCTTTTTGCCAGATAGACACTTAAAAAAAAAAATTCAACATGAAATCTGATTTTTTTATTTTATGGTAGTAAAAATATGAGTAATTATATCTATTTTATCACTGTTGTGGAGTTTTTGAAAAAGGCAGAAAAATAAGTGTCTAAATTTTGAGATAAAATATATTCAAATTAAAATGGTGGCTATTACAAGTTGTTTGGATTCTACTGACTGAAAAAAATGTGCACATTCTAAAAATAGAAGGTCATTGTAAAGCAGATTTAAGAATTACTTTAGAGGGATAGATTCAAATTAGGTTTTGGCTAAGATTTTTAGAACCTAATTCAAATAAAGCACTGGAAATTTATTCCTTGTCAAGAATTGTGATTTTAAAAAAAGCTAATTTTAGAACAGTAAGAAGTACCGTGTATTTTCTGGCCTAATGGGTAATGAAAATGATGTCTGTAATTCATTATATTAGAAGATTTTCATAGTAAACAGAAGTGTGTTTTACAGGAGGCACAGTGAATTCAGATATGGAATTGTCTCCTTTAAAGCTTGGGGCCCACAAATTTCATGAAGAACTCCACTAACAAATGTCAGTAACAATGAAATGCCACTCTGGAACTCAAGGGAGAGGTTTAACTAGCGCTGACTTCTGGGATTTTTTGGCTTTGTAAGAGCCATTCTATGTATAGATAAAGGAAAAGGTACAGAGAGAAAGAAAGAAAGAAAGAAAGAAAGAAAGGAAGGAAGGAAGGAAGGAAGGGTCTCTTTCCTGAGGACCAGAATGGTTGTTCTGGGTGGGTCAGAGGAGGAGGGAGAGGAGGAAGGGAGCAGGTGGCCAAACAGAGGAGTATCACCGTAGTTCTGAGACTTTGAGATCAGGGAGGGATTGCACTAGGGTCTCGGAATAATAGCAAATGTATTGCATTACCTTTTCCCCCTAAAACAGAACATTCTGGACTCAGTCAGTGATGGGCAAAGCAAACTTGATGCAGTGACTCAGGAGGGACAGACTCTGTATGCACATCTATCTAAGCAAATGGTCGGTAGCATTCAGGAGCAAATTACCAAGGCGAATGAAGAGTTTCAGGCATTTCTGAAGCAGTGCCTTAAAGACAAGCAGGCTCTCCAAGACTGTGCTTCTGAGCTAGGGAGGTAGGTTGTTCTGACAAATGTAGATTTCTTTACACACGGTGAAAAGGGTCATGTGAACAAACATAAATTTGAAATTGTGAGTTTAAATTATAGCAATATTTGACCTACCTTAAGTACATGCTCATTCTAATACAATAATCAATTGCTCAGTGTCTAAAGTTATTACTGGTTTTGTTTTCTATACAAAAGAAGAAATTATTTTCAGTAGCAATTGTAAATGACATAGTTGCATGCAATTTTCATATATTTGGCTAGCACAAGATGTTAGTGCTTTGATACATCCAATTTTAGGTGACCTAAGATTTTTCTTATGTCCACTTCTGCTTAGAAAATACTATGCCAAGATGACAAATTTTGTAAGTCAACATTCCAGTCAATAATATGTGTCAATGAGTGTGAATATCAAACTAGAAAGAAAAAATCCTTATCAGTATGAGTAAAAAAGATGTCAGTATGATCAAATTTCCTTTCTGGTTGACATGTAATTTCCCTTACACTTGTCTAGGTTTCTGTGAGCTTATACTATCATCAAAACTTAGAGCTTTTGTGCCAAATTCAAATTCCCTTAAGAAATAAAGTCATAAAAACCACTTTCCTGTCTTTCCCTGGGGGTCTACATGCCCCACTTATCCACTGGCACCCATTTAAGAGTCTTTGTACTCAGACACACAAAGCTAAGCTTATGTTGACATGAAAATGTAATTATTCTTGTCCACTACCAATTATGAAATCAGTTTAGTTGGGTAAGGTCATTTTTCCCTGCTTGTATCTCAACACATAATCCCAATGACTTGTCAATTTTGTTACTGAACCAAATAAAAATTAGGACAGGCTTATTGTTGATTTTTCCTTATAACTTAAAATTTCATGAGATCTTAATTTCCATGGAAAGAGTATTTATAGCTTGCTTTGTAATGAGCACAACAGAATTTCTCTAGAATATTTTTCTTTTTGTTAGCTTTGAAGATCAGCACAGAAAGCTGAACTTATGGATCCATGAAATGGAAGAAAGATTAAATACAGAAAATTTAGGAGAGAGTAAGCAGCATCTGCCTGAAAAGAAAAATGAAGTTCATAAAGTTGAAATGTTTCTGGGAGAACTTCTGGCAGCTAGGTATGGCAACAACAACAGAATGGGTCCGACCTGCTGTGATGCTTTAAACTGCTTGGTTGTTTGCTTTGGTTTGAATACAAAATGTTGCTATTATATTCTTTATAGTGGGGTTTAATTCTGCATACTGCAGGATAGAAAAAAAGAGCAAATCTGCATTTGAGTTCTACCTTTTTGCTGAAAAAGTTGAGCAGGTCACTTTTCCTACTGTGACTCTTCATTTTTGCCTTTAAGCAGTGTTGGTAATACTGTGTTTTCCTTCCTGGGGTTGTTTTGAGGATTGAGTAATATAACTTGAAGCAGATAAGAAGAAAAGAAGACATTAACGTTACAAAAACTGTAAAAATACAAAATTCACGCTGTCGACTTCAACTCCCACCAACTCTAGGCACATTTCATGCTCTAGTTACATTTCTTGTGCACCCATCTCATAACATTCTTAATGAAGCAAAAGGCATGGTCATTTCGTCTGACTCTCCTTTGATTCCTCTTCTCCACCAGAGCCTTTCTCTCTCTTTTTCTTTCTTTCTTCCCTACTGAGAGGGGAAGCCAGGGTCTCTTTCTCATGTAAAGACTTCTGTTTTGTGCTTCTAACCTACTCTTCACTTTCAGCACATTGGTTCCTAAATGCATGCTTCACTCCTGGCATTTTTAGTTGCTTCCTCCCCACCAGATGACAGAACAGTGAAACACAGCTTCAGCAAACACTTGGGCTTCTGGAAATCATCCTCATAAAGAACAGGAACGCTTGTCTGTGAGGTAGAAGAGGACAGTACTCAAACGCTTGCACAGATAAATCAACAAAAACTAATTTTGTGAAATGTACGTAATTCAGGTCACCAACAGTTTCCATATCCACCACATTGTTTTTATGGTCACCCAGGCCTAGTACTCCCTGTCTTGAAAACAAGCATGTAAAGAACTGAACAGCAGGACCCCTCCTGACAACTGCTAGTGCATGTGCAATTTTGATGACCATTATAGAATTTCCCCGAAATAATTTTGTTCCATCGTTGGGGTACTACTGATGGCTAACTTTGTCTATTAACACACAGCTAAGTCCTTCAAGATGAGAGACTACAAGATGAGGGATAGGGAGGTAGAAAAATAGAAAATATTCATGGAATTAACAAAATAATAGCTTCATTCTAACTACTAACTTTCTGAAAACTATTGTTATAGTTGACTATTGCCTGGATACAATAAAGCATAACCAAACCTACGTGTCGTGGTTCTCTTGAACTGTTAAACGACTTTGCATATTGTTAGCTTCCATTAATTCTCTCTTTCCTTTTTGTCTAGGTTTTCTGTCATCATTATACTAAAATCCATCGCAGAAAGTGCTCTAAATACCCTTCATCGGATTCAGTTTCTTTCTTTACTTGTTATTGTTTTGTAGTAATTGCAATTTTTTACCTTGATTGACAGCCATTCTTCTTGAAATTTTACTCTCTGGTATCCCGAGAACAGATGATAGGTGACTTTATTTGTACTCATGGTGTTTCCCACTGAAGTGCTCCCTTTTCCAGTGCATTTGAATGCGCTGAGCTGGTCACCCTGGATCTTGCACTAGGTCCCTGGAATTCTTTCACTTGCTCCTTATTACTCTCAGACTTCCAGAACTTTTCATCATATTTCCAGTACTTCAAATATTTTGGGCAATTGTCGTACTTTTTTAAAGTACTCAGACCTGCATTTTTTCATGCGTTAAACAATCCATCTTGTAGTAACAAATTCAGTGTCTTATCTTGAATTATTATTTAACTCACATTAAGATTTAAGACACGGGGCTGGGGATTTAGCTCAGCAGCATAAGCGCCTGCCTTGCAAGCAGGTAGTCATGAGTTCGATCCCCAGTACTGATAAAAAGGAAAAAAAAAAAAAAAAGATTTAAGACACCTTCTTGCCTTGGCAATCAGATTATTAGTATAATAAATATCTTTCAGAATAGACATAAAATTGTAGCACTCTATATTTCAGGATGACTACAAAGATACTGTTTACATAGTAACTACTCAGATAATAGTTTAGACCTTGTAAAAGATACCTTTATGTTCTTTTCCTAGTATTTTTACTAGACATTTTACTAGCATTTAAGATATTTCCTCACTCTCATCTGTACTGCATATTTTCCTGATAAGAAGTCTCCAGACTGAAGGTTTAGCATTTAGGAGCCTGAGGATCATGAAATGATGGTTAAATCTGAGTTAAATAGAAAGAAGATGATTTTGTTCTGTTTTGTTTAACGGCCTGGTGAATATAGTTTGAAGTAGAATACCACACATCCAAAACTGGCAAGAGAATAAATTTCAAATGTTCTCACGAAAAAAAACCCAACAAAAACCTTAAGCATTTGAAGCAATTGACATGTTAACTTGCTTAATTTAATTACTGCACAAGATATTCATATGTTATAACATCATTTTATACAATAAATATAGACAATTGTAAATTGTCAACTTACAATGAAAATAATTACAGTAAATGTTAATCCAGGTTGCACTTAAAAACAAAAACACAATTGAGAACTCTAAAATAAGATAGTGAGTTATGTAATAATTATGCTTTTCCCTTGACCTTACTAACATAGCTCTAAACACAGTACTCAAGATTACAGTAAGGAAAACCACAACAACACATCTATAAAGGCCTTTGAAAGAATTTTTTTTACTGTGTTTGCTTTACCTTGTGTTGAGTTTCAGAGATCAAAAATGCATATGGTAGCTCTGGATTTAAAAGGATGATAGCTTTGAGGATTGAGAAAGACATGCTAGGTAAGAAAGCAGGACACGGAAGCGAGGGCACAGGATGGGAGTCTTGCACTACCACCTCTTCTGGGCCATTGTAAGTGTTCCTTGAGGGTGTGATACCTTGAAGGAAAACAAGGCAAAACCAAATAAACAAAAAAGCAGAAAGCTGTCCCAAAGGCAGAGTCTCCACGTATCGTGAGGCATTGCTTAACAGTTCAATACTAAGAGCCACATCATTAGATGACCCTGTCATTGTGTAAATCCCACAGAGTAGACTTGCAGAAACTACAGCGTAACTTGGTGATGGAATCTTACAGTATCACTATTGTATGTGTGATCCACTGTGGGTCAAGACAGCTTTACATGGCACATGCAAAGTGTATATTCTAAGTAGCAGAGTATTTTAGGAATTGTGGGGAGCTTGTCATAAATAGAACACTTGATAGGAATGGAGAGATGCTAGGAATGAGCCTGGGGAAGAAGGAGGGCCCCTCTTCGAGCTGAATTCTCAGTGAGGTGGTCAGCTCCTTCACTGCTATATGGACCCAAACACAGCATGGGTTGAATCATTTCTATCAGCAACCATTAAGCGAGCCCATAAGAGAACACACACCAGAATCCAGCCTGGTTCCCAGCATCTTAATTTTAAAGGCATGTCAGCTGCGAGCCTTTGTCTGGTTCCTGCTCCAGTATCAACAATCATCTGCCATTCTCCTGTGCTCTGGAATGTCAGAATTCATTTTTTTCCTGTTTCTTTTTTAGAGAGTCACTTGATAAACTTTCCCAGAGAGGGCAGCTTCTCAGTGAAGAAGGTCATGGTCCAGGGCAGGGTGGTCGCTTGGGCTCCCAGCTCCTCACCAGCTACCAGAACCTACTCAGAATGACCAAGGAGAGACTGAGGGGCTGCCAGCTTGCCCTCCAGGAGCACGAGGCACTAGAGGAAGCACTCCAGGACATGTGGTCCCAAGTGAGAGAAGTCCAAGACAGACTGGCCTGTGCAGAAAGCACACTTGGGAGCAAGGAGACCTTGGAGAGGCGACTGTCACAGATACAGGTATGTGTAAGCAGCCAGCTGCTCACAACTGCTAGAAAGATTCACAGGGGTTTGAGTTTGTGCTAATCTTTCTGGTAGCCTTTAAGTGAGGATTTTGCGGGCAAAATGGAGAAATCAATCAAAAAGGATACATAGGAGACATTTTTCTCTTGCAGTGGAACAATTTTGTTCAAATGCCTTTAAAATTATTTTTAATTTAGTTGAGTTAAATAGTCAGCAAACACCGAGTATACCTACTCTGTCCAAGTACTATACAAATTGCTGGGAATGCAGAAGTAATGGGTAGTCTTCATTTTCTAGCAGGTCACGGTCTCACAGGAGAGACCAACATATAAATCAGAATTTTCAGTGCGGATATAGATAGGGACCATGATGGAAGCAAACAAGGCTGTACATACAAGAAACCACTAATCCAGACTGGAGGTGACTTAGATCACTGTCTTAGCTACTTTTTCCCTCACTGAAATGAAATATCCAACACCCAAAGTTAAAGAGGAAAGGTTTATTTGGCTTAGAATTTGTAGAGGCTTCAGTCCATAGTTGAATGACTCCAACACAGGACAGCATGGTAGAGGGACATCACAAAGGAGAAGCAGTCTTTGGCAAGCAGGCAGGTGAGAGTACATCAGCCCACTTTCTGTCCCTTATATTGTATGTAGCTACTCGCCCTAGGGCGGGTATAACACTGATATCCTTGATACTAGCCAGAACTGTGCCAAACTAATCATGCACCCTTGATCCCAGCACCACACACTCTAGATCCACCTTTTCAGTCACCTCTGAAAATCTCTTGTTATGACTGCATGAGGTTTGGAGCAGGGGGCACATCTATACACAAGCTATAATAGTCACCTTAAAAAGTAGGAATCAGTCTAGCATTGAATGTATGGGAAGGTTAGGGTGTTGACAGTCATGTCTTCATTTTCAAAATAATTTCTTTTCACTCTTTGAAACCAATCAGTGCAACTATCATTTCTGGGCTACAGATCAGTGTTTTCTAAGAATTTAAATTAAAGTTCACATTTGTCTCCTGGACTCTCTGGTATCTAACTTTGAAGTGAAATGTGTTATTGTAGCAGGGCCCAGAGCTTGTTGATATTTTTGATGGTAAGATATTCATTTCTTTTATTTTCATGAGAAAATAACTTTTTTAAAAAAACAGCAGAATCTTGTTATGCTCCTACTTACAGATATTCTTTCTCCCTTCCCAGGATATTCTCTTGATGAAAGGTGAAGGAGAGGTCAAGTTGAACATGGCCATTGGCAAAGGGGAACAGGCCATTAGAAGCAGCAGCAAAGAAGGTCAGAAGGCAATTCAAGCACAGTTGCAGACCCTTAAGAACACGTGGGCCGATGTTGTGAGCACCTCTGTGCATGCTCAGAGGTATGGAGTTTATTTGCCCAAATAAAACCCACTGGCTTGGTAAAATAATGAACCCATGCTGAGGTGCCCTAGGGTAAAGTGACCAAGCGTGCTATTGTTAGCATACCGTATGCATGCCTGCCCCTACCTACATTGCATTCCCCAAGGCGTAAAGGCTGTTTTTGTTTATTAGTTTGCTTGGATTTCTGCTTTTTTTTTTTTTTTAATATTTACATCTCCCTATTAACATCCCTCAGGGAATCTTGCCCATACTATGGGCTCAAGCATACGCTTCATTTTAAGTCATTAAGCAAGAATATGTGGTTCTTTAATAATATTTAACTTTTTAGAGGGTTTAGCTCAGCGGGGAAAGTGCCTGCTTGGCAAGTGCAAGGTCATGAGTTCAATCCGTGGTACAAAAAAAAAAAATAACTTTTTAAAGAAACATGTGGGACATGCATTGTTGGAAGCTGTTGAGCTTAAGTATAAATCTGTTGTTTACCTAAAAGTGAGATCACTCACATTGGGATTGCATGAAATACAGTAGTGGCACAGAAAGTTCACATCCTATAAAGTGTGGAACATTTTCACACCACCAAAAATCATCCCATGCAGACACCATTAGAGTTTTTGTAGTGTTATACAATCTCGCTCACGTGTGGATACTAGAAAGTTCATCTTGTAGATAATGTAAGTAGAGTTTACAGTGGTAGTTGCCAGAGCCTGGGGAGAGCAGGGACAGAGAGAGAGGGAGAATGGATGGATGTCAAGTTACAATTAGGAGTAAGAAACCCTGGAATGCATATTAAGGTGACTAAAGAGAACAGTGATATAGTGTACATTCAGAAAGACAGAAGAAAGTATATTAGAAGTGTTCACTGTAAAAAGGTGATAAATGTTTGCAATAGATAAATTGAACCTGATTTTAACACTGAACTATGTCCATATGTTTTGATATATCACATTAAGCTTTAATATATAGAATTTGAATTTTTTATGTAAAATATGTTTTAATTTAAATAAGAGGAAAAAGATAGGAAAGAAAGAGAGAGAGAGAGATGCTGTTGAAGTAAGGAGAACTTGGACAAATTTGATTAGTACACCATGTGTTGCTATCATTGTATTTATGAGTGGAGGATTTTCACCCTCCCCCATCAGAGTGTCTACGAATAACTTGGCTGGTTTATTGGACAAATGATCATAAATTAGAATGATATTAAAACACACCCCAGGACTCATATTCTGGAGGTCACTTATGCTATCAGGTCATGTAAGAAATGAGTGCCCAAATAATGATAATTGAGTGGACTAATGGAAGAAAGCAAAACCATAATCACACAGCCACCCATTGCAATGTCACCAGTAGGCAGCAGTTACACATAAAAACTACATGGTTTTGGTTTTTTCTCTTTAATATAGAGCACAAGAAGTGATTTGCAAAGTAAGCAGTACCTTGCTTCTTAGTAATAACTCCTAATGGTCAGCAAGGAAAAGGTCAAATCCTGCAGTCTCATTCTATGGCAACCTCTTGAGCACCAGCTAAACTTTCAACATTTAGCAATAGGACAGCTTGACAAAATTTTATAGGACTGTGAGCAAATACTTCGCAGATACCAGAACAAAACTTCAAATGTGATAATCAGATTTAGATCTTTGATGCTCCCATTTCTGCAAGAAATTAAATTTGACAACTAAATATTCAGCAGTAGCAGTATGCAAAATATTGTTCTAAAATAATGAAACAAAAGAAAATAGATTTTGTCCTGTAATGGGTCAGAGCTTAGAATAGGTAGGATGTTACATTCCAGAAAACTCCGACCCAGGTTGTGTGACTCAGAGTTTTCAAAAGACTCAGAGTTGGTGCAAAAGAATGTGGGTCTGGTGGCTTCTGGAGAGGTGACATTGATTCCGAGATTTAAAAAATTCTTTTAGGAAAGAACATGATTCTAAAGTTGTATGCTGGGGTTCCTCTTAATGCCAAAGCAGCAATTTGAGCAAATGTTGGAGGTTTGTTTACCAAATCCTAACTCATGTGAGAGTAGTTAGCGTAATCACTGAAGATAGATTTAGAATAGTTTATGAAGCTCAATTTTGGGCAAATTTTCTGAATGCCAGCCCGGAATACCTTTGCTCCATGTATCTGAAAAACTAGAGTTAGTTACTTCACTATCATGTGTGTGTGCGTGTATGCATATATATACATATATATATATTTACATTATAAATATATTGAGCCTTCATCCATTCACACATATAATACAAATCATGGGCTTGTGTGTGTGTGAATGTGTGTGTGTATAGGTGTGTAGCACTAAATGAAAATTACTCAGGGAGAATATCTTAAATATTGAACTGTAGACAAAATATAATAACCATCTAATTTTTAATAAAACAAGCTAATCCCACCAACCTTACTAATGAATATATATTTATACAATGTGAAACTTAACTAATGTTTCCAGTGCTGAGTTTTCACAGTGTGGCATGCAAATTTCTAGGACTTGGCCTAGATCCTCAGTCTCCCAAATGAGTATACGGTGAAGGCTTAAAATAAATGAGATAAGTGGCATGATTTTATGGTTCTGGGAGGATCAAAACCCTCTGCAGAGTTTGGGGACTCTGGTGACTAAGACAGGGAATGCCTCTGGGCAGACTATATTTATTATTTTTTTCAAACAACATAGGAAACTGAATAGACCTTGGGAGTGGTTTAATGGTTCAAGGACTTCGCAAGTAACAAATTTCACTACATTTAATTGGAGTTGGAGCCAGGTTGTACTCAGCCGTGATCTTATCTTGCCCTGGCCATGCAGCAGCCCTGCATTTGTGTTCGATTTCCAGTTTCAGCTGCTCCCAACATCTGTCCTCTTAAGACACCTAGCGTGTAGAAGGCAGATCTCCAGCTTTGTGTCTGACTACAGCAATTTACTTCAACTTTTAGTGTTTATTTACCCTGTGTGGTGAAGGAACTGTGCTCTGGATTTAATAGATCGGAGAATTGTGTTCTTCCTGTACCCAAAATAACATTTTCATCCCTTACAGTAACACTCACTGAAGCAATATAAGAATGCAGTGGTTTTGTAGGATTTTGTTTTGGTTTGCCTGGGGGTTTGGTAGTGCTGGAGATGGACCCCAGGGCTCCATGCATGCCAGACAAGCCCTCTACCTCTGAGCCACATCCCTAACCCCAGGATGTAGTGACCTTATGACTGAGTTCTGGCAGCAGTATTAAATTAAGTCAATTTAACAATGTGTGGTATTAATTCTAGCACTCTAGAGTCTGTGCTTAGCCAGTGGAATGACTACCTTGAAAGGAAACACCAGCTGGAGCAGTGGATGGAATCAGTGGATGAAAAACTAGAACATCCTTTACAGCTGCAGCCAGGCCTGAAGGAGAAGTTTTCCCTGCTAGACCATTTTCAGGCCATCATGTCTGAGGCAGATGATCACACGGGAGCTCTGTACCGCCTGTGCGCCAAGTCCAGGGAGCTCTATGAGAAGACTCAGGATGAGTCCTTTAAGGAAACAGCTCAAGAGGAACTGAAGACACAGTTCCATGATATCGTGACTGTGGCCAAGGTTAGTGCTTTATGTCCAAGAAAAATTTGGGTAAAGAGCAGGCTAAGGGTGGAGCGCAGTGGTACACACCTATGATCCCAGCACTCAGGAGGCTGAGGCAGAAGGACCCCAAATTCAAAACCAGCTTGAACTATGTAGTGAGTGCGGATTAAATATTGGAAAACAGGCTGCTCTAACACTATTTTTGTTTTGATTTATTTTGTGGCTAGGTATTAAAGATTGCTTCTGATCTATATTTATGAAAACAGATATCTTTTTCTCTTTCCACTATCTTAGAATTATTATTTTCTACCCTTTTCTACTTTGTTAGCCAGTTCATCTCATTTCTATGTAAGATTCCAGAACATCAAATATGAGTGTTTAAATTCCTTTTCTTTTGCTGCACATTTGTTTTATTAAATGAAAGTTTACTTAACCCCCTGATTTCAGTCATGTGTTCACTTCCCATTTTAATAATAACTATCTTTTCCTAGTCTTCAAATATAAACTATTTTATGTATTCTATTCTCTGATTTTTCTTTTGTATAGTGGTGTCTGGTACAGAAATGAAGAGAGAATTGTATTAGTTTTTTTCCTGTTTTGGTTCGCTTCTGGGAACTCTGTCTTACTGATACTACAATTATTAACGAATATGTTTGTGTATCTTTATTTTTAGCTAAGCTTGAATCCTAGCCTCGAAACTTTTCAGATCTGTGACTTTGGGCATGTTACTTACCTCTGTAAACTTGTGTGTTCTTCCCTGGGTGATGGTGGTAGTTTTAGCATCCATGTCTCAGAAGCGTCACAAAAGTGCAGGACTCAATGAGCAAATGTGCTTAAAGGGCGAAACAGAATGCTCTACACCAACCTAACACAAATCATATCTTGAATAACAAGAATAGTTTTAGTAATTGTGATGAAGTGGATTGTCAAGGATAGTAGCCAACTTTTTTAGGCATAGCTTTTCATGTTAACAATAATAAACTTGCAAGAAAAAGTGGTCACTTCTTCAGAGCCTTAGTTGAAGGTTTATGGTTTGTAAGTATTAAACTCAGAGAAAACTGAAGAATGAGAAGTAAATCTTCTGAGTTACATTAAGTGACCTCTGTCAGGCCCATTGTCTCATCTGATGTCACATTCTTGGTAATAATTGTTAAAGTAGCTTTTTTTGTGTTTACTAGGAAAAAATGAGGAAAGTGGAAGAGATTGTGAAGGACCATCTCATGTATTTAGACGCAGTCCATGAATTCACTGATTGGCTCCATTCAGCAAAGGAAGAACTCCAGAGGTGGTCAGATATGTCTGGGGATTCATCGGCCACCCAGAAAAAGTTGCTAAAAATCAAGGTAAGAAAATAGATGGATACACCACACTTGTTTAATGGGCTCTTGAGTACAGATTGCAGATTGTGATAAGAATTCAGTGTACAAGATTCTGTCATCTGAAACATTTCCTTTCTGGTTTTAGTTGTTTTTTATTGAGACATGCCTCAATAATTCTAAACATAAACAGGATTATATAAAAGAATTCAGAGAACTTTGCGTTTGTGGGCAAGACGCCATATTTTCTGTGTGCAAATGTGATTGTTGCTGTGGTTTCATAGATTCCAGGATGCTAGGCTGATAACTCACTGGTACTCATACAGTGCAGGCTCTGGAATCAGAGAGAAGCCATTGTGTATCTTGCCCCTGCCGATTTTCCAGCTGTGTCTTTGGGCAAGTTACTTCCGGTAGTGTTTTCAAGCCTCACCTATTAATTGGAAGAACTTAAAAAGGAATTAAAATAAAACCTTCCAGAGAGTTGCTTGAAGGATAAGTAGATCATGCATATGCAATATTTATAATTTTACCTGCCACACAGCACACTAAACAAAGAAACCCTGTGAATTTAGCAAATAAGGAATTCATTGGCCAAAAGGTGACAAGGTGAGGAGAGGTCAAAGGTGAACATCAAGTCTTTAACCAGAGTCAATAAAGCTATCACCACCTGAGGAAAATAAGTGCATGCCGAGGAACCTTCTGGTAGAAGGACAAACGGGAGTTCAAGTGTGAACAGATGGCCCTGGCTTTAGGAGTAAGGGCTATGAGGCAGTTGAATACTCAGGGTACTTTCCAGGTTAGAAAGCTTTACTAAAGATGTAGTATTAAATATTATCTGAGTAGCTCATTATTGAAGCCCTCAGAGTGAATGAAACTAAGGCCAATGTAGATAGCAAACAGCATGGTGAGCACAGAGCTAGACACTGGGCACTATCAAGATTTAAAAACTACCAAAGAATAACAGTTGCAAGAGAGAAAGAAAAAGGAGAGAAGAGATAACTAAAGGAGGCTAAGATGATGCCACCAAGGCCCAGATGGAGAAGTTGGTGCCGTTACAGATGCAAAAAGGGCCGCTGTTAAGAGGAAGACAGAGAAATGACACTTAGCTCTTTGGCAACCACCCTGAGAGTCATTTCCATAGCCAGGGGTGAGAGGACCAAATTCCATGGCTTAGGAGGGGATGCTGGGGACTGGAGGCGGGAGGAAGAGATAGCAAGGATGGACTGAGGCTCACAAAGTTAATTTGAGAAAGTAAGGTAATTACCCTACAAAAGCTATTTGGGTTGCCAGTGTTCTCTCTGTCTCAGAAAAGGCTTCATGAAGTGCTTCTGAAGAACAGAAATATAAGTAGAGAAGGAATCGAAGAAAAGCAATTGAAATTTAGGAAGAAGAAAGTAAAGCTGGTGAGAGGCTGCCCCTTTGAAATTCAGGTCCAGCCTGAATATAGGCTGGTAATAGACAACCTTGGAAGAAATACAGAAAGCATGTCCTTTTTCTTGAGACCTCAGGGCAGCCCTGACCCCAGGAATAACCACTCAGCAGAAGCAACTCTAAAGCTTGATATGTATTTGGGTTAAGACATGAATACTTCTGTTCATGAGAATGTAGATAATATTCTGAAAGAGTTTAACTACAGGATAAGAAAATATATGTATAAGTCATTTTGAAATACGTCATAATAATGATGCTTTCATTCAAAATACAAATGAGTAGAATTAGTGATTATAAATATTGACTCACTTTCATGCCAAAGAAAACTGGGCTAAGACACAAGAGTATTCTGGTAAGCATTTTGATAGTTTACACATCACGAATTCCAAATTCAAAATCACTCATTAAGGCATAGAATCAAAATTTAAATTGATTTGTGAAGTGCATCACTTTTTAAAAGCTATAATTTTCTGTATCAATTCACTAATTACTATATGTAATGATAGATGGGTTTTAGAATCCTGCTGCTGAAGGAGGTTAACAATGTGTATTAAATTCTACTGTGTATAATGATATATATATGTAAAATTACATCCTTTGTGATTGAACTTTGGACTACTTTCAAATGATGGGCACTGCAATTTGGCTCTGTTGTATATAATTATGAGATTGTACATTTATTTTAATCTAATTAAACGAAATGCAACATATTATAAAAACCAGTTGAGATATCTCCATTCCTAATATAATTTATGAAACATTTACAGTTCTTATCCAAATTTTTCATTTAATTACTAATCGATTTTCTTCTTGAAGTTTTTTTCTCTAAAAGTCACCATTTCCCAAACATGTTCCTAAAAAAAATTAAAAAAATTTTTTTCAAAGTCACCATGTCCTTCTATTTAATCCGGAAATAGTATCATAATTTTATATTCCAATGATAAAAAATTCCTAGCTTTAGCAATAGATACATAAATATGTGAATAACAGTTGACTATTTCAGCAAGAAAAATTTCAGTCTAAGAATTCTATTCTCAGAAAGAAATGCACTGTTTTCCTACTTACCAATGTACATTTTATCTTATTGTCCTCTCTAGCAAGTGTGCCTCCAGACTAAAAACAGAATCTAAATTGCTAAATTTATAAGAAATTTTTTAAAGGTAAATATAATAGTCATACATGAACCCAGTTTACAGATTAACCCGGTCTACAGGTTAAATTTTAATGAATTCGGTCCGTAAATTATTCATTTTAGTTGCTAACAAAATGTTTATTGAAACACTAAAGTATTTAGAATTGAGGAAATCTCATTCTTCTATTGTGATGGGTCGGTTTGCTTCTGACAGAAAAGTGTAGTTTTAAGCCACCACCCTGTAGAAGACGTAGTAATTGGTGGAGATGATGAGCAGAACAGAGTTCAGTGACCCTTATTCACGAGTCCTTCCACTTAGGAGGAGATACAAATTTGTTTATTTACAGGTGCAGCACACCACACCACGGGCACACACTGAAGTCACTCCCAAGACTTTCCCACATACTCCAACATGGCATGGGGCCACGGTGCCTGCTGCTCCGTCTCGTGCTGCAGCTTCCTGGGATATCATGCCACAAACCTGGGTGCTCACAGCGTTAATTTCCTGCTATTGTAACTTGGGGGTGGATGGCTGTGTGGACCCTGCTTCCTTGCGCACACTTGCTTACAGTTCCGAGCTGGAGGGAATCCTCATTGCACACATTTGAAAACTTGCAGCCCAGTGACTCACGGCCTCCTTGGTTTCCATGGCGATATTCCATTACAGGAGCTGATAGATTCCAGAGAGCTAGGAGCAGGCCGCCTGGCCCGAGTGGAATCGCTGGCCCCCGGAGTGAAGCAGCACACAGCTGCCAGTGGGTGTGAGCTCCTGCACACGGAGATGCAGGCCCTGCGCGCCGACTGGAAGCAGTGGGAAGACAGCATATTCCGAACACAGAGCAGCCTGGAGGACCTGGTCAGTCAGATGGCCCTTTCGGAGCAGGAGTTCTCAGGCCAAGTGGCCCAGCTCGAGCAGGCCCTGGGACAATTCGGTGCCCTTCTGAAAACCTGGACTCAGCAGCTGGCCCTCCTGGAAGGCAAGAACACGGATACTGAGTTAGTGGAATCCTGGCACGCAGGGCAAGTAAGTTGGCTTCCTCTTTTCTGTTGGTGGTTATGCTAGAAAAAAATTTTCCCTTCTCATGGTTGTTTTAAAAAGTCTTTGCCAACTAGAAACATACAAAGTCCAGACTTGGAAGAAGTATTTATCTGATGAAATCTGCAAGGCTGACCTTTTTCCGTTTCTCATAAATCGAACTTTGGTAAAAGTTAACATGTGGGAGAAAAGGAATTATTATATCCTGAAGAAAACATTATTGTTGATCTAGACTTTTTCCTCTCCTTCTTATGGTGTAAGAGCTTGTAATACTGCATTGAGCCATTCACAGTGAAAACAGTGGCCTGTGGGCAGAGAAATAAATAGACGGAGAGTCATAGCTGTTTTCTTGCCAATTAACTATTTCAAACACATAAAAGATTGAATTTGTAGCTGTGAAACACACATTTGGTGACATACTAAAGCACAATTAATAGTTTTCAGCCTGATTGTCTCTCGTCTGTGTGCTTTTGACAGATGGACTTGAATTAGCCAGTTAACATGCATTAATACAACAGCACGGTCATGCTTGTTGGATGCCTTCCTGACCCTTTCTTTCTTTCTTTTTCTTTCTTTCTTTCTTTCTTTCTTTCTTTCTTTCTTTCAATAACAACTCTTTCAGAATATGAGAAAGAGAAGCAAAAAAAGCATTATGAAGAATGGGTAGAAACTTAAAACATTTTTCCTTTCTTTTAGCATTGGTTAGAAAACTTTGAAAGTTTCTTCAATATTTGCTGTTTTGTACTGCTCTGAGTCATGGCTGTTCTCAAAAAGCAGTTTAGTAAAGTAAACTTCTCTGCTTCTATTTATGTTACAACCATTTAAAAATAGCTCCAGCCAGTAAGAAAGTCCGGGAGTATTTCTAGCTTTGCCGTGTTTTGAGTGAAATAGTAGAACTAGATACAGCAAACCATAAAATGTAACTTTATAATCATCTTCTCACGCTATTTATCTATAGTGTTTCCAGGGGTTTTGTTTGTTTGGTTGGTTTAGTTTTTCTTTGCTTGTTTCGATGCGTTTCTTGATGCTTTATGCACAAGGGTAAAGCATAAGCAGCTAGGTCTGTAGAACAGAGACAAAGGCGTTCGTAATTGTTTCATGTGATCTGACTATGAGATAAAATCAATTATTTGGTTCCCTTTTGTTTGCCTTTCTCTCCATTTCATTAACAAGTGCATTTTTTAAAAAGAAAGACTTGATTGCCCCTAGACTACGTTACCGTTCTCAGCTACAGTTACTGCTTACTTTGCTTACAGGAAATAATAGATGAGGGTCACAAAACACGTGACAGCACCATAGCAAATATGGTTTTCAGTTGTCCTTGCAACTCATAGAAGAGAACCTTTGCTTATGTCCTCACCTGCACCAGCCTCCAGGGCAAATGTTTTTGAGGAGAATAACACATTACCAATCAATATTCATACTTTATTTCTAATAATGGCATTTTATTTAAAATGGAGATCATACTTAAAATATAATGAATGTTTAGGGAGATGTTATAAAGCCTGGCTTTGCTAAGGTTCTTATGACAATTTTGCCGTTGAGGGAGGCCTTGTCATTGCATATGCTAATCACCAACCCTCACAAGTATTTACCTTTTGCAGTTAAATGGTACTCTAGAAGTCTTTTAAAAAATAAAAATCAGTGATTTATAAACTGCATAACAGAATGATGCAAAACACCTTGTTCAATGCATTTGCAAAAGTCATTTATTTTAACATCTATTGGATTACTATTGTTGAAATATAGCAGATCTCTTTATGTATTAAAATATATGCATTCTAGGACTAACTGAATCATAATGCAGTATAACATTTATAGAATGAAAAGCTCTACAAAGATACTTTCATTTAGGACAGAGTCATGGGAATTTTTTAATGTAAAGTTTTGGACCATTTTTTTTCACTTTTAATGTTAGCCAGTTTATAAGTGACCAACTTGAATGTGTTTTTACTTTTTAGTAGGTAATTAGTTTCTTTAGTTCTTACAATGTTCTCCTTTAAAAAAAAAAGATCAGCATGGTGTAAAATGCTTGTTCCCAGTATATCACTTGGGATTTTAAAGAAAAACAGTCTAGTTACAGGTACCTTCCAGGACTGTAAATAAAACTCCTTCACGGCCTTCAGTCGGAGACTTGGTTATATAAAGAGAAAACAGAGCAAGAGAACCTCGGCTCTGCTCTCACAGTCACAGTTTGAGTGGGAAAACAAAAAAGTAGGAAACCAGTGAGGACCCTGGCTGAGAAAAGGGCCCACAGAGTTGTACGTCCCCAGCTGTGGCTGGAAGAAGGCCGAGAATCCTTCTAGGAGCCAATGCTTGAGCTACTGAAGAAGGGCGACTGCGTGAAAGGCCAGCTTGGGAGAACGGAAAAATGTAAGAGAGAAACCACAGAACAGGAAGCAAATCAGGACAGTGTGTCATCCTAGAAAGAAAGGGTGAAGATGTAAATGCGGTCAGAGGCAGAGGGGAAAGTGGGTCAAGGGGCCAAGACAAAGGCCAGACCAGACCTGGGAGTCCTCCGCATGGAGTGGGAGGGGAGGCAGGGGGAGGAGCCAGGATGCTGCGCAGTCTGATTGACATCAACAGGAGAACAGTGGGACCACTTACTAGGATGTGGGTGCCTGACAGACCTGTTTGATTGACAAGGGATAACTTCTACATAAATCTCGGCTACCTCTCAGTAAATATCTCTAAAAATACCTATAGCTCTACAACAGCTATTTGTGTGCTCTATTTTTCTTATTTTACTTTAGTGATACCACTCTCTACACGGTATCAAATGCCTGGAAATCATTTTCTGATTGATTTTACTAATTTAGCATTCATCAGTGAGCCAAAGTGTGTTTGTGCTGAGTATTTGACAGGCATGACCTCATTTGCGCCACGTGACAGTCCTGCAGGAATGGTGTGACACAGTTGACCATGGCTTTGATTTCAGAGATGTCCTTGTCAAGCCCTAAAACTTTATCTTGAATTCTGTACATACAATACCATGATTATTCGTGCTTGTTGGCAATTGAATTGTGAGCTCTACAAGAATGAGAATTATACCTGTGTTCACTGAGGAAGGAGGGTATTCCCAGAGTCCAGCAAAATGCTTACCATATGGCTGACATTTAACAAATATTTGATGACCATATGAATTAAATTATGAAATGAATGAACTACTAGTTAAATCAGATCTTTTGGTTATAAGAAATTCTGGCAGAGATAACTGCATACATATACTATATGAAATCAATTGCTATGTATGTCGTTAATCCAAAATAAGTGTTACTTTTCTTTGATTTTTCTTCACCTTTAAACAGTGTATGTATCTCATTATGGCCAGTCAGGCTGCTTTTAAACAACACAGGAAATTTTTTCTTCTTTTTGTTATCTCACTTCATCTGTCTACTAATCATTTGACTACATTTAATACTGGAGTGTCTACTTGTGGCTAGAAAGGAATAAAAATTAACAAAAAGCTAATTATGTATGAAGGGGAATCCTGAAAATAGGCCTGCCTTTCTTCACTGAACTGACAGTTCACCCTTCAGTAATAATTTGTAATGTGGTTTATGCCTGTATTTTTGAGTATATTTAAATGCCTGGTTCTCTTTGTTATTCTGTTAGGAGATCTTGGATGCACTACAAAAAGCAGAGCCTACAACAGAGGATCTCAAGTCTCAGCTGAATGAACTTTGTCGATTTTCTAGAGACCTGAGTACATACAGTGGAAAAGTTTCTGGCTTGATTAAAGAATATAATTGGTAAGCATAAACTTTCTTGATGTTCCAAATATTTTCCTTTTTAAAATATTTTTTAAGAGGTAGGGTCTTACTGTGTTATTCAAGCTGGGCTTAAACTTCTGGGATTAAGTAGTCTCCCCTCAAAAGTAGCTGAAACTACAGGTGCTACTGCATCCAACATCAGAATACTTCCATGTAAAGGAGAAGCTAAGAAGGCCAAAGTGCAACTTGACTGTCGGTCAGCTACTTGGGAGACTGCGGGAGATAGTGATCAGTTGAACTCATGAGTGTGAGGCCAGCCTGCGCTACATAGGGCACAAGAGACCTCTTTGCAAAGAAAAGAAAATGAAAGAATATAAAAGAGGAGAGGAGTGGAGAGGAGAGGACGAATGGGAGAGAAGAGAAGAAACTTCTGAACTGAGGAGAGGGAAAGAGAGGGAAGAGAAGGGAAGGGAAGGGAAAGGAAAAAGAAAAGAAAAGAAAGAAACAAGGGAAGGAGGAAGAAAGGAAGAGAGGAAGGAAATTAAGGATCAAATCAAGTAGATGCTAGAGACATTTTAAAATTTTCAATAATAACATTATTGCTGAATATTTATTTATTTATTTATTTTAGTACTGGGGATTGAACTCATGACTTTGTGCTTGCCAGGCAGGCGCTCATACGACTGAGCTAAATTCCTGGCCCTATCGCTGAATAATAATTAACAACTAATAATATTATTGAATAATATTAATTGCTGTTGAATAATATTAATCTTCAATAATAATACTGATTCATTCGGTATTAATGTATAACTAAATGTGGCCAATGTACACTCTGAGAACTGCCGATTCTGTCAAACTTAACCAACTTTATCATTTTTTTCCTTTCACTGAATGTTCAAATAACTTTTTCAGTCTCTGTTTGCAAGCATCCAAGGGCTGCCAGAGTAAAGAACAGATTTTACAGCAAAGATTTCGAAAAGCCTTCAGGGATTTTCAGCAGTGGTTGGTTAATGCAAAAATCACTACTGCCAAATGTTTTGATATACCTCAAAATATTACTGAAGTTTCCGCAAGTCTGCAGAAAATACAGGTAAGAATTTTATCAATTAATTCTAATAAAAGTGCTGGAGTAGGTTAAAAGACTCCCTTTGATCAGTAATGGTGAACCTATGACACGTGTTATATGTATTTCTTTTAAGACAAATAATGTTAATGTATGAGTTGTTTTCTCTAAACTAAATCCTCAGCATTCAGGTTTAATGACAGTGTTGACATTTTGCAATAAATAAGTGAGTTTTGGGTTGCAGGTTAGGTACGTATCTCTACAAGGTTCACATCACTGCTCTAAATCTTTGTAAGTGCAGTAATATGAGTTTTTAAAATTAAATTTCAAACAAATTCCCCACTGAAACAATTGAAAAGAAATCCATTCATATGCATAAACACATGCTATTTTAGGTATTAATAAAGGTTTTTATGGAAAAGCTATTTTACATAGGAAGCACTGTGCCCAGGCACTCTAAAGTAGGCATTCTCATTTAATTTTAATTTGGCCATATTAAGTGTTTAAAATTATTAGTTCCAGACACATATAAGTAGAAGAATTATAACAAAGTCCAAGAGTTCATGTGTAAAATAGCTAGAGTTTCAGCCAGGTTTTATGTTTACTTATTTGTTTGGGGATTTTTTTTCCTAACCTTTCCCTCACCAAATGCCACTTTGTGGTGCTCTTTCACACACCACCTTCAACTCCAACATTTTAGATACTGTGGTGTTATCAGTTTGTTTACATGACTATTATTTCATAGGCTAGCACTCGAGTGATTATGAAATCTGAATTTTTCGCTAAGAGCATATGCTTTAAACTATGTATAAGTGCTTCTGTATGAAGTTTCTCAAATAGCATCAATCTCCAAAATAGAATTGTCTGTATCCCTTTCTTTGTTTCTTTCTTTCTTTCTTTCTTTCTTTTGTTTTGTATTCTTGGTTCACAGTATAATGGAATAACTCTTGCTTTGAAAATTTGCTCCACTTAAGATCCTTCCTGTTTTGCTCCAGGCTAATGAACAGAATTTCAGAATTTCAACTACCAATTTATTTCTGTTGCAGAAACTCTGTACTATTTTTGAGCACAGCCTTTCCTCTGACCCTCAGCCAAGTTCCATGTACAAGATAGTCATCTATTAAAATAGATGTCCTGGAGAGGTTCTATATAGTACATTTTCATGACTATAACAAAATACCCAAGTGAGGCTACTTTATAAGGAAAAGAGGTGCATTTAGCTCACAGTTTGGAAGTTTCAAAGGCATGGCACTGGCATGAACTCACCTGTAGTGAGGCTCTTCTAGTGGATGACACCATAGTGGCAGGAGTACTTGTGAGAAGAACAAGATACATCACCAGACAGAAAGCCAAACAGCTAAGAAGTGACCCGATTTTCCTTTAGAAGAATCTTCTTGTGGAAACAAACAGTTCCTCAAGGTCCAGTCCCCTGTGACCTCAAGATGTTCCTTTAAGCTCCACCTCTTACCATGGCCACAGTGAGGGCCAAGCTTGCAACACATGACTTCTTGTGGGACAAACCACATCAAAACCATCTCAACTTTCCTTAATCAAGATCCGCAAGCTAAATATCTATGCTTCTGTTTCCTGTGAATAAATAACCTTGAGTAGCTGGGCCTGGTGACCCACAGTCCCAACATTTTGGGACCCTGAAGTAGGAGATTGAATGTTTGAGCACAGCCTAGGCCATTGATCCACCTAGCAAGACCTTATTTCAAAAGGAAAAAAAGACTGGAGATGTATATTAGTGTGAAAGCTCTAGATTCAGTCCCCATTGAGAATGAGAGAGAGACAGAGAGACAGAGAGACAGGGACAGAGAGACAGAATAATTCTGAAAGGTTCAGTCCTCAGTATGAGACAGCGAGAGACAGAGAAAATAGTAAATTAATAATCTTGAGTTTAAATTTTCTATATTTTCTTCTTGGATACATGAAAAATTAATGGACATTGACTGTAGAATATAAAATCTGCCTGTGTATCTAGAGAAAGATTATACCTTTGCACCTTGCCAGTTGATGAGGGAAGTACATTTTTTAATTATACTTTAGCAGTATGCCAATTATTTGCCCTTTGTGATGGTTGATACACTGTGTCAACTTGAGAAGTTTAGAAGTTTGATGAAGTGACTTGACAGGGGTCCAGGAGCCTCACTTTGTAAACATCCTCATCCTGTGCAAGAGGAGGACAGAGAGGTGGTGCGGATGCTACACTCCCGTGGTCCTAGGGAGTGGCAGCCCTCTTACAGTTAAAGGGAGGAAAAGAGGCCCGCTCTCCCCACCTTCTTGCTCATGATGCTTTGCTGTCTTCTGCGGCCTTGGAGTGTCGCCCCTGTGCCATGCACCCTGCCTTGGAGCCAGTCGATTAGGGTCTGAAACCTCTGCAGGCTGTGAGCTAAATAAACCTTTCCTTCCTTCCTTTTTTATGTCAGGTATTTTGTCTCAGCAATTTTAGAGAAAAGTAACTAAGACACCTTTCATAGGGACAGCCTTATAAAACAGTCTGTTACTGTTTTTTTGGTACACTTTTAATATGAGTGTCTTTTCTATTCAACCAAGTATATTGTACAAATACTTCTCAGGGAAAATTTTTTATTATCTCTGTTACAAATAGTGCTGGTGGTGAACCAATAGTTTGATTTTATCTTCTGAGCTCACTGAGTCCTGCACCTGACTGTATTTATTTTCAGACTTAAAGTTATAATCCAGCTCCACCATTTATATGGAAGCATATGACATTTATATTTTAGTTAAACTTAATGAGAGGTTATTTAATAATTCTTTTTATTCTGTTGGTCCTCTTCTATTTTTTATATAACTGATAATGATTCATAAGATGGCTCACAAGTTTTGTGGAGCATTTTGTCAGAATTTATACTAATAAATAAAATATACTTTGATGATTAAAGGGAAGACCTAGGTCATTTCATGTATGAAATAAGGATACTTATTTCTTATCCTTGATTTCATTGAGAAATACATAGGGAAATCAAGGAATTTTAAAGCATAGAACATCTTACTGTGTTAATTTTATATTTTCCTTCATAGGAGTTTTTGTCAGAAAGTGAAAATGGGCAGCATAAACTAAACACAATGCTTTCCAAAGGAGAACTTCTGACTTCTCTGTTGACCAAAGAGAAAGCAAAAAGTATCCAGGCCAAAGTTGAAGCTGCAAAAGAAGATTGGAAAAATTTCCATTCAAATCTCCACCAGAAGGAATCTGCCCTAGAAGTAAGACAGACCTAGCCACCTACAGGGACTGCCAGGACCACAATGTTTTGTGCTCATTGCTGTTGCTAACCCAGGATTTCCAGCAATCAGGAACTTGACCGTAGCTTTGATCGTGGGTCTACTGACAGACAACTAAATAACTGTAAGATCTGAGGGAAAGGAGAGAGGAATCTAAGATGTCTTATGTCCACATACCAACTCCCCATGGTGAATGGGATCGATATGCACCTCTGACATACACTAATACAAATTTTAAAATATTCATGTAATTTCATTTTCTCCAAAGGTAATTTATTATCGCCATAGCATAGTTATTGCCAAAACACAAACTTTTCTTATAAGGCCATCGATGTTACGTACAAATTCTTCCTTTAGAGAAAAATGTAGAGGTGCAAGGAGTGTCTTTTCCTTTTCAAACCACACTTCAACACTTCCTGGAACACAAGTTTAATTTGAGTGTGGCCATGATTAATGTACAATAGCAAACACAATAATAGAGAACTACTATTCCAAAAGAGAAAACGTGTTTTCCCAATTCTCCCCTAACTCAGGAACTTAGTGGTAATAGCTGGTTTTCAGGCCAGGTATCATCCAACGGATAGAATGGTAGCCATTGTGCAGTGTGCAAGAATTTAGGAGTTATTCAGAGCCTGAGCTCTGACGCATCCACTGCATTATGATGCATTACTATTATCTGGCACTGATAAAAAGATTAGCTTGTTCCAGAGATACCCAGGTATAGCAGATAAAGTCAAGAATTGCCTGTTTTCTTAATCTGATTTCTCCTCATAATAGGAGAAACCTCTTTTATTTGACCCAGCCTGCCTTCCTCCCTCGTTCCTTGATTCCTATTAGGAACAGATATGTAATAATTCCTATAATGCACCCAGCACTATGACGGGAATACAGAAAAGCTAGTTTATTGGCTTTCGCAGAAATACAGAAGGGCTAGTTTATTACCTTTCCTCAGGGAGTTCTCTTTCTGGAGGGGAAACATCCTCTAAAGAGGTGACTGTAACATAAAATAAGCATGTCTATAGGTAGCAGTCACTCTTGGCAGGGTGCCACTCAGTCTATTTGGAGAATCAAGGAAGGTGTCTAGAAAGATGACACTTATCCGAATCTCAAAGGCCACATGTACTCTAAATTTGCCAAGACTGGCTTTTCACATAGAGGGAGCTGAATACATGGGGCCAGAGACTCATGACTGCCAGTTGTGAATGGGGCGGTTGAGATGCTTAATACTGGCATGAAGCTTTGCAAGAGCAACAGAGATAAAACTAGAGATGAAGATTAGGGTCAGATCATGAAATGTCTTGTGTACCAAGAAATTTGATCTTAACTCTTGGTCAAGATGCTGTGTCTGAACCCCACACATAGCTAATCTAAGGATGGAGCCTAACACATGCTACACTTGTTATGTAACAAGAAGTTAATTTATTGCATACTTTGGGACTTTGGGACCTAATTAGATTTTGGGTACTAGGACTTAATTTTTCTTAGAACTTGGTTGAGAAAGACTGAGTGAGGAATCTGTACGACTTCACGCCTGTGAACTCTGTGACCACACTATGAATCAGAATAGGCTGTAGCAAGTAGCTGGAAGACCAGAAAAAGCTTTTCATAATTGTCCAGATGACAGAGATGAGGGCTTGAATTGAAGAGGTGATACTAGGATGGAAAACTCTTCTCTAACATAAAAAAACAACAGGAATAGGTTACCAATTAGATGAAGCGCATACAGAAAAGGCAGAAGTTAAGCTTGAGTCCTTAGTTTTAACAATACCATTAACGTACAGTAAGAAAAATGTTTTGTAGGGAGTAATAATTTATCCAATTTAAGACACATTAAATTTGGTGTCCCTATAAAACATCCAGTGGCTGAGGACCATGAAAGTAGCAGTTAATATGAATCTCAAGACAGAGGCCACAGAACAGTTTTAGTAAATAGCTATCAGCGCTGGGCACTGTTGTAGGCATTTAACGTATGCCAGCAATTTAGTCTTTAGACTAAATTGCAGAAGCACTCGTATTTCTATTTTGGGGATGAATGAGGTAAGGAACAAGGTGAGTAAATAATCTATCAAAGTCTCATAGCTAGTAAGAGGTGGAGCTAAGTTTAAACTCAGACACTGTATCTCAGAGTTGTATAAATACTGTTCCATAAATATGGGACTTTGAGAATTTACAGGTGTCACAGAAGCCACTGGAGAAATAATTGGAAAAATACAATGATGAACATCTACTAGGATTCCTATAGAAAGCAAGCAAAAAAGATGAAGCCTTAAACTGTGTTTCCGTGGGCTTCATTGCCTGATACTTAGATTTTTTGGTTAACCTTTATGGATGTGCTCTTTGACAAAACTACTCCCGTCAGTGCTGATTAGTTTGAACACCTTTAATTGGTTTCTAATGTAACATAAATAATGAATTCAAATCCACATCAATGTAACATTTATAGGTAATAAACAGTAAATGAAAAATACATGTGCTAAAGTGAAATGATACGATATAACACACTGAGTACACTTTCAAGCTAGTTACACCTACATGGTAGTTAGGAAAGTATCTACAACATTCTTATATAATAGACACATGCCACTATTTGTTACTTAATCATATTAAAACATCATAAACATGTTAACTACACATATACACACATGTATGTTACCTCTCGTTTCATCATTAAGCAAAATCAGTAAAATGTTTACCAATACTGATTTATTTTCCTACAAGGTACAGTCATGTGTCTCAGAAAATGTGTCCCTTTTGGGGCTTGGGACCTAGATGTGGATGCCAGTTTTGCCTGCTTCAGATAGAAATGTACAGTCCGGCCTAGTCTATGATGAAGTCTGCAGCCACAAATAGAATCAGCAAAAGCTCAGAAGCAGAAAATTGATATGATCTCTTGCTTGGGCTGGGGATTGAGGGACAAAGTTATATTTGAAAAAGTAGAATCATAAGAAGTTCTTAAAGAGTGTTCAAAATTATAGGAGTGCCTAAGTGAAGGGCAGAGTGCTCCAGACATTGGGAAGGGACAAGGAGAGAGGCAGGCAGTGGGCCAGACTGAAGTAGGCTTTGAGCTAAATAAAAGACTTTGGACTTATTTTTTGTCATTTTGTCCCTGATATTATCTAAAACCTCCCAGAATCTAAAGATCCAGATGAAAGACTTTGAAGTAAGCGCTGATCCAGTGCAGAACTGGCTGAGCAAAACTGAGAAGCTGGTGCACGAAAGCAGCAACCGCCTCTATGATCTGCCAGCAAAGCGGAGAGAGCAGCAGAAGCTGCAGGTGATAAGATGCAGCCATCTGACCACTGCTTTCCTCCCCTCTGTCCACCCAACCTGTGTTAAGATGCATGCTGGGCACCCTGGAGTCAGATCACGCTACCTTGAGATGTAGTATCTTCTGTTCCTCTTTCTGACAGAGTTCATGTTTTCTGACATTCCTTGAGTGTGATTTGTTGCCTTCCTGTAGTGTGCTAGCAACTGTGTGTAGCTTAAAAATAATGATGCCTTCAGGGGACACGGATTGCTTGCCAATGTTTACATCCGTGTTCTTTGGGCCGGAGCCCCGTCTGCCATGTGCTTTCTCCTGTCTCTGAATGGTAACTTGCTTGTGCTTTTCAGTCTGTCCTTGAGGAAATTCACTGCTACGAGCATCAGCTCAACAGGCTGAAAGAGAAAGCTCAGCAGCTGTGGGAAGGACAAGCTGCCAGCAAGAGCTTTATGCACAGAGTGTCACAGCTGTCTGCTCAGTATCTAGCGCTAAGCAATTCAACCAAGGTAACACATGGCGTGGCATGTGCTGTGTGTGAGTGTGATACTGATGTCTCAACCCTGGAGTTGTGGTAGGTGGTACAGGGTGCTAACACACCACGAAGTGGCATCCCTAGGGCAAAAATGAAATCCATAAGATCAGCTGTTCAGCTTTGAAATTCAAAGCCATCATTATATTGAGGCTTACAGTATGATTTTCCAGAACCAGCAGAGTAAGTTCCAAAGTTGAAGAATCTTCTGATCTCTGTTACTGCCCCCATTATTCCTCTTAATACTAAATGATATGTTCCTTGGGCTCTGATATTGAAGACTCAAAGCATAAATATAGACAAAATTTGGACTTTCTGCTATAAGAAGCTTGAATTAAATTATGTTCGAAAAACATAATTCTAAGTGTTTAAATTTTATTGTGCCCAATATGAATTTGAGGTAATTTTAAAAAATTCTCCACATTCCATGTATTCATTATATGGTGCTCAGGATGTGTTGATTGAGATTCTCAGTTCAAATTCTAAAGAAGAACTCAGAATTCTCAGTGATTTGTATAGCTGATTAAATCTCTTCAGATATCTTAAGCAGTAATCAGGATCCACTATGACCTCACTAGAAGCATTCAGCTGTGTGGTGCAGACCCATTTGAATATATGGCACAGGCTTGTTTTGAGCTTACAAGGCTTATAATATTCTTTTCCTATATTTTTAAATTTCAGATGCTAGTATATAGGAAATGTATAATAATTCAGTCTTTCCTTTAATTTGGTCTCACCAACTTCACTGTGAACTTACTTTTGCCCTGCTAATTTGGGTCTTCAACCCATCATCCTTGAGATGGTCACAGTAGTACAGGTCTTGGAGTAGTCAGTCCATGCTTATTTGATGAATATTACTTAAGAGATTCCAGCTCTAGCTGGGCATAGCATCATATGCCTGTGATCCCAGAACTGGGGAGGCTAAGACTGAAGGATCTTTAAGTTTGAGGTTAGCATGGAAGTTGCCCAGACTGTCTGAGAAAACTAAAAAATGGATTAAGAACAACTTTCTGTTCATTTGTGTAGCTATGAAAAGTAATACATATTTGAATGCTTTAAGAGGTGTGGACTATTCTTATGGAATCTTCACCACATTGGATATGACTTATAATTAATCAGTAAAACTATATACCTGGGCTCAACTTTTAAAATTGAGAGATATTCTTTATACCTTGTATACATGTACTGAAAGATCACACATTACCCTACAGATATGTAAATTACTATGTCAATTAAATATATAATTGTGTTGCATATATATAATTTAGGGCTATTATGAAATATCAGATTATCAAATTTTAAAACTCTGGCTACAGTAGGTCAGTGGGAATATGTGTATCGTTTGAGGTAAGGGTGAGATGTGAAAGCTAAAAACTATTGTGATGAGACCAGACAAAGCATTAGGAAGAAGTTTTACTAATTTAAAAAAAAAATCAGTCTGTCATAAAAAAAGTTGAGGGCTAATAAGTTGTAACTTTTGCTTGTGACCCCATGATTCTAATATTTTTTCCTACTTAGATTCTATGTAGATGAATCCACTCACATCGTATCTGTGCTATTGGAATTTGAAACCAATTGTGAACTTTATAGCTTGAGTAGCTTGAAGCAGGGGAGTTTCTGAAATGGACAGCTAGAAACTCATTTCTGTCATTTCCAGGAGAAAGTATCCAGACTGGACAGAATCGTTGCAGAGCATAATCAGTTCTCCCTTGGGATTAAAGAATTACAAGACTGGATGACGGATGCAGTTCACACATTGGACTCTTACTGCCACCCAACATCCGACAAAAGTGTGCTGGACAGCAGGATACTCAAGCTAGAGGTGAGCACTTTTAGAGAACTTTAGTTTACAGAATTTGTTTCCCTCAAACCTCTATCCACCTGCTGTGAATGTATCACACTCTACTAGAAATCTAAGGATGCTCTGGGATTAGCATACTGGTTGCATACAGTGGGCACGTCCAAGCATTCTTGCATTACTTGACCCTGGACCTAGCCCTGTACAAATGCCTCATAAAAATTAAAATAAACCCGAGATGTGGTTACTTGCTTAAAAGTCGATGAAGAGACTAGTTAAATTATATCACAGACACATTTACTTTGATGCAGCATTTTACAAGGCAAATCGTTGCCCATCTGATCCACACTTACCCACCTTTATCAGTTACTCAGTTTTTCTCTTACCCTAACTTGTCATTTCCATGTTGCATTTGCAGTGAAAATAGCTGACTTGTATTCATTACTTTTCCCTTGTATCCTGGGCACCTTCCAGGAGACTAGCATTCTGTCTGAACACCAAGGAATCAAAGGTGAATAAGAGGTTGCTTTTGTCCTCAAGAATTTAATTTCCTGAGGCTCAAAGTGAAATAAAGGGGACAACAGTATCAGATGGGGACATGCAAATAGGCGACATAAAAACACACAAGAGGGGAACTGTGTGGAATGGATGTGGTTTCTTAAGACACCTGTGTATGGTGGACAGAGCAATTCTGGCCAAGATAACTTGGTGGAGATTTAAGAATAATATCAGGGAGAGAGAAAATGTAAGAAAATCTAGAGCATCGTACATGAGAAAGTACATGAGAAATTCCTCACCGCTCCTTCTTACAGATGTGAGGCCACAAAAGGTGGAACTGAGGTTGAGACTGTGACAAAGTCCAAGATCCAATTAGGAAGAGAGAGAGGGCTTTATCTTTTAGGGCACACTCATAAAAGAGAACTTCCAGAACTGCATCAGAAAGTGGCAAGAATAAGGAGTACTTTGAGAGTTACTAATGGCAATGGATCTTTTACTGTAACACACTTTTAAATTTAAACTTTTGTGGTACTTTTGCCATATCTCATATAATCTCTGTCCATAAATTTGATTCTATAAATTCCTTAACATTTAGAAGCCTTTCATCGTGTGACCTTTGAGACTTAATGAACTCCATACTTTATTTTTTCTCTTGTTAAAACTAGCAAAACAAAACGTCAGTGGACATAAAAGATTATTCAAAGAAGACTCCAGACCTGTGATGTGGAACTCACAAAGAAACCAGCAGGGGCCTGGTGACTGGCACACAGCAGTGAGAGACTTCCCAGGGGAACTCCACGCCACAGTCGCATCCCGCTCTATAACAAGAGCCTCTCTGTTTGTTTCTTTAGGCGCTGTTATCAGTGAAACAGGAAAAAGAGATACAGATGAAAATGATAGTCACCAGGGGGGAGTATGTGCTGCAGAACACCTCTCCGGAAGGCATTCCTGCAATTCAGCAGCAGCTGCAGGGTGTGAAGGACATGTGGGCATCCCTCCTGTCTGCAGCCATTCGCTGTAAAAGGCAAGTGACATGCCACCCGAGGGTGGCCAGACCATCACTATCAACACGATATTTAAGTCACAGACTATTCTTGTCCTTATCTTTTTGTTTCTCTCCTCTTCTTTCTTTTCTCTTTCTCTCCTGTCCTCTTCCCTTTTTCCCCTCGCCTCCCCTCCCCACCACCTCTACTTATTAAAGCAAATGAAACAGGCAGGTATAATCTGGCCTTAAGGGTAACCTGCAATATTATGCTTATTTTTAAACATAACCAGCTAAATATGAAGGTCTCTTTGTTATTTTTGTTCACCATTTAAAATCAAAAGATACATAAATGTGTCATAATACAAAGATAATTTTGATTAAAAGCAAGTAGCAGGATAGCGTGGGACAGATGGATGAGAGAGGGAGGCAGCCGGTAAGTATCCCCAGGTCTAAATAGATCCCCACAAAGCAAAAGGCACTGACCTGGCAGAGGGTGACCCTGGGAGCTGCTGCGCTGCCTGTGCCTCAGAGTGCATGGGGTAGTGTGACAAACTCCTAGACAATAGGAAGGCAGTGGACAACTTCCCCTAACGTGGTGACAGTCTGTGAACCTCCTTGTGAAGCTGAGCAGGCCACAGGGAACAGTGTTCTCAGGCTGAGAGGCCCACTGCCCTGGGTGACATTTTACTACAGTGGTCAGTGGGCTACAGAAGAACCCAGGTGATGGTATCAAAATTTGTCTCAAGTGATTAATGAAATTAAAGATATAAGATGTACATTGAGACAAGGAAGAATTTGTCTATAAGATGATATTTAGACCAATCTGGGACTACGACTATCTTACCCTCGTGATTTTCAGCTTATTAAATCTCATGTGAGATCGGTACTGTACTCAATTTCCGTCCTTTTGTTATTAATCCCTTTCTTTCTCTGCTGCCCTGAATGTCACGTTGAACTTGAAAAAACATTGGTTCTTGCCATGCCCAGAGATTTGGCTCCAGAATAGGATCGCTCTAATTCCCCTCTCCCAGTGTCTGCTGTGTCCGCCTCTTTGGTTGGTGTGGACCTTTCTACCTCTGAGCCTGGATTTTCCCTTGCTTCCGTCCCTTGCTTCTGGAGGCCAGGCTCAGTTTGGCCAGCCCTGGCCATCCGTGGCTTCCTTCCCACACCGGCCCCTTTGCTGTGGTCTGCGCCCTCTGCTGGCCAGCGTGGATGGAGCTGACCTAAGCACAGACCTCAGGCTCAGCAAGGGTTCTCAGTGGAAATTACTGTCCTTTCAAACCCTTTCAGTCAACTCGAAGGAGCGCTTTCGAAGTGGACAAGCTATCAGGACGATGTTCGACAGTTCTCTGGTTGGATGGACAGCGTAGAAGCCAACCTAAGTGACTCCGAAAGGCAATGTGCAGAGCTGCGGGAGAAAGTAACCGCTCTCGGGAAAGCCAAGGTCAGAGCTGCGTTTCAGACTGACCTTCATCTCTTAGGGCTTCTTTAGAACGCCACAGCCCAACACATGTGCGCAGGTCTGTGTGCTAGGGTCACACTCTGGGTAAATGGTGTTTGAGCTTCTGTCTTGTACTATCATTTCCAGTCGTTCCTTGAGCAAGCTTTTGTGGTTTTTATTAGTGAGTGAAAATATTCTACACCAGGGCAATCATATACACACGTATTTTATAACGCAATTTACAATTTAGCTGCTTTTTAATATCTTTTAATAGATTCAGCCTGCACATCATTAAGATATATAAAAATGTTTCCTTTGTAGCACATTTTTTGATTTACGACTTTTGTGCATTCTCATGACAATTACATTAATGTAATACAAATCAACATTTTAAAAACATATCAATTATGGGGGCTGGGAATTTAGCTCAGCAGCATAAGTACCTGCCCTGTAAGCAGGCAGTCGTGAGTTCGATCCCTGATACCAATAAAAATGAAAAAAAGACAAAAAATATCAATTATGGATATGTTTTAAAAACTTTTATTGATAATAATATTCAAGCAAACTTTTGGGACTTTTGATCTATAGCAACAGCCTTGCTCCATGGCATATTCATCATCAGACTACCGTGACCTACAGAGAGTATTTGGCGCTCTCAGATTCTCACTTTGTGATCGTTTGGGTCCTCCCTACTTGACAGTACCACTACTGCTCATCCTCCTCACCTGAGCTTTAACGGGCACCTGGTTTATTATGATATTCATCTACTTGATCCGAATTACTGAGAAGTTTATGTATAGGCTTTGTGCCTCACTCTAGGCAAACAGAGTTGTATTCCAGTGAGGGTGCGTACACTTGACAATAAGCACATGAATTAAAATACTGTGACAGTAGTAAGGGCTATAAAGAAAAAAAGTAGTGTGGATTGAGAATGAGAGTAACTTGAAAAGGCTAATATAGACTTTTAAGGTTAAGATTGGGTGAAAGGGCTCCTTGAAATAGAAAACATGGTGACACTCCCCCTAACAGAGGTGTTCAGTACATTTCCCACAGGCTGCATGTGGCCCTGGACAGCTAATAATGTGGTCCCACAAGACTGTAAACTTTTGACAGTATTATGTGATTTTCTGTGATATTTTTCATGACCTGATTTTGAGGTGCTTGAGTGAGGAATGTGTAGGGAGCAGCGAACACTGTATATGGAGGTGCGGGGCAGGACTAACTCGACCTGCTGACCACGACACATGGTCAGTCCAATCAGAGCTGCACTGATCAGACGTTACATGCACTTGTATAAGTTTGCAAGTAAAATGCAGCCATCGCTGATAATATTTTATTACCTTCCCTACACTGTGAAGACAAATGCTTGCTGTTATTAAGTAGACATGTAAGTTTTATCTAATTATTAGACTTGAGCTTGAAATAATTTAATAAGTTAAACAAAGACTAAGTCAAATATCCCACCAGTTTTATATTAATGTTGACATATTTTACTGTTTGTTTGTTTTATTTTGTACAAAGCATCTAACTCAAGACCTTCTTGTCCTTACTAGGCAAGCATGTTTGAGCTGCTAAGCTAAATCCCCAGTCTCTTGATTTTTTTTTTGGGGGGGGGACATATTTTTCTGTTATAATAAAAATGTAAAAAATAAAGAAAAATGTGTTAATCACATACATTAACTGTATTATGTACTTCATCTACAATCCAAGACAATTTCTCTTCACTTAATGTGTCACCAAAGGCTTGGACACCCTTGCTGCCCTGGGATTTGTGGCACTGAGATCAGCATGGGAAGAGCTAGGAAAAGACAGTTCTAGAAAGAAACAGCAGCATGTGCAGGTCCTGAGGAGTGAAAGAACCCATGCAGTAGGGGTGAGGAGGGAAGCAGTGTTGCTGGAGCAGAGAGTAAGCAGCTGAGGTGCCCAGGGAGCAAGGATGGGACCTTCCTGCCTGTGGCAGCTTTGGCCTCCCTGAAGATCTTCCACTTGACCCTGCCACGGCTGAGAAGATGAGTGATGTTTTCTGCTAGGGAGTGGTGCAATTCCATTGTCAGTCCTAATTCATTTAGGCTGCTACGTGAAGAAGAGAAACAGGGATGGGACAGGATGGGTGAAAGGGCATGGCCTGGGAATCAGAACCCTGCTTATGGCTACGAGAAGTTTGAGATACTCAAGCAGAGAAATAAGGTAGTTAATTGAGAATTAGTATTGCAGAGAAAGAGTCTGAACCAGATATTACAAAAAGAGACACATAGGCACACAAAACACAAGTCAGTACACTCACATCTATGTCTGTATCACACAGATATGTAAATGTGTATATGAGTGGATGGATGGATAACCTGAGGTTACTTACCAGCTTTCCAATTAAAATGTCTTAATTTTAGCACGGTATGATGGTACATGGGTAACTCTTTTATTTTTCAAAATGTTTTCTAGCTGTTAAATGAAGAAGTGCTAAGTCACCGTAGTCTGCTGGAGACCATTGAAGTCAAAGGAGCCAGCATGACGGAGCACTATGTCACCCAGCTAGAGCTCCAGGATCTGCAGGAGCGATACCTAGCAATCAGAGAGAGGGCCAAGGTGGGGCTCACTAGGGTCCAGGAGACTCACCCAATGGGAGTGTGTGGGGCTGGGCTCATTTACGACTCATTGATTCTTTAAAATGTCAGTCTTGCAATAACAGAACAAAATAAGCTAAATGAATTTTAATATTTAAAAAGTGAAACTAACAAAACTTGACAAAACCTTTCAGTTACTGTTAGTATCTAAAAATCAGTAAACGAAAACGATTTTCAACTAAAAATTTCTAGAAATGCACCAATATCAGAAAAGTTGTGGACAGTTTCATATGTGCTATCTGGTGATAAGAGTTTTGGAAAGTAGAAAATAATCACCCTAATATTTATCATTCTTCACCTAAGTCTCATAAAGAAAATAAAAAATGCTTTCTAAAGAAGACATCCAGGTAGGAAATTTAAACAAAATTTAAAAAATTGCACAGTAAGTCTAATTTCTCCTATAAGGCACAATGTAAAATTTTGATTTTTATTATTAGCAAAAGTGAATTTTTAACGAAAATAAAGCTAATTTTTTTTCTTTTGTGTTACATTTTATAAATCCAGAGATCAGATAATGAATTAGACAACATGATCTTTAAGATCCTTTTTAATCTTGAAATATCGTATTTTGTATGTAAATCTTAAAGATTCATTCTTCTGGAAGTCAATCATACACAATTATTTAATAATTATGCTTTTGTACAATTCTTAAAGCACATCAATATTGCACATAGTAGTGTGTTCCTATCCTAATTATTTTAAATCTTTATTACTTACAGGAAGCAGTAACCAAATCTGAAAAACTTGTTCGTCTGCACCAAGAGTACCAGAGAGATCTAAAGACCTTTGAAGTTTGGCTGGGACAAGAACAAGAAAAACTTGACCAATACTCAGTTCTTGAAGGTGATGCCCACATTCATGAAACAACACTGAGGGACCTTCAGGTAAAGTCTGCTTTACCCAAAAACAAAGGACCCTCCTTCTGAATATGAATTTATTACTTCAAGGAATGGGAAGCTAATATGACTTTGAATCCTATGGAAAGCTGATACTTTCTTTTGGTGGGAATTAAACCCAGGGTCTGTGTACCAAGCCACATCCTCACCCCTCTTTTTGAAATAGCATTTCCCTAAGTTGTTAAATTGCCCAGCTGGACTTGGATTGCAGTCCTCCTGCCTCACTCTCCCCAAGTACTGGCATTATATGCCAGCATCACCACACACAGCTAGAAAGCAGAGGTGTATTAAGTATTAATCTGGAGCATTCTGAGACCTCAATGTTTATATATATATATGCACACACACACATACACACACATTGATGTTGCTTATGAAGCAATTTAGACCACAAGACTGGCTATCAGGGAACTCATTTGGTACCGGGGAGGCCCTGACAGGAGTTGTTGGCATTTAATTTATATATCCACTTACACATTGCCTGTTGTCCCCACAAGGATAGAGTCAGAAGTGTGACAAAGCAGCAAAGGTCCATAGACGGAGACATCACTCTAAGTCAGACTAATGCTAGTACGGTGGGCACCTAGTTTTATCAGAACCTCCCACACTATGGAAAACCCAAATCCAGGGTCAGAGTGCTAGAAGGAGGAATTAGAGGAGCTGGAAGAACGATTGACACTGAGGCCACAAGGCTGCAGCTGAGGGTTCAGTGTCACACACGGGAAAGAGAAGTCACGACCTGTTGCTTATTCACTCGTTCAGCATTAACTGAGTACCTGACACAATACAGGTGCCTTGCTGGTTACTTCATGTAAAGAAGACTGAGTTATCATTTCTACCTTTGAGGATCTTGCAATTCAGTGACTCCTACAAACTCATAGGTGGGTCTTTATAAGCAATGTGATAAGTAACATGAAGGATTCTGGGGTAGCTTCAAAGCAGTGGCATTAATATTGCCTTGAAAGGCAGGTAAAGGCAATGAAGTTTCCCATGAAAGGGCTTCCAGATATACATAGTGGAGACTTGGAGAAAGGCCAGGTACATATTCCATGTCCCACCAGCAGCCTTTAGGAACCTAGTTAGGTGCTCCCTGCCCTTATCAGAATTGGGTTAAGAGTGGCATGATGTCCCTACAGCTTGGACAAGGTGGAAAAAGCAGGGTCTGTCACTGGCATATGCAATGTCTGGCTGTTTCTGCTAGGTCCTATACACATGGTGGTACAGTGGAGGAGAACCCGTTTAGGTCAGCAAGTTCGCACTCTAATCCTCGTGAGATCTGTCACTAGTTGGAAGATTTCAGGCAAGAAAGATCTTCTCTGATTCAGCTTCTTCCAAAGAGTTGTTATGAAGATTACACAAGAAGGGAAAAAATCTTATCTAAATAAATATCCAGCCTAGTCACAAGATAAATGAATGGTAGAAGTAAATCACAATTTCATTAGCTTAATGATCTCATTCATCTGCCTCCAACAAGTACAGTGTCCTCCTCTGCCAGTTTAGACGTTGTCATTTATTTGAGCACAGTTGGTTTTCTTTTCTCTAATAACCCTTCTCAGCACTGCACCCGAGACATCCTAGCAAGCCCTCGAGGAGCACTCTGAACTTCTGTGTGGGAACCCAGCCAATAGGTTGCTCACCAGATGTTCCTCTTGCTTCTGGTCAGAAGAAAATATTTCACTTATGTCAGATTAATGTGGCCCAAACCAAATTCTAACCCCTGGCTTCCTCAAGAATTAATTCTTAAATCCTCTCCTTACAGTTACCACTTGTTAATGAAACAGGAAGGTGCTAGTGGCAGGAACAGCAGTGGAGCACAGTGATTCCCCAACTACACCACCGGCCAAGGTCCTTCCCCATCCCTGTGTCCTCTCTCCCTTTCCTGGTGGTGTGGAGATCAATGACCAGCACTGGGGACCATCGTCACAGCTGACTTGTATAAACTGAAGATTTTGCCTCATAGCATTTAACGATTCCTACATTTAAATATTGAACCACATTTTCCCTTTAGCATAGAGTTCAAATTTGAAATATATGAGAATTTAACTAATAAAATGATGATATATGGATAGATCTAATAGATAAAATTATGTTATAGGATATATGGAAAAGGTGACAGTGTGTGAGGATGACTAAATTAGGGCAGGGATCAGTCCATGGCCATGGTGCCTGCAGTATATGTGAAGTTTTACTGGTGCACAACCCAATGCTTCCCACTGATGTCCTATGTTAGTGCTGGGATGATGGAATTAAGTAGCTGTAGCAAGATCAGCAGGCCTGAAAGGCTAAACTATTTGCTATCAAGCCTTTTACAAGGAAAATAAAGTTTGTAACCTTGAATTAGGGGTAAAAGGTACAAAATTACCTTGGGAAAGAAAGCTTAAGAAACTGGAATGAAGTATCTGTGTGTTGGGCCATTTTTATGATACCTTAACCACATGTATTGCTCTTCTGTTTCCGCACTCATGCCATTCACATTGCATCGTTCTGTGAGAAATGTTACACTCAAAAGAAAATGTTCCATTCCTTTGGACAGTAAGAGATTGCTATGTTTTTCTGTGAGAAAAATGATAGCTATCAGCAATTTAGAATGGCTCATTGTGATAGCAAGGACTTTTTTCTTAGGACTATATTTTAATTAAATATGTTGATACCTTTTTCATTCTTAGTGGAATTTCACTTGGTTTTTTACTTGGATTTTACTTAGATGATGGTATCAAATGAAAATTTGGATTGGCTTTTTAATGATTAAAAACAACAGTTTATCTTAAAGGATATACAATTCTTTTTCTTTTTAGAAAAAGGTTATACTCTATAAGACCTAATTCTTATTGAATTTTGTGGGTTAAATCTTTGTGGGTCATGCCTCAGTACAGGAAGTATATTTGTGTCCGGGAGCACCTGGGAGGTAGTTGTGATGATCGACCTTCCCAGGTTTGTGTGTCCTGTATCAGGGCCAGCTTGTCCTGGCCACAAGCATTCCCTAGAGTGCAGCTCTAGCAAAAGTCCCCTCGTAACACAAAGAAGATCTACTGTTCCTTTCTGAGCCCCAAGTGTTGCACTAAGCCATTCAGTGTCAAAGCAAGACACCGTAGCTGCTTTGAGCAGAGTGGCAGCCATAATAGGCCTAGATTATTATTTTTGAATAATAGCCTTTCAATCATGAGCAGTTTTACTTATTAGCTGAAAGTCGAGTTTCAGAACATGCTGAGAAAAATTTGATAGGGAAAGGGGAACTCTGTGTCCATTATGATAACTGGAAATTTTTCAGAGTTTTTCTCTAAACTTGGGAAGTAACATTCAATGCTAGGTTCAGATTTTTATGTTTTGTTTTATTTTGGTATTGGACAAGATAAAATCAATTTTTCCTAATGGGAGCTGCAAGCTCACCCCGTTGGTTTTGTGAGACAAACTGGCCTGGGTATATCTGAGTGAGGTATGACAGCTGTACCTTTGTCCCTGCAGGAGCTCCAAATGCGTTGTGCAGAGGGACAGGCACTGTTGAACTCGGTGCTGCATACCAGAGAGGACGTGATTGTGTCAGGCATCCCCCTGGCGGAGGACCGGGTGTTGGAGTCTCTCCGGCAGGACTGGCAGGCTTACCAGCACCAACTCTCTGAGACTCGGACACAATTCAACAACATAGTGAACAAGCTGAGGTTGATGGAGCAGAAATTTCAGGAAGTAGATGAATGGCTTAAAAAAACAGAGGAGAAAGTTAGTCTCAGAACAGGACGCCAGTCTAACCGGGCAGCCAAGGAGATGCAGTTACATCAGATGAAGGTACAACAAGCACCTAGAAATGTCTCATATTTCTGAAAGCACTGGTTTATCTTGCATAATTTGTTTTATTAATATTTAGTAATTATTTGACCGAGACTTAAATTTTGCAAAGTCTCTTTCTACTCATCTAAAAATTTAAAATAATTAAATGGAGTATTTTTTCTTTCATTTTTTTTGTAGTTCAGCCTTTGATAGAATGTATTTTGATGGAAATATTTTATATTTTCTTCCCATGTTCTACGATTGCCTTGTTTTATAAAAATACATAAACAGTAACATTATAGATATATTGTTTGTGCTTCTGATGTGAAATTGCTCTAAAATGCTACACTAAAATCATAATTATAATTTTATTTTAATTATTATATAATTTCCATGTATACATCCAAACTCATGCGTAGGTAATTTTTTTACCTACCTATTTTAAATTTTATCTGAGTGAAAAACAAGATACAAATAAAATATATATGCCACATTGCTTTTTAAAAAACTTTTCTATTAAATTGCAACATATGATCAAAAGTATTCAAACTCATAAGCATACAATGTTTATCAGATCATTGTGAGACCTTTGTTTACCAGAGTTATATATGATATATCTTCAAACTTATATCTCACACTGTATTCTAACACATGCTGAACTAATAATGTTCCATGAAGAAGAAAGTATAGACTATCTGTCTTAGTTAATAATGGCTAGAATGGAGTCTTTACATCTGATTCCACATTATTTCAGAAATGGCGTGAAGAAGTGACTGCACATAAAGATGAAGTCGAGGAGGTGGGAGCTAAAGCCCAGGAGATACTGGATGAGAGCCACGTGAACAGCAGAATGGGCTGCCAGGCCACCCAGCTGACCTCCAGATACCAGGCCCTGCTCCTCCAAGTGCTGGTGAGAATGGACCACCCCGTGATGCACCCAAATGTCCTTCTTCCCATTAGCCTCCAGTGCAGGAGCGTGGTGATCGATCCACAAAGGCCCCGGCCTGCCCTTTCACTGATGGCTCCATTTTCTCTTTTCTTTCATAGGAACAAATCAAATTCCTGGAAGAAGAGATTCAGAGTTTGGAAGAATCAGAATTATCTCTCAGTTCCTATTCTGATTGGTATAGCTCTACTCATAAAAATTTTAAGAATGTGGCTACCAAAATTGAGAAAGTAGATAAAAAAGTGATGGAGAAAAAATTGAAGACATTAGAGGTAGGCATGCATTCTTCAGGTTCTTCTCTGGCCTTTTCTCTTTCGCTGGCGTCCTCTTGGAAACAGGTGTGTTCATCCTGCTCCATCTGATGAGTGTCCCTTGACTCATTGTTTCGCTCCAAATATTAAGTCACAAGCTCTTTTAAAATCAAAACCTGGCTTTGTGATGTGGCATCAGAAAGTGAGAAAGACAGACAGACAGAAAGAGAGGAGAGAGAAAGACAGAGAGAGCAGTGGGGGAGAGACACAGAGAAACAGAGAGACAGCGAGAGAAAAAATAATCTCAAAGAATGAATCACCCAGTGGTCTTTTTAAGTTTTTGGCTTGGGAATGATATATTGATCAAGACTTTTAAAATGTCTATTGAAAGAGAGACACAGAGACAGAGACAGAGTCAGGGAGACAGAGATAGAGACTTCCCAATGTTTGAAAGTTCAGACTGAGAAGCAAATTTCAGAAACGTATGTCAAAGGCATATAGGTAGACCTAAAAAGTCTTTTCTTTAACAAAAAAAATAAGATAAACTCTCTGTTCGCTGCCTTTGTCAGGTTTTGTTAAAAGACATGGATAAAGGCCACAGTTTGTTGAAGTCAGCCCGGGAAAAAGGAGAGAAGGCAGCTAAGTACTTGGAGGAAGGCGAGGCAGAGATGCTAAGAAAAGACATCCATGATCAGGTGGAGAAGCTTGAGGAACTGACCGGCACCATGAGAAAAGAGCACGTGACTGTGGAAAAAGGTCTTCATTTAGCAAAAGAATTCTCAGATAAATGTAAAGCGCTGACTCGTTGGATAGCAGAATACCAGGAAATTCTACAGGTTCCTGAAGAACCCAAAATGGAATTATACGAGAAGAAAGCTCAGTTATCTAAGTACAAGGTAATGCCTGTTACATGTTGATAGATGTGTATGGAGGGCAGGCACAACATGGGAGGGAGATATTCCTGATGTGTATCACCCACATGGATGCTGAAAAGCATCCCTGACAAGTCTGTTCTACTGGTGAGTGATGCCATGTCTATGTAGACAACAACTGGGAGTTATTTGTCCATTCAGAAATCTGGTATCTAAAAGTTGGACCAATAAATTCACTGATTGTAACAGTCAGTAAGTGGAGGCCTTTTGTGACTGTGATCCAGGTAGAAATCTTGCTGGGTCTAGTTCCCATATCTGTAGATTTTTATCTGAGATGATCTATGGTAATTGAAAATAATATACTATATTCGACAGAAGGTTCTAATTAATCAACTATAATTAAACAATTAATTGAAATTAATTTTTAAAGGAATAAAAGTGATGCAGACATAGCTATACACAATATAGAGACAAATAGTTCACTTGCTCATAATTTAAATATATTCATTCAAGCTTATATGTAGATAATTTGTTTTTTAAAAGGACCAAAATGCTTACACAGTTTTGCTTATCCCAAAATTTGTCCTTTTGTAAGCATCTCAATGAATATGTCTATTTCTGTGCTTGCCTCTGTGTCAAGCCAGGCAGCTTGTCATTGGAGATGTCACATACAAATCACGAACCATTCTCCCGCCCCTGCACCAGATTCCTGATATATTTAAATAGTGCTTTTGGCCTATCTCAGGGAGGTTGCGCTGGAATTTGCCCCCCTTAACACCACTTCTAATTCAAGATAGAGCTAATTAAAGCTAGAATACACTTCATGGACTCAAAATCAAAAGACAGTGGCCTCACTCTGTATTATATTGAGATGCTTTTTTTCATTTTGAAGAGAATGAAGTATAAGCCAGAAATATGAACTGTGTTAAATTTAGTCAAATATAATTCTTTTCCATGCTTTCATCTCTGCGTATGAAATGCTGTTTGATGAATTACTTTCCTTCTGTACCCATATTTGAAAACCACATTAGCTACGGTGAATCATCTCTTTATAATGTTTTATACTTGTTGATTCATAAACAGTACGCCAGAGCTCTCTCTGATGTACGTTATGTGTTGCATGCCACAAACACATGTGCATATTCATCTTACGTGAATGAATGAACAGTCTTTGATTTTTTTTTCTTTATAATTCAAGTCATTGCAGCAAACTGTACTGTCTCATGAACCAGCAGTCAACTCAGTGAGAGAGAAAGGTGAAGCTCTTCTGGATTTGATCCAAGATGTTACTTTAAAGGACAAAATAGACAAACTTCAGAGAGATTACCAGGACCTCTGCAGCATGGGAAAGGTAAAGAGCGATCAGAGATCCAATCAAATTGTTTGCCAAAAAATGTGCACCCTGGCTCGTTTGCCTATGCCAGATAGTTTCAAGACTTGCTATTAGTCAGTGTTTTTCCTTTCATCAGGTTGATATATAGATGGCCTACAGACTAATTTTTCCCCATTCCTGGTAACTTTCTTTTGATTGATTGATTGACTGATTGATTGATTGATTGATTATCAGTTGCTGTGAATTAAACCCAGGACCTTGTGCATGCTGAGCATATCCTCTTCATCCCCCATCCCATTCCTAGTACTTTTCCGCTATCAAGTAATTCTTCCTACTCTTTGAGTTGCCCTGAGTTTTTGAAATACAAACTCAGTCGTTGTGCTTGAAAGTTACCTCTAACAGGTACCTTGTTTTACAGGAACATGTCCTCTGCCTGGAGGCAAAAGTTAAAGACCATGAAGACTATAACAGTGAGCTCCAAGAAGTGGAGAAGTGGCTGCTGCAGATGTCTGGGAGGCTGGTGGCACCTGACCTTCTGGAGACGAGCAGCCTGGAGACAATTACTCAGCAGCTGGCCCATCACAAGGTACATATGGTCCCTAAAGAGCTGACCTCAGGATGGTTGTATTGTCTTGTTTCTGTGTGTGTGTGTGTGTGTGTACTTACATGCATACAAGTACAGCTCTGGGTTATAAAGACTCCTCTTAAGAAGTCAGGTCTGGAACTCAAACAGTGACAGTCACAAACAGTTGAACCTGATACTCAAGTAAATCAGGATAGTTGAATCTTAGCATTCAACTTCTGAACCCACTGTTGCTTTATTTACACTATTCTTAGCTAGCAGCATTTATCTCCGGATCTAGTCTTCTTGGAGCCATTTGTCAAAGCAATGCCTTCCATTTTAGAAAAATGCAGCAAATGCAGAAAGTCTAGACTCTGAGCTGAATGACTGAGGGCACTTAGCCACTCCCAACCTCCTTGTTAGCCTTTGTAATGGCAGAAACAGTATCAGTCCTTGTCATAAGTGCTGTGATAATCACGTAAGATGATGTGCATGAAAGCATTTTGTAAACTATAAAGTTCAACACTAATCTAGGGTATTTTTATCTTTACTAATATTTATTTTTAGTAATGATGTATACCAGATGACTGGTTGAATCATTCATTGGTGATCTTTAGGGAAAATATAGTAATTTTGGTCAAGATATGGTTGATATCTGCATTATGCCTTTGAAAAACCAATCTCTCTGCATCTCCATCAGAAGAAAAATACTTATTTAATAAATATGAATAGAAAAGCAACTACTGTACCTTTTACTCAGCACCAAAGAAATGCCAAGCAGGGGCAGGCTGTCTCCACAGTCACCTCACGGTATGGAGATTCTCTTCCACCATGAAGACGACATGGTTCTTTTCAGTGTAGCATATTTAGCATCCACTGACCTAGCACCATTGAAGAAAAAAGTGGGTCAGCACTGCTGTAGCATTTTCCATGTGTCTATAGGTACAGCAGGGTGCCAACCCAGGCAACCTGGGCCACTTGTCATTAGCGTCATAGAGCAGTGAGGCCATTAAAATCTGATACGAAAAAGCTATTTTTCCCTCCTTAGTAATATATGTGAATGCATATATTATATATATATGTGTGAATGTAGATCTGGGTAATGGCTTACACTGGAACTCATGGATCTGTGTCTTAAGCTGGGTGCAGGGTGCTGCCATATACTATTGTGCTATTGGTAGTATGTTATGAGACCTCTCTGAGTTTCAGTCTTCTCATCCATGTAACAATGACAATGCATATTTAATAGGGCTTATATATAATTCCTTTACAATAGCAGGTGCTAAATAAATGGTAAGTATGTATGCTATTTTTATTGATATAAACATTATTACAGGGCTGGGGATTTAGCTCAGTGGCATAAGCACCTGCCTTGCAAGTGTGTGGTCATGAGTTCGATCCCTGGTACCAAAAAAAAAAAAATTATTACATGTAAATTGTGTATTATGTAATCAATAATTAGATTTTAGGTTATTGCAAAAGTTTGACATTAATTATTAAATAAGTTAGATATTGGTAAAATTAGACTAAAGAATAATTCAGTTGTTTTAGAAAAAAATTATACCAGAATTATATTTTATAGCTCTGATAAATAAATAGGCATCCTTTTGTTTGGTAGTAATATGATGGAACAGATATTTCTGCAAGACACTGTATCTGAAAGTTACTTGATCATTGCCAATGTATATAAGTGCTTAAACTCATGAATGCTACCTATCAGATTACCCCTTAAAACATATGTGTGTTTTTCAAAATTTACATAATTTACCTCCTTAAACAATTAAGGTAGTATGGTAGATTGCATAATTCCTTCAAAAGCCTTTTTAGATGATGAAATTATTGACCTTAAATTTTCTAATTATGAAGTTTGTTTCAGTGAAAAAGAGAATTATGAGGATTCTATATCTGATGCATTTTTGCAGGCCATGATGGAAGAAATTGCTGGTTTTGAAGACCGTTTGAACGACCTGAAAGTTAAAGGTGACACTCTGCTTGGCCAGTGTGCAGATCACCTGCAAGAGAAACTGAAACAGAGTGTGCGTGCCCACCTTCAGGGCACAAGGGACAGTTACTCAGCAATCTGCAGCACAGCCCAGCGCGTGAGTACCCAGGAACTTTCTGTGACAGTGATGAATTATGCCCAATTCATGGAATTCATGCCCACATCTCTGAGATCATCTTGGTGTGTTGATAGACAGGAAGAGAGGATTTCTAGTCTATAAGTGGGATCTTTTTCTTTCCTTTTTTTTTTTTTTTTTTTTTTTATCGGTACCGGGGATCAAACTCACGAATGCCTGCTTGCAAGGCAGGCGCTTATGCTTGCTGAGATAAATCCCCAGCCCCAATAAGAGATCACAAGCTAGTACATCACATATTTCACTGATGTGACTAAGTAGTGAATTGCAGATACTCAGTTCTCTATAAAGTTTTATCTCAAAAATTAATTATAAATAAGATGCTAAAAAGGGTTTTTTTTGTTTTCATTTGTATACCAAAGCTTCTTTCTAAATTGCCATCTAATTTATTCTATAATAGTAAAATAAATACATTTATAACAATTTTTATAAACATTATTTTTAAATTGTAGCCTAGGTTCAGTTTTAATTCAACATTTTAAGTATTCGTATAGAAATTGAGAAAAGGTTATTGTGAAATGAGCTATACCTTTTCTCCTTTCATCATTTTTTATTAGTACATGTTTTGGTGCATAATGTTTGCATTCCTTGTGGGGAGTTGGTATATGTGCATAACACATCTTACTTTTATTTATCCCTTTCCTGTTCCCTTTCTCCAACCTTGGACCCCCTTCCAATCTGAGAAAGATCTATCTCCCTCCTTCTTATTATGTATCTTTTATTTTGCTCTTTATTTATATTTTGGTTTTCATATCTAAGAGAAACTATGTAATATTTAAGCTTTTGTTTCTGATTTATTTCATTTAACAAAATGGTCTCAAGTTATACATTAGTGGGTGTATGACCACTAAAGTAAAATTCTTATAAGAATAAGTCTAGGGTGAGTAACAATTTCTCTTTTAATAAAAATTTAGTATAATAACTAAATTGGTTTCTATTGGTTTTTAAATGGTCCTGCAGAAAATTCTAATAAGCCAGTGTGGTGCCATAGCACACACGCACTGCAACGGGCATACAGAGCCTGCTCTGTAGGCCCACAAGCCAAGTCACCCTGCGTCACCCCAGCAGCCAAGCAGAGGATATTCAGGTTGAATTGCTGTGTTGGAAATTTGTGGAAAATAAATGGGCTTGGGCTTGCAGTTTGGGTGCTCAGTCTCTACAAGCTTCACCATCACTGGTGAAGGTTTTGAAAAGTTTTCTATGTAATTTTGTTACTGGGCTGGCCTATAAGCACTGGCACAATGCCGTGACCTGGGGAGAGCATTCTATGTTCACTGTGAAAAGAAATCCTCAATGATATTAGTTGACTCCCTAGGTTTGAAATTTTTACCTTCAAAAAATTAAGAAAAAGAAAGGATAATTACAAGTAAAACTAAAAGAGAAAAGAGAAAAAATACTTGGCTCAGACATGAAGCTTTGGGTGAACTCAGTTCATTCACTCATTCCATAGAGATTTATTGGTTACTGGCTTAGTTTATATAGCAGGAATAGACATATTATGCACACGTATCAATTCTCCATAAGAAGCATAAACACTATGTAATACAAATATGTATTAATAAAAATGGGAAAAATTACATCATTGAGAGAAAAGGTGCAGAAATTTTTGACTTTGTGAGTTTGTGGCCTTTTACTTTGTTGATTTAATGCATTGTACCTAATAAATTTTGACACTTACATGAATTTTGCCCGTTTTCTCTTCCCCTGGTGAATATATTACATTGTGACATGTGGATTGAGAAGTTATAAACCCATTGCATTTTGCAGCATTTCTTAGCTGAACATATACAACCACCCTAAATATGCATGTGGTATTGGAGAGTCCAGGGAGGATATCCGTTGAAATGGATCGGTCAATGTACTGCATTTAGTTTCTAAGATGTTTGTAGAAACAGAAGGCTACTCTCACAACTTCATTATAACTGTTCTGCCTCAGGTGTACCAGAGTCTGGAGCATGAACTTCAGAAGCATGTCAGCCGGCAAGATACCCTGCAGCAGTGCCAGGCCTGGCTTTCCACGGTCCAGCCAGACCTAAAGCCAAGTCCACAGCCACCTCTTAGCCGGGCAGAAGCCGTCAAGCAGGTTGTGGATTCCTGAAAGTTTATTATTTGTATGACTCATTTAGTCCATCAAAACATATTAAGTATCTGTGATGTGCCCAGCTGAGCTGGGCATATAAAAGTATAAATAAGGTGTGAGTTTGGCTCGCCTCATGTTCATGTTCCAGCCAGCAGGATGTATTGCCCTGGTAGAATAGAGTTCAATAATCAAAGATGAACCATAAAAGCTAAATCACCTAATTTTTCTGAGCCTATTTCCTGATACATAAAGTGACCATGATAAAGATAGTAGTTCCTTTTTATTTATGTGAGGCTGGTTGCAGGATCCTTGTGAATACCAAAATCTGGAGATGCTCAAGTTCTTTGTATAAAATGAATTTGCAAATAACCTACTCATATGTTCCTGTAGTCTTTGTACTATCTCTAGATTACTTACAACACTTAATGTAATGTAAATAGCTGCTATGTGCTTGTTCAGGGATGGCAAGAAAAAAGTCTGTACACTTGCAGCACAGACAAGATTTTGTTTTTTCTGACTTTTTTGATTTGTAATTGGTTGAATTTGTGGATGCAAAACTCACAAAGGGGTAACTATGTACACACTTCTGAAAGCTATGATGAAGTTCAGATATAATACCACAAATAATCCTGATTTATAAAAGAAAAAGCAATACCATCTTCTAGTTTTTTTGGCACAAGATGCTTTATAAATTATTATAAATGAATGACTGATGGAATGTTAGCTGTCATCATGAAAAAGAAATTTATTGCATAGTAATATGTTATCCAGAAGCTTAAAATTTTGTTGCTGAAACTTCATTAGAATATAGGAGAAATGTTTTTTAAACTTTGTACTAAGCAACATTTATATGCAGCATTAACTTTGTGGAAAATATCTTAGGAGAATTTAGTTGCAAAACTTATTGCTGCTAGTCATGAATTAATGATATTAAGTAAATAATTCCATCTTTATTGGAACCAAGATTGATGCAGTTCCTTTAATTCCCAAACACAATGTATCTACTTAATTGATTCCCATATCTACCTTATGTCTTAAATGATTTACATTAAGTAGTGAAATAGTTCTTATGAATACTGTATTACATTGTATAAAAGAAGAGCATCAGGACAAGTGAAACATGACTCTTTTGGGTGAATTAAATGTCTGTACTCTGCGATTTCATTGGATTGAGATTTCTTTTGTCATTCTTTTTCTTGTGACTCTTTGTTACCAATTTGTTTTATTCAGGGCAATTAAAAATAAAGCTTCATTTTTCTCCTTTGTTATTAAGAAAACAAAAAGAGAGAGAGAGAAAATTATTAATCCCAATGGCCTTTTGCTAGAATAAGATGCAGTTTACTATATTCTCCAGAATAAATTGTACCCAGGGCCGAAAGACCACTGCAGATTTTATGAAGGTGGTAGAGATTCACCTTCAGAAGCTTTCCTGAGGGCTTCTAGGAAGGAAAAGCAGGAAAGGAATTTCCAGTAAAGAAAGTAAGCCAAGCCATCTGTTTTTGGTTCACTCCAGTGAACTTCCAGATTCTGATCATGGCCTTGTCTCCAAAATATCCACAACCATGTTTGGAAACAGATCACAGTAGACTATGAGTTCTCGCTCTGAAATGAAAAGTAAGTGAGAATAGGCAGAGAATCTGTGAGGCCCAGAGAAATGTCTTGGGTTTTCCTCTTTCTTAAACAATGTGGACAACCTTACTTAAAATGAGAGCAAATGGTGGATAGAATAGCTCCTATCAGTGTACTTTGTATTATCGCCTATAAATCACTAACAAACGTCAAAAAAATGGTAAAAACAATGATCATAAGGAGACTATTTTTGAATGTCACCAAATTTCAACCAATGGTGAAATACTTGCTACCTAAATAATGCACATATCTATCTCCCTCTGACAGTTGCTTTTTTTCCCAGGTCAAACACTTTAGAGCTTTGCAGGAGCAAGCAAGGACTTACTTGGATCTCCTTTGTTCCATGTGTGACTTGTCCAACTCTTCGGTAAAAACCACAGCAAAAGACATTCAGCAAACAGAACAAATGGTAAAAATATTTCAAAAAAATATATTAAATTTTCTGTTTCATTGTGTTCTCTTGCTAGAGTGTTATAAGTGATGTTTAAAGAAAATATCTCTTGGCTTATCATTGCCATAATATTTGTATAGCCATTATAGTAAACCAATATTTAAATTTCAAACAAGTCAAAGAAATATAAGCTTGCTGATACTAATGACTGAGTCACAGCTGGATCATGTAGTCTCATTCAGTTGCTACTGATTAGCAACTTCTTCCTCTTTGCTCCTTATGGTAATTATTACCATTGTTTTTTTTCTTCTTCTTCTTCTTCTTCTTCTTCTTCTTCTTCTTCTTCTTCTTCTTCTTCTTCTTCTTCTTCTTCTTCTTGTTCCACGCTTTTTTTCCTTTTCTCTTCACATAATAATACTACGTGAAGGACCTCTTGACTCTTTTTAAAATCAAGATGTCTGGTAGCTTGACTCAAAATCAAGGCGGCTGATGCTGTGGTACTGAGCAGGGTTCTGCAGCTGTGTCTGGCCTCAGTGGGAAGAGTTAGGATGAGTGATGCGTCCCTGACCACGTGGGACAGAGGGTAGCTCAGGAGTGCCATGCTCACACTATTGCTGCATAGCCTGCAACATTTTCATTTAACACACTCAAGTTTAAAAGAAAAATAAGACTAAGTTAGTTTAACTTACAAAGTATTTACAGAATAGTAAAATGATCAAAAAGAAAAATACGTTAATATACTAAGGTTTTCCTGTTTCATATTATTAAAACTAATCTGTCTTTGAATCCTTGTGAAAGATGACATGATCTGCATTGTGTTATGGAAATATAATTCTCTGGCACAAATTATATAGTTTCAAAAACCAGCAAAGCACATTGAAATACATAGCTAAATATTAATAACTCAGAGTTTCAAAAATGGGAAAACAGATGTGCAACAGATGAGAATATAGGTCTTTTCTAGTTACCATACAACCAAATTCACAAGTCAGACAGATCTGTCTATGGAAAACCACAATGGGCAAAACCATCAGGACAGCTTCTAATCTAGTAAATTGTTAGAAGTGTTCAGATTCACAACACTGATTAAAATCACATGGAATCATTCTCACACATTTGAAGTTTTTAGAAATTCTAAATCCAAGAGAAAATCTCCTTTACTTGAAGCAAATAGAAAAGTACTTCTCAGATTCATCTGTTTGTGTGCATGTATTCACACGCACATGTGCACACACATATGTGTGTCTGTCTATGCACGTAGACCAGCAGAGGAGCTGAATCTCTGATTCATTGGACACAGATGCTTCTATCTCTCTGATTCATTGGACACAGATGCTTCTATCTATGGCTGCTAACTTTTACTCCTGTGTTTTCTCAAGATCGAACAAAGGCTCGCTCAGGCACAGAACTTAACTCAGGGCTGGGAAGAGATCAAGCACCTAAAGGCTGAGCTGTGGATTTACCTTCAGGACGCCGATCAGCAACTACAGAACATGAAGAGGAGGCACTCTGAACTGGAGCTAAACATCGCCCAGAACATGGTAGCCCAAGTCAAGGTGGGAATTCATTAATTAAATGATCAGTGGCTGCATCGGTGCCTTCAGTCAGACAAGCTATGTTCACACAGAAAGCAGGACCCTCAGAGAACGACAGAGTACCTAACTGTGGCAGAAAAATTTACTACAGAATGGGACAACTTAGCCCTTCTGGAAATAAAGGAAGCCAAGGAAGAAAAATGCTGAAATATTTTCAGCATGTTCGCTTCAATATACCTGGGTGTCTGTCAATCTTTAGACATCAACACAGCTGTTTAAAGCCTAAGAGAGATCCTGAATAGCCTTCTTCTGGTGTCAGGGAGAGACAGCTCACACAGAAACATATATAAGCTAGATGCAATGGCACATAGCTGGGGTCCCAGCTACTCTGGAGACTGAGCAGGTGAATCACTGAGACCAGGAGTTCCAGTCCACTTTGGATAGTCTAAAGAGACTTTGTCTCAAAAGAAATAAAGAGGGAAAGAGAAAAAAGCCAAAAAATTTAACGTCTATTCCTTATGTTCCAAACATCCATTTTTGGGGGGTTTGTTGTTTGTTTGTTTTCTGGCATTGGGAACCAAACTTAGGGCCTCCTGCTTGCCAAGGAAGCACTGTGCCACAGAGCTACATCCACAATCCCAAACACCCATTTTTGTCACAGACCATCCGCTGTATTTATTCCTAAGTAAAGAAGCCATCGTTTAACCTACAGGGCTAGAAGCTGCTGCTAAGCAATAGTTAGCCTCAGTAGTTTTTACTACCATGTTTCTACAATTATAGAATTAAATTCTCCTGATTAATTATGTATTTAGTGCATGTATAAAGTATAATAGAAATATTACTCTTATTTGTAATATTAAAATATAATAAAATAAATTTTAATATGTTAATGTTTGGATGTATAATTAGATTTTCAAAAAACCTTAAGTTTTTGTCTCTACAATTATGGGTTATATATGTTTTTACTAGAATGTTTTGGAACTGCAAAAAGAAAAACAGTAGAAAATAGTATAAATAGTTTTATTTTTCCCCTCAAACATGAAATCTTCTAAATGTTTTAGAAAATGAAGATCTCACTTCAATGTAAGATATTTTTTCTTTAATGATAACATTGTTATCACATTTATCAGTTTCTCTTGACACTTCTAAAAATAACACAGTGAAAGAAAAATAATATAGTTACTCTAATTGTTATGCAGTTGAGAAATTAGATTTATAAAGTAGTAGGAAATTTAGATTTTTCTCTTCAGTTTTTCATATTAAAAAGTTTTTAAATTCCTTGAGGTATTACATCACTCTGTATTGAGGTATTATTAATTAACTGTGTTTGTTTCAGAGGGTTCATTATGACTTATCTAGTTTTTGTGGTTATTCTTCAGGATTTTGCTAAACAACTGCAGTGCAAACAGGCATCCATGAGCACCATCTTAGAAAAAGTGAATAAGTTAACAAAGAAGCAGGAATCTCCTGAGCACAAGGAGATAAGTCACTTAAATGACCAGTGGCTGGATCTGTGCCTTCAGTCGGACAAACTGTGTTCTCAAAGAGAACAGGACCTTCAGAGAACAAGAGAGTATCATGACCGTATGAATGTTGTGGAAGCATTCTTAGAAAAATTCACTACAGAATGGGATAACCTGGCCAGGTAATTGAAGTTCTCCAGTGGGTCACCGTAATACTAAGCAAGAAATGTGTTAATTTCTTTAAAATTTAAAATTTCTTATTTGCATCGTTATCATCATTGCCTACCAGTATTGATATTGGCAAAATTTTAAGCATCTAATATTGTCAAATAGATACAGACTCTTGAGCTTACTATTAATTACCAATGGGCAAAGAAGAAATGTTTAAAAACAGAACTCTTTGGTCAGGTGTGTGGGTATATACCTGTAATCTCAGTATTCTGGTAGGCTGAGGCAGAAGGATCACACATTCAAACCACTGTGGACAACTTAATAACTAAGACCCTCTTTCAAAATAAATTAATAAAAAAATAAATAAACCAAGATGATTATGTATCTCAGTGGGAATGCTCTGGGCTCAATCTCTAGTTCTGTACCAGAAAGAAAGAAAAGCAAACAACGCTTTCGCTCTGTGACCTCAAATATATTCCAAAGACTATTGTTCTGTCATCTAAAGGAATATCCTATGATATTTCTAACTTTGTTTATTTATCAATTATGGGGCTACCATCTGTGGGTTCATGAAGTGAATCTTTCTTGAATGGATAAACTCCAAAGGTTTGTATCAAGTAGTAGCACATTCTAGGCAATTCAGTCAAGCTTAGTTGTATTCTAGAAAATGGTAAACAATTCAAATTCAGTAAGGTTTTCCTTTGAAAGTTTCTAGAAATTGAAGCTTTCTTAACGGTTTTCTCTGACAAGACTTCCTCTCCCAACACGGGGTCTTCACATGAAAGCCTTTTTATACTTTGGTCAGTATAATTCTTAAAATCTTTACTTCTGCCAAGATTTGTGAGTTTGCTGTAATAAGAAACACCTAATACTCTTCTAAATATTGTTAAGTCATAGTGAGGCTTTTTTGTATTTGTTTTTGTGTAATGTTTTCCAATATGTTCACCCCTTTTTGATACTCAACACCTTACTAGTCTTTGGGATAAAGCTGGACTCTCTCAGCATAAAGCCCCATATTTGTGGTTTGTAATAGTCCTACAGATGCCTCAGACCTAATGTGTCCAGGACAAAATTCAGCACAATCCCCCACCCTGCTTTGCACACTTCAAAACTGGTCATTTTGTAAATGTGAGCAACTATAAGATTCTATTTCTTAAGCATTCTCTAAAATCTAAAGGATGAGAATTCTTTGCATTTCACGCTTGTTTTTAAAGATTTCAAAAATCTAAGTACATAACTGTTCAGAAGTATCAAGACACACAGCTGAGTAACTCTCAGAGCCATCAGTTATACTTACACCCCCTTAGCATTCTGTTGCTGTTTGGATCTCATGCCCATAAGACAGCAGATAAACCATGAATCACTTATTAATTTTTATATGCCATTTTCAAGAAAGCAGTAGGTTAGTGTTTCTCAGTGTTTCACATGACACAGATCATCAGGGTATCTTGTTAGTATGCATATTCTGTATAGTTGATGAAAGCCACAGTGGGCTAAAAGTATATGTTAGATATTATTGAAAGGTGTATTAATTAGCAAAAGGAGGACAGAGATGTAGCTAGGCAACTTGATTTAATTAACTTTCTGATACATAAATAGATCAAAGAGACTTGTGTTTCATAATAATTATAGTATTTTGATCACCAAACTATGAATTCAGCTACTCATAATGATCTCAAGCTAAGACTGCCCACTTAAATGATGAAATGATGTGAACGAATTTTCTCTTGTATATTTCAATATATTTACAGATCTGATGCAGAGAGCACAGCTGTCCACTTGGAAGCTTTGAAAAAGCTGGCCTTGGCCTTGCAAGACAGAAAGTATGCCATTGAAGATCTGAAAGATCAAAAGCAAAAAATGATAGAACATCTGAATCTAGATGACAAAGAATTAGTCAAAGAACAGACAAGTCACTTTGAACAACGCTGGTTTCAGCTCGAGAGCCTCGTTAAAGGGAAAATTCAAGTGTCAGTCACTAACTTGGAGGAGCTCAATGTGGTGCAGTCCAAATTTCAGGAGCTAATGGAGTGGGCAGAAGAACAACAACCCAACATTGCTGAGGCTCTCAAGCAGAGTCCCCCGCCTGATATGGTACAGAGCCTCCTCATGGATCACCTGGCCATCTGCAGTGAGCTGGAAGCCAAACAGTTACTTCTGAAGTCGCTCACGAAGGATGCCGACAGGGTTATGGCTGATCTTGGCCTCAATGAGAGGAAGGTGATCCAGAAGGTCCTCTGTGACGCACAAAGGCATGTGAACTGTCTCAGTGACTTAGTGGGCCAGAGGAGGAAGTACTTAAACAAAGCACTATCTGAGAAAACTCAGTTTCTCATGGCAGTATTTCAGGCAACTAGCCAAATTCAACAGCATGAGCGAAAGATCATGTTCCGCGAACACATCTGCCTGTTACCAGATGATGTGAGCAAGCAAGTTAAAACGTGTAAGAGTGCACAAGCCAGTCTCAAGACGTATCAGAATGAAGTCACTGGACTTTGGGCCCAGGGTCGTGAATTAATGAAAGGAGTCACAGAGCAGGAAAAGGGTGAGGTTCTGGGTAAGCTTCAGGAATTGCAGAGTGTTTATGACAGTGTTTTACAAAAGTGCAGTCATCGGTTACAAGAACTAGAGAAGAATCTAGTTTCTCGAAAGCATTTTAAGGAAGATTTTGATAAAGCTTGTCATTGGCTCAAACAAGCAGATATTGTTACATTTCCTGAAATTAACCTCATGAATGAGAGTACTGAGCTTGATACACAACTGGACAAATACCAACACATTCTTGAACAATCTCCAGAGTATGAAAATCTGCTACTTACTCTCCAAAGAACTGGGCAGGCCATGTTACCCTCCCTGAATGAAGTCGATCATTCCTACCTCAGTGAAAAGCTAAATGCTCTGCCACAACAATTTAATGTCATTGTCGCCTTAGCTAAAGACAAGTTCTATAAAGTGCAAGAAACAATGCTGGCTCGAAAAGAGTATGCTTCTTTGATTGCATTGACAACACAGGCTCTGAGTGAACTCGAAGATCAGTTTTTAAAGATGAGAAAAGTTCCCACAGACCTGGCTGTTGATGAGGCTGTGTCTCTTCAGGACAACTGCAAGGCCCTGCTGGGTGAGGTGGTGGCTCTCGGGGAAGCAGTAGATGAGCTCAATCAGAAAAAAGAAAGTTTTCGCAGCACAGGTCAACCTTGGCAGCCAGACAAGATGCTGCACCTTGTCACCTTGTATCACAGGCTGAAGAGACAGGCAGAACAAAGGGTAGGCTTATTAGAAGACACCACGAGCTCTTATAAGGAGCATCTAAAGATGTGCCAACAGCTAAAGAGTCAACTAGAGGCTGTGAAAATGGAGCAGTCCAAAGTGAATGAGGAGACTCTGCCCGCAGAGGAGAAGCTCAAAATGTATCACTCCTTAGCTGGGAGCCTGCAGGACTCAGGAATTCTGCTAAAACGAGTGGCCCTGCATGTGGAGGATATTGCTCTGCTCCTGGACCCCTCGGCTTATGAGAAAGCCAAGCATCAGGTCCAGGAATGGCAAGAGGAACTGACACTGTTGACTTCTAGCATTGGCGAGATGGTAACAGAGTGTGAGGGCCGAATGGTACAGAGCAGAGACTTCCAGACAGAGATGAGCCACTCCCTAGACTGGTTGCGGAGGGTGAAGGCCGAGCTCAGTGGGCCCATATGCCTGGACCTCAGTCTCCAGGATATCCAGCAGGAAATCCGCAAGATTCAGATCCAGCAGGAGGAGGTCCAGTCCAGCCTGAGAATCATGAGCGCCCTGAGTAACAAGGAGAAGGAGAAATTCACGAAAGCTAAGGAGCTGATTTCTGCTGACTTAGAACACACACTTGCTGAGCTCGCAGAGCTGGATGGAGACATTCAGGAAGCTTTGCGTGCCCGACAGGTCAGTAAAAAGTATTTAGCTCATTTACTTGGCTTATTTCTAAACAAGTTCCCAGAAAGGCTGTTTTTTTGTTTTGGGGGGATTGTTTGGTTTTGTTTTGATTAGTTGGTTGGTTAGAATTGCATCCTTAAATATTTCTTTTATGATACTATATAAAACAATCTTCAAAGGTAACTGAAAGGAATGTTTTTATTGTGTGTGCACATAATGTTTGTTTCATGGCTTCCACGTTACATCACTTTTCCTGTAATACTTCAGGAAATATTTCACATTTGGAGAGGTTGTGGATGATTTTCATAATCTAATTCCTGGCAGAGTTAATGAACTTTGGATAGAAAATGTTTGTAAAATTTCTGAACAAGTATAGAGTTATTTTCCTTATTAAATGAAATAGTCTGTGTGAATCACACAGCCTTTTTACATAGTGTTAGATGTTGTAAATGATCTAGAAATGATTTAAAGTGTAAAGAAGGATATGCCCAACAAATACGATGCCATGGTATGTAAAGGATTTGAGTGAAAATTTTGGCATCTGTGGGGGTCCTGGAATTAATCTCCCATAGAGATATGGGACAGACTATATTAGAATATTAATACTGTTAGGTTTTTCCTTGGCTAAGTAGAGAAGAAAGAGCAGATGAAGGAAAAGAAAAGAAAAGACATGACAAGACCTTTATTACAAGCGCAGGAGGGGTGCAGAAGAGTGCAAGGTCCCCTGGAGGCCAACAAGGAAGCAGTGGGTTTTTATTTGGTTGACGGGGTGCAGTTTGAAGGGATGAGCAGAATGACTTATTGACAGTTGGGGGAATGGTGGCACCTGTGCGAAAAGCCAGAAGTTCAATTTCTGTTGGGACAGAAAGCAGAAGTTAGTATTGAAGGGACACTCTGTGTGTGGTCTTTAGGGTCCATCACCCTGTTGGGCAGGCACCATGCTGAGTCTAGCAGAGCTTCACACAGGCAGAACCCATCAAATACATTTGGTTAACAATGAATAATTAACAAAACGGTTTTTAGAAAATGTGAACCTTGAAGAGGGAGTCTCCAGAGAGAGGCAGGTGGGTGATACAGTCAAAACCCTAACGCTGAAGCTTGTCTGTCTGTGGGGTGACCTGTAGTGGCCTATGTGTTGCTTCCCTTATCTAGCTCCCTTGTACAGTACCATAGCAGAAAACTGGGGGACAGCAAGGAGAAATGGGAGCACCATTGAACTTCCTATACTGGCCTCCAGTGTGGCTACTCTGGACCTCTAGTGGTCTGTGCCTTAGGATTACTTCTTTTAATCCTTTGTGCAAACCTCCCTCTTCCCAGCCTTTTCCTTTGTCTGTCTTCTGACAGTCTGATTCTAACAGATTTCAGTCAGCTGTTTACCTAACACACTTTCTTCAACATAATGTGGCAGCTAGAGCCTTGATGGAAGCTTCTAGCCCTGCTATTTGACATTGGGCTAATTACTTATGTCCTTCACAGTTTTCTTACTGTTGCAGAGGACGAATAATACCTCCTCCTCCAAGTTAAGTTCTTAGCATACAGTGAGATGAGGTAGCTCCAGATGAATCTTACCTATCATGCCCTTTGCCCTCCACCTAGATTAAAGTTAACCCTCTAAATAGTAACTCTTTCATCTTAATTTGAGTGAAATATTAATAAATTTCATCGTGTAAAATCCTGACATCTCAGAGTATGTTTGATATATTTTTATTTTGTCATGTTAACCAAAAAGCATGGTTAAAAACTAAACTATTTCCTTATAGCTATAGATGTAAATAGAGACAGACATAGAATAAAAGGTAACAAATGAAATTTTCATTCTTGAAAAACATCTGTCATGGAAGTTGCTTTTTTGAATGAATATTTTTAAATGCAAATCACACATACAGTAAGAAACTTCTCTTTCTGCTCTCTTGCTTTATTGGTGGTCGTGACTCAAATAACTGAAGGTCAAGTTTCTGGGAGTATTTGCCATCCTCATTCTGTCTTACTCAGAGCTGACCCTTCTTGTATTTTCTCACTGCTTTTGTCTTCTCTTGCACAGTATGGCTAATCCTAGACATTCATTGATGGCTGGTTTCATGTGTCCTGCCTCCTAGATTTGAAGGGGCCAGATTTCTGGACTTACACTTTTCTATTTTAGTCTCTGGTCAAGTCTCATGGGGTATAGTTTCATGCTTGATACCATTGGTCCAGCGAATGCTAGTTGGACCCTATAGTGTTGTTATACATTCCATCAGGGCTGGGGACACAGCTCAGTGGCACAGACCTTCCTGGCAAGTGTAAGGTCTTGAATTTGATTTCTGGTACCTATGTTTGATTCCCAGTACATTCATTCCATCAACTGAGATATAACTGCACTGTGCTAACCGTTCAACTTGCCACATTATCATTAGGAATTATTATTTTTTTTTTTGTACAGAAAGGAAAGTTTTAAAACTACTCAAAATACTAGCATAAATTTTTGCTTGTTCCACTTCTGATCTTTATTTATTTTAACCACAATGATAAAGTTATAACGAGAATAGTGGAAGGAAAAATAAAGGATGATGATGAATAGCACCACAAAAAAAAAAAATCCACCATGCTACCAAATCACTTATATATGTACATTTGGAGGGACTGAGAACTAGAGAAGCAGTAGAAAATATAAAACTATATCCTGCAAACATACTGCACTTTGAAGTTGATTATATTTGCAATCAATGTTTTTCAGGCTACCTTGACTGAAATATATAGTCAGTGTCAAAGGTATTATCAAGTTTTTCAAGCAGCTAATGATTGGCTTGAAGATGCCCAAGAAATGTTACAGCTGGCAGGCAATGGCCTAGATGTGGAGAGTGCAGAGGAAAATCTCAAAAGCCACAAGGAATTTTTCAGTACCGAGGATCAATTTCACAGTAATCTGGAGGAACTCCAAGCACTAGTGACCAGGTTGGACCCACTCATCAAGTCAACTGGCAGAGAAGACCTCACACAGAAGATGACTTCCCTGGAAGAGAGGAGCCAGAGGATCACCCAGGACTCCTGTGCCCAGTTAGACCTCTTGCAGAGGTAGAGTGGCTTAATGCTCTATATTTCAGCAAACTGAGTTTTCATACAAAGTAGTAACATACTAATGGTTTATACTAGTGTGTAAATTAATTCCCTGAGTATCTTTAGACATACACACACCAAAGCTCTGCATAGAAGCAGGTAATTCCATGTTGCTTATTGATTAATGTTGGAATCTTTCAAGATGCACAGTGCAGTGGCAAGATTATCAGAAAGCGAGGGAAGAGGTTATTGAATTGATGAATGATGCTGAAAAGAAATTGTCTGCATTTTCTTTGTTGAAGACATCTTCCAGTCACGAAGCAGAAGAAAAATTGTCACAACATAAGGTCAGAGGCTTTTTGGTATTCTTTATAAAAAATGTTTATTATTACATGTTACCAGTGCATAGTGTTTACATTTAGCTTAGAAGGTGGGTATATCTCATTAATAAATACATCATCATCTTTTTTTTTCCTTTTCTTTTCTCTCTTCATTTCCTCTCCCTCCTCTATCTTGTCTTTGGGTCCCTTCTCATTTGCAAAAGTTTTATCTCTATGTTTTCTGTTACCTATCTTTTATTTTTTAAGTTATTTCTACTTTGTGTTTCTCTTAGAAGTTATATGATATTTAAGCTTGGGCACTTAATTTATTTCATTTAGCATGATAGTCTCAAGGTGTATCTATTTTCCTAAAAATGCCTCAAATTTATCCTCCTTTCATAGTACTCTTATGCATAAGTACCACAATTCTTTATTTATCCACGTGCTGATGGACATATAAGCCAAGTTTCAGTTATTATGAAGTATGCTGCTATAAATAAGAGTATGCATGCATTACTGTTTTCTTAAAATATATTTTAACTGTATTCGTAATGGTTCTTTTTAAAAGTTTTTCTATTTTTAAAAAAGCAAAGCAAGCAAAAGGATAAAAATAATACAGAATTTCAAAAAAGCAGTAAGAAATCAGAACTACTCAATATATTGCATATTGTTATCTTAGAAGTAGTTATTCAGGTTACAAGATGTAGGTGTAAAAATGATCAAACAGTCAAACAATGACAGCACAAACTGTTCTTTTTGATGAACTAGCAGGGAATTAGTAGTGTAGTTATCTATCTTGCACACATATACGTACAGTTATTTGTGTATACCTGCATACATAGAGTCTTTTCCTTTCTTCCATTTCTCCTTTCCCCATCCCAGTTGTTCTTTCCTTTGAGCACTTTCTTTCCCTTTCATTATGTAATGGTTCTTTACATGATGGCTTTAAAAGCAAAACATTAAATTTCCATTTTCATTTGGTTCCTTAAATATGATAGATAATTAATCACATTTCATACAAGTTTCTATATAGTTGAATACTACTAATTTTTTGGATTCTTACTGGAAATGCACAGCTAAGATTCAAAGAGACATTCAGAGAAGTTTACTTCAGATAAAATGTGACAGTAAATGTCAATAAATACTTTCTGTAGATAATTTAGATAAAATTCAAAAAAGAAATGATTGAGTCTTCCTCATCTATCATAGCAAGATAAGGAAGACTAACATACTAAAATACCAAATTCTGTTTGCTTGTATTTTTGTTGTTGTTGTTTTTTGTTTTTTGTTTTTCTTTTTCCTTTTTATCGGTACTGGGGATCGAACTCACTACTGCCTGCTTCCAAGGCAGGCACTTATGCCGCTGTGCTAAACCTCCAGTCCCATTTTTGTTGTTTTTTAAAAATAAAAAAAAAAAAAATGGCATCTTGGGTAGTAAGTAAACTTTTAATAAATAATATTCGCTTTTCCTTTAAAAAATTTCAAGCCTAACTCACTTTTGAAAATAAATGAAAAATATGTTACAAAAGAAAATTGACATACAGAAATCCTTTCTATTGCAGATAATTCTGGACTTCACCCAAATCCATAGGATTTTTAACGAATCAATCTCTCATCCATCGTTTCTCTCTTTTCCCTGTCCCCACCATAGGCATTAGTGTCGGAGGTTGACTCTTTCCATGACAAAGTTGTGGCCCTAGAGGAAAAAGCTTCACAACTGGAAAAATCTGGAAATGATGCGAGCAAAGCCACACTAAACAGGTCGACAACTACTGTCTGGCAGCGCTGGACGCGTCTGCGCGCTGTGGCCCAGGACCAGGAGAAGATCCTGGAAGACGCAGTGGATGAGTGGAAGGGTTTGAACAATAAGGTAACTTCCATTGCTGATGTGCTAAAGTTGTTTTTAAAGTAATGTTTACAATATATTCTGAAAAACAATTTTATTCCTTACCTATATCAGCCTTATAAAAGTAAAGTGCCTTTTAAAATCACTTTTTAAATTACATTTGAAAACTAAACAATGAAGCAAAATCAAAATACAATATTCGATATAGTCCCAAGTCAGTGTCAAATGATTTAAATTAGAGAACCAAACAATTACATTTTGAAAAGAAGTCAGGCTAATTTAAACTCTGCCATGCAAATTAACAAGAATTTGATTCATTTCTCAATCCTATAATTTCTTTAACTAGCACTGAATATTTTAAGTAATATCTTTATGACTCAAAGACACATATTTCTGTCAACTTAAATATTGGAATTATATTTATTTAATTTTTAAATTTTTCTGTACTATACTTAGTCTCTGATCACCTGATATGATTTTGAGATAAAGTTTTAAATCCAAAGTTAAACAGGTGGCCTTTTCTTGCATTTTAAGGAGATTGCTCCTATTATCCTGAAATTCAGAGTTTATTCCATTATCTTTAGTGCACTATATTAATCATGGCGTATACTGGTCCTAGAATTGCCCTATTTTTTTACAGTTTTGACCTTTATAATACATACATTTTGCATTAGATTAAAAAAGCCACTGAAATCATTGATCAACTGCAAGACAAGTTACCTGGAAGTTCAGCAGAAAAAGCCTCCAAAGCAGAACTATTGTCCCTTCTTGAGTACCATGATACTTGTGTGCTAGAGCTGGACCAGCAACAGCTGGCTTTGGGCGTGCTGCAGCAGCAAGCACTGAGCATGCTTCAGGATGGAGCCCTCCCCTCTGGAGAAGAGCCACCCACCCTGCAGGAAATCACAGCTATGCAAGATCGGTGCCTCAAGTGAGTATACACCTGCACTCATTAATACTGCTGTACTTGGGTCAACCCCAGATATGGTACTCAGTACAGTGGTGCTTCATTGTACCACTTTCAAAATGTAGGGACCCATTTCCATCATCTCTGCTTTTCAATTTGCTAGACTCTTATCTTTTATCTAACACAGTGCAAAAGACAGATCTGGTACTTAAATATATGATGGTGAACCAAACTTACCTGAGTCTACAGTCAAGGAACAGAGATAGATGACTAACGAGTTATTTCAGTAGTGTACAAAGGATGCTGAGAAAATGCAAAGTCAAGGTAGTTCATCTAGGAGTAAAGAGAAAGCATTTCTTCCAAAGCTGAAGACTGAGGGGGCGTCAGCTAGGTACTGAAGTGGCAATGATATGTATGGAAATACAGAGGGACAGGTGGCATTTTTAAGGAAGTCCTTGGGTGGTGGGGAAAGAGGGTGGAATGATTTAAGAGAAATGAGGCTTGAAAGGTAAACAATTGACAGCTATTTAACATTTAACTTTGCTAACACTTGATACTTATTGAGAGATAGGAGCAGGAATGAACTGCAGGTAACTCATAGGCATTTACTGTTAATGAATGTAGGAAAGATTTATTATCAAAGTTATACAACCAGTCTCATACTTCTTAGGCCAAAGAAGAAAATGTCATTAGAAAATGTAATTCCTAAGTTAATTACTATTGCCGTATATACATACTGTATTCATCTCATATTAATATTAAGCTAATCTGACAACATATATTGAAACCTATTTTCCAGATTCACATTTATTCAAATAAAGAATAGAAACTCATACATTGCTAACTGAATTTGGAACCTTATTAATTGTGAAATATTCAAAGCTTGTCTATTTAAAGATTACTTTCTAATAGCTACAAATATTTCAGTTAGACATTAATTCTAAATGCTGATGGCTATATGTTTGAGTAGCCTCCAAAGAGGAAGTAAATAACCTAATAATCTCCAGGTGCTTTAGATTTGAAAATCAATTGCAACTTACTAGTACAAGAGAAAATCAACTCTCCATTTTCCAGGGATAAGTTATTTATTTTATATGACATGTATTTTTTAACTGAATTGATACTCAACTTTATCTGACAGTTTTGTGACAGTATCTTTACTTGAAAAAATATACTTGGTTTTACTTTTTTGGATGTTTTTAATAGAACAAAAAAATCATGTTTAAGACATTCTTCTCATTGCAAATTCACTTCTGCCTTCTAATCTTTTTTGAAGCATGCAAGAGAAAGTGAAGAGTAACGGAAAGTTGGTGAGACAAGAGTTGCAAGAGCGAGAAGTGGTGGAGACTCAGATTAATTCTGTGAAATCATGGGTTCAAGAGACAAAGGAGTATTTAGGGAACCCAACAATTGAAGTAGACGCTCAACTTCAAGAACTGCAGGTACGAAAACATTCTCCATTCTTTATAACTTGTTTAAGAAATAATTCCCCTGTTTTAATTGGTTGTCTTTGTTTATATGTAACAAAATAATGAATTCAAAATTTTACACATGCATTATATGAGGCATTTAACTTGCTATGGTAATCTAAAGATCACTTGACTCCAAGAGTCCAAGACCAGCCTGGTCAACATAGTGAACTCTGTCTAAAAAGGGCATTTAGAATCAATTCATGAATTTTTTTTGTCTTGTAAAAAAGGACATGCACCATATTCAGAAAGTTTTAAAAAGTTTAATCTTTTTGAAGGTGGTTCTGTAATTAAATGGTGGTTCTCTCAGTTAAATATGGATGAACAAGAGTATTATCTCTAGACCCATAAAAACCATTTTCTTTGTTAGACTCCCAGAAAGTTCTCATTCTGACAATTTTTTCAGATCCTCCTGACAGAAGCCACAAATCACAGACAGAACATTGAGAAACTAGCTGAAGAACAGAAGAATAAGTACTTAGGCCTTTGTACTATAGTGCCTTCTGAAATCTCTCTTCAGTTAGCAGAAGTGGCATTGGACCTGAAGATTTATGACCAGGTAAATCTGAGATCAACCTAGAGTGGCTTTATGTTCTTTTACAGGGTCCATCCTTTCGTATGAGAGTTCTCAGTTTTCATGATCATATCTCCTCAGGAGATATGATATAAATAGATGAATAGATCACTGTAAAACACAATTTAGAAGCTTTATTCGTAAGCCAGAAACAAATAGGATAACCATAGATATGAATGATATCTCATACAATTAAAGACAATTCATCTGGTTCCCTTTATGTTTAAAATAATGGGTTAAGCAAGCAAACGTAACATTTATTTTATGTATCCAACAAATTGTTATTTTAGTACACAGTGTGTGCTGGGCACTGCTCTAATTCAGCCAGATACAAGGGGAGTAGGTGATACCATTTAAGGAAAAGAAATGAAATAACAGAATAGGTATATCCAAGGAAGAAGTCATTTACCAAAATGCACATTTCTTATTATTCGTGGAAGGGCTTCAGTGTGACTCAAACTTCAAACAACCAAGGAAGAGAGCAGAGGAAGCACAAACCCCATCTACACATTTAAAGCAAGTTTTAAAGAGACACACAGTCGTTCCTGGTGTTGAGATCAGAGGGAGAGTTCTATCTTTCATCTCATAAGGAAGACATACTTTCATGTCATGCAAACAATCTCAAGGAGCAACAGCGACTTTTTAGGACTGTATAGGTGACTAAATGCTAAAGCCATTACATTTTAGTTAAAACCATTTCATCTGTGATAAAGACACAATACACACTGATCCTAAACCACGGCGTGAAATGGAAAATACACACTCTAAAATTTGTACAAGAATGCTGTACTTTATCTCCAGTGTAAAAGACAGTGTTTTAAAAAATCTTATCTGTTAGACCGGTGTCGCGAGGAAGACTCCAAGGGCCTCGCTCTTATGTAAAAACAATGGGGTTTTTATTATTCCGTGTACACGGGGTTTTCCAAACAGGTGGAAACGGAGAACCTTGAGTTGGGGCAAGGCTGGTGTTTTTAAGGATGAAAACCGCAAAGCAAGCAAGCATTGTTACAGAAGCCAATCATAGCAGTTAGAGCAGAACAGTTGGTGATTTGTCCATTTGTGATTGGTCAGATCATGAGGGGCGACCAGTGGGTCAGAGTTGATTAACTGTCTTGTTTTGCACAGCTTATTTTTAGGTCACCTAGCTCCTGTGTGGCTTGGTTCTGACATACTTTCCAATCTTGATTAGCATAGTCAGCAGACTTTATCTCTGAGTTTCCTGACATAATTACCTTACTTTAGCACCACAACCTTTCTATTTGTAGAGGGCAACAATGGTTAACATATCAATTGGGTAAGATTTTACAATTTTTTACAGATGAGAGCATTGATTAACATATCAATCTTTTACCCAGGGGAAAAGGAAGACACACATTTACAGTTACAGGTATTACTATGATATAAACGAAGCTATTTCTGTGAAGAATGTACAATCTAATACAATCTGATGCAATTAACACAATTTGTGACGGGGCTACCAGATAGGGAAGACCCAGGATGTCAGGAGCTAGTACCTCAGGCCTTTGTTTTATGGCCTTTAGGAAGTTAAAACTTAACCTAGTTGGATTTGAAGGGAGAAGGGGAGGGGAAGCAGCAGATGGAACGAGCTTTCTTTGTCTCTTTATTCCCCCCCCTTTTTTTTTTTTTTTTGGATGACCTCTAATCTTAGAGGTTTGTTGTAGCTAGGGGTTCATATTGGTGACGTATGACCATTAATTTGACCTGAGAGACTTGTCCCCTTATGAATTGGGTAATCCAGTTAATGAGGCAAGGGACAATGGCTAGGATTAGGATTAAGGTTACTAATGGTCTTATCAAGGGAAGGAGATAGGGGAGAATTCCGTTTTACATTTTTTAAAGGGGGCTCCCATATAAAGATCTTTAACAATTGTTTTTTTTTTTTGCTTACAGGGGGACCAAAGCCGCCATGTAAGGTCGGCATCAATGTTATTAAAATCAAAACAAGCAAGCTAAAACAGTTTATGACCAGCATAATCTAACTATGTTTTAGTCAATTTTTAACTTTAAGGGTTACCAGTCTGTTGTGTAGTCCACTGAGTATGTCCCTCGTTGTCTGCTGTTTCCAGTGGCTTTACATGAGTGTAGTGAATCCGCGCAGTTTTTTCTGTTACCTTGATGGCAGTGGGGGTACTGAGCATCACGGTGAAAGGTCTTTCCCAGTGGGGTTTGAGGGAGTCATGGTGATGACATCGAACCAAGACTGGAGTCTTTGAGGCCTTGGTCTCTGAAGGCAGGTCTAAGTGTTTTTGTCTAAACAGCTGGTGGATTTAGGCCAACACAGGTTGGAGTGTCTGTAGGGACTTAAGATCTCGATTAGTAATTTCAGCTAATTTGTCTTCTGATAATCTTGGAACCAATGGCGGGGGCCTCCCAAACATGGCTTTAAAGGGGGAAATTTTAGAAACATATGGGGTATATCTAGCTCTTAACAGTGTAAAGGGAAGAAGGCTCATCCAATTATTGTCAGTTTTTGAAGACAGCTTAGCTAAAATGTCCTTGAGACTTTGGTTTATACGTTCTACTTGCCCTGAGCTTTGTGGCTGATAGGCACAGTGGAGTTTTAATTAATCTTTAATGCCTGGGCTAACTTTTGGGTGACTCGGGCTATGAAAGCCAGGCCATTATCGGACCCCATTGATAGTGGGAGGCCAAATTAAGGTATGATCTCATGTAATAGCCTTTTAACTACCACTAAGGCTGACTCAGATTTAGTAGGGAAAGCCTCTACCCAGCCAGTAAAAGTGTTTATTAATACCAAGAGATAGCGGTGTCCCTGTAAATTAAGTTTTACCATGTCTATGAAGTCTATTTCCCAATGTTCTCCTGGAACAATTTTTTGATGTCGGGTGGTCTCCAACGCAGAGCTCTTGGCTGAGTTGACTAACAAGCACTGTGGGCATCTGGAGCTCGAAGAGGTGGTCAGTTTGTAGAGTTTTGGAATAAAATACTGAGTTCTGAACAATTCTGCAAGGTGAAACAGCTCCCACCCTAGTGCCTCCAGTAACAGTACTTGTTTATCAGGTAACTGGTATTAGCCCCTTGGGGTGGGAGACTTTCTTTCAAGTTGAGATGTCAACTGTAGGTCTTTCTTTGTGTAGACTAGTTCTGACAAGGTCAGAGGACTAGTATCAGAGCAGTTACTTTTTTGGTTGACCCCTCTGATGTGGTTGTTATTTTTCATCTCTGGTTGGGTGAGCCTTGTAAGGAATAGCAACCCATTGAGGCAGCCAGACAGCTGCCAGCAAATCTAGAATCTGTGGAGCATTTTTAGATGGCTTCCCCGTATATGTACAGTAGCAAAGGGATGTCTTCAGTAAAAAAAAAATGTTTACCCTCTTTTCCGTGGCTAGTTTTAGCCTCTCAGTCAAAGCAACAAGCTCCGCCTTTTGGGCAGAAGTGCCAGACTCTACCCGCTTAACCCAGAGTACCTCCTTTTTAGCGGTCACTGCTGCCCCGGCCACTCGTTTGTCGTTTTGGATGAAGCTGCTTTCATCGAACAGTTGTCGGCATTTCCCAAAAGCTGGTCAGTAAGATCAGCCTGTAGGTTCTGCTGCAGTTTGAGGATGTCAGCACACTCATGGAGAGGTGTCCTTTGTTTCTCCGGATCATCATCAGGCATAAGGGTGGCTGGGTTTAAAGCTGAAGAAGTCTTGAATATCATTAACTCTGGGTCTAGAAGCAGGGCTTGACAGTAGAATTCTGGCATTTGAGAGCCTTTTTTAGGAGGGGTTTTGATAAGAGTCTCTAAACTGTGAGAGGTTACCACAGAAATCACTTGCCCAAAGCGAGTTTCTTTGTCTCCTTAAGTAACATTGTCACAGTAGCTAGTATTCTTAGGCAGGGGGCCATACTCCTGTTACTGGATCAAGTCTTTTGGAGAGGTAGGCTATAGGCCTCTTTTAAGGGCCAATGTCCTGAGTTAGGACTCTTTTGGCAATGTCCCTGAGTTTATCTATGAACAAGATGAAAGGCTTGGTAACGTCAGGGAGTCCCAGGGCTGGAGCCTCTGTCAAGGCCCGCTTGAGCTGTTGGAAGGCCTGTTTACATTTATTAGTCCAGTTCAGCGAATTTTGAGTTTTTCCCTTATGGGAGTCAGTCATATAGAGGCAAGCTTTTCAGTAAAATTTAGCCTACAGTATCCAACTGCCCCAGAAACTCTCGTCTGTTTTTTAAAAGTTTTTTTCTCATAGAGCAATTTTAACACCTTGGCTATCTTTTTGTAAATTTTTTAGTTCTCAAAGACCTTTTTGTGCTATCTCTATTAACTGGCTGAGGGGCATTTTTTTAAACCTCTCAAACCTTTGTAATTTTTGTCTAACATGTGGGGCCGACTGAGTTACAAAGAGAACAACTGGCAATATTGGGAAACCTCCTTACCTCTGGATGTCCAGTCAGGGTGGCACAAAAGGAGAACATGGTTTTGGCATTCCGGATCAGAGAGCCGGCTTCATCTGGATGGCACACTGTTTTTTTGTCCAAGAGTGTCACGTGACAGGCCATTATTTTATTAAAATTATATTTTTAACAAAAAGGGCTTTTTTATAGGTAACAAAATTGTGCTGTATAATCTCCCAGATGTTTACAGCACATGTAAGAACTTGTATCTTATTTTTAATATTACCTATAATCTCATTTTAATGAAAACATTTTGCAGCAAAGTACAATCTTATGTATACTTTTACCAAAACTGATCTAATACTGTCAAATTCTGAACACATTTACTTTTTGTCAAACCTGTTATTTGTAGTACTATAAACCAAGACAAATAAAATTCACATCTTCTTGAGCCTTCTACAACTTACAATAATACCTCTCAAACTAAGCTTTAATCTTTTTTTACATTCTGGCATAGCCAGACACCTTTACTTGAAGACCACTCTCTTTGTCCCTCTTTTTACTATTACCAGTCAATTACCTTTTTTCTCACTTCTCAGACAACATCAAAACTCTCAACAAAACCCTTGAAGTCACCTTCTAGTAGTCCAAAACATACTTATTTTATGTCTTTTTACCACATAAAAATGTTGTATTTTAAAAACAAAACTGTAACCTTTTAACTGGCTCAAATATAGTACCGCCTGGTTTTTACTTGGCAAAGTTGACATGACTCTTAACAACCATAGATATACATATATATGTGCACATGTTTACATTTTCACCAGAGAGAAAAAAATACTCTTTTTAAAAGGCATGCTGAGGTTGCAAGCAATCAATTGAAGTCTTACATATTAAACAAGGTGCCACAACATTAAAGACACAAACAAAGGGAGCTTCTTGCATAGTTTGGTCAGCTAAAGGAAATAATTTTTTTTATCATGAACCTTGAATCTAATAAGCCATATGGATCCTGCAACAGAAATGGGCAACAAGCCCCTAAGTTAGTAACAAGTTTAAACAGGCAACCAAGGAGAGGGCGGAGGAAGGAAGGGTTTTACCCACGGTGGGGGCTCCTCCCTGAGGTCCTGCCATACTAAGATGTAGGTGACCCAGTCGGGGTGGCTCTTTCGTCCAGGGCGGAAGATGATGTTCTTAACTGCTAAGATGAGGGGAAGGTGGAAAGTCCCCTCCGGTGGCCAATCCACGGAGAATGTGGGCCACTCAGACGAGCAGAAAGTCTGCCATTTACTTTTTTAACCTGTAAGGAGAGATTGTGAGCCCTCTCTCGAACCTCCGACCAATGGTCGGGGGTGAGGGACAATGGGGACGATGTCATTTGTCCCATGGTGTTCTGAAGACAAAGAGTGGTTAGCGTATGCGCGACACAACAAATAACCGATCACAACAGTCACAACACACAGGACAAACAGGCCGGCCACCTCACTCTCACGCATTAGTTTCACATCAAACGAGTCACCTTAGGGGGTGCCTCCAGATTGGCCCGGACGGACCACAGATTGGGAATGAAATTCCCCAGATTGGCCCAGACGGACCACAGATTGGGAATGAAATTCCCCAGATTGGCCCAGACGGACCACAGATTGGGAATGAAATTCCCCAGATTGATAGGAAAATCCTATCGCAGACGGTGAGTCACGGAAAACCGTGTGGGGCGTCCCCCGATCACCCAAGAACAGAATTTGCCCGTGAAGTAGAGCCGGAGTTTGGCCTGGGGCGAAAGGAAATGGCGGATCGATCCAAAATGAAAGTAAACAAAAACTGGCCGTACTACTTACCCCAGAGAGGTGCCGTTGGGGTCTCCCTCTGCGAGGAGGTCTCTTCTCAGTTTGATCTCGCTAGGGCCTCCAAAATGTTAGACCGGTGTCGCGAGGAAGACTCCAAGGGCCTCGCTCTTATGTAAAAACAATGGGGTTTTTATTATTCCGTGTACACGGGGTTTTCCAAACAGGTGGAAACGGAGAACCCTGAGTTGGGGCAAGGCTGGTGTTTTTAAGGATGAAAACCGCAAAGCAAGCAAGCATTGTTACAGAAGCCAATCATAGCAGTTAGAGCAGAACAGTTGGTGATTTGTCCATTTGTGATTGGTCAGATCATGAGGGGCGACCAGTGGGTCAGAGTTGATTAACTGTCTTGTTTTGCACAGCTTATTTTTAGGTCACCTAGCTCCTGTGTGGCTTGGTTCTGACATACTTTCCAATCTTGATTAGCATAGTCAGCAGACTTTATCTCTGAGTTTCCTGACATAATTACCTTACTTTAGCACCACAACCTTTCTATTTGTAGAGGGCAACAATGGTTAACATATCAATTGGGTAAGATTTTACAATTCTTTACAGATGAGAGCATTGATTAACATATCAATCTTTTACCCAGGGGAAAAGGAAGACACACATTTACAGTTACAGGTATTACTATGATATAAACGAAGCTATTTCTGTGAAGAATGTACAATCTAATACAATCTGATGCAATTAACACAATTTGTGACAGGGCTACCAGATAGGGAAGACCCAGGATGTCAGGAGCTAGTACCTCAGGCCTTTGTTTTATGGCCTTTAGGAAGTTAAAACTTAACCTAGTTGGATTTGAAGGGAGAAGGGGAGGGGAAGCAGCAGATGGAACGAGCTTTCTTTGTCTCTTTACATCGAAATCCAGTTTAACTGTATCATGATCTTCAAATGAAGACTAATATGTGTTATATTGTATTTTAAATATTTAACTGACCTATTTCAATTCTTAAACATTGGGAGATCTGTTGGGAAGGATGACTTGGCTAGATCAAATCTATTTTTAAAAATTCAAATTTAGGAGGGTTTTTTTTTTTTTTTTTTTTGGTCTCTGGTGACATTTCCCTAGAATGCACTTATTTGTGTGCATTCCACTTACTTTGACTTTCAGTTCAAGGTATTGTAAGCCAACAAATTACTCTTTTAATAATGCATATCCTCTCTAAAAAATAGGTTTGTAACAACCTTTCATGTGGATTTAAAAAAAAAGTTTTGCTCCTCTTTATCATCTTGTTTTCAGCATTTTTTTTCCCCTGATGTACCAGGGATCAAACTCATGACTTTGCACTTGCCAGGCAGGCACTTGTGCCTACAGCTAAATCTCCAGCCCCTCAGCTTATTATTTTAAGCAAATATATAAACATTTGGTATCAAATCAGACCTAATGCATTAGAAATTTGTAAATGCTAACTCACCTTTTTTACCTCCCTCCCCACTGGATGTACTTTTGGGATGTAATTGGAAAGTTAAGAAAAGAATTAACACATCATTAACAGTTACAAAAAGGTGCTTGGAAACAAATGTCTGTGCCACCAGCTATTTGGTAGGAGGTGTTCTATCTTGTGAAAGAGTGTACCCTCAAGGTCACCAAGTAAATAGAGAAGGCAGGATTCGGCTGTCTGCACAGCCTTCCACAGTAAGCATCTGTAAATATTTCATAAATGAGACATGGTAGATATGCTGGTTATTTTCTTGGTGGGCCAACAGAAGGAGGGCTGAAAGTGTGTAATAGTGGTAAGCAAAGGTGCTTCAAAACGCGGGGTGCTTGGGGCTGCTCTGATTCCTCAGTGGCAGAGCAGCCCCACCACTGAAATGTCTCTAGTGGTCAATGTCATTTGAGATTTTTAGTGCCTGTTACCAGTTTTAACCATTGTTGGTTTTGCTGTTCTCATTGGTCATTTAGATCCAAGAAAAAGTAAAAGAAATTGAGCAGAGCAAGACCATGAGTCAGGAATTCAGCCGGCAAATTCAGCAGGTAGCCAAAGATCTCACTACGATTTTAACGAAGCTGAAAGCAAAAACGGATAATCTAGTTCAAGCTAAAACTGACCAAAAGGTAAGGAGCAAAGAGGCAGTTTTATTTAGAGATAAAGGAAAAATAACGCTCTTAGCAAACTGCACTAAAAAGAGACATTTGTAAATGTGCTGGTAATAGAGTGAGCCCACTTACATAAGTAATCATTGCAATTAAATATATTAACAAATAGTGATGCGTATGTGAATAAAAGTATATGAAAATATCAAATAATGACAAGCTTGTGAGCACAAGTTTATAAATCCCAAAGTGACTCCTGGTTCTGGCAATTAATTCTGTGTCTGCACCCTGTCCATGAGTTAAGTGAACAAATCCACTTGGGTAGGGCAGAGAGAAACGTAAGCCTTGTCATTCAGAAAATAAACACCAGAATTACAACACATTCTGCTCTGCCTCTCCAACACCCCAAAACACAAAAGTACATCAAAGTAAAGTTGTTTTTCATAATATTTGCCTTTCATAAATATTATGTAAAATATAATCTGATTGTAGGAAACGTAGAAAAACTTATTTTCTATAATCTAATTTCTTTATGGGATGACCACATAGGTCCTGGGAGAGGAACTAGATGGCTGTAATTCACGGTTAATGGAATTAGACGCAGCGGTACAAAAGTTCTCAGAACAGCATAGTCACCTGAGCAAGCCACTGGCCAAGAAGATAGGAAAACTGACCGAGCTTCAGCAGCAGACTGTCCGGCAAGCTGAGAATCGGCTCTCCAAACTCAATCAGGTCTGTTTTCCAGACTGGCAGGCAAAATGCTTGAAGGCAGAAACTTTAAGCATCTGCCTTTGCCTTGAAAATAAATGAAAATATGAGACTGCAATGATGAAAAAAGTTTAGATGTGGTTTATTTCAAACCATGCCTGTTTTCTAAGATTCATATGCAAACCTGTGATTATTTTGTAGCTAATTATAAAGTCACTGGCAAAGATTGTTGTCCAGCAAGCTTTGGGGGTAAATAGTTTGTAAACTGGAGAATATTTCGTAAAATGAATAATTGTCCATTAACAAGTTTTATAAAATCAGTGTGGGAAAAATTTAGATATCTTAAAGCAAGTAATGTGTGTGTGTATGTGTGTGTGTTGGCATTTACTTAACAGACCATGCAGTTTATTAATGAATTAGCTACTGTCCTGTCCTTTCCTGCCACTGGGATGAAATACCTCATACCCACAACTTAAGGGAAGAGGGATTCATTTTGGCTCATGGTTTCCAGAGGATTCAATCCATGCTTGAATAGTCCCAGAGGGAAAAAAACCAGCATGGCAAAAGGGCCTGCGGAAAGAAAGATGTGGAAGGAAGATGTTCAAGCCATGACATCTAGAAAGCAGGGCCAGGTAGTGAGACCAGGGACAAGAACACAGCCTTCCATGTCACATACCCAGTGACCCGCCTCTTCTGACCAGTTGCTACCTCCTAATAGCACATTCAACCATGGACTCATCAATGGGTTAATACACTAAGTATAGCACCCTGTGATCAGTCACCTTCCAAAAACTTCACTCCTGAAATTGTAAAACTTTTGAGGGAAATTTTAGATGTAAACCAAAAAATAGGTAGCATATGATTATAAACTGGGCTATACATATTGGTTGAGTATTATTTGTGTAATTAAGTTAAAATCAAGAATTGGTAATCAATGAATATTAAAACCTAGCTTGCTATGGTCCCCCACCTGTTACTACCTTATCCAGTGGAATGTGGGAAAGGAATAGAAAGCAGTTATATGAGAGTGGAGAAGAGATAGAGAAATTATCAAGCATAGGAAGCCTTCATAATCCCTTTAATAATGTGTATGACAGTCAACCACTAAGGTTGCTCTATTCAAAGAGATCAAAGACTGATTTTTAGCTCAGGAGGCAGAGTTTACATTCATGAGTGTTAATGATTTTTCAGGCAGCATCACATTTGGAAGAATACAATGAAATGCTTGAGCTAATTTTGAAATGGATTGAGAAAGCTAAAGTCTTGGTACATGGAAACATTGCGTGGAATTCTGCGAACCAGCTTCGGGAACAGTACATTTCACATCAGGTAACTTTAAGAAGAACAGTTTCCAAAGAGTAACAAAGAGCAATTTGGCTGACACAAAATTTAGAGGGTCATGATGTAAAATTCTTGCAGGTACCATATCAAAAAAATGCTGAATTTTCTTATTTAGCAAAAAGTAGCTACTCATGAGATTGCTATGAGATAAGGTGTGAACTACCATAATATTTTCTCTTTTCCCTCAAACCAAAGACAAGCAATCCTGCATGACTATTTTATTTAACTTTTTAAAAACAGTTTATATTTGGGGAAATTCTCTGAAAGATTATAGGCTCCACATCACTCAACCTGAGAAAGAAACTAGGCTCTGCCATTAGGAACCATGTGATTTGGAGCAAAATAGTTTGCCTCTTTTATTCTTGTCTTCTCATTTCGGAGGTGGAGGAGTGAATAGTCATCACATGTCAGACTTAGAAGGATCAAATGGCTGCATGTATCTCCAACATCTGGCAGAAGCAGGTGCTCTGCAGGAGTTCCCTGCCTCCTTCCCCTCAGCCTTCTGCTTCTGCTGCGGCTCGGTCCTGCGCCTTCCAGGGCAGGGCAGGGTCAGCTGGAGCCAGCAGTGAGTCCACATCACATAGTGGCTGTGTTACTTCATTTCCTGTGAAGTTATGTGATAAAAATATTCCTCTGCTTTTGCTCACATGACCCAGGAAATTACTTCATCCTTTCATAACTGAAGTTTGAATTGGATTTAGATATCTAACAGACTATCTTGGAACAAAATAGACTGATTTTCCTTTCGGTTACATGGACGCCCTCAAGCAATCTGGGTTTTCGCTCTTATATGACTTATATATGTGTATCTTTTAATTAATCCCATTTCCATTCCAGTTGACAGAGTGCTAAATCAGATCTTCACTCTTCCCTTCCTGAAAGCTTTGAGAGCACCTGATGCGGCCCCTGCAACCTTCTTTCGCTAGTCAATCTTGTGCACCCCTCCCAAGAGGGCTTTCTTTCAACTCCAGTTGTTTCCTGCAAGCTACACTTAGGCACAGACAGACTTGGCTTACAATTGACATGTAAACAATGAAAACACATCCAAGTTCAGTAGAAACCTAAAAGTAAAAATTTAAGAAAAATGGAGAGAGCGGATTTTAGCTATCAAGTCAACATTATTTTTTTTGGACACTCATACTTAAAGGAGTGAGAAAGCAATTCGCAAAATATATGATGACCATCATATATGGACCTGGGGATAACACTTTCTGAGCTCATTGCAGAGACTGCCATCCAAAACGTAAAAAATATTTTATCTAGTATTTAAACTGTAGTGAAATTTTAAAGAAAACTTAAATGTCAAACAACAGCATTTCTCAGTACATTTTTGGGTTTTTTCCCTCAATACAATTTGCATACAATGCAGTCTTGGTTTTGTTTGTTTTGTATGCTTGTCTGTATTTTTGGTTGGGTTTTGCCAGCCAAATTGACCCCAGGACCCCAGAATTGAACCCAGGGCCTTTTGAATCCAGTGCCTTTGTACCTAGTTTATTTCTAGTTCTTTTTATTTATTTTATTTTGAAACAAGTTCTTTCTAAGTTGCCCATGTTGGAGTTGAACTTTTGATTCTCCTGCCTCAGCCCCCCAGAAGGCTGAGATTGCATATGTACCACCATACTTACTTTAATGCTCTTTAAAGAGACCATGAAAGCTTTTTCTTCTTTTTTATAGTAGTTCCTGCACTCATTCATTCAACAAACAGTTATAGGCTACTTTCCCAATCTAGTAATTTGGTAGGCATTTGGAATTCAAAGAATATTTCTTGTTCCTGTTTCTTTGGAGTGAGAGGAAGGGAGTGCTAGAAAGGGGATTATCACAACCAGTGTGATCATTGTAGAGAGATCTCAGGAAGTATGCAGCCCAGACTATCCTGTGTTAGACAATGGTTAAAGAAGGCTACTTAGGAAGAGGTGACACAGGACTGAGTCCTGATAAGCATTGCAGCTCACTTGCGGAATGTGCTTTAAACAAAAGCACATTGTCTTGGCAAAATCCTAGCAGTAAGAGAGCAGGTACTCTGGTGCCATAGAAAGCTGGAAAGAGGGCTCAGAGGTAAGAACAGAGATTAGGAAAACACAATGAAAGCCTGTTCCAAGTGTGGACTTTATCCTAAAGTCACCCTGAAGCCTGGGACAAATACTTTGTCTGCACTTTAGAAGCTCAGGCTTGCAGAGTGAGAAAAGGACAACCCCAGCTGTGTAATTACTGACAGGAAGATGAGAAAAGACGGGGTTTCCATAACCCAAACTCTGTGCTCCAGGAGAAAATGCAAGTCTTCTTTTTGGAGATTGACCAAAAAGGACAAAATGAAGGGATGTTTAGGGAAATTAGGGCACTAGAAGTCCTAGTGGTTGGATGTGGGTGAAAGAGAGAAAGGCATTCAGGACAATTCCCAGGTATTTGTGACACAAGAAGCTGGGAGATTGACCCTGTTATGGAACACAGGGGTACAAGGAATAACACGTGGCTTCAGTGAGATGTTAAGATTTCCGACACTTTGGTTTGTAAAGTGCCCTGTGCACGTGGGTAGCGTGAATTACAGCCTAGTCCTCTTTATCACCTTCCAAGTCTGGTAGTCCTTACACCACGCAGTATTGGTTACTTGCGCCCCTCCTATGCCTGACAATGTCACGAATATTGACAATCCACTTTAGGCCCTGCTAGAAGAATCTGAAGAAATTTACAGTGATCTGGAAGCAATGTCTGAGAAATTACAGTGCCTCACGAGTGTGTACTATACAGAAAAGATGTCTCAGCAAGTGACAGAACTGGGACGAGAGACTGAGGAGTTACGGCAGGTGATAAAAATTCGTATGCAGAGCCTCCAAGATGCAGCCAAGGTAAAAAAAAAAAAAAGAATTTATCACTGAAAAAAAAGGCTGATACTAGTGTTGAGTAATAGAACAATGTGCTTCCTTGGCTATGATGTTATTCTTCACTATGATTGATATTCAAATGGCTTTTGCTCTCCAGGATATGAAAAAATTCGAAGCAGAGCTGAAAAACTTACAAATGGCTTTGGAACAAGCTCAAACCACCCTGACTTCTCCAGAAATTGGGCGCCTGAGTCTCAAAGAGCAACTATCACATCGACAGGTAAAAAAAACTTTTTTGACAAATGAGTAATGACTTATTTCTAAAAAAAATAGAATAGCTACAAAAAGTATTTTCTCAATTCAATTACAGAAGATGGGCATGGTGGCACATGTCTGTAATCGCAGCATTTAGGAGTCAGGCAGGAGGGTAGCTATGATTTCAAGGCCAGTCTGGGCTACAAGGTGAATTCAAAGCCAGTCTGAACTATTTAGTGAGACCCTGTACAAAAAAAAAAAAATTACTTCTAGTCTTAATCTAGATGCATTATTGAGAACAATGTACCTTGCAATAATCTATGTTGATAATTCAGTAAATGTCTTTTGCTGAGGTAGTGATGCATGAAAACATTAAACTTTTCAACTCCGACATCATACTTGCAGCATTTGCTGTCTGAGATGGAGTCATTGAAGCCAAAGGTGCAAGCCGTGCAGCTCTGCCAGAGCGCTCTGCGGATCCCCGAGGATGTGGTGGCCAGCTTGCCACTCTGCCACGCCGCCCTGCACCTGCAGGAGGAGGCCAGCCGGCTGCAGCACTCCGCCATCCAGCAGTGCAACCTCATGCAGGCAGGTGCAGCTGTGCCCGGGTTCCCTGAGGCCCACGCCAGCAGAGCCATCGTGCATGAGTCATGGGCTGCTTTTCTTAGCATTGTGTGGGCTCAGCCATCAAAACACATCCCGACCGCTAAATCTGACAAACTGTTGTGGTTATATAAAATGAAGAGACTGAGGTGCTATCATTTGGATGGCTCACAGTAGGCTGGGGAAAGCTCCATAAAAATATCCTGTTGGTGATACTTTTTTTTTTTTTTATAAAGAACAACGTGTATAGGTTAAATTTGGATGAAATCATGTATTTGTAATCTTTTATTCACTTAAGAAATATGCAGATTTGGATAGTATGAACTTTTATATACTACAGATTTTTTAACATTTTAGCATATTATTTCATCAAAAGCATTGTCTTGTCAAAGAAGTACGCAGAGGCATAACTTGGTCTCTTCATTTAATAGGAGAAAAAAGTATCTGCCATGACATCATTTACTATGTATCTGTTTTCAACTAACATGTATCTGCTTTATCAAAAATTGCCAAGGAGGCTGCTCATTAAAATCACTAATGACCCATTTGCACAATTCTTTTGGCTCCATGCACTACCTTGTAATTTCTGTGACATTCAGTTCCTAAGTCTCAAAGTCATGCACAGTTCATATTTTTATCCTCTACTGCAGTGTCTCACTTTTGTCACTCAGTGTTTCTTAGAGATAGAAGTGAACGATCCTGCTTCCACTTCCGGATCATTGTGTTTTGCCCTCAGGACAACATGAATGAGGGAGAAGAGAGAGAATCCTAACCATCAAGTTTTAAGTCTGTCAATCATTCCATCATAGTATTTTACAGAGAAAATTTTTAAACATTTAAGTAAAAATTGAGAATTTGAGCCATCTAGGGCTTTTACCCATCAACTTTGTGATTTCGTAAACACACAGGGAACCAGGCTGACAGTGATACAGCCACTTACCAGCTATTGATATAGAAAGAAAATCACATGTTGTTGTCTCTTTTGCAAAGGAGGCAGTGGTCCAGTACGAACAGTATGAGCAAGAGATGAAGCACCTCCAGCAGCTTATAGAAAGTGCACACAGAGAGATCGAGGACAAACCTGTGGCCACCAGCAACATCCAGGAGCTGCAAGCCCAGATAACACGGCACGAGGTGAGAGACGAGCTGCAGGCAGAATGCCAGAGGCAGGAAACCACTGCGATCAGCAACTGCGAAAGAATGGGCTTCCCTGTCCCCAACGTGTTGGTTCCTGGGCATCTGCTGTGGCTGTCTTTGCATTTTAAGTGTGATTTTTGCTGATTCCACAACAACATCTTTATGTGTTCTTCATGACATATCTCAACTAGGACACACCCACTGTCCCCTGCACCCAAAACAGTTATTAATATGCTAAAAAATTCAGTAGACTAAAACCTGATGTCAGAGCCTACAAGAAAGAGCAATACTTTAAAGCTTTGCTGCATTGTTCACTTTCTTAAATTCTGAAAGGAGTTATTCAAATTAAAAAGAATATTATGTGCCCTTTGAAAAATATCAGCCATTCCAATTCCTCTCACTAAAAGCAGAGAAAAGTCTATGTCATCTCTTCTGCTAATTTTTAGATTGCATTTTCCCATTTTCAAATATGCTTCCTTCTTGCATATGCCGATTCCTGTGGCATCGTGGTGACCTCAGAACTTGGACACTCCTGGTACAGACCGGGTCTCAGAGATTGGGGTCTCAGCGTCACTGACCCTTGCCATTTAGCAGTGCAAGTCCTATCTGGTTTGTCAGCTTCTTCATAGGTCACGTTCACGTTTCCCTTCCTGGCTGCATCTTAACACCATGAAATTTGGAGGAAGGCTTATGTCTCTGTGTCAAGGGGAGACAATTAATTTATCCTTCCATCTGCTCTCTTATAACTTTGTTGTGAGAATGATTTTTCCAAATGAAATATCATAGTAAGGTTCTCACAAATGTTGCCCTTCTGCAGTGCTTTCCAAGCAGGCGCTTATGCCGCTGAGCTAAACCCCTGGCCCATTCCTCAGTTTCTTGATACTTACATACTAATCATTTATATCAGTGTATGATTGACAAAATGATTTAAATAAGTGTCTCACCCACATTTACTTCTGCAACTGTAGACATATATGGCAGCCATTTCTCGTATGCATTTTAACCAATTGCATTTTAACCAACGCAATGTTTGAAACAACTATTTGTATGATGTAAAAATGCAACTATATAGTATACACTTAGCCTGAAGCTATTTTTACTGCTATTTCATACGTTCCCAAATTTTGTTGCAATGATTCTTCTAATATGGAAAAGAAATATTTGTGTCTTAGAAATAATAACAATGATTTTTAATAAAGTTTTTATATTTTTTAAAATAACTTATGGGGCTGGGATTATAGCTCAAAGGCACAAGCGCCTGCCTGGCAAGTTCGAGGTGGTGAGTTTGATCCCCTGTAGCAAAAACAAAAACAAAAACAAGCAAACAAACAAAAAAGACTTGCAAAATTTTACATCTTTTTAAAAACATCAATTCATTTTTTTCTAATAATCTCTGTTTATCAATAAGAAAATTGGTCTTTTTTAAGACCAATTTCCTGAGCTCTCACATCAAGTACCTAGTTGAAACTGGACTCAAGTGCCTATGACTCAAAATACCACGACTTTTCCAGTGTAACAGAAATTGTTTGGACTCTGTCACTGTACAAAGGAAAAGAAAAGGTATCTAAGGAAGCAAAATACTCACCCAAGGCCACAGTAGCTCTCCGCAGTAACCACCAGCCTGGTCTTCTGGGCTCTTGCTTCTGTGGTCTGTTCATTTTGTTTCTTTTTCTCTGCCCCATTCTAAACATCCATATAAGTATTTGTTAGTTTCACCATGTGACTTGAAACACATTTCAGTATCCTGCCAGGGGTGGTGGTATGTGTGAAACAAACACAGGAAGGAAAACCTAGTGGAGAGATCCTGTGTGGTAATGTAAAAACTGAGATGAGGGGTTTCCCCTGTGTTTTTTGTCTGCTGTTAACTGAATTTCAATGTTAGAGTGAGTCTAGGTTCTGTGTAAATAACATCACCTCATAAAAATCACCAAATTGATTCAGTTCAAGGAATTCACATTTTGCATTCTGTAATTTTTGGAAAGTGCATTTAATTGAAAAAGCCATCTTGCTCTATTTATTTACTTTTTAACTTACTTATTTATATGATAATTGGATTGAACCCAGGGCCTTTGCACTGAGCTACATCTTTACCTCTTTTTGTATTTTAGATTTTGAGACAAGGTTTTACTGAGACACAAAATCACCCATGCTGTTCTCAAACTTTTTATCCTCCTACCTCAGTCTCGCAAAAAGCTGGAATTACAGATATACACCACCATGCCTACCTCCTACCACTTTTAAATCCTAAGAGAGAATACTCAGACTTTTCTGCTCTCTACTTGATGCAGAGACAATGCTCCTGAATACACACAGGGCTCCTTTGCCTCACCAGGGCACTATACTAAAATTCCCACTTCTGCAGTCATTTTTTGGGAATAATCTAATATATATGCATGAAAATGGTAACACAGGAACCCATTGGTACTTCCTTTTAATTTGGTAAATTTGGCACATCACAAATAACCAACATAAAAAGTCATGAAATATAAGCAGGTTTAAAATTTCAGAAGTCACATGGGTTGACTATAAGACACAGATTCTCATAAACCTGGTATATCAATATCTTTGGAAGTGTTGATCAGAGCTACATTTTTATCAAACAACCTAGTTGTGATTTAGATACAATAAAATTGAGATATTCAATTTAGGAAATGGGCACTTGATCTTAGTGTATACCATTGTAGGCGCTGCTGTAGGGAGCTGTGACCAGGCATGTGACACAACGCAGATTAGGGTTAATATTACCTCTTGTCTGCCGGGGATTTAGCTTAGTAGTGTAAGCACCTGCCTGACAAGCACAAGGTTGTAAGTTTGATCCTCGATGCCAAAAAAAAAAGTTACCCCTGTCTGTTCCACAGTTATGTGGCAAGCCAGAGTATGAAGCCTTTATGTCCTTGAACTCAGTTGAGTCCAGCAAGCTGTGAGATGTCTTTTATAGTGATAACTATAATAAATACCATTTGTAGAATACTCACGTACCAGTCCCTAGAATAAATGTAGCAATTGGCTACTTAATTACTATTTTTTTTAAAAAAAACCCTGCGATGTTTAAGCACTTGCAGCTACAGAGATGAAGAAGTGATTATTTTTACTTTTTAAATTTTATTTTCAAAGTTCCAATACCATTCTAGATGTCAAGAAAACGAGTTGCTGGCTGAGTTCTGCTGTACTCTTTTCTCCTCCTCAGGTTTGGTTTTAGAGGGAAGAAAAAAGCAATAGCAAAATGATAGCCATGTGTGATGGTGCACCCTTGTAATCCCAACACTCAAGTGGCTGAAGCAAGAGGATTGTCATGAGTTCAAGAACAGCCTGAGCTACATAGCAAGATTTTGTCTCAATAATTAAAACAAGAAGTGCATCAAAAACATTTGTAGCAGAATATATATATATATGTATATATATATATATATGTCACACATATGCACAAACATTATTTTACAATGGTAGTTAATGTCAGTCACAGAATGTTTTATCTACAAAATACCAAATGATAGCTTCTTAGACAAAGGAGCCAAACAAAGGGGAAGTTAGAAGAAAATAATAGTTTTATACTGTTTTGGTTAATCTTTTGGAATACGCATTTTTCTTCTAAAAGATGTAAGAAAATATTACTTTAATATTTGATATTTATAGCATTTTGTATACAAGCAAATATAACTGTAGTATTTATTTTTTTTTTAAATTTAACACAAGGTCTCACTATGTAGTGCAGGCTGAGCTTGAGCTCATTCTGTAGCTCAGGTTGACCTCCAACTCACAGTGATCCTCCTGTCTTGGTCTCCCAAATGCTAAGGTTACAGGAATGCATCATCACGCCCAGCGGCATACCTGTAATACAGTTATTACACTCCAAAAATGGGTCTATAGTTACCATTTTAAGAGAAAGGTCAATCCAGCATATATTTCCAAAAACCTCTTAGTAAAAATTTTAAAACCTCTAACAAGGTTTTGTTTTCAAAAAGTAAATGAAAGTAAAAGCCATTAAATTTGAAAGGCATTTTGGAGCTATGGGTTGAAGCATCAGAAACATTTGCAGCAGGATGGAGTAGAAGAGAAAAAATCGATGAATGCACAAAATTTTATTTGGGAGGCAGTCTGCATAAAAATTAATGTTTCACATGTATTACCAATCTTATCTAGAGAAAGAAATAACACCTATGTTTACAGGAATGGGCAGGCAGTTGCCTCTGTGATCCTTCTAATGCCAAATGACTATCATCTCTGCGAATGTACTCATGTAGTATAAGAGCTGAGCACTGCATTTTTTTTGTAGTTTTAGTCATCACATGACCTAATTTCCATGGCATGAACCATCTGGTGTGTTTCATATGCTTTAGACATTTTAAAGAAAGTTGTCAGTTCTTAACGCAGGACATTCACGATTCCACAGGAGTGTCTCCCACCATGACAAGCGATTCACCTGCGTCACCTTATTTCTGCTTTTGTACTGAGCAGGGCTGCTTGCACTTTTCAGCCGGGCTGGGCTGCAGCGCTGTGGGCTGGCTCTGCTGTGAGATGCAGACTGACTCTCAGGCTGCCACAGTCCACATCCTGCCTCCCGCCAGCTCGGCTCTGCCCCGTCATTGGCCAGCGCTGCAGGAAGATGAACGCCACTACTTCTGTTTCCTTTTGATGCTGCTCTGACACCAGGGGGGAAATGTTTTCTCAGGAGCTGGCGCAGAAAATCAAGGGCTACCAGGAGCAGATTGCCTCTTTGAATTCCAAATGCAAGATGCTGACAATGAAAGCCAAGCACGCCACCATGCTGCTGACGGTGACAGAGGTCGAGGGGCTGGCAGAAGGCACCGAGGATCTGGATAGAGAGCTCCTCCCCACACCGTCGGCCCACCCCTCTGTGGTTATGGTAAGGATCAGTCAGCTTCAACAGCTTTGGCTCCCTGGTCTGGAGCCTCTTAGAGACCCTAGGAGCCCTTGCCAAGCCCTATTTCAGGGTTAACTTTAGCCTTTGAGAGTTTGATCTTTAACTCCTTCAGACTGCATTTGGGCCTGAGCCCATCAGTAAACAGTGACAGTTAAAATGAAACTATTTGCTTGGGACTGCCTAGTTACTTAACTTGTCCCAGATCTGCCCCGCGTTTGTTTATAATTTAGCAATAATACTAAGAGGCTTTGAGATGGAATTGCATTTGCCCAGCTAGTTACCTGCATAATGTGCATGTACAGAAATGTGTAAATGCAAAATGAAAAATAAGAAAATAGAAAATTTATATTTTAGCATTGGATATAAAATAAATAAGCTGCATTAATTTATTCTGCACCATTTTTCCACTGTACACCTTAGACCTACAGGCATTGAGTCTTTTGGTAACTGTATGTTCCAGAGCTATGTTTCCCTTCACATGTGCTATGCCTTGAGTAATACGTAACCGTACCTAGGTCTACTTGGCTATGTCATATTAGCTGCATTTATTTCCCTAGGATCTTTACAAGTTGAGATATCACCAAAAGCCAACCTGTACTTGATAGATCCTTTCTTCATTTGTGTAATTTATGATATTTCTGGGCATTTTATAAAGTACACACTCAACACACCTAAATAAGGAAGGTTTTGTTTTTTAATCTGCAGCAAAAATCCTTGAATGTTTTGTTTGCACTCTTTATTACTAATGGTTTCGCAAATGGCCCATCGTATTATATTTACTGGATGGCAAAACTTGTAAATACTAACACAGAATTAATATGTGAATTGGGGTCTCAGTCACTCTAACCTTTGTTGTATACTATTTGTTTGGTCTGTGTCTGGCCACAACTTTTGTTAACACAACTAACTAATTTTTTGTCTTTTGGGCTACAATTTCTGGGGCAGATGACTGCAGGTCGCTGTCACACTTTGCTGTCACCTGTCACTGAGGAGTCTGGGGAAGAGGGAACCAACAGTGAGATTTCTTCTCCACCTGCTTGTCGCTCCCCTTCACCTGTGGCTAATACAGAGGCTTCTGTTAACCAGGTACCTCTCACTTGGCATTCTTCTACCTGTGAGCCCTGAACGGATCCAGGATTCCATTCTTTGTGCTCTTGAGGCTGTGAGTGAGTTTAGACTACATTGCCCTTGGCTCCAGCCCTACATCATTAAGTGGTATAGTTGTGCAAATTATGACTGCTTTGTGAGACTCCCCCGCTCACTGTGCCATCTCCTCTTGGAGTATTGATAAAAAAATGAGCAAAAATGAGGTTATGGAGATTCCAGCCAGAGAAGATCTCTTGTAAGGCTTTATTGTTTTGTTTTGAGCAATCCTGAGGCATTGCATCCTAAAGTCTCTGTCACTGTTGTAAAATAACATGATTCTAGTGGTATTTACAATTCAGTGAACACACTGTTGTCATTTAGCAGATCAGATTTTGAATCTGGAAAATTTCTATTATGTTACACTTTTTAACTTATTAATTGTGTACTAACTTAAGCGCTGTCTGCCAACATGTGTACTGAAATGATTAGCACATTTGTTTTCTTATCTTTCAGTAGCCTTAAATTTTATTTCACATAAAAAGAAGGTAGTATTTTGTTATTAGATGTGTTTTAGCTTGCATTGTATTAAACATACATTATTCTACAATTCTTAAAATTTTATAAGAAATACTGGACAGAAATCTAAAAGATATTTCTACAACAAAAACATTTAGTCTATATTATGCTGCTATACTGTATTTTAAACTAAAACAACAACAAAGACTTTAATTACATTCCTATGATGTAACTGTTCAAAAGAATTGAATTGTGTTATTGAGGAAGAAGCATTAAACAGAAAATGTTTTATAAGTTGCATTACATAGCAATCATATTACTTTTCTTTTAAAATAGAGCGAGCCAATATAGAACTTCTGTGATAGAGACCCTGTCCCAACAAAAAGTGGATATAAAATTGATGAAACCTTTAGGTAGCCCAGTTCTCTTGATAAAAGTAAGTATAGCTCTAGGGAAGCTTTCAGCTCATCCATTTATCAAGTATATTCTGAGCAACTGCGTGGCACAAAACTTTGCCAAGGACCCAGAGGAGGAATGGAGACCACTGGACAGTGGCTTCATCCACAAGGTCCTCACTGTCTGCAGAGAAAGGTTAACACGAGATAAATAATAACAAAAATGATAAGAGGAAATTAAAATGAACAACATAAAAAGGGGAAGTTTAGGGCGCTGGTAAGTTTAGGTCACTGTTCTCCAAATTCTAATTTAAAAATACACATTGCTCATTCTTTGACAAGATGTTCTTCCCTGTGGTCACAGATGTTATTAGAATAAGAGAAATTTGACCATGGCCTACTGATTACTATATTGAAAAGTTATTCTGCTTGATATGGTTGACGATTTTAAGATTTTTCAAACTGAACAAAAAATACTGACCTTGAGACTGGCACTGGATAAAATAGACCTTTTTTTAAAAACTATAATTCACAAAAAAAAAATGTAATTCACTCCTGGTAAAGTGTTTTTCAGTATATACGTGCAGGTGTCTGATAAATGAAAAAACATGCAAATATTTTTATTATCACTATTTGATATTAACCATGAAGCTAGTTACGTTCTAAAACCAAGAGCTGTTAGGCTTTGTGTTGATCCTGTTGTGACACCTCTTCTCCAATGACCAGAAAACATGAATTAAATCACATCATTAGTCTAATTGACTGAGATGAGATGCTGCAGGGTAGGGGAAACTGAGGTTAAGTCAGTATTATATTCAACATAACTCAAATGAATATTGTCATTGTAGCCATGAGGTTGCTTTTGCTTTTTGTTTTTTGTTTTGTTTTGTCTTGGTACGGTAACGTAAATTAGAGCACAATGAAAAACCATGACAATATAACCACTGACGCATTGGATTACAGAATCATCTCTTGAAACAGAACATTTAGAAACATCTTAAGTTCCAGTTTTCAGATTCCAAACCCTGTACAGAATGTCCACAGTGGTGTCTAGGAACAGCCAAATATAACCGCTGTGTAACATCGCAGCTGTTGAAAGAGGTTTTGTGCTTGCTGCTTCTGTAAGTAGCTCTCATTACATAAGGGCTTGATCCCATTTCCAGCCTGTGTGTTTAGTCTCTGACAGTAGCTACTAGTTAAAAGTAACAATAACAACTCACCCCATGGGAGAGAGGCAGCAATGAGGCGTCCCCCAAATGTGCTGCAGGCTTCTTGATCCCCTGGACACAAGCCAAGACAGGCTCCACAGAAGAATTGAGGGAAGCAGCACTTAAAAAGAGCAGTGAAGGGAGGACGGATGACTGCCCTGTAGGTCAGAAGCTCTCCCAGGTCCCAGCCCTTCTTCCTCTAAGCTGTGTTCCTGGGAAGTCCCTTGACCCCTTCATATGCAATCAGGAAGCAATACTGATAAACTCACAAAACGGGAAAATGAAATGTGAAGTTAACCATGAAAGTACTTTATAAACTGGAAAATGCAGATCAGTAACTATGATTGCCCAGAATCACTTCCTTGGAAAGTGACTGGGCAGGACCTCTCCTAACTTGAGAACATAAGCAGTGAAAGATGTATCTAAGGACGATTCTTCACTAATGCACTAATATTGAGTTTAGTAATTATTTATAGAACAGACTGATTTATTTTATTGAGTTTATGTAGTCAGTCCTCAAACAGACTCAGATATTCATCTGCAAAAGGTGATATGTTTTTGACTTATTTTAGGAAACAAGTTGTCAGTCCTGCCATGAGCCATATACACAGAGACGGACAGAAATGATGTTTTGTAACAAATTCATTATATTGTAGCTCTTTTTGGAAGCTTATTTGTTTATAAGAGTGTATAATTTAAAATCTGTACACATATAAAGCTACTTTTTCCTTTTCCTTGCAGACAGCAGTGGTGGAATTCATCCTTATCTACAGATCATACATTCAAAGACTCCCAGGGGATTCTGGGAACCACAGATTACAGAAAACACAATAGGCATTGTGTTCTCCCATACATGCCTATCCATGATGAAGTTATTTTATAAGTTAAACACAGAGATTAAAAACAATACCAATGAAAGAGAACAGTTAGAACAATGTACAGTGTAAGTTATATAAATGTACAATGTACAGTGTAAGTTATATAAAACATACAAATTATTTATTTCTAGAATTTTCCATTTATATTGTTCAGTCCATAATGAAAAATACGGGTAGTTGAAAGTGCAGAGTGAAACCTCAGATGGAGTGGGACTGCTGTATTACCTTCCATGTGTGTAAAGTGGTAGGGATTATGAAAGTGCTTTTTTATGGTTCTGGGGATTAAACCCAGGGCCTTTCCACTGAGCTATGTCCCAAGCCCATTTTTTATTTCTTATGTGGGACAGGCTCTTGCTAAATCACTCAGACTTGAACTTGGGCTCCTTCTCACTCAGCCTCCCAGAGTGCTGGGATTTTAGGTGTGTACTGCCACACCAGCTACAAATGTACTTTTACATGTGATTCATTAGGAGCACAGATGCCTACCTGTTCCTAGCTCAACACTCTGCAGTGTGTTCATGATGAACAACAGGCAGTGTCACAGTGTTTAAGGAGCTCACAGTTTGTGAGAGAGCAAAAAAAAAAAAAAAAAAAAAATGTTGGGATGAGTGTAGCAGGTGCCCGGATGAGGAGCCTCCGTAAGTGATGGGAACCACAGAGGAAGCACCTAAGTTAGGTGGGCTTCAAGCACAGGTCAGTGATGCCTCTTTCATGTTAAAGGGAAAGCACAGTTAGGCCATTGGAATGCACTAAGGTATAAGTGAAGAAACCCAGTTGGAAAGCTATAGAGGCAGGAAGAAAAATGGCCCAGCCAGGCAACTACAGATAGTTTCAGTGTAAGTACAGACACAAAAGTTAGGGACACAGAGTGGAAATGAGAGTGGAGGGTTGGTGGTACCACATCATGAGGGTCCTTGATAGTCAACCATGGAGGGAATTTAAATAGTAGCTATGCCCAGATCTGAGGGTTAGAAGTGGTCATTCTGAATTATCAAACATGTTAGGATGCCAGTGAACAAACTCAAAGCCAAGAAAGCCAGAGTTAGTGACCGAAGTTGCACACTCTCATCTTAGGTGAGTCGAGGTGACAGGAAGACAATCAGGCCAGCGAGGCAGATAGGGATCTGAATAGCACTGCTCCACACAACAGAGACACCCCCTATTAAGGGGACTATAGGAAACACAGGGCCATCACCCCACACCTTCTGATTTCCAAAAGAATCTGAATTTTTATGAGAGTTCTGTCTTAAGATAATTTTTTAAAACAGTGTGTAATGTTGAATACAGATTCATGAATAATGAAGCCAAACCAAATGTGCCTGCCAGCGTGCCACCTTTGAGTTAGGAAGTTGTCACTGTGATGAGAACTTCAGACTAGACCACAGGAAGGGTGTGTGTTGGGAGAGTTTCATCCTCGCATAAACCTGAGGGATGAGGGTGAACAGAAATCCAAAAAATATTCTGAACTTAAAGCTTAGGTGAGTAGAATTCCACTTATCAAGAGATGGAAAAGGCTTATTTCTTCCTGAACCCATTTTTCATCACGTTCCTTCAGGAAGTACTGAGTTTGAAGATGCTCTGGGGTATATGTGAGCAATTACAGATGGGAGTCTAGTGCTAATAAATTTGCCAATTATCCACGAGTTAGTGGAATAATAAACTACAAAAGAAAAACCTTAAATGACTAGAAAGTTGGAAAGGTTAAACGTGCTTCCATCCCAGTGTGGTGGCGCACAACTATAATCCCCACATGTGGGAGGCTGAAGAGTGAGCATCACTGTGAGTTCAAAGGCAGGTTGTTTGCGAAGGGGCTGGGAAATTGAATACTACAGAGGAGAAGCAAGACCAAAGTTGAAAAATGACCATTTCATTTCACAGAGAAGCAGCCACTGACAGCTGTGGTGAGGGTCATTGTTACGTGGTCACCAGCGTGGAAATCTGATCTGGTACTTAGAGTGGACAAGGTGAACACACTCATCTAAACTACTTTGATCAGAAACTGGTTGGTTTTGCGTGTGTGTGCCTTTTTGAAACAGTGACTCTCTATACCATTCAGGTTGGCCTTGAGCTCACTTTGTAGCCCAGGATGGTCTTAAACTCACAATGATCCTCCTGCCTCAGCCTCCTTAGTGCTGGGATTACATGTGTGAGCCACCACGCCCAGTTTACAGAAACTGGTTTAAGGGGATTTGGCTCAGTGGCATAAGCACCCTGTCTGGCACACACAAGGTCGTGAGTTTGATCCCTGGTACCAAAAAAAAAAAAAAAAAAAAACCCAGAAGTGAAAGGGAAAAATGAGGACTAAACTTGTGTGTGCAAGTGAGTTCCCTGGTTGTGGTCCTTTGCATTGTGGTCCATGGGATTTTCTAAGATATAAGATGATGAAAGAAATCAAAACCACAGAGTGCGCCCAATGTTCTCAGATGGAAGAGAATTGACCGTATTCATCAACTGAAGATGGAATCAACAGAAGGATAGAATGTTGAGACTGGGCTGTGCAATCCAGTTCACAGGATTCTAGGAGAAGGAGGAAGAATAATGTTTAAGGAAGAAAACTGGCAAGCATGCGATGAGGCTGTGTCTGAATAGAGACAGACTTACAGTCATTTGAGAAGTAGCAGGGTGATTCCATGATGGCTTTGATTGTGTGTGTATGTGTGTTGCATGTGTGCACATACACCGTGGACTATAAGTTTGGATTATGTCATGGTTGGAGTTTTCCAAACCAGTGAAGTAAAGGTTAAAGGGGCTAGGGAAAGAAGGGTATTGTTGGTGAGAAAGAGGTTTAAGTAATTGTAGACATGGCATCAAGAAGAAAAAGAAATCCTTTTGTTATTTGTTTGTTTTTTTTTTTTTTCAGTACCAGGAATTGAATTCACAACCTAGCATTTGCCACGCAGGTGCTTGTGCCAGTGAGTTAAATCCCTGGTTGTTATGAGTTTCTTACAGTAGCTACAACATCATTACATTTTCCTTTATTTGAAATTAAAATATTTAATTTATATAAATAATGAACTCGTGAATAATGAAGATCTAGCTACATCTTCAGACTTACTGTCTATAGGTTCAAGGTTTTTTGTGCGGCACAGGGAGTAAACCCAGGGTCTTTGTACTGTGCAACATTTTCAGCCCCCATCCATTTTGATACAGGACCTCACAAAGGATAGATTTAATTTTAAAAACTCAAATACTTTAAAAGTTATTCAGAGCCAGGTGTGATGGTTCAAACCTGTAATCCTGGCACTTCAGAGGGTCAGGCTCCAAGAGATTCTTGAGTTTGGGACCATCCTGAGCTACATAGTAAATTTGAGCCCAGCCCGAACTGTGTAGCAAGCCCTTGTCTCATTAAAAAAAAAAAAAAAAAAGCATTCAAAACTTTAATCAATACATTGAAGAGCAGTGTAGAAACCAGATCATTTAGGTCCTCTTATTTGGATATATGAAATAATCTGCTTTTAAATATATGTGTACCACTTAAACCCTTTGTGTTTCCATTACATAAAATGAGTTTTGGCAACTTGAAATACTGGTAAAATTGTTTTATGATTTATACAACTAAATGTTTAAAGTAATAAAATAATTACAATGCACATAATGTAATATACATTGATATTTCTAAAGACCTTATCACAAGATTTTACTAGTTTCCCCAGTATGTAACTGCCTGCAAGGAAGGAAATCCTAGACCTTTCCTCTACATGACAAACAGGACCTCAAGCACATCGGTCTATACTGAGTCTTCCCTTTTGAACCGAATGCTGTGCTTTCTTTTACAGGACATTGCTTATTACCAAGCCTTGTCTGCTGAGAGGCTGCAGACAGATGCTGCCAGGATCCACCCCAGCACATCAGCATCCCAGGAGTTCTATGAGCCAGGACTGGAGCCATCTGCTACTGCCAAACTGGGTGATTTGCAGCGTTCTTGGGAAACTTTAAAAAACGTGGTAAGCTCACCACACAGCCATTACCTCAGGTGTTACCTTATGAAACATGAAGAGTTACACATCCCGTCCAGAGTTGAACACCCTTGGGTAAAGCAATGAGGAAAGAAATGTTGCAATCTTGAAGATAAGATGGAGGAAACTGTTGGTAAGATCCCTTTTCTTGTTTAGATCAGTGAAAAGCAGCGCACGCTGTATGAGGCTTTGGAACGCCAGCAGAGGTACCAGGACTCTCTCCAGTCCATCTCGACAAAAATGGAGACCATTGAGATGAAGCTTAGTGAGAGCCTCAAGCCCGGCAGGAGTCCGGAAAGCCAGATGGCCGAACATCAGGTAAACGTGGTGATGGATGACTTCTGCCTCTGGTGTGGTTACGTAGGTGTGCTGTCCTTGTGACTGCAGGGCCTGTCATGCCCGCTTTTGGAGAGCAGACCAGCAGGTCTTGCACAATAAATAATATTCCTGTGATACAGTGTCCAGGATTGCTTCACAGAGGGATCTAAGAAAGCAAAAAAAAGATTGATACCCACTTGATACCCAGTTGTATAAAGCTACATGCATTGATGTTGCTTTTGTATTTTCTAACACAAAATGCATTTCCTTACAGTTTCCAAATTGCTTTGAAATTGTTAGTCGTCGTTGTAAGAACTAAATGCACCCCAAATCTACATTCTCTGGGGAATAGTCAGAGTGTGCCTACCTCTAGTTATCAATTAAGATTGCTAATCTGACTTCAGCAGACAAAGAAGTAGCTGGAAAAGAAGGGGTTCTCAGTCCTAATCTTCTGATTTCAGTGTGTTCTGACTTCAGTCACTTTTTCAAAGGTTGTATTAACCAGGTGTGGTGGTACACACCTGTGGTCCAGCGTTCTGGGAGGCTGAGAGGTTAAGGCAGGAGAATCACAAATTCAAACTAAGCCTGGGCAATTTAACAGTTAGAAGAGATCCTGTCTTAAAATTAAAAAGACAAAACATTAAGGGCTGGTAATGTAGCTCAGTGCAAAGGCCCTGGGTTAAGGCCTCAGTACTAAAAAACAAAAAGCGTTGTTTAGACTAGACAGAGCTTCAGCTCTCCATGAAAAAACGGAACTGATTATATTAACCTAATTCAGGAAGATATTAAAAATGCATCAATTTAAAATTCATGCTAAGAAACGTGCATATATTAAAATCTGATTTTTAATGTTATTGTTTTTAATGTACTTGTAGTGTTATTGTCAGATATGCTATTAACCCACAGTGGTACATGGTGGTATGTATGTGGGGTAGGAGACGGGACCAAGGACAGGGCTGTGTGCATCTACCTGCTGCATATGCAGTGGGATATGGCAAAATTGTGCTGTCCCCTGATCCAGACCAGGTAGAATGTGACAACCCTATGAAAGGCAGAGGATAAGAAAGGCATTTTTAGATGTCAATGAAAAACTATAAAACCTTGGTATGATATTTCTATCCATCAAAGACAGGGAACTATATCTGCTTTAAAAGTGAAGCCCTATGCTTTGTCTTTCTGGTTTTAGAAGCCAGATAACCTGAGACTGCATTGCTTATTCATATGTTATGTCAGATACAATTTCATTCTTTTGCAATATGAGGCCTTGCAGGATAACACTAATAAGAATATTTCATCTAAAGACAGCATATTGTGAAATAGTGGTTTCATGTTAATGATCCTCTTGTAATTTCTTAAGATAAAAATCAAGTCCTATCTGTAGTCCTGCTTATGATAAACCACTTTCTGAAGATCTTTCTGCCGTCTAAAGTCTCACATAATCTACCAGGTTTGGGGAGAGTGTAATAAAGTACAAAATTAACCTTGCTGGGTGTGGTGGCACATGCCTGTAACTCCAGCACTCTGGGAGACTGAGGCATGAAGATCATAAATTTGAGCCCACTCTGGCCAATTTATCAAGACCCTGTCTCCACATTTAACAAATAACCACTGAGAATGTAACTCAGGATCAAAGCCCTGCATTCAGTCCCTAGTACTGAAACAAATAAACAAGCAAACAAGAATTTTTGTAGACCAGAACAATCATGAGGACAATGCTGCTTTCCTCTGAGCCCCACCTATGGTTTTACTAGCCCCCTCCCCTTCCAAAGACCCTCTCCCTTCTGGACAGGCTTCCGGGTCACATAGTCCTCTGTAACCAATGCACCAGTTTCTTTTTGCCGACAGCCATGTCATCCTGATCCAAGGGGACTGTTTCTTTGCCAGTATTTCCCTGACACTTCTGGCTTTCCCAGTCTTCTGGTACTACCTGCATTCTTGTCCCCCAAATCTATCTTCTTGGGACCTAGAGGAGAGGGCTTGACAAGATCACAGGCCAGCTTTGATGGGCTGCTGTCCTAAAAGTGCCCACTTCCTGTAAGCATCCAAAGAGAATATGCCGTGAATTTTCTGCAGGTTGGATCAGACTTCACTGAAGGGTTACATCACTAGATTGTCAGGAGCCAAGAATTCACCAGGTTAAATAGTTTAACTCTTTTTCTCTATCTTCAGGTCACCTCCACTGACCATAGCTCCCACAAACCCTTCTAGGACTTCCACAGGAGTTAGGAGTAGTATGACCCTGGAATCCTGGTGGCCTGCAGGAATACAGCAAAGTTCTTAATTAAGAATGCAAATTACCTCCCAACAGGCAACCACCGCTTCCATGGTTAGTCTAAAAAACACACACAAGTAAGCAAAAGGGAGCAGAATTATTACTTTGTTCAAAGAACTTAATGGAGAAAAGTCAAAATTGTACATTAATGATAACTACTATAAGTTAAAAATGTAGTTATAACTTTTCTTTGAATTAAGGCCAGCTGCTTGATTTTTGTCCCTTTCCAATTTGGGAATGCCATTGTCAATCATCGTAGTAGTTAGAAGATGCAATTAATTCAATGGTGATTACCAGACATTGGGGCTTAATACTTACATTAATATTCTCAGGAGAAGGAAAGAAAATAAAGTGTGCTTAATTCGATATAATTTTGCAAATCATCACAAATCTGACATTTTCATAAGAGTTATTTTTGGCACCTTTCTCTGTCTGTACTTCAGTTCCACAAATTCTGGGACAGAGCTGCTGACATGAAAGCTATTGGTATCACAAGAGCTAAATTTGTGCCTGTCTGTTGCACTGGTACTTAAGAATTCTGAGCACTGTAATAGAATTGCTATTTCTAAATTTCAACTGAATGGGAATAAGAAAGTCCAGTATACTTTTTATATTTTAAAATTTTAATAGAAATGCTAGAGCTGTTATTTCTTTCCTAACACTCTCTTGGGAGTATTGTTTTCTTGAAGAACTAACCCAATTCTTGCATTTTCCCCTTAAACATTGACTAAATCTATTAAATTTGAGTGGGATACCAGACACTTTCCTGTAACTCTCTCTGCATGGAACCATAGGTTTTCATTGTAAATCTTTCATGCTGTCCCATTAGCTGACAGTGGCTGATGTTCTGAATAGAAAGCCCTTTCTGGTCAGGACTTTGTTATCCTGGCATCTGACTCTTGGGGATGTGTGTTGTCTTTACCACACTAAGATCATTGACATGGCAGGTAGGGCCCTGAAGTTTTGTTTTTACTTTTTTTTCCTTAGGTATTAGGGTTTGAACCCATTGCCCTCCCACTGAGTTACAATCCCAGTCCATTTTTGTTTTTTATGTTTTGTTTTGCTTTTTTATACAGGGTCTCACTAACTTGCTAAATTACACAAGTCAGGCTTAAACTTATGATCGTCCTGCCCCAGGCTTCTGAGAGCTGGTGATATACAGGAACAAAACTCCCGACCTACTATATGTCCCGTATGAGTTCATGTTCTCTAAAATTGAAAAATGAATTTTAGGAACAATGAAGGTTAAGAGTAGAAATACTTATTGAGAGAAAAAAACTTCTGTCTGAGAGGGAGACAGAAAGGGTCCCAAATGGGTTGCAAAGATTCTGTATTTTCTAGGAAATTTCTAGAGTAAAACCATGAGATGAAATGGGTCTAAAGTGGGGAAAACTGGGAACTCATAAGGCAGATGGGCATGAGGTGAAACAGAGCTGTGGCCAACCAATAGATTTAATTGTTCAGAGAAAATTGATCAAATCAGGGACAAATGGGGAAGCCAGTCACATAGCAAGTGAGCATTGTTATTGATAACTGATTCTTCCTGTAGGGAGTTGGGATGGTGACTCTGGCTTCTCAAAATGTCCATACCTAGTCCCTAAAATTTATACTTAAGGGTGTGGTTGCATTTGTTTTGTTTTGTGTCTTAAGGTGTGTCTCCTCCAAGGTCACCAGACATCCTCCCCTTGCTGGCTTCTTTGAGGGCCTAGCCTTGTCTGACTGCCTATAACGTGTCTAACTGCTCAGCTGCCTGTAACACTGGGATTATGGTCCTATGCCACCAGGCACAGCTAGTTTTGTTTTTTAATGTACATAACAACTCAAATAGTTCTGAAAAAAAAACTAACTCTTCATAAACAGTTCTGAGAGTCAACATGAATAGTAATATTTATTTTCTGGGTTGAACTAACATGAGCTCTATGTGTTTCCCTTTCTACTAAAGAGCTAAGCATTTTAGAGAAGCTCAAAGTACTTCTGTGTATTGAAGTTAAAAGTAAATTTTTTTTTCTGGGACTAGAGACTGAACTCAGTGCCTTTGCACTGAAGTACTTCCCTAGTCCACTCTTTGTTTTTATCATTTATTTATTTTTATTATTATTATAATTATTTTGAGCTTGTGTCTTGCTAAATTGCCCAAACTGGGCTCAACATTGCCATCCTCCTGTCTCAGCCTCCTAGAGTTCTGAGATTATAGGTATGTGTCACCATGCCTGGTTTGTAATTTTATTTTATTCACATGTATCAATTGTATATAGTAATGGGAATCAGTGTAATAGTTCCGTATCATGCATATAGCAAGCACTAATCAAATCCAGTCTCCGGATTTCCACTCCTCTTGTTACATCCTTCTGAGTCCAGGCTCTCCCCTAGACCACTTATGAGTCACTCATGCCCTCCTCCTCATCATAAATCAGAAACCCAAGAACAAGTAGTTTGTCTTCCTTGCCTTAGTTTTGAATCAGATACCCTGGCAGAATCACTGCTCATCAGCTCTTGTATTCAAAATTATGAGGCTGAAGGCATGTTTGAACTTTGAGTATTTTTTAAATTAAAATGAAATTCACATGATATAAGATGAATTACTCAAAAGTGTATAATACATTTAGAATATTCATAGTGTCATATAACCACTACCCCTCATAGCCAACTGAGTATGAACACTGGACTGAGACCCCATTATGAATGTGAAAGAGTCACAAACCGGGGCTCAATGATATGGCAATGAACCCTACATGCAGCAACACAAACAGTTCACAGTGCTGGTGGGGAGTGAAGAAAGCCAGACACAAAGCAACACAGCCCTTGATTCCCTTTACATAAAGCTGAAGTACAGTGCAGGGTTATCTGTTCCTGGGTCAACACTGTGTTAGGAAAGAGGCAAGTGGCCATGGGGAGGAGGTCAAGGGCTGTGCTGAGTCCTGCCAAGTTTGTGTTTCTTGATCTGGGTGGCACCAGCAAAAGTGGGTACAGTTTGTGAAAACTGATAGGCCTCACATGTGCAGACTGCACTGTTCTGGATGCATGTGATAATGTCAGTGTGATCCTCTTAAAAATCGAGCTGAGCGTAGTAGTTTATGCCTGTAATTCCAGCGCTCAGGAGGATCTCAAGTCCAAAACCTGGAGTACATACAAAAAACTTGTATCAAAAGAAGAAAAAAAATAAGATAGACAGACAAGATATGAGAAAAAGTAAGGATATTTTGCTGTTATCTGTTTTTAATATTTACGGGGAGCTCATTCAGAGGAGGCACTGTGCTTATAGTGAAGCTTGCCAGGACAAACACATTGGAGACCACAAAATGTTAGCAGACACAGCGCCTAAGCTACATTGCTTGGTCATGGTCCTGTCTCTTGCCATGATGCCTGTTTTTCTAACATGCTATTCAAATCCTGAGTAAAAATTTCCCTTGTGAATATTCCATGTAAAGATCAAGCCATACAATAAGACAAGTGAGAAATAAAAACATAACAATTGTGGTAGATGGTAAACAGGGTGCTATCGGGAGAGAATGATGCAGAGTCCCTGCAGGAGAGAGGCCTGTGGAGGTGAGACATTAACCTTAGACGGAAGGATGAAGGGAGCCATCCTGAAGGGTAGAAAGGAGTGTTCCAGCCTCAGGGAGTGCATATGCAAAGTCCCTGAGGTCAGAAAGGGGTGGGGACCCTGGAGTTAACTAAGAAGGTGGAAATTGAGTTGGGAGTGTGATAGAAGAGGCTAGATGAGACCATATCAGTAAGTAAGGAGTTTATATTTTATTTTATAAGCGGGAAGCCATTACATACTTAGAAGTGGGGCAGGGGTGTATATAAGAAGAGCTCACACATATTTTTGAAATGTCTCTGTAATGGCTTTGTAAAAAATGGACTGGACAGAGAAGAGTGTGACAGGCAAACCCATTGAGAGACTTAAGACTTTTGAAACAAGAGGGGAGGTTGACTTTGGGGCCGGTGGAGGGAAGGGGGCTACGGGGCTCTCTTGCCTACATTTCAGGGCAGTGAGGGTGAATGGTGGATTGATTAAGGTTGGGGGAGAGGAAGACAGGAAGACAGACTCCTGACGCTGCATCTTAAGCAGTGGGGTGTGGCCGAGGAAGGTGGGGCGAAGCAGGCTTTATACTATCAGAAGACAAGAAACTACCACACATCATCCTGAAGCTCTTACTAGGCTTTATTTTTTGATACTAGAACTGGGCAACACTTCACTGAATACAGAAAGTATTCAAATGGACCAAAACAGAAGAATTTAGTTTCACAGACAAAAAGGGCTAAAAAATAAAAGGCAGAAGTCACTAACAGAAGATTGGTCATTTCAAGTTACTTTCTTGTAAAGCAGGAGAGAAAAAAGTAACTAACTGGTTAACATCAAGTTGCTTTTGTCATAATAGGATTAAAGCAGAGATAATCATGTTTTCATGACATTTGAAACCCATCCATTGGGGAAATTTGGCTGCCTCATCTGGTTTCTCAGGAGGCTAGGCAAATGCCTTAGTTTAGGGCTGGTGATATGGTACTTGATTTTGGGTCACCCATTTGAATTTGGGGTCTTTTCTCTTGGGTCCAAGGCAAGACCTTAATCCAAAATGATGGCCTATTGTAATTTTTACAACTACACCAACAATACTTAGAATAGTGGAAACATCCATGAACTATGCCATTTGAATACACAAAGCCTGAAATTTCAGGCAGATGTCTGGGTTAAAGACCTGTCCTTTGAGGTACTTTGTGTGAGAACGCAGTTGAAAACTTGGGAATAGACATTGCCCAGAAGAGAGTTGGAAGACAGAAAAGAGGGTCTGGATATAGGGCCTGAGAGACTTCATGTTGTCAGAGCTGGATAGGTAAGGAGAAAAATGAGGACAATAGCAGAAAGACGTTAAAATTTTCGTGTCTTATGTAATGTGAAAGGTGACTGGGGGCAGGGCTGGTGTTGGGGCTTAAACCCAGAGCCTTCGCACTGTGCTACATCCAAAGCCTTTATGGGGACAGAAAGCCACTGATTGGCTACGTTTCCCAGGATTGGCTTGAATTTATGATCTTCCTACCTCAGTCTCCTATAGCAGTAGAATTACAGGCCTGTGCCCCTGTCTCCACCTGCAAACAATGAATTTTACGTTCAGCATAGACACAGACTCTTGGACATAAGTGAACACCTGTCCCCTGAATTATGGATAAGTGTTGAAAGCCGAAAAGGTTTATTGATTTGTTCAAAGTGACTTCGACTAGTGGCACACACAGCATTAAGATCAGAAATACCCTGAGTACTCTGGCCTCTCCTGGTATTTCATTTTGAAGCTTAGTTTTGTAGCCCCAATTTCTGGTTAAAGTCCTGACCGGTCTTCTGCCTGTCTCTGTGGGTGTGAGACGCAGGCAGGGAGGAGATGCATACAGGAGCGTGATTCCCCAGTCTTCCCTGCAGGCGCTGATGGACGAGATCCTCATGGTCCAGGACGAAATCAACGCGCTGCAGGCCTCCCTGGCAGAGGAGATGGTGTTCGAGGCGCGGGAGTCAGACCCTGCAGAGCAGCTGGCCCTGCAGTCCACACTCACGGTGCTGGCCGAGCGCATGTCCACCATCCGGATGAAGGCTGCGGGCAAACGACAGCTGCTGGAGGTAACCAGGCACACGCCCTTGCCCTCCCTTCCAAATGGGGTTCACCGATGTGCACGTGATGGGCGCGATCCTCCCTAGGAGCCCGAGCTGTTTGCGGAAGGCTAAGCAGTAGGGCTGGGTCAGTGCAAAGCTCTGAATCCTTCATCCTTCTCCCCTTCAGGGAGGCGTGAGTTTAGGGGGCTGTAGAGGGTTTGCATAATAAGAGCTCTTGAGGGCTGATATTACAAGACTATAAAGAAGAGACGCTGCCTCCTCCCTGGCAGCCAATTAAAACTTCGTGATTCTTGAAAATACACTTCAGAGCCTGGTTCTTACATTACTTAATATAAATATTATTTGGTATAGAGACAAATTTTGGCAATAATAATCCATGTGCTTACAAAATCAGCTATTTTGGTATATTCTCACGTAACTCAGTCCTAGGAGCATAGAATGGCAGATGCTAGTATGGTCACTGCTGTGGGTGGGGAGGCGTTTGCCTCCTGGGGTCTCCTGGACCCTGTGGTGTTCCGGTTCTCAGTGTATTTCTTACGATGTGAACTTAGTATTACTTCATTTAGCTGGTGCTTTACCATAATTCTGTTGACTATGGTCCTATTATTGGATGTATGGACTGTTTCTAAATTTACTTATTCTCTTATAGTGTTGTTTTTGTTTTTGTTTTTGTTTTTGTTTTCCCCTAATGGTACTGGGGATTGAACCCAAGGCCTTTGCAATGAGCTGCATCCCTAGTCCATTTTTAATTTTTTGAAGCCCTTTGTATTAGTGCGTGTCCACAGTTTGTACTGATTACATTTGTCACGGGGAGTTGGTACATAGACATAAGACATCTTAATTCTTCTTTTTTTCATCCCTAGCCCTTTTTACATTTATTTGTTTGTTTGGAGCCAGGTTCTCATTAAATCACTAAATTGCCAAAATTGGGCTTGATCTGTGATGCTGCTGGCACAGCTTTTCAGCGTGCTGGGATCCAGATGTGCACCAATGTGATCAGTTCAAATCTTGTATCCATACAATTGATTATGGATAGATTTAAAATCAGTATGTCTCTTCTCATGAATTACCATTTAAACAATTTAATAAACATTATAATAGAAAAATAGTATTATTATGCACTTTAAAAAAATAACATCTAGAGAATCTACAGTTGAGAGTTAGTTTTCTTGAGCTGGGTGTGGTGGCACACGCCTGTAATCCAAGCACTCAGGTTGAGGCAAGAGGACTGTTGCAAGTTCAAGACCAGTGTGGGGCACAAGTGAGCTCAAGGTCAGCCTGAGCTGCATAGCAAGAAAAAACAAAACCAAATTAAACCAAAAAAAAAAAAAAAAAAAAAAAAAAAAAAAACCCAAAGACCAAAAATACATAAATAAAAACAAAAAGAGTTAATTTCTTGCTTATTCAGATGTCCTTACCCTATGAAAAATTAGCGGGTTATCAAGAGGAAGTATGGGCCTGATTGTTTCTAAAACATGAATGATTTGCAAGAACTGGAAAAACCCAGAGATCTGATCTAGAGTTTGGCTTTCTGCCTCCTCTTGAGACACCAATGCCCTGGGCCACCCTCTCCATGGGCCACACACTCTCTGATTTGCTGCAGTCCCACACTCCCTGCTTCTTTGCAGACCTTGGGCCAAGTGCCTTTTGCCATTTGCCAATTATCTTATGCCAGTATCTGGTTCTGATTCTTGGGGAATTTCTGTCATTCGTGTTACTACCTGGCCCTATAGGTGTATTATTTAAGGATGCCATGTTCAGCTCTAGGGCACATTAGTACCACTGGGGGGGGATTTTTTTTTCAATACTAGCGGTGGAACTCAGGCATGTTCTACCTCAGATCTACATTCCCAAGCTCCCTTGACTCCACTTTATTTACTTATTTGGAGGGTGTTGGAATAGTCTCACCATGTAGTAGAAACTGGCCTTGAACTTATGTAACCCCAGGCTGACCTCAAACTCACAGCAATCCTCCTGCCTCAGCCTACCAAATGCTGGGATTACAGGCATTAATCCACCACCACACCTGGCCCAGTCTTCTTCTTTTACTTATTTATTTGTTTGTTTATTTGTTTAGCGAAAATGTCTTTCTAAATTGCCCAGGCTAGTTTTAAACCTGTCTCAGCCTCTCAGGTGCTAGGATTACCAATGTGTGCCATGACACCTAGCTGGGAAATCTTTTTAAAAGATCCTCATTTTGAGACCCAAGCTCTCCCAGTCCATTCTGATTTGTTGTTCTGAGATGCAGCCTAAGCATGTATTTCCCGGGTGATTTGAATGGTCATGCAGGGCTTTGGATCTGTCTCTCCAAGTGCTGAATCGTCAAGCTTTCCCCTTCCAGTGATGTTACCATCTGCTTATTCCTCAGGAGAAGTTAAACGATCAGTTGGAGGAACAGAGGCACAAGCAGGCTCTGCAGCGGTACCTCTGCGAAGCCGATGAACTGGATCACTGGCTCTTGAGCACAAAGGCCAATCTGGATGTCGCCCTCGGTGCGCCCACGGAGCCAATGGACATGGAGGCCCAGCTGGTGGACTGCCAGGTACAAAAAGGGCACATGCCAACATCACGTGCACAGAGCAGACATATTCAGAAGTCTTGGCATGGGTTATATGACTTTTTACAACCTATGAACTTCATGTATTTGGAGAGCAGAGATGCAAGACATTATAAAAGCTTAACTGAAACTCAAACTGGGATTTAGTTTTTTAAAAAGTTTTCCTTTTCCCTCAGCATGGTAGTGCATACCAGTAATCCAGGGAAGCTGAGGCAGGAAGATCACAAGTTCAAGCCAAACTTGGGCAATTTAGTAGCTTAGGGAGACCCTGTCACAAAATGAAAATAATTTAAAATGGGTTTGAGGATGTAACTCAGTACAAAGGCCCTGAGTTCAGTCTCCAGTTCTGCAGAAGCACTTACAGCATTTTTAAAGACTGCACATATCTGAATACTTACAGTATCCGTATTTAGTATCTAAAAAGAAATATGAACCTACTGAGAGGCACTGGTGTCAGTGATTCAGCCTGTGAGTAAACATGGCAGGAAGCATTCCCAGGTGCTCCGTTGCTGTTTTTCTTAACCAAGATGGTATTTGGAAACTTTAACTGTAGGTTTGAGGCAGACAGAGACTAAACTTTGACATCTGAAGCATAAAATTAGCTTCATCCCACATTAATATTTAGAAATTAATGTGAGGGGTAATTGCTCTAAAGTCTTCATTCTTCTGTTTTGTGATACTATAGACTGAACCCAGTACTTTACACAGAGCTACATTACTTTATTTTTTTTTACCTTTTGAGGCAGGATCTCCCTAAGTTGCTGAATTGCCCAGGGTGGGCTTGCCCTTGTGACCCTCCTGCCTCAGCCTCCCAAAATGCTGGCAGAGGCTGGTCCCCATGTGTGACTTTACCCCTGTCTGTGCCATCGCAGAACATGCTGGTGGAGATCGAGCAGAAGGTGGTGGCCCTGTCTGAGCTGTCCCTCCACAACGAGAATCTGCTGCTGGAGGGCAAGGCACACACGAAGGATGAGGCCGAGCATCTGGCCGGGAAGCTGAGGACGCTCAAAGGGAGCCTCCTGGAGCTGCAGAGAGCCCTTCGAGACAGACAGCTGCACATCCAGGTAAGGGCAGGCCCTGTTCGCAGGCCTCCTCCGTGTGCCGCCCCTGGAGGGCGGGTAGGGGATTGCACACCTGCGCAACCGGTGATAATTCATGCTGTGAAGTGGGCATGTGTTTTCAGCTATGTTATGTGAGTGTTACTTGGACACAGAGATCTGAGGACTGCGCTGCAGAAAAGGAAAGGACAGGAAAAATAATGACTCTTCAAATTTAAATGAACGTTATAAATGAAGACTTGTGGGCTGAGGATTTAGCTCAGCAGCATAAGCACCTGCCTGCAAGCGCTAGGTGGTGGGTTTAATCCCTGGGACCAGTAAATAATAAATAAATAAAGACATGCTAGGATGCATTGGCATTTCTTTTATGCATTCTATGCTTTAGATACACTCAGACTGTAATATTTAGTGTTTAGACTTTAGAATTAGCATATATTTAGGCTGGAGTACAGCTCCGTTGTAGAGCACGTGCCACACGTGCCCCGGGCTCTGGGTTCCGTCCTTTCTATACCTCACTCTCCATATAAAAACCTAGAGTTATTGTCTATTCCAGATGACTAGAGCTTTTACTATCATGTAGAGGCCTTAATATTCCTTTGTGGTGATTTTCATGTTAGATTGCTAGGGCTTTTTTGAGCAGTATTGATACCTGACATGTCTTTTAGCATTCCTTGGGTTTCCTTTGTTTTAACTTCCTTTTGATTTATGTCCTTATGGTCTAGATTTCTTTTCTTATGAATAAGATTTAGCTATATCTCATTGGTTTTGAGCATTTATTTAATTAGAAAATTGTTTTCTTTTAAATTTTAATAATTTAAAATTCATTGTGATTACCAATATAGGTGATCTTAGTCTATTTTTTATTTTCTATTTATTGTCCTGCTCTTTCTATTCTTTTTTTAATTTTTAAGAGATTGAGTGCTTTTGTTTTTATCCCTCTCCTTATTGGCAGCATACCTAATGAATTCTAAATTAACAACTTAGTCTCTCTAAATATCAATATACTGTGCCTTAGAATATTTTCAGTTTCTCCCATGCAACTTGCATATATACTTTTGCATACTATCCAGATTTTTTATTCTAAAAAATGTAAATTGTTGATGCAATGTTTTATGAAGATTAAGCAAATACTGAAAAACTACTATGTGGGAATTACTCTTCCATGTGATAAAGAGTATAGAAAACACCCATCCATAGCTGTGTTTCTGTATATTCTTATCTTTGAGGGATTACAGTTTTTGCAGACAGGCAATGAATAAAATTAGAATGCATTGTTATATCACAGAAATTATAAGAACTAGAAATAGCATGATAAAAGACAGAAGAAGCAAGGAATCCTGGCAAAGTTCACACGAAAGAAGCAAAAATGTGGGTGTGAGGGAATGAGTTCCCTGCTCAGCAAAGAGAGGTCTAAGGACCGCCAGGTGGGATCATGCCTGTTCTGTCTGTGGCTAGAGTGGAACGAGCAGGAGGAGAGTGCTGGTAATGAAGCCAACCAGGGCTTAGCCTGTCCGGCTGCTGTAACAAAAATACAATACACTTAATAGCTTAGAAACAGGACACTTGTGGTTCACATTCTGGAATTCAGGAAATTCAAGATCAAGGTGCCAGCAGGTTCTGTCTCTGTCTCTGTCTCTCTCCATAGATGGCACCTTCTCACTGTTTCCTCTGTGTCCTTACCTGGTGCAAAGGTGTAGCTAACTCTCTGGAATCTCTTTTATAAAAGCTAATTCTATCAACAATCACTCCCAAAGGTCTTACCTTTTCATATGATCACATGGGGGATCAGGTTTCAAGATACGAATTCAGAGGCCACATAAATCTTCATACCCTAGACATAGGTAACAAGGGGCCTTGGGCCAGGAGGACCTCAGGTATTATGTGGGTTTTGGGAGTCACTGGAGTGTGTGGGCCACTGTTGGGAACCCAGGGAGGGGCTGTGGGACCAGGGAAGAAGATGTCACAGCACAGAGGCTGTGGCACTGATCTACCAGTTTCTGGATGACTGAGACCACGGAGACTGTCTGCGGGTCGGATGTTGGGGAGCCACGGCCTAGCTAGGTCTACAGTGTGGTTTGGGCAGCAGAAGTTCTCAGTGCTGATTAACTGCAGGAGGCAGTGGGAGCCAGGGGCCACAGGCACACTGCAGCAGCCATCTTGGTAGCTGACTTAGGGAGGAGGACACGACTACTGACAAGAAAACTGCGTGAACATTTACTGTGGGTGTTTGTATTTTCTGTGTAAAGAGAGTGAATATTTTCAGAGGTATTTTTCTTCTTTTCTTTTTTTGTGAATTGTGTGATTAGATGACCTGGAAAACAAAATCCAGTCAGTTTAAAACTATCAGAAGCCATGGAAGAATTTAGGAAGATGACTGTCTTATTTTAAAAAAAGTTCTACAGAAATAAATTAAAAATCTACAATTTTCATTTAAACTAATAAAAACCAATGTAGAGAAATAATGTAAAAGAATTCCCTATGTCTAATATCAATAATATGTGCAAAAGAATCTTGATAACTAAGACCTTAAAGTGTAAGAACCAAAATGAAAAAAATGGAAGGTTATATTTTATTTTTGGATTTTAAAGATGCCAATTCCTCATTTATTGACATTTCAACTTAAGTTTTCCTCAACTAAAATATTCTCTGCATATTTCTGGGAAAGTCACAAAGATACTAAGTGATCATTTCCTGGATTTACCTGAAAAAAAACAAACATATAAAAATAACCATAATTTATGAAAATGAGTAGTTATGAATGGTTATCAGACTTATGTGTTAAAGTTCAATATTACAAAATTAAATTGACTGTAACCCCAGCTATTCAGGAGGCTGAAGCAGGGCAACTTAGCAACTAAGACCTTGTCTCAAAATAAAAAATAAAAAAGACTGGGGATGTAGATCAGTGCAAAGGCCTTAGTCCCAAGCCCCAGTACTGAAAAACAAAACGATTACCTAATAGAAATACGAATAATATATGTCAAAGGAAAAGAAGTATATATGGCCAAGGAACATGTAAAAAGACCTTCGAACTCTCCACTAGATAAACAAATCCCATTAAAACAAAATGCAAGCCTGAGAATTTAGCTCAGCAGGCATAAGTGCCTGCCTGGCAAGCGCAAGGTCGCAAGCTCATCCTCCGGTAGCAAAAAAAAAAAAAAGAAAAATGCAAGTTTTTACTTTAAAATTACATGCTTTAAAATGGGGGTGCAAACTGGTGTGGTGGTGCACACCTGTAGCCCCAGCAGTGGGAAGCCTGAGACAGACACTTGGGAATTCAAGGGCAGCCAGGCAGCCTAAAAAGACCTCATTCCAAACAAAACAAAACAGAACAACAACAAAAAAATCAATCTGACTTCATAATGAAAATTTTAAAAATGTTAAAAATATTTAAGTATAACACAACCAAAGACATTTATAACTATAAAAGTACACAAAAATTCAGTTTTGCAAAAGATAGTCCCAGTCTGTCATATAACACATTTTTTGTTCCTCACTGGTATTCTGTGATTGAACTTAATCTTTAAGGAATCGGAAACAAAAACCAATCGTTACAGTCCCACCAATTACGTGGAATAGCTATCATTTACAAATTTCCTTATGCCCTGCCATCAGCCGGTAGAACAGACAGGGCAGCGTGGTCCAGAGTGAACCAGAAAGAGACCTGGACCCGCAGACCTCGGAGCCTGGGGAGGGCGCTGGGGAGGGCAGGTGGGCTCCTGTCTGAGAGGCAGTTCTTGGTCTCAGCATCCAGGAATTCATGGATCCCATTGCTAGGTCTTCCATCTAACCGAGTTGCCACCATATGAAATGATAAGATGTTAAAAATAATTAGGAAACTTTTCAAGGAGATTATTTTTCATCCGTGGAGATAAAAAAAGCCTTTATTTCTGTCACGAAAAGGATCATCTCCATTCATATAGAAAACCAATTAACTAAGTTAACTGGGGAAAAAATTTTCCATTAAATACAGAAATTAGTGACATTGCACCCTTTAATTGGAAACCCTTTAAGCCTTAAGTTTTATGCAGGTGTTGGCACACAATCTTTTCCCTTCCTCCATCTCTTTCTCCTTCCTTCCTTCCTTCCTTCCTTCCTTCCTTCCTTCCTTCCTTCCTTCCTTCCTTTTTTCTTCCTTCCCAGGGCTGGAGAGTGAACCCAGGGCTTTGTTCATGCCAAGCGTACACTCCACCACTGAGCTACAACCCCAGCCCTAAGGGACAGTTCTCAGTGCTGCGGTGTCTGTGGAGTGGTATTAACTGCTCCTTATTCTTTTAACTAATTGAACTTCTATGAGTAGCAGTTAATAACCAAACTCTTACAACTCTACTTAAAGAAGTACGGATTCTTAGGACACATAAAATATCCCCCAAATATCTCTTGAAATATGAATACATTTCTTCATAAGCATAGATCATTTCCACACATGATCACCTCTAGAGGAGCAGAGATGCTTTCATCAAGCATTTAATAAAGAATAAAAGCTTTCATGAAGAATAAAATGTTTTATGAAAAAATGTTTTATTTAATGTTTAGCATTTCTCAGTCCTCACAAAGCTTCCAAAGAATGTTCCTGGCAAAAGTGGCTGCTTTTCTGGTATTTCCAAAATCAACAGTGTAGGTAGCCCCGCCCAGTGGGACCCTGGTGTTGGAATCCACCCTACTTCCTATCCCCAAGAGAGAGGAAACTTCTACGCTATCATACAGAAAGAAATCACCAGACTTGTATTCCTCCTGGCAGTGCCTTCTCATCCCAGGGGAGAAGGAAAGGAAATTGGAAGTAGGTTCTTAATCATTCTTTGCTCTTGTGGTCCAAGTCTTAGGTTTAAAAAGGACTAATCAGCCAGAAAACAATTCATTAAGCGAAAACTGAATGTAACTACAGAGAAATCATGTACCAAACGTCTGCTTTCTTCTCTGAACCCATGGGCTCCAGTAGCCAGAGAAGATCCCTTTCCTAATACTAAAGTCTTAGAATCTAAATCTAAATATGAGTGGGCAAGTTGTTCTCAAGGGCTGACGTGGAAATTGTGATTTTTTTATAAGCAGAAATTTGGTGTGAGGAATTTGAAAGTAATGTTCTCAATCCAAGAATTGGAACCTGAGAAGGGCAAGTGGGTAGGGAGGGCTTTGAGAACTTTCCAAAGGGATCTTCAGATAGGGCTGCGGGGGAAAAAAAAAATCCTTTGCTGGAGAGAACAGCACACAGGAAGCGGCCTGGATCCCACAAAGGAAAGTCAACAGGCCATGGTCAAGGCCACTATTTTGTTAGCTGGAACAGCTCTGATTGGATACAACTGCAGTCTCATATATTCTCTGCCACCCGTGTCACTCACTACAGATGCCATTTAAACTGCTATTTTCTCCTCACCTGGAAGAACTAGACTCTCTTAGCCTTTACCTAGGAAGATGGAGCCTTCCTAGGTGGCAGAGCCTTGCTACATGAGATAATTGTGAGCTTCAGGGTGGATGCCCACTCATCCTAATATCCCCCTGCTTTAGGCAAATCATTGCTTATCTTTGAAAGATGTCTGTAGTTTCACTGATTGCTTCAGTTCATGTGGCTTCCAACACTGATAACAAAGGTGCAAAGATGAAGAATAGTTCAGCATTCTCTGCTTTTCTCATGAGATTGTAGTCAGGGAAGCCAACTGCAAAACAAACCTTGTCGACTTCTCTTGAATAGGAAGTGTCAGACTCCGAAGTGATGTGGAGCAGGCCGACAGTCAGGATGGATAAATTGGGATGATGGGTCCCCCCATGATCAGGCTTGGCACAGAACAAAGGAGGGTAATTCCTCTGTGGAAACAACCTGTAGACTGTCCTTGCGCTCTGCCTACCGTGCTCCAGCCACACCAGCCCCTTCACTGCCTCCTTGGGTCACTGTACCTCAGTGGTTCTCTCTGAAATGCCAAATATTTTTGTAGGACTTCTGTACCAGCTTCTTCCTAGGGCTGGTGTGCCATGCCTTAGATCTGTACCAGGCTGGCAGTGTCTTATTATTCAGAATTTAAGGCATTTGTCTCTTCTAAAGATGTTCTCCATCCCCCCTAAGCACACTTCCCCTTGACCTCCAGTCCCATTGCCTCCTTTCCCTTTCTTTGAAGCCTTAACTCCAGCTCATTCCTCCTCATCTGTTGGGTGTCTGTGTCTCCATCAGTCCTTGCCTGATTTCTTTTCAGAGTGCTTGGAGCTCCTAGAACACTGGCTGACACTTTGTATGTAGTTACTGGATGAATTGTGCTAAAGTCATGTGATTTATCCTTTGGCACATAAATACAGGTAGAAAGGTTCTCATTCAGAATGAATCCTACATCAAATGTATTAGTCACCCTTCCATCTCAGGGACAAAATACTCAGTACCCGCAATTTATAGGAGAAGGGGTTTCTAGTGGGCTCAGTCCAAATCATTTGAGTCCAAGGCAGAATCAGGTGGTGGGAAGACAGGGAAGGAGAGCTGCTTGGGTCATGGTGGTGAGGAAGCAGAGAAGGGAAGAGCTGGGGAGAGAGACACACCCTTCCACGTCACACGGTCCGTGACTCATCTCCAACCAGCCCCCACTTCCCAACAGTGCCCTCAGCTTTGAACTCAACAAGAAATTGACCCACTGATAGGATTAGTGCCTCTTCTGATGCAATCACCTTGCAAACGCTTGGGAATCTAGGGACACATTTTAAATTGAAACCATGATGGTGCTGTTCTAATTTCATTAGAATAAACAAGCAGGAAACCTGACCTCTTGCTGGGTAATAAATAATTACTTTTTTTGTCTTTGCCATGAACCAAACTTTATCAAATCCTCCAGCAGGTTGGGTGTGATGGAAAGAGAAGTACTTTCCAGAAATCTCAATTCTGATTATCATGCCACATAAATCCACAGGCTCAGTTAACATTTTGAGTTTGTAAAATGGTAACCCGCTGTGCCAACGTTTAGGTGAGATGTGTGTGTGTGTCTCACTATACAGTCTTGGCTGGCCTTAAACTCATAATAGTCCTGCTTCAAGCTCCTAAGTGCTGAAATAATAGGTGTGTACCACAACATCTAGCTTAATTTTTTTTTAATTGAAAGGAAGAACTTACTCTTCCTTTCAAAGAATTCTAGAACCTATTCAAATCTAGGTTCCACAGAAGGGATCCAAGAGTCATTAAATCCAGGATTGGGGCTCACTGAAGTGATTTGGGAGTTGAGCTTCTGTGGTTGACCACATCCTGCAGCCCTGCAAACAAGGGTCCAAGGGTGTGGTGTATGGAGTCTGGGACAGAGGGTTCTCAGCCTCCAGGAAGGTCTTGGTTAGTCCCTTTGTTTTTACGAAACAGTGAATTTTCTTCCTTAGGAACTGAGGGTCAAATTTAGGCTCTTCCTGAATTCTAGGATGTGCTACCACCTTATAGTATCAAGGACTTAGTGCTTTTCAAGGGCACTGTGATCTCTTTTGTTAGTATTTGCTCTTGTAAGTGTGTAATATCTACTATGTGACCTGAATAGAGAAGGCAGCAGGGTAATAATGCTTTTACAGGAGAGACAGTAACACGTAATGATCATTTGAGTAACATTTTCCTTTGTATGACTATAAAAAATACTCATAAAAAGAGATCTAGCATTATACTTTTATGAGAAAATTCTGGAATAATATCTGGCAACCACTCTAAAAAATAGATGGATTTCCCCCTCAAATATTTCTGAGCATAGTCTTCTGTTTATTATTCTCAGTCCTGAAAAACATCATAACTCAGGTTTTCTGTTACCATCTTTTAAAAAATGTGATTTCACATCCAGATGGAGCTACTTTGGTGTTACTACACAAACCACAGCAAAAGAGTTATCCCTCTACTTTGGTGAGGTTTTCCAGTGGGCACTCTAATTCTTGATTTCTGACTTTATTAAAAGCAGGGAACTTCACAAGAGAAGGAGGAAAGCGATGCTGACCCCACGGCCGCTCAGAGCCCTGGTCTGCAGGAATGGTTGGCTCAAGTTCGCACCACTCGGACCCACCAGCGGCAAAACAGTCTCCAACAGCAAAAAGTAAGCTCTCCAGCCTATAGCTATGCTAGGGAAGGAACTCAGGGAAGATGGTTCAGAAGGACACATCGCTTTTTAATCAGCTGTTTCTTTTATCTTCTCTTTGAATGAAGCAGGATGTAATGTCCCTTTTCAGTGTACTAGCTACGCATGACCACTGGAATGTCGGGTCATTTAAAGGGAGGAGAGGAGAATGGGAAGAAAAAAGAATCGAGTCATATCATGTACAGATACAAATTTCCTATGGTGAATGTGATCACTATGCATAGCTGAAATGTACCTGTAAAAGTCATTTCCTTTGAAAATTAAAAAAGGAGAGAAAAAAAAGCCCAGTCTTTTAAGAAAACTTACATTTAAGTTTACCACTAGCATAACCCAGTTACCTCGCTCATCTCATCAGGATACCTACTCTATTTTCAGATTTGCTTTCAGTTGAGTCCATTTTATGCTAATAAAACTTGAGCTGAGGGTGTAGCTCAGTGGTAAGGCGCTAGCCTGACATGGGGAGGCATTCCATTTAATCCGCAGAACCAGTCAATCAGTAAAGTCTCACAAAGCCCTCCGAGAACTGGGGAAAGTCTGAACTACATGTTATTTTCAAAGAAGTGGAACTTGTGTTTGCTATCAAGAAAGCACCATCGCAAAATAGAATTGTAAGATGTTCCCCAGTAAAACAAATGAGTTTTAATTCATAATAATGGTTTTTCTTTGATACCTTAACTTTGTGTAAAAGACACATTAAAAGGTCTTATTTTGCTAAGGAGCGAAAACGTGGTACAAATAATGAAAAGGTACAAACCAACCAATTAAAACTACAATTTATAAAGTACGGGGAGGAGTACAAACAGCAGCTGCTTCCAAGCTATGTCTTGGTTTGTAGGATCCAAGTCAGATTTTGAAAAGTCAGAGCTTATTTTGCACCACTTGAGGGCACCATTGCCCAGCAAAATTTTCTTTTCCCGTTGATCCATCTCCTAGCCCCCTAGTTTTTAAAATATCTTTACCAAAGTAAAAGAAAGCTATAGATAACTTCAAAGACATAATTGCATATCTAAACTGCACCTTTTCTACAATGTACGAATGTAAATCTTACTGCCAGAATTCTCTAGGAATTTTCTAGACATGCAACCATGATTGCAGACAACTACTGCAAAGTGACTAAGATGTTTGCATGTTTCCATTTCGTGGTGCAGGAATTAGAGCAGGAATTAGCTGAGCAGAAGAGCCTTCTCCAGTCAGTAGCCAGCCGTGGAGAGGAGATTCTAACCCAACATTCAGCTGCAGAAGCCGCCAGTGGCCTTGGGTATGTTTCAAAATACTTGAACTTTCTCTTCTTATGACGCTTCATTGACATTTGAAGAAATGAAATCCTCTTAACTCAAAGTTTTAAGGCACACAATTTCTGTAAAACATAGTCATTTGCTTTCGCTTTTCGACACTCACTTTTGTACCTTCATGTTGAATATTTTGTTCCACAGTAGAAGCATCGCTAACAACTGGCATACTAACTTAGGTGCCCACCTTTCAGAGGGCTCGGCATATCTGCCAGGGAAGGCCTCCTGAGTGCACGTTCAAATCAGTTAGGAAAGGCATCATGGGACTGAATTTATGGACTTGCTAGACGATCATATCTAACTGCAGAGCATTTTCCCCTCAAGAGCGTATCTTCCCCTAACACCATTCTAAAACTGAGTGTGTGTGCCGGATGAGTATCTCGAGTTTTCTTGATGAGTCTGTTCCTCTAATTTCTACATGTAAAGTCACAGAGTTGGAGTTCTGGTCTACAGTGGAGACTGAAAGTCACTCACACAGACAAAATGTTGAAAGTAAAATTAAGGAAGTTGGAAAATTTTTGTGTTGAAGATTTTGATTTGAAAGGGAGAAAGGTAAAGTAAATGTAAATAGTGTAATAGCACTATATTTCATTCCTGTTCCACAGCTTTGAACTTGGAAAAGTCACTCAACCTGTGCTCATTTGCTCATTTGTAGAGTCAGAATAACCAGAAGCTGCCATGGTGGCAAGAGTATAAAAATTGTGATTATGAACTAAGAAGATATATAGGAAAACCTTTATACCTCTAAAATTTTAAAAGAAAATACCAGTGAAGCCAGTGTGCTCACTGCAGTGCTAAAGGCTATGACTTGGGAGTAGTTTTGACTGTGTTCCATTTCTGAATGTTTATTCCCAAAAGGAATAATGTGAAGAAGGGAATATGCATCCTGAAGATGGCTTTTAAAATATTATTTATAACACCAAATAATTGAAAAGGGAGAAAAGCTCTGTAATCTAAAATTTTGAAGCTAGGTTTTCTGTGTATATAACCTTAATAAAAATCATATATAATATATTAGAAAATGTGTATATATAACCAAATAAAAATGTGAAGTAAACACACAGCATTTGTGTACACAAGAATGAAAATATAACATAGATTATCAGACTAACTTTGCAGAGGGCCAGAGGGGAAGGTTTTTAAGTGTTTTTTTACACCTTAATCGACACTGACTACAGTTGCCAACATGACTTTTGTGCCAATGATGCGGAGAGAAAGGGAGAGAGAGATTGTCCCTTGGTTTTATATAAAATTTTGTATGAACATCAATGAATTAAAAGTGATAAACATGTGTGTGAATATTTATATGCATTGAATTTCAAGGGCAATATAGTGACAAAGTATATATAAATATAGATGTCAAGAAGACATCAAATAAAGCAAAACAATAAAAATATTGACATGATTATATTAATCATGTATATTACATATATCACTTTAAAAGAATATGAATGAAAACAATTACAACATGTAATCATGAATTGCATTTAAATATCCCTGAAGCTGTAAAACTGGTTTAAAAACATGTCAGAGTTTTAGGACACCTCTTTAGTCCATCATGCTTAAAAATGATGGTAAGGCTTAAATATAGAACGATCGCGAACCCACGGTGAGACATTCCATCCTTTCCACATTCACTGAGTTGAGCTTTGCCCTCACTGTGCATTTTCTGTTTCCAGTTCCTCTAAGGTGGTTACTCCACCCTGAGAGCTGTCTGTATCTTTTTGCTCTACATTTCTTTTTACAAACAGCCCCTCACATATGTCTTCCCCGCCTACAGCTAAGCCTTGAAAAGAAGCAGTTGGGAGCCTCCACAGCTCTTGTGCCATGAATTCTTTCTTTCCTTTTATTTTGTTTTAAAGAGAAAAAAATAAAAACAATGATACAGAATTTCAAAACAGGGTAATAGGAAGCTGACAATGATTAATATATTGCATATTGTTGTCTTCAGAATAGTTGCTCAGATTACAAGATATAGGCATGCAAAATTAATCAACCGGTATAAGCACAGACCAACCTTTTCAGTGAATTAAAAGAAATTAGTTTAATTGTGTTAGCTATCATATGTATATATTTTTTTTTCTTTTGCTTTCATGATTTCTTTTTTCCTCTTACTCTTCACTTTTAGAAAGACAAGCAACTATAAATTTCTTTTGTAAACATGAAATATGAAAACCTTTGAAAAGGACATTTGCCGTGCAGTACCAGCTTTAATATATCTTTAATGAAAAACAGAATAATATGCTCAGGGGAAATATATATTTATAGTCAGCCTTTCACTTATTAGCTGTATTCCTAATACTATCAAATGTTAATTGGTTTGTATAAATTTGTTTGTATAAATTCCTATGAAAAGGGCTTTATCCATTTCAGATATTTATAAATTTGCATAAGTTTACTTTATACAGAGTAAATACCTTTAAGACAGATTAGGTTGATGGAGAGTTCCTTCCAAGATTACTAAGGAAAACCAGCTAGAATTTCATTGATATAAAAATATGCAAGGAAAAAATATTCTCTATTGGGAATGAAAGGCTACATTCTAATTTTAAACTTATTTGCTACTATTTTTATACTAACTGTAAGAATATTAAATGCTTCTCATCTTTTAGAATCAATTTTATGTGAACATGGTGAATTAAAGTGATACAGTATAGTTCACCACCATAAAAGAAAGTACAATAAGTAGTTTTAATTGCATAGGCACTTTAAAACTTCTTTTAATTTAAAAGGATCTTAAAAAGAGAATTATGAGATTAATATAACAAACACTCATTTAGAAGTATTAATTCTGTTTTGCCATTTTTTTACTCAATGATATTATTTTTCCATCAATCCATAGCAATACTGCAAATACAATTCTTCACTTTAATTGCTTGATTTTATATATATATATATATATATATATATATATATATTTTTTTTTTTTTTTTTTTTTTTTTTTTTTGGTACCAGGGATCGAACTCACAACCTCACGCTTGCCAGGCAGGCACTTAGGCCCTTAAGCTAAATCCCCAGTCGGTTGATAATATTTTATGTCATGAGCATAACTTACTTTCTTTTTTTCTTTCTCCCTTCCTTCCTTTTGTTTTTCTTGTTATATTGTTGAAAATAACCTTACAATGTCTCTAACAGATGGGAGAGATTCCATGAGGTATACCCTATAGTAGAATCCTAGCATTTTAAGCTTACTGAAATGTTAAGGCTTACTTAAAAACCTTACCAAAAGACAGTATTGTGTTCACATGTATTTTTGTGAAGATTTGACTTTGGGGTTCAGCACAGCATTATTCTGCCAATGAACTTGTCCTATTTTTTTCCACTTAAGCTAGAAGCCTTGTGTTAGTCAAATTTCTGCCACCATGATAAAATAACAGATAAACAATATAAAAGATGGAAATGTTAATTTTGCTCACACTTTCAGAAGTTTTAGTTCATGGTCACCTGGCCTCCTTGTTTTGGGCCTGTGGCAAGGCAGAATGTCTTGGCAGGGAGCACATGGTGAAACAAAGCTGTTTACTTTTTGGTGCCATGGAAGCCAGCAGAGGTGAGCCAGGATCATGGTATCCCTTTCAAGGGCACCACCCCCTCAGTGACCACACTTTGTCCCACTTGGGGCCACCTTCTAAGGTTTCCACTGCTTCCTAATAGTCCCACACTTCAGTGCCTAGGCCTTCAAATCATGGCCTTGGGAAAATATAACAAGCACTGTGTCAAAATATTAATATCTAATATGCCTTTCAGATAAAATGATTCTAGTTAGGCTCTCAAAATTACTGGCACACTAAGATTTGTGGAAAGTTAGGCTCCCTAGATTATTGTTCTTACGTTATCATTGTTATTAACCCCATTTATCAGGGGGCTGTTATTAGCCAGATAAGGCTATAACAGCATGTACTTATGCTCTTTTTTAAAAATTTTGATGGTTTTGTAAGATAGATACTATCTTTGCAAAACATTGAGGCACAGAGCAGCAAAACAAATTCCTCAGTGTCACAAACCTACTTTGTCACTGGGAAAGCCAGGCTGTGTGTCAGATATCACACTGCCCTTTTGTCCTGTGTTCTGTCCTCCCTGAGCATCTATCTCCTGCAGGTCCTCTGGTCTCATGGTGAAAACTGAGTAGGCAAACTAGTGTCTTCAGGGTTTTGGACTAATTTATGAGCTATTTGTAATGGCAGATTACAATCAAAGGATCAGAATCTATAATCACAGACTTCTTTATGATTCTAAATTTGCAATTATTTTTATCTAATATGGAGCTGTTATCAGCACACTTTTAAAATATTCGTTCTGTTCATTTATGATATAGTAAGAATATACTAGCTTTTTTTTTTTGCCTTTTTGAGACAGGGTCTTGCTATCAGTTCAGGCTGTCCTTGAGCTCATTTTGTAGCACAGGCTGGTCTCAAACTCGAAACAATCCTCCTGCCTCAGCCTCCTGAGTGCTGGGATTACAAGCATGAGCCAGCATGCCCGGCATATATTAGCTTTATAGCCTCAAATTTTGTATTTTAATTAATACTTTTGAAGTGTAAGCTAAGAGTAATGTAGCTCCAGTGTACAAGACACATAGTAGGTTGCCTGTCTCAATGCCTTTGCTGTACATATTGTAAGCTTAGATTTTTGATTCTTTTAATAGTGAAAAACCTGATGTGTTATCCCAGGAGTTGGGACAAGAAGGGGAGAAATCAACTGCAGAAGACCAGATGAGAATGAAATGGGAAAGCCTACATCAAGAATTTAGTACCAAACAGAAGCTACTACAGAGTGTTCTGGAACAAGAACAAGAGCAAGTGGTATCAAACAGTTTTGCTTTTATATATTAAGAGATATGCAGTTCACACTGAGAAAATATAACTACAGTCTTCTATATTTTCATTATCACTGCCATACGAAGACATAAGTCAATTATCAAGCCTGTGTCATGTATAAGCCTGCCTCACTATGAAATTTTCAGTTCTAGCTAACATTTTTCCTCAGAGGTGATGAATATCTGATTCATCAGAAGCATAAACCATTATATTTTAAAATTTTGTTTCAACATTGAAAGTTATGACTACAAATCAAGGGTATACATATGTATTATGAAAGGAATTCCACAGATTCAGAATTAAATTGTCAAATTGTCAGGTCTCCTTACTTTCCATTGCAACTTCCAGTATTTAATATTTTCAGAGGTCTTAATGAGAAACACAGTGGGCCTTTGGAAAAGAAGGGAAACCAGTGGTCAGTGAATCTAGCTGCTGACCCACCGGTAAGACTGGTTTTGGGGATGAATAATTGTGTGATGTTGGGTTCACTTCCACCAGCCATGCCAAATCTAAGGGAGCTGAATACGGCCAGAGAAGTTTCCAGGTAAATAATTTCTACTAGTCTGCTCTAAACAGCAGTTAGGGAACCAGGGAAGTCGACAGAATCTGAGAGTTCAGAGGGCTGGTGAGAAAGCCAGGGACCCAAGCAGGCCTGGGATGCCTACTGTGACTGTGACATGAGGTTTTGAGCTAAAAACCAAGGCCCCAGTCCTAGTCCAGCAATGTGTACCCAGGCTCATCCCAAGGCAGTGGTTTTTCCATCATGGTAATTCTAAGACATTTAAGATTTTATTTTATTTTAATTTTTGAGACCAGATCTCGCTGTGAAGTTCAAGCTGGCCTTTAGCTCACTTTGTGGCCCAGGCTGGTCTCAAACTCCCAACGATCCTCTTGATCATTAAAGACATGCACCACCATGCCCATCACGAAACTTCTAGTATTGATCTGAGGAAGCTGTTCTTCATTTCTCTAGCCAGCTCTGGCTTAAGATTTGAGGGAGATTGAACCTGAAAAGAAGGGAATCAATAGTTGTGTGATATCTAAGGAATTGGGGCAGGAACTATCAAAGCAGACACTGTAAAGGGTCACAAAGGAGAAAGGAGAGATTATCAAAGGGCCACAAGGTGTTTCTGTCGTGACTCTCCAGAGCCATGTATTTCTATCCCATTTTTCAAAACTACATCAATGCCGTGCCCTCCCCTGCCCCTGTGGCCACTGAGTCTGCAGGAATAGTTTCCAGCTCTGTTCCCCAGTGAATTTAAAGCACTCTGTTCCTGGAGGCTGTTGCCCTAGAGATATAGTTCACCCTGACAAATGATGCCCTCTAACTTTTGTATGGACCACCTACCTGTTTTGTGTTAATCCTTCCTTAGCCCTCCCCCTGCCCCAACAAATGTCCCTTACATGCATGGCCTTGACTTCTTGATTTCTGTTGCAGATATCCTGGACTTCATAGCCAGGTTGCTGTCTTGTATTTTCCCATTCCTTTAATGAGAATGGTTAATTAAGTATAATCCTGACTCAGAGGATTACAATTTTTTCTGCCCTTCCTAAGGCAGATAAACCTAGGACTTTTCTGATATCTGTGCTTACTTATTCTACATCTGACTATTATTCTCCACTCTTTAGACAGGTACTCAGCCCCAGGATTCTACCTGTTTTCCGTCCAACTCATAGCAGCTGCATCCTTAATTTCCTATCACAGACTTTACCCATTGACTTCTCTTGTCTTGAGGGGTTACTTGAGTTTAGATCATGCTTGTGACTCACTTGCATTTTTTATTTTAAATGGAAAACATCAAATATTCTTCTTTATGTTATATCTTTCCTTGAATATTTAGCAGGAATCACTGATCATTTGTACAAAGTGCCTCCAAAATGTATTTCCTTTGATGTGAAAGTGAGGGAAAGATAGAGAAAAAGCAAGTGATTTATCACAGTTTCCAAGAGGAAAAAAGATTTGGTGAACACATTATAAGCCTAGGTGTTAACGTATCAGTACTACGACAAGATCACCTTTCTGTCTACATTGCACACCTATGAACTGTGGCTCAGAGTAGTTAACTTCTCAGGGCCTTGTAACTAAGAGGTAGGGCCAGAACAGATGCAGATCTGTTCCTTGCAAAGTGCCTGTTTTCAATACTTGCTAATCAGCCTTTTGTACACAATATATTTACTCATCTCAAGTGTCAAAACACAGTGGGGGGGTCATCTATATCCCATCCCAATAAATATTCATACATTTCTTAAAAATTGAACATATAGCGATCTCCATGAATAGAAAGCCAGAGGAAACATAGATTTAAAAATAAATAGTGGAAAGTTACTATTGCAGGTGTGGAATGTAAGGTAGAAGCTTTTAAAGGGATGCTGGGGGATGAGCGCTCCGCCTGTGGTAAAAAATGGGTTGGCGCTGTCCCAGAATGATTGGCAACAGTCTGAAAGCCAGGATGAGGTGTGCTGAAAAATCAGAGGAGCCAACTGGAAGCATTTCCAGAGTGTGAGTGTTTCTACATTCTGGTCCTTATGGGGAGGCATTCTGTTTGCTTGAAAGAGACTACAGAACAGTGCAAGGAAAGGGGGCACCCTTGACCTGGTGTTTGGGATGGGTTATTTTCCTTCCCTGCCCCCTCCCTTCTCCGTCCTCATCCCCTTCCCCTCCCCCTTCCTCTTCTCCTTCCCCTCCCGCTTCTCCCTCTCTAGGTAGTGCTCAGACTGAAAAGATGAGTTGGAAGAATGACTATGATAAGCTTTCAGGCATTTTCTTCCTACCACCATTTTTAAAAGTTAATCAGAAGAAATCTGGCCATTGCTGAATCTGGCCAGCATGTTCAGTGATATGACCAGACGAGTCATGGTTCTCTAGATGAGGTTTCCTAAAGACATTTTTTCCAGCATACATCGTGGTGTGCATCTTCAAATGAGCAAGTGGTCCACAGTACAAACACTCTTCAATAAACCGCCCCGTTTGTCTGCAGCTATACAGTAGACCAAATCGGCTTCTGTCTGGTGTGCCACTGTACAAAGGCGAAGGACAGACCCAGGATAAATCCGCAGTGACGTCATTACTGGATGGACTGAACCAGGCCTTTGAGGAGGTTTCATCCCAGGTAGAGCTGTAGGGTTATGCTGTGTGTGTGACTGTCTGGGATTGGATTTGTCTTGTCCTGCTTGTACTGGTTTTCATGGTCTTCCATGAATGACCTTGGATTAAAAAGCATCTGTCTGTGGTGTTGCAGCCTAGTACTTTTTTTATTCCTCAAAATGCCATAATTTATTCTTCATCTCTTTGCGTATATGCTTGTTCTCCAGGATGCTGGAGCAAAGAATCAAAATATGCACTTGGAACAGAAGCTCTATGATGGTGTCTCAGCTACCTCCACTTGGTTGGATGATGTTGAAGAGCGGTTATTTGTTGCCACAGCACTTTTACCAGAAGAAACAGAAACTTGTCTCTTTAACCAGGAGGTAAGTTTGGCAGTTGCTGTCTCTGAGTGACATTTCAGAGCATGTGAAGCTTTGATATTGTACATAATTTTATATATAAAGAATAGCAACATAAAACATCTCTAATAAAGTACAATAGTTTATTTCTAGGTGATATCTAGCTGGTACAGTATAAAATGAAATTGCTTTAATACAGAAAGGTTTCAAAGGTTTGTAAAAGGAGGAAAATAATGGGGAACTGTAGATAATTGTTACATACCACAAATTTTCTAGGTGTGAAACACAAGTTTTAAAGCAAGTACTGAATTTCTAAGTAGCATTTCATACAACCCATTTTTTATCGTTATATATTATCATTAGATATTGCTGTAAAGTTTCTGAGAAAAATCCCTTCTAGACTAATTTCCTTAAAATGTGTAGATGTATGTGAAAGAAGTTCTGCAGTCTTAGATATGATTATTGCTAAGTGAGATGTAATGGACTTTCTCTGAGGAAATGACTTGATTTGCACATTGATTCATGGATCCAAGCGTGGAAATGAAATCTCTCTTTTATCCATCCTAGGCTCTTGCCAAAGACATTAAGGAAATGTCTGAAGAAGTGGATAAGAACAAGAACTTGTTTTCCCAAACTTTTCCAGAGAATGGTGATAACCGAGATGTTATTGAAGATACTTTGGAGTGTCTTTTGGGCAGATTATCCCTACTGGACTCAGTAGTGGATCAGCGGTGCCATCAGATGAAAGAAAGACTCCAGCAAATACTAAGTTTCCAGGTAAACAAGACAATTTCAAAGGATTTTTGACCATGTTGGGGTAAAGTTCATCATAATCAGAAGGGTAACTTCTTGAGGTATGTTATAAACCTTGTCCACCCTAAATGTACAATGAAGGGAAGAGCATTGCAGGAAATGAGGCAGCTTGGACTAAAGGTAAGCTGAAAATTTTGTGATTCTAGAAATGGGAAGGTAGAGAAAGCCACTCAAATTAAGGACTGAATAAAACCTTACATTCAACCAATGAAAGTCAAATTGATATTTTATTATAAATATAATTTCTAGTTGTTAAATAGTGGAGCTTAATAGCCAGAAAGCACATAGAAAGTACCCCAGATTCAGTGTCCAACTGTTTTTGAAGGTGGCTGCATGCTAATTTCTTCTATCTTAAAATGTCTTATATTACTTTCTGATTCTAACTCCTCATACTTACTACAGTTAGCTCCATATTAGGATTCCATTGTCATATGATACTTCTGTGCTAATGAAATTTGTCATATGACTGTGCATAGAAATAAATGCAAAAGCTACTAACAAATTCTTTTAATATGATCTTTCACTCCTAATAAAAGGCCCTTTGGAAAATGCTTTTGTTTAATTAAATCATATTTTTGACAAAATCTATACATATGCATGTGTAATTCTTGCTTGATACAAATTATTGATTTGAAAAAATGAAGCTATGCAGTATTAAACAAATGATTCATTTGTCATGTAACATTTTCTATATTTTCATTTTGGAGGGATAAATTACCACTGATGTCCAGTAAAATTATGAAAACATTGTGTTGTATTTTTTAATCACAAAAATTTCAGATGAATTGTTGTCTTTAATCTTCAGTAAATTCCTACTAGTTAAACATTGTTCTAATTTTACAAATTCAGAAGAAGAAAAATTAATAACATGGTCTCTGAAATCATCAGTCCAAATCAGATTCAACTTCTGGCTTTTTCAGTTACTACTGTATAATCTTAGCTCCTTAATTTCTCTTAGTCTTAGTAATCTTCAAATATTCAATCACACCTATAGTAATTATCTCATAATAATTTTGTTATTATTGCTATAATTACATAATAATTTATTACATTGCTATAATTTTGTTACATTGCTATAATAAGAGAAACATTATAATTAATAGGGGCTCTGAAACCAACAGCAGGATTAAATTACTTCACACATATTCAGAATTAAGTACCAGAGAAGAATTCGATTCCAAGTGCTCTGTATTTTGTAGTATCAGAGTGATGGCAGAGAGAGAAGGAGACTAGACTGACTCAAGATAGATTGTGAAGGTGGAAAGAGTAGGAAAATATTCAAGCACATTAGACAGCTTCTGAGAAGTCCAGAAGCTCTGAATTGGTACCATTGACTGGGAGATGTATTAAGATGCACATGTGAAGAGTCAGTAGACATTTGAGCATGCGAGTCTGTGGCATGGAGGAACAACCTACACAGAACATTCCCATCTACATCTGCGAGCTTGTGTAATACACAGGAAAGAAAATTTCCCGGAGTCAGAAAAGCAGATGCTCATTATTTAGGTATTTTGTTTCATGTGCAGGATCTTTTTGCATACATGTATACTCAATATGTCTAAAATCACCCAGACTTTCATATAAATTATGAAGGTTTATTTCTTTAAGTTAAAATTCATCTTTTGTGTATTATTCTAGTGTAATATTTGTGTACGTGGTAGGTTGATGGTGCTAATGTATTTATCACAGGAAAACATATTTCTCTTTTTTAACTGCACTTATTATGTTAGGGGTTTTGGCACTTTTAATTTTATCATAATTGTTGCTAGTCAGCAAAAATATGAACTGAGCACACTACTTTGGAAATTATTTTACTTTTTTTTTTCTGGTACCAGAGATCAAACTCAGAACCTTGCACTTGCCAGGCAGGCGCTTACGCTGCTAACCTAAATCCCTGGCCCTGGCAATTATTTTGTTATAGGGGACTATAAGAAGAAAATTTAATCATGAAAGTCTTCCTAAATCGTGTCTATTTTACCTTTGCCAACCAGTTTCTACTTATTGGTGTCCAGCTCATAAATAAAAATTGACCATTCAGGTATTTTGTTTCAATTTCATCGAAAGAGTTCCAGTATTATAATGAAAGATCAAGCCATAAGCTCCTTCATTTTACTTTGTACCAAGAACTTGGTTTGCTGAGAGTGCTCAGTAATTATTTGGGTAGTATGTCTCCGCTTTTCATCTAATCTTTGAGTACTAGCTTTTGCCAGACTATTTATTGACATTATTTTGTATTTAAAAAAGCTATCTGAAAGGATACATGCATGTTATGTATGTTATATATGTGGAATCACAATCAAGGCAGCTGTCAACTGTCCTGGTCAAGAGATTAGCATGAGTTGAGCTTCAGTCTGTGGACAGCCAGCTTCTCACACATTTGTCTGGCTAACAGAAGAAACAGAACTTATTGGCTGGAACTTACTGACTTACTAGGTGTTATAGTTTAAAGTTTTTGTTCATTACTCCTTTGGGAATTTACTACCAAAATTCTGATAGCTAGATCTTTTTTGTACAATTTTGTAGAGTTCTGATAACTAGCTCCTTATTTAGATGAATAATCTATGTGAACAAGACTTCGCTAAAATAAAATTTTCTGTGTTTTTTCTTAATATGTTCTTAGTCTTAATAGGTCAGAATTGTTTTCTAAACTTCTTGGTGGCTTTTTATAAATTTGCACAAGTTCTTTGAAGAGAGGAGAAGAAAGTGAGATAAAGAGGGAAGGAGAGGAAAGAGAAAAAGAATCATGATCTTTTAAAGAATCATATTATTTCCCACATCAGGATAATACCTATAGGTTGTTTTCTTAGATAAAACCTGTTAGTATGCAATTTGTACTGAAATGTTTGTATATACACCAATTTATTTCAGATATAACAAGATCAGGGTAACTTGTATTGTTTTATGTTTGAACTCCATTTGTATTATGTGAAAAATGGTTTATGTAATTAGTCTTCACAATTTGATTTCAGCACTTAGGTAAATTGCTGGTAATTCTTTTTACTTTCTCTAGAAAAGTATTGTTTCGTCTCAAAATTAAACTTTTAAACCTTTGCAGTCAGCCATTCATATTGTTGGGTTCTACATCCTCATTTTTAATCAATCATGAATTGAAAATATTTGTAAAAAGTACATCTGTACTGAATATTATTCTTTTCTTATCATTATTCCCTAAACTACTTAACATAACAATTACCAGCATGAGGTTTACATTGCACTAGGTAGTATAGGGAATCTAGAGATGATTTCATATTTATGAAAGGATGTGCCTAGGATATATACAAATACTATGCCATTTTATATAAGACACTTGAGCATCCTCAGGCTTGATTCTATTTGGAGTCTTGGAACCAGTTCCCACAGACACTAAGAGATGATTTGTATCATTTCTAAAAACCTGTGTCATATTTACAGCTATTTTGAATTTCCTCTTGTAGTTTAAGACTTTCTATTGCTGTCCTCCTTAGAATGACATGAAGGTGCTGTTTTCCTCACTGGCTGACAACAAATACATCATTCTTCAGAAACTGGCGAATGTGTTTGAACAGCCTGTAGCAGAACAGATCGAGGTATGTGCAGCTACTTTTTCCTAGAACAAATGCATAGGTTTATTATGAAGTTTCCAATAGCAGATGGAAGACTAATGGCTTACTGTGACATCTTTGCTTGCTATATATTTTGATTTTGAACACTGATTTGGAATAATGTGCACGGTAACATTGACTCTGTCACCTATTTCTTCACAAATTCAGGAAATGTGTACTAGAAAGTGTCAGTAACAAGTACTACCCAGCAGTGGCTCTCCCACGGTGATACAGGCCTGAGGCTCAGTGACAGGACAGAAAGCCAAGCTGCCCTGAGAAAAGTACAGAGAAGTGCTCTGAACATTCAGGAGAAAGCAGATAACCTCCAACAGGTGTAACATCAGGAAAGACTTTAGAGAGGGAATTTGTGCATACGGAGACCCAAGAAATGTATCAAAGTAAAAAGGGCAGCAAGAGCAAAGGCGTACATTTAGCAAAATGTGAGCACTCACAGAAAATGCAGGTCTTCTTATTTAGCTGAACTTAGCATGGATGAAAGTGATTGAGGGCAAATGTAACTAGGATAAATTTAGAGCAGCTTGTAGAACCTGATCAATGTCGGAAAGCTTGGACTCCATTATGTAAACCAGGGATCTCTGTACCTTATTGATTACAACCCTGTTAGATAAAAATAAATATAACACAAATATATATGATTTACTTATTGTTGAATGATAAGCAAGAACGATGTTATCTCATAAAGCATATACACAAATGTAAACTGAATGTGAATGTAGTTCCATACAAGTGAATTGTGTAGGTGGTCTTGCACACTTACAGGGACTATTCACCTGGGAATTTCCTGGTAAAGGAAAGTCACTGGGGAGATTTGAGAGTGAGAAGGAGTGTCTGCTCCAGATCTTTCTTCTAGAAAGTTGACCTGACAGCTCCAGGGTTAGGAGAAGGGAGACCCAGCATGGGCAGGCAATGACTGTGTGATGGGGAAGCCTGGGAATGTAAATGCAATGGCAGTGAAAAGGAGGAGGAGAAGAGAAATGGGAGAATAGTATATCAGCTGTAAAATTATTAAAAATGAGTGTAATAGAATTTTTAATTTCAGGATATATGAAGGAATCTGTGTGTAAATTATAGGGAATCACCTGAAACAGATATCTCTCCAAATAGCTCTCTTTGCCTATATCTATGTCTATCTCCGTATCTATATCATTCATACTAATATTGGGACCAGACAGAAAGTCACCCAAAACAGCCTTCAAAGTTGTAGAAATGCTACATGTGAATGTACATTCTTCTTGACCATAAGTTCATCCATTTTTAAAAGAGATTTTTCATTTCTCCTAATAAAAAAAATATTTCTTTTGTGTTATGTTTCATATGAAACTTTTTTCTTATCATATGTATAACATATATGGTTCCAAAAGGGATTTGAACATCTATAGTGATATCTTGGATTTCTTGTGTGAAATAAAGGAAAAAAAATATATATCCCAAAATCACAACTAAACTTTTTATTAATTTGTAACTAGTTAAATTAATGCCACAGAAAGAAATAATTGTGTCTTTGAATAATCGCAAAGCAATAATCAGTATGCTAATTGTATTTGTACTGTCCTCGGGTTAAGAAGACAGTAGTAGCTGAAGGCATAAAGATCACAATCCCCGAACAGAACAAACCTGTTTCCATCAGCCCAGTGCACATTTGTCTTCTTGGGATTTTCTTTCACCAGCATTCCGAGAACTGCCTTCACTTCTGCCTCTCTTTGAGTCCCAAGTCTTTTTTTTTTTTTTTTTGTCTTTTTCATTTTTATCGGTACCAGGGATTGAACTCACGACCGCCTGCTAGCAAGGCAGGTGCTTATGCCACTGAGCTAAATCCCCAGCCCCGAGTCCCAAGTCTTATTCTTTATTGACTTGCTTCCTTGTTTTGTCAGTGTATGTTCTTCCTAAGAAAGGGTGCACATATTTGTATTTTTTAAGATCTTGCATATCTAAAATGGTCATATCCTATGTTCACACTTTATGAATGCTTTGGCTTTCCATAGAATTCTTGGTTTTAAATCAGTTTATTAAAAAAATTTTAAGGAATCAATTTATTTTGGAGTTTGAAGACTTTGGCTCCATTGGTTTTTGGTTTCCAAAGTCTACTTGAGGAATTTACAAATCATTCGAATTCCCAAAAGTCCCCAGTGTCCTGAAGTTTCACAGCCACTTGCCTTGGGAAGGGTCTATTTTTATCCATTGGGCTGGAATTCATTGGGCTTTTTGATTTGGCAGATCTCATCTTTCCATTTTGGAAAACTTTCTAATGACTTACTAACATTTTTCATTTCTTTATCTGTAACCTTTCTGAAATATCATTTGATCAAATACTGGATAACCTGTTAATTTTTTAATAAAGAGATATTTCTATGTCTTTTTTTTGCTTTGCTTTTTAGGAGGCTTAATTTTAACTCCATTTAACATTTCTGTTCTCTTATGATTAATTTTTCCAAGCTCAGTTTGGTTCTCCAAATGATCTATTTTTAATAGTATACTGTTCTTTTTTCTATGGCTGCATTATCTTTTGTAATCTGGGTATGTTAATGGTTTTTTGGTTGAAATTTATTTTTTCTTACACAATCTGTTTCCCTCCAAATTGCTTTTATTTATTGGCTTATATTAGTCTCTGTGTTTTCTACTGAAAGTTTTTTTAGGTACATGGACATCATGCTGTCTGTTTATCTTGGGACCAAAGGCAAAGGCAGTTGAGTGAGAACTTTATATCAGGATGCAGCTTCACAATTTTGAGATGCTGAAGGGTGGTATGTGGGAGCCATTTGTCGGAAAATCTTTGTGCCCATATTTGGGCTCTATTGGTCTTAAGAGACCTTTTTTTTTTTTTTTTCAGTCTGGACAATAGACACCTGGTCATAGAACTTCTTGAAATGGAAAAGACTTAGGGCCCGCCTGCAGCATTCTGTCACTTCATTCCCATTTTCAGTCAAGGATTTAAGCCCACCTCTGTCTATTATCCTTCAGTCTGGGGACTCTGTTTTAACTTCTCTGGAAAATAAACTTTCACCTTTTCACCGGGAAGAAAAGGGGCAGTGTGGAGAAAGGAATAGATCCTGTGTAAAACCTAACTGCTCCTCAGCAGCTTTTCTCCAGCTCTCCTTCCCCAGCTCCCATCACCTTTGCTCTGGGTTCCCAAGGCTTACGTGTCTCCACATTTGGTGGGTCACATCCTCTGCAAATGAGGATTCAGGTCCTTCAGAGTCTGAAGTCCATTTCCATGTATTCTGAATTCAGCTTCCAGAATTTTGCTGATATTATCTTCTCCTGTGTTGCTTATTCTTGTAAGATTTATGGAAGAAATAGCACTCCCAAAATGCAAACAAAATATAGTGGCAGAGAGGCTTCAGAAAAGAAAAAATTGGATATTCCCTTCATCTTTCAAGGGCAATAGAAATTGCACTTTATCCAAAAGCCAACTTAGACAAGGATTTTCTGGATTGATTCCTCCCCTGCCCAGACCTCTCATGGCCAGGAATTATATCTTCTTGAATTTTAGCACTTAATAGTATTCAGCCTTGCTTTGTTTTCCTTTGGCTTCCTGACCAGACTGTGAGCTCTTTGAAGTCCAGGATAAAATATAATTCTGTTTCTATGGACCTCACACTGGAAAGACAAAGCTCGGCAGTGACAGCCACTTGAGTGTTCATAGGTTGATTGATTGGTTTTCCCTTCATGACCACTAACAAGACTTCTCTGACTGTGCTGCTATGTGTATTTGTTGCCCCACTGAAACTGTCCAAAGACACTCCCAATTGCATTTCAAGAACCTAGGCACAGTCCTGTAGGGATTCTCACACAAATAGACTTCTCTAACTGTGTCCTACACTTTCCTTCCTATTTATGCATGCCTATTACTAACTTTCATTATTTAAGGAAGCCATTCTTCTCTCACCCTACATCTCTCCTGCAGCCTTAGCTCTAAAATCTGTAGTATAATAAAGGAGGGTCTTTTCTCTACTCTATATTAGCAATAGTTTTATGTTTTGTTTAAGTGACTCTTTATATTTTTTTTTTTCTTTTGAGGAAGAGTGGATGAAAGAACAAGACATACAATCACATTCTCAAGGGGAGGTTATTAGAATTTTTAATGAAATTTGCAAATCTTACCCAGGCAATACAGCAGGCTGAAGAGGGACTAAAGGAACTGGATGCAGGAATCACAGAATTAAAAAGACGTGGTGACAAGCTGCAGATTGAGCAGCCTTCCCTGCAAGAACTCTCCAAGCTCCAGGTATAATTTCCAATTAATACTGTTCTGCTTAGAGTGGACATCCTAGCTAGAAGTCAAGAAAAAATTATTTCCTGTATTTCCTTGGCTTTCTTTATAAAAGTCAATGTTACATTAGCTTTTCTTCCAAGTAACTCCTAGTAAATACTCTAAAAATAATACCATATATGGTGTAATAAAGTAAAATACATGTTCACGCTTTTAAGGTTCATATTTTTTTCTGAAATTTAGTGTCATTCTGATAGGAAACCATTGTGAACAACACACAGTCACAAGTTCCTAATGAAACAGCTTTACACACAAAAGGCCATTTTAATTTTAACTTTCTTTATGCAACATTTCACAGTGTTACAAGCCCATAATCCCCACTTCCCACTTTTTTAGATCTTTTTCAAAGCATATCAGAGTGAGGTGTAAGAGTCAAACGTCATAGCTGTAAATAGGTATTAGAGACGAACTTTTCCAGATTAAACCACTTTGGGCTGCTCATCCTTCATGTGCTAACTAAATTAGCCAGGTCCATATGCTTCCAGTAAATTTTGTTAGTGTCATCATCTCCTAAAATGTCTTTCCAGATTAAGTAGTTATTTACTCCACCACATTTGGCAAAAACATAGCCTTTTCAAGTCTTAAGTATTTTTACTCTCCTCAAACTCCTCTGTTACACTAGCACTTTATTTGAGGAATAGTTCAAAATCTGATAGTATTTAGGAGACACAAATATTCAGCATACTGTACTTAACTACTCTAAAATTAAATAAATGCTGAGATCATTATCAAATTAGGATACGTTTTCTGAGACATCTTCCTTGGCAACTGGACATTTTTTTCCCCCCACAGTTTGAGCCTCACATCTTACCAACTGTACTTTGGCAAATCTATTTTATGTGCTATTTCTAGGAAATGCTTCATATCGTTTGGAATCCTAAAATGTTAAGCTTATTTTTATAGGCATAGTTTTCCTTTAGATTCTTAAGTTTACTTTTTTTAATTTACTTTTTATATTCAGTTCAACTTAAATTATATTTTGGATTTGGCACTAGATAAGATTCTAATTTTACTTCTTTCCAAACAGCTGAGTTGTTTTCATAATATTTATTTAATATTTAATATTTTGCTCCAATGATTCTGTCCTCAAATTCTTATATAAAATGGTACCTTGGTTCAGGAATGCTTTTGTTTGCAAATAGTTTGGCTTGCAAACAGTTTGCTTTGTGAACAAAAGTGTTTGGCAAAATTTTGGGGTCTTTTTGTTTGTTTTTGTTTTTTGCGGACTCTACATCAAGTGATGAACGTAGCCACAAACACCCTTCACACACGAACACAAATGCAGCCATCTTTTCCAAAATTGTTCATGAACTACTGTAGAACCACTGTAGTTCTTTCTTTTCAATGTCTCTCCTGTTTTACTATTTGTCAAAATTAAATGAAATTTAAAATGAAAAAGAACACATAAGAATAATGAACAAGATTGATGCGAGAGCTTGAATTACCTGAAGCCAAACCACTGTGAAGCCACAGTCTTGTAATGATAGGTTGTAGGCATGAGAGTACAGTCCCAGCGCTTATCTTTTGTGAAAGAAATTTTCAAAGTGAGGGTTCCAAGAAAGACAAGTGGAGGGTCTGTGTGGAGAGAATGCCTGCAGGGTACACTTCCAGGAACTGCTGGGGTTGGGATGGGCCTGGAAAGTGCCAGACTCTGAACTGAGAGTGAGTGCAGCGTCTCTTTCTCAGGACATGTATGATGAACTGGTGATGACCATTGGCTCACGAAGGAGTGGTCTGAATCAAAATCTTGTACTCAAGAGTCAGTACGAACGGGCTCTGCAGGATCTGGCAGACCTGCTAGAAACTGGAGGAGAGAAGATGGCAGGAGATCAGAAAATCATTGTGTCTTCCAAAGAAGAAATTCAACAATTACTCGACAAACATAAGGTAAAGAGAGAGAGAGAGAGAGAGAGAGAGAGAGAGAGAGAGAGAGAGAGAGGAGATACAGCTGTGAACATTATCCTCAAGCTCCAATATCTACCACCTTTGTTTGAGTTTCTGCTTATGTAATTTTCTCTTTAAAATGGTCAGTAAATGTATGACCATTGTTATTTGATATTCCAGAGAAATTACAGAATTCATGTTCTATAATCCTATAAATTAAAAAAATACATATTTACCAGGAATTTTATCAATTCTTTGATGGTATGAACCAAGCTCTTGTTACATAATCTTCAATCAAAGGAAAACTCAAGAACTTTCTTTAGCAGCCCAATTTCCATATTAACTGACTTTTCTAGATGTCCTTTATGGCTATTTGTCTGTTTAGGCCTGGGTGCTCTTTTCCTCACCTTATGCTGACCAGGAAGCAGTCACTCTGCTCAGGAACACACAGCTGCCCACTGGGATGTGAGATTGAGTTTACGTCTGCTGCATGCATCATTTGGTTCTTCTGGCCCCTAAGCACATGCTCCTCTTGTTGGTGTAAGCCACAGAGGTTTTCCTGAGGACACTGTGTTCTTTTACTTCCTAATCAACTTTGGGTAGGCATGAAATCACTCCATCAGTGTATGCTGAAGCCAAGCTTAGGTTGGCTACTATTTTTAATAAAGAAATACCTGTTTGACAGGCACAGACAACACACACACTACACACACACACAAATACACAAACCACATGCATTTTTAGCAATGGCTATAAACAATTTGCCAACCAGTCCAGAAAGCTACTCAGCGTATGGAAATTCCCTATCAGAAACAAACAAACAACAAACGAAAAATACCATTTAATTGTATAGAGACAATAAATTCTACCATTATGTAAGTGTGTAGTAGCTAATAATAATAGGTTTTTAGGAGGATTTTTCCTTCTGCTATTTTTTCCAGAGATTTTTGTCCAAAATATTATGATTTATTAAAGTCATATCAATTCACTTAGTAAACATTGCTTTAAAGTTCACAGTTGGGTTTTCTGAAATCTAACCTGAGCAGTAAATGATCATTCTGAGTTATTCTAGAAGGGAAGCTAGGATCAATGTGGAACAAAGAAATAAACCTCAACAATGACAAAGAAGGATGAGGCTGCTGGGGAACAAAAGGCCCTCTGGCCAGGCCGTCTGGTCAGGGAGGGAGAGGTTTGTGAATGGAAGTCCAGCCTTCATTGCACATTGTCCTAGGTGATCTCTGAGCTATCTTTCTTGATAAAATGATTGTCTGTTAAAAAAATGCTGAGTGTAGCTTACGCTGCGGTGTTATCAGCAAGCACAGATATAGCCTTAGTGTATGGGTTCGTGCCCCATCTCTGCCATGTTAAACTGTGTGACCTTGGGCAAAATGCACAGACAGTGTGTTCTCACTTATAAAATGAGAGGCGACTACACTGCCTAACTCGCAGTTATAGTGTTGGCAAAAGGATGGCATGAGTCAGATAAGGAGTGTTTGGGTGCCCAGCAATCAGTACCCACTCAGTGTTGGCTGTTGTTCCTAGTGCTGGCATAAGAAATGGAAAAGAGCCTAACTCTGTGCCCCAGGATCTACTACATGTAAAAAGTGACATTTCAAAAATGTGTACGGGGTCATGCAAGGCCCACTGCACCGTTGCACTGAGGTAAAATTTGCAGGAAATTAAAAAAATATTTAATACAAAATTAGGCTCTTAATACAGAGTAGGCTATTCTTGAAAGGAAGAAAAGCAGTCATGGCACTTCAGAAGTTTAGAAAGTAGGGCTCCAGCCTGACTACAGGGGAAAAAAAGTCAGGGAATGTATCACCTGCAAACATCTTAAGAAGAAGGATGTAAATGGAGGCCGGCGAGGAGAATGTTGGAACTGTTTACCACTGGTGTGGTGCAGTTAATGAGACCAGGAAGGAAGGTCTCATAAAGCAAGGAAGCCCAGAGTGCAAGGGACATATATTAAGGGTGGGAGGTTTTTTAGAAGCTGGTCACACAGGAAGAGCTTTGTTTTGGGGACATGATGTGTACGTAGGCTAAATGGGAAGACAAGAGGCCAATTCAAGGCACAGAGTGACAGTCTGTCTGTGCAGGGAGCGTGTGCAAGCAGTGACACCTGACAAGAGACGAGTGGAAGCCAAATGATGCCACTCATATCACTGAGTTCCAACAGCTTTTGCATTTGAAGCAATTTTTATCCTGAAGTACGTGTGAATGAGTCGTTGACCTCTTTCTACCTGCAAATTGCAGGAATACTTTCAGGGTCTGGAATCTCATATGATCTTGACAGAAATGCTCTTCAGAAAGATCATCAGCTTTGCAGTCCCAAAGGAAACCCAGTGCCATGCGGACCTGATGGCTCAGGCATCTACTGTGCTGAAGCGGGCACACAAGAGGGGTGTGGAGCTGGAGTACATCTTAGAGGTGAGCCGCAGTGCAGCGTTCCTCACCCGCTACAATACAGACCCTCAGGAGAATGTATTTAACCACACACTCTGCCTCTTCTCAGCTTGGAGCTAGTTGTGATTCCTGACTCAGGACTGTGCTCTCCCTGTGGTCATATGTTCCATCTGAGTATGCACTATTCTATATTATAAGTCAGCTAGGATCAGGCAGTGCATGAAGAGACATGAGGGTTTGATATTCAAGCTGAAAAAGGCCTAATAGCATGAAAAATGTAAAAATATATCCCTGGCTTCCTACCCAGGACAAGTGCTCTTATGGTAAGACCTGTCACTAGAATCCAGAAGCCAAAGAACAGGTACCTGGGCCCAAGTTTTTGTACTCTGAAAACAGAAAATAAAGCCTCCATTTACTATATGACAAAGAATACTAGATGGAAATGAGAAAATCTAGGTTCAGGTCATAGAAGGCATTTGTGGCATTCACCTTGGTTTCAGGTCTGAGTTTGTAATCCTCCCTGTCACAATAGGATACTGTGAAATTTCATCCTTTCATTCAGTTTGAGAAAAGTTTGTAGACCTGTGGTCTAGAGCCAGCCAGACATAGCTTCACCATAAATATGTGACTTTGAAGACCAAGTAGATGCCCATTAGAGTGCCACAGATCCCTGAGACGTCATTGGCATAGCAGCCCACTTCTTTTTCTTGCAATAACTCAATCAGTTGACCTGAACTGTTATAGCTCTTCCATGACTTCCCCATCCCATGAAAGTTTTAGGGATTATATTTCTCTCCCTTCTCTTGTCTTCCCTATCTACTCCACCAACATTATCACCCTTTTTTGGATTACCTATAGCTCGTATTTACACTTTTATATAACTTGTTTTACTCCATGGGTCAACATTTTTGTAATTACTAACTCTGAAAATTCCAGACATGGAACTCCCCAATATGTTACACAATTGGAGAGAAATTTTCTTCACTATTTCAAATCCTTGGAGTAGCAATTACTGTTCAGTGATATGTCAGTCTCCCAACTAGGCATTTTACATTTACATGAATCCACCCACAGTGAAGTAATACTGTGAATATATCTTGTAGGAATGAATCTGAGAGCAGGGTGCTGCCATAGTGCATGATTAATTGGTAGCAGAGTCAGCAATTATACCACACCTGTCTGGCTTTGTTGGCTGAAATGTGCATTTCTTAATGCCATCCTCCTGGACACATCATTTATATTGCAGCTTCATCAAGCACATACTGGGAACTCCCTCATTCCCTACTCAGCTCAATTTATTTCCTCCATACCCCAAGATCTCCTTATAAACATATTTTGTGCACAAAGTTTATTTTTTGCTTTCCAATTTCTAGTTTACTGTGTATTACTGTCTCTCCTTGTTAGAATACATGTGTTTTTCTCATGCATTCTGTTTTATTCACTGCCAGCTCCCTAGACCTCAGATAGGGCATAGCAATAGGAAGGTAGATTGGAAAAACATGGATCATTACTGTTAGGTTCTGTTGCCACTCTCACTTCAGATTGAAGTGAATATACACATATGAGAACAAAAGCTGCTGATCCTTGCTATATGTGAAAAGGAAATATTCAAACTGGATTTTGAAGTCTTTTTCAGTTTCAGGTAACGTAAAAGTCTGAATTTAGGAGTAACTGATTTGGAGTTTTTCTTTAGTAGGAAAAAATATATACTACTAAAGAAATGAAGTTCAGAAACTTACCTGTAGTCATACAGCTAGTTGTTTGCAATTCTTATAATATCCTTTCACAATGCTTTTAGAGATCACCATTTGCTTTAAAGCTTTTCTCTCCCAAAGCACACCCTAACCAAAGCATTCCCAACATTACTTGACATAGACTTGGACAAGAGTGTATTTCGTGCACAAGCAGGAGTGTCCTTTGCTAAGGAGGATTGTTTAGCTCATAGACTAACGTTGCATTTCTAGACTTGGTCCCGTCTAGATGAGGACCTGCAGGAGCTCAGCAGACAGCTGGAGGTGGTGGAAAACAGCATCCCAAGTGTGGGTCTGGTGGAGGAGAGTGAGGACAGGCTCATCGAACGGACCAGCCTCTACCAGGTCAGCTTCCAAGGGCATCTTGGTATTAGGAATGGCTATGTTCCCTTTAAAAACTTTCCAGTAGTATTAATAGAATCTAAATGAGCATGTGATAAAATGTATTAACTTTTACTTTTCTTCAAAGTAAGAACATTATTATAAGTAGATAGCTTATGCTTGTGCTATTTAGAATACAACTTTTTTGAAGTCTCAATCTGTGAGTGTAGCTCCGTGGTAAGAGCTCTTTGTAAAAAAATCTTTTTTTTTTTTTTTTTGTCTTTTTCGTTTTTATCGGTACCAGGGATCGAACTCACGACTGCCTGCTTGCAAGGCAGGCGCTTATGCCGCTGAGCTAAATCCCCAGCCCCTGTAAAAAAATCTTACCAATTATTTTCATTAGGCCTCCATAAAGCATTTTCTGTAGCTTATGCTGGTGTGCTACACTATCCTTGAAATAATTAAGTTTAGCAGTTTTAATTGTACCTAAAAATACTACCAACAAAATGAAAAGGAGAACATCTACACTCTGATGGAGATCAACTATGATGAACTATTTTCAAGTCTTCAATGTTGTTTGGGTATAAATAGTTTACGTTTGCAAAATGGATAATGGCAAATTAATTCTCAAAAACAAAGAATACAGTGTTCAAACTTTAACCCATACTGTCAATCATTTTAGCATTTAAAATCCAGCCTCAATGAATACCAGCCCAAATTATATCAAGTATTAGAAGATGGAAAACGACTGCTGATATCAGTCAGCTGCTCAGATCTAGAAAGCCAGCTAAATCACCTTGGAGAGAACTGGCTAAGTAATACCAATAAAGTGTCTAAGGAACTTCACAGATTGGAGACAATATTGAAACACTGGACCAGGTAATAGGATGACTGTTTTGTGTATTTTTAATACTTGCTGCAGTGTATGTGAGACTGCTGGGTGCTGGACCTGGAAAAGATATGCATGTTTGGAAGGTTACATAATTTGGAAGATAAAGACAAACACGAAATCCACAGTTATATACTTTGTTTTCCTGTAAACATAGCATTATGTTTACATGAAACCAGTTGCATACTGAAACTTACTTTGTTTGAGCTGTCACCTTTCTTTGCCTAATGATCTAGGTGGTCTCAGTAAAACCATAGAAGTATAGAAAGAGAGAAAATGTTGATTAAGGGGAACTTCTCAAGGGCAATGGGAAATTTTCAAAGGAGGTGGATGGTTGATTTTATATGATGAAATACTCTCTTATTTCAAAGAACTTTTATAAACATCTAGTGTTTCTAAGAATCAATGTGATGGAAGAGAAAGGTTGTATGTTTTGGTTTTGGTTTTGGTTTGCTTTCAGGTTATAGATAGGAAAGCTGAAACAGAGAGAACAAGACTTGGTCAATGTATAAATATTAAGAGACAACAATTTCAGAAGGTCAAACTAGTGCAGTTTCATCTAAATCTATCAGGGATTTTGTAAAAGTCTGGACATTGGTAAATTACGTGATTGAGCAGAAGACAGGGACTATTTACTTAATTGATTCATTAATATTCACAGATATCAAAGTGAGTCTGCAGATCTAATTCACTGGTTACAGTCTGCAAAAGACAGGCTGGTATTTTGGACTCAGCAATCTGTGACAGTCCCACAAGAACTAGAAATGGTCCGTGATCATCTAAATGCTTTCCTGGTAAGTCTGATAATCTGAGGCATTTGACTCAATTTTGTGTTGTTAAGCCAGTAGGTAAGGCCTAAGCCATACACCAACAAAAGGGAGATCAGTGTGCTAGATACTAAATTTGTTATGCACACTGATAGGACTCACCTCTGTTTATGCTCAGCATTCTCTTTCCAGTAGTTTTCAAGTAATGGTCAGCTTTCCTTTGAGTGCAACAATGTGCTGATTCCACTCCCTTGTAGAAAGTCCAACCTTGTGGTCTCTTGAAGATATCAAGGAAGCTTTTCTTATGCAGTCAGTTGATCAAATCCTCAAACTAAAGGTCTGTCTACAAAAGCCTAATTTGAATAGTGCTTTTTCTTTTAGGAATTTTCTAAAGAAGTGGATGCTAAATCTGCCCTCAAATCATCTGTTCTGAGCACTGGAAATCAGCTTCTCCGATTGAAGAAGGTGGACACAGCTCCCCTGCGTTCTGAGTTGTCCCACATTGACAGCCAGTGGATGGACATCCTGACTAATATTCCAGCTATCCAGGAAAAGCTCCACCAGGTATGGAAGTGAGGGTTGGTTTAGTTGGTAATAGCTAATTTAAGCCATATTAGATGGAAAGCTGTATTAATCTTCCTTTCTTCATAAGTTTAAATCAGCTCTCTCAGACAACAATTGTCTTCCTCACATCATATTATACAGTAAAAATGAACCATTCTAGAGAGCCCTACTCAGGTAGCACTACTTCCAAATGCTGCTTTAATGTGTGTGTGGGGGGGGGTGCGTGCACGTGCACTTGCACATGCGCATTGAAATCTTTGGCTTTGTTTAAAACTATTTTCTAATGGCATAATGTGAGCAATTATATAAAGTGAGTAGCTAGGAAGAATTATGATATGTTATGGTAAAAGGTCTACTGTGCCACGTACAAGAGAACACCTGAAATTCAGTAAATGTAGGTACAGTCAAGCATCATAGAACAACAAGGATCTATACTAACTGTGTTCTTGGGCCATTTTGTCAACATCATAGAATAGATTCACATGAACCAAGATGTCTACAGTATCACTCAGCAATATAATCACATGGGATGGCCATCATATATACCGTTAACTGAAACACCATTATTCGGCACATGATTATATTCCACTTCTCTGAAATATGCCTCACTCCTCTGGATTCCCAATCATTTTATCATTTTCCTCTCCCTATCATCACTGCTTACCATGTATGATAACTGTGCATAGTTACACACCCCCATCACTCATTCAACAGTTATACGTGTCTGGAAAGAGACAAAACCCTGTATTAATCTCTGCCTTTCAGCACCACATTAGGAGCTGATCTATAAAGACTTTAAATGACTGCCTGTATTCTTACAAATTATTATGATAACTATGTTCATAACTGTGTGCTCTATTAAGTAAAATTCAGAAGTCAGTATATTTCAGTTAAAGACTCAGGAAGTTGGCTGTGTTCTTAGGAATAAATGTTAGAGTGCCAAAAAATTCTAGAAAATGATAGCTTGTGGTGTGGTATTTTTCTTCCTCCTTTTAGCATTCCTGAGTCATAATACAGAGATTTTTACAAGATAATTAATAAAATACATCTGTTGAATGTTTTGTAGCTAGGTTTTTAAAAACTCATAAAACAAGCTATAAAATAAGAATAATATTTTCTTCTTGCTGGTGTTTGATTAATTAGTTAATATTTATGCAATGTTTACAGTCTTAGATGTCAAGTGAACATAAAATGACTAGTATTGTTCAGTGTTTTCCTGGTGTTTCAAGCTTCTAAGATCTAAAAAAATGCCATTAAGAAACAATATTTCTGTTGCTACTTTAGTACAAATTACTGTGGTGTTCTTCTGTTAGCAGAACTTGAGTTGGGGTTTAATATTTGGGACTTGTTCTGTCTCTAACTTGACCAGCTCCAAATGGACAAGCTGCCTTCCCGCCATGCCATTTCTGAAGTCATGAGTTGGATCTCTTTAATGGAAAGTGTTATTCAGAAGGATGAAGAAGATATAAAAAATGCCATAGGTTACAAAGCAATTCATGAATACCTTCAGAAATACAAGGTACTTAACACATTTTGTTTTCATGTAGGTAGAGTACATGAAAAACTCAAACGCTCAAATTCTGAAGATTGGATCTTGGGGTGTATATATTCAGTACATGTGACCAGATAGGAATTCAGAAGCAGGCAAACTGCATCTCTAAGTATAGCCATAGACACCTTGTCCAATGTTGAGAATAATTTTGTTATTTGTGAAATAATAGAGATGATAAAAATAAATATTATAATTTATAAATATTACATAATTTCATTACTTTGGCATCTTCTGCCTAATTATATGCAGCTGTATGTTTATATAATGCATACATATGTTCGTTTGACTTCTGAAAACAATAGGCCATGGGAATAAACACAAATTGTGCCATTTGGACAAAGTCATAGAAATGATGTAATATTAAGATAATTTGAGGTTTTGCAACTCCTGGTAAAATAGGTGTTTCTCATGCTACCTTGTTTCCTTATTTTCTCCTTCCTTCCCTTAGGGTTTTAAAATAGATATTAACTGTAAACAGCTAACAGTCGATTTTGTGAACCAGTCTGTGCTACAAATCAGCAGCCAGGATGTGGAAAGTAAACGGAGTGATAAGACCGATTTTGCTGAGCAACTTGGAGCAATGAATAAAAGTTGGCAAATTCTGCAAGGTCTAGTGACCGAGAAGGTAAACCAGATGTCCTGTCTTGCCTGTTTCTATCAGAAACCTTGGAAGAGACACATTCCCCCAGAAAGACTCATTTCATGTATACTGTGGCTATGTGGGCCACAAGAAAGCTTCCAGAAATCCCACTGAAGTTTGTTTCTAACCTTTCTTTAGTCCTGCTATTTTCTCTTTGTATATGTGTGTATATATATATACAAGTGTATATGTGTATATATGTATACACTTGTGTCACTGAGCTAAATCTCCTACCTTGTATTTCATTTTTTAAAGTGTTTTAAAATGCCACTTAATTTCTCTCACCTTTGTTTGAATTCTTTCTTTTTTATCAATAATGGCCATTGATTCACACTTGATAAAATTAATTTTTTAAATTATAATTCAGTAGACTGTATTTTAGGAATTTCCTCGCTGGCAAGGCTAGAATAGTTCAGCTGCCACTGATTCTCTTTTAAAATACAATTGCAAATTTCATTTCATTGTGTTTGTTCAGATCCAGCTGTTGGAAGGCTTACTGGAATCTTGGTCAGAATATGAAAATAATGTACAATGTCTGAAAACTTGGTTTGAAACCCAGGAAGAGAGACTGAAACAACAACACCAAATTGGAGACCAGGCTTCTGTTCAGAATGCGCTGAAAGACTGTCAGGTAATTGGTCCCGGAGGCTCACATAAAAAATTCTGGGAGCTGTGAGCTAAATAATTTCCAAAACTTGCATTTGGTAGCAAATTTCTCTGATTACGTGGCTAATGGGTTTTTTCAACTCTTTTTTCCAACTGCTTTTATTTATTTCATATTTATTTATTTATTGTTGAGACAGGGTCTCTCTGAATAAGCCAGACTGGCCTTGAACTCACTGTGTAGCCCAGATTGTCCTCAAACTTGCTGTGATCCTTCTGCTTTAGTCCCCTAAAGTGCTGGCTCCACAGTCATGCAAGATGGTGCCCATTATAGCTGCTTTTAAAAATGTGAAATTATGCAAATTTTCAAACATAGTTAGAAGTAGAAACAAGTACAGTAAATCCTATATGCTGATCATTAGACTTAGAACTGTAAGATTGTAGTTACATTCACCTGAATTCTCTTTTCTTTCTTTTTTTTTTTGGCACTGGGGATTGAACTCATGACTTTGTGCTTACCAGGCAGGAGCTTCTGCTGCTGAGCTCCCAGAATCTTTTTTCTTAAAGGTGCCGTGGCTCAACACAGAGATCGCATCATTTTATCATTAGACACTGTAATACACAACTTTAAAACAAATACTTTCTTGTGCAACTATAATATTAACCACAAAAAACTAACAGTGATTTCCTAATATTATTTCACATTTAAGCCATAACCACATTTTCTGAAATTTTTAAAAATTTTGATTCAAAATAAACGATATTTACTTGTTAGAGTTAAGTCTCTGTAATATTTGCTGACACTATGACTTATTGCAGAAACTAGGCAGATCTCATGATCAGCGCTAGCCTGGTCAAGTCCTTTCCTTACAGAGTCACTTCTCTGCTTCTCTGCTCTGTGCTTGCAGTGAGTGGGCAGCTCTAGAGACTTGCTTGGATTCCAGGTCCACACTTGGGTGAATACTTCACGAGTGACAGGGTTCCTTCTTGTGCTGTCTCATGGAGAAGCTCGTGGAGTCTGCCTATGCCCTGTTAGAGCAGAGGACAGAGGGTTAGGTGGAATGATTACTGATTTAGCAGTGTGTAAGTTCCTTCTGGCATCCTTAAGTATCTAAAAAATGTGAACTCTTTCTGTTAATCCTGTAATAAAAATCATTTTAAAATAATGCACTATTTTTCACATCCACTAGTCAGATCCATGACTGTTTCCTACAAAAGCTCCTTCCCCTAAATGTTGTTTTTCTATTTTAGTTTTCAAAAAGAAAGGAATTGAGGGAAAATCTCCTCTCTGATCAGCGTATTTTCTATTTGGGATGCATATGAGAAAGTTTATATTTAAGCACTTTAGTCAGAGACTCAGGGTTTGGAAAAGGATGATAACATGCTTAAAGCATAGGCTCATGTGCTAATGAGTTGCAGTTAAAAAGCTGCGTAAAAATGGCAAAGAAAATCATCTCATCGAAGAATACAAAGGTACTTTTATATAATAAATTTTTTTTTGAGCCAGTGTCTCTCTATGTAGTTCAGGCTGGCTTTGAACTCACTATGTGTTCCAGTCTGGCTTGAAACTCACAACAACCCTCCTGCTTCAGCCTCCAAAGTGCTGGGATTACAGGCCTGAGCCACTGCACTCAGAAGTGATCATTTTCAAAATCCTTCAAATCAGAAGATACATATATAAAAGCATAAAGACCAAAATGTACATCAGCTAGTCTCACTGGATTTCCAATTTTCAGAGAGCAGCAGTAATTCTAAGTTAGGCCACAAACCCTAACATCTACAAATAAGCCAGAATTGCAAATTTTATTTTATTTTATTTTATTTTTTTTGATACTGGGGATTGACCTTGTGCTTGCCAGGCGGGTATTTATGCTGCTGAGCTAAATTCCTAACTTCAAATTTTTATTCTTAAGGATGAAAAGTCATATCTTCTATTGAGTTTGAAGTTAAAAAAGATTTTCACTAGTTTAAAGAGCAGTTCTTACTGTTACTATTAGCAAGATTAATGCTTCATTGTTTCATTATTGGGATGACTTTAGTATTGGGAGACTGAAATATTACAATAAAGTAACTTCTCTTTTTTCCTTCTTTTCTCTCTCCTTTTTCTCTTTCTTACTATGTTTTCATTTTCTTTAATGCACTGTTGCCTGCCATTTTACCTTTGTTTCTTTTCCTGTATCTGTCTTCTATGTATTAGAGACATATCACTATCTGGAAAATATTACAGAAGCTTGGCCAAGTTATACTACTCCAAAGGACCTAAGTTTCAGTCTCCCAGAGAGTCAGTTCAGACAAGAGAAATTCTATAGTGCAATTCAAAGACGTCTGTATTAATGCCTTTTTATGATTCCAAATGACAAGTCACTTCTCTGAAACAAAATCACAGAAAAAGCATTACTGTACCGTTATTTTGAAACATCGCACATAAATTACAATGGCCTAACTGGGAGGTTCTATTTGGCATTACCACAAACCTTGATAAAATTTATTGTCATTTTTGAGAAATTGTTCCTTTGGACCAAAGTGTGAAATTCAAGCCAGCATACTTAAATCAGTGACTGGCTTCAAGCTGAATTTTGCTAAAAAAATCTTGAATATTTGTCCAGTCTTTTAGAGGTGATTTATTAATTTAAAGCAACATAAAAACTGATATTTATGAGTTAACTCAAGTTGAGGATGATTTATCATAACAAAAATGTTAGCTTTGGCCTTTTCCTTCATTTATCAGAAGTAGAATAATCTTTTCATTATTACTGAAAGGAAAGGAAAACACACCTTTATTTTGCAAAAGAGTATATATTTCAATTCTGTTTCCTTCCTGGATTTTGCTCTTATGGCAACACATATATACAGGACGTTTTTGGAGATGTTTTTCTAATCAGAAGACAATATCTTTAATATTTCTCACTGAAAATAGCATCTATGGATAAATGAGGATAAAATTAGTTTATAACAGGTGAATTTTATAATCATGTTGACAGGATTATTAATAGATGTTTATTATATATCAAAATATCAATAAATGGATAATACTATGTTATTTATCAAATATAAATCAAGATTATTATCTGTGTTTTTTATATTAATAAAGAGAAAAAGTTGCAAAGGTAAACGGTATTTTTATACTACATAAAGGACCTGCACACCCAGTAATCACTAGATTCCTAGTCTTGTAATTATCAAAGTAGTTATAATATTGACAGAATTATAAAGTAGAAATGAGAGGATAATATGGAAAGCAATAATGATCTCTTTAAGTTACTAAATGCCTGAATTTCTAATTAACTGCATCAAGACAAAAATAACTTAGTAGTCATTCAGGAGGAAAAACATAAATTTACTCTTAAATGTAAATATGGCAAACTGCCAACTGGCTGAATGTGTCATCTTATATTTGATTAGTTTTTGACAGATTAAAAGATAATTGAGTATACATTTATCTAATTTTAGGTAAGTGAAAATATTTTATTATCCTTATTTTACAAATGAGGTACAGAGAGGTGAAAACATTGAGCCACAACTGAAACAAAAGCAAAAGGGGTGATAAGATGAAGAATACAATTTATATTTAGCATAGCAGATACCAGACTCATCATTAACACCATATCACAGTTGCCAAATCCTAATACTATTACCCACGTATATGGGTCATGAGAAAGGGTAGAGGTCATTTTTACGTGATTGAGAAATTTATCCAAACTTGAGTACTTTGAGATTTTCTCCCTTCTAACCTCTAGGACCTTCAAAATGTATTTTTCCTTCCAGAAATGTGCATTTGAATCTAGGGATGTAAATGTGTCTTAACACTTGGCTAATTTAAACACTCAGTGTGGTATTTACACGTCTGCAGAGTTTGGGTTCAGGCAGTTCACCTCCCACACTGGGCTGGGAGTCAGGAGACTCAAAGGCTTAGGTTTTATGCCCCCTCTAACCCTCACCAGCTCAGTGACCTCGGCCAGTTTGGATAACTTAATCTCCCATTTATTTACCTATTTAATGTTAGTGTCTGTCTCAGCGTAATTTAATGGAACATTATATTTTCAAATGGTATTAAAATGTATGTTGGATTATGACTATCATATGAGAGGTCTTTTCATTTTATTTTTCTTTCTTAAACATTTCATCTGATAATGATAAATGCACATCCTGAAGAAAATAAAGAGTTGAGTCATGAAAAAAACCTCTAACCTTTCAGAATCACACGTAATCACAGTATTTCAGAAAGAGAGGGAAGAGAATGGAAATTCTTTCTCAACCTTCTGATTTTTCCATCTGAAGAAACTGAGACCCAGTGGACATTTTTCACTTACTCAAAGCAACACAACAGCAGCAGAAATATTTCTGAATCTCAAACACCATTCTGTGATGTTTCTTCCAAGAGATAGGCTATGCAACTTTTGAAAAATTTCTGACATATATTTCCTTGTAACTTTTTGAAAAATAATTACATAATGCCATTTCTTTTTCTAGTGCATAATCGGATTATACTTTTGTTTTCAGTTATGTTACTTCCCCCCATAGATTAGAAAAAGCCTTATTTTTTTGCATTTAGGTGTAGGTAGAAATAAATATGACTGTGGAGGCCCTTTTTTAAAGAATGATGACCATTTGGATGCACAGCAGATTTTTAGTACCCAAAACCATTGTAGCTCAATTTCAGTTTCACAATAGAATGATTTTAAATGATTATTTTTAAAAAAAATATTTCAGGATCTTGAAGATTTGATTAAAGCAAAAGAAAAAGAAGTAGAGAAAATTGAGCAGAACGGGCTTGCTTTGATTCAGAACAAGAAAGAAGAAGTGTCCGCCACTGTCCTGTGCACGCTGCAGGAGCTCAACCGGACCTGGGCAAATTTAGAGCACATGGTAATGCTGAGATGGAGCCTCACCTCCAAGACTGTTTGTTAGCTTTGTCCAATCTTGAGTTTTAGTTTCTTAAAGTGACTTTGTAATTAACTGCCAAATCTAGGTAACATCGCTCTGTACTGTTAAGTCCATCTTATTAACCCTTTTTTTAAAAGAAAAGTCTTCCAGTGCTTCCTCTGAGAAACATGAGAAGTATCACTCCCTCCATTCCCATAGCTTTCGACACTGTCTAGGCCCAGACAATTCTCAACATCTGTTTCCAGCCTTGCTTTTTCTCCTGAATGCCATGTAGAAACTGGGAGACAGTAGACATCTCCTTGTACTCATCTACAGACTCAGCTGGCTACTCTGTGTTTACCTTATCTTGAACCTGTCCTTAGCTCTATTTTACTATACATTTTTTATAATTCAATGAAAATGTTTGGAAAGTTTACCATGAAAGTGTATAAAAAACAGTTCTCTCATGGAGATATTGTCTCATGGAAAAACAAACTAGTATAAAGGAGAAATAGACTATTTAAATTCCTGTTGATCTTTCTTACTTCCTGTTTGTTTCAGGGACAGGGCTGGCATCTGGCTGCACCTGTAGGCTTTGCCTTATAGTGGACACAGCACTTTCTTTCTCCTTTGGTCTGTCAGATAGTACTTTGATGGGTTGCAGTGTTTTCCCTTTATGCAGAGAAAATAGATGCACCTTATAAGGTAGCAATAATCATTATCCCCATCTTATAGGTCTTATAGATGAGGAAACTGAGATGCTGAAGGGTAATGAAAATTACCTAACATCATAGTATTAGAAAATAAGAAATCTCTGGTTAAATTCAGATTGTCTGATCCCAACAAATGACATCTGCATACACACACACACACACACACACACACACACACACAATCTCTCTCTCTCTCTCTCTTCTTCTCTCTTTCTCTGTCTCAAATGAACATCTTAAGGCAAAGAATATAAAGCCATTTCATATATGTATATGTATCTGTATCATAAAGTATTTTACTTTGGCCTGTATCACTTAAAAAGATGTCTACTGTGAACTCCCTGGATGTCAACGCTAATCTTAATCTAACCTTCTGGACACAGATTAAGTATGACTGTGATTAAGGAAAGAGATCATATAAATTAACTTACTCCTCTTTTGCAAAAGGCAGGACAACTAAAGATACGGTTGAAGTCTGTGCTTGACCAGTGGGACCAACACAAAGTGGCCTTGGAAGAGATGAACAGTCACCTCATGGAGGCCAGATACTCCCTGTCCCGATTCCGACTGCTGACCGGCTCCTTCGAAGCTGTGCAGGTTCAGGTAGACAATCTTCAGGTAAGGCGTGGATTCAGAGAATCCTTAGCATTATTTTTAATTGAGATCAAATAGGTAGCAAAGCTTGCCAGTATGTTGTTTATATTTAACGTTTTAAAAATCTTTACATTTTACCTGCTTTGTTGTGCCAATCTAATTTGCCTGTGGGTACCAAGTTCTGGATGAGTAGTTTTATAACTAAGTGGCTTTAAATTTCCTCTTATATAATAAGCATCAGCATCGATGTATTTAATGAAATGATTTTTATGCCAAATCAACTTCCTTCACCCATACCATTCACTAGCTTTTGTATCTTTCCTTTCTCTTTTTATCCTGCTTTGCCAAACACTTTCTAAGGCATCTAAAAGAAAACAAAGAGAAAAATAGCAAAAGTGGTAAATGTTGAAAGCATCGTTATTTTTTTCTTCTTCAGTGTTATAGCAACAGCCTGTCCAGTGTGTCCATGTTCCTCCCTTCCCGCGCTCACTGCCTGCTTTCCTGTGCCTCCATTCTCACAGGGTCTAGAATTCACTGTTGTTCCTTCTCATAGCTATAAAACAAGCTCTTATCCCAGGCCACTGTCCTCAAATCGCTGCTACTTTCCCGCACACCGGGGCACTGGGCCACACTCATCTCTGCTCTTTCTTCTTGACTAACAGCACAGACTCTGGGCTAGGCAGGGCCAGCCCTCAAGGGACAGTTTGCCCCAGGAGCCCAGCATGCACTCTGGTTCTTGTAGCTTACTTTGCTGACTTGGCTTTCTGAAATGATGTGTTGCCAACCTCCCCCGTGTGTTTGCTCTGAAGGGAATGTCTCTTTTGGGGTGAGGTGGAGAGAACAAAGGATGAAATGTGTGAAGAAAAGTTCTTCTGATTTTAAATAGTTGTTGCAGGTACCAAGAAACATTAGAATTTATTTTGAGCACAATTAAATATAAAACCACACTTTGTAACTTTGAGAATGCTAGAAGTCCTTTATATTTTAACATATTCTACGTTAACACCTGCAAGAGTTGTCTTTAGAGATAAAAAGATTAAGGCCTTTCCCTTGAATATGTTGATTTAAGGGCAATCAGATACTGATATTAAATGGCACTAGATTTTGGAGCCCAGTTTGCCTGGGGAGTTCTACTAAGAACTCAATATCAGTTTGGCAACATTTCCAGGAAAACATCATCTTCTAGTTCCTTCTTGATCTTTGGTGGAAGAGTTCACCAAACCTTCCTTATACAGATACTTTATTTCAAGCAATTTTGTAATACGCAATGCATTATCATTAATTATAGTCACGTTCTGTGCAATAAATCACCATTGGTTATTTCTCCTGTTCAGCTGAAAACAAAAGCGTTTTCTTTTCCCTCTCCTAGCTTTGGGTAACCACCATTCTATATCATTTTCTATGACCACCTTATTTAGACAATACTAAAAAAGTACCTGAAATGGTGATAATGTTAATTAGCTTAATCACTTCACAATGTAAACATGTATCCAAATATCACACTGTACTCCATGAATATATGAAGTTATATCAATTAAAAATGCAATAAATTTTTAAAATTTTTGCCAAGAAGAATACCAAAAGATAGAATATAGAGATGGTACTCAGACTTACAATCTCAATTATCAAGAGCTTTTGGAAGAACCATTATATGTGTGTTAATGATGTCCTGATATTTTGCTGTGAGCATCAGTGGCAACCACAGTGTAATACATGGTACTCATGCCCTGACCATACCTTCCTAACAGGTGCTGGAGAAGAGTTTCTGCTATGGTCATTTCCAGCAGAGTCCCAGGTCCCTCTATAAAAACATTTAATTTCAGAGAATCTCTTAGCAGAGCCATAAAAACAAAACCATAGAAGGGGGAAAGTGACTACTAAATAAAGCTTATAGAGCAATAGAGCAAAGTCATGCACACATATAACTTGGTAAATTCTTTGAAACTTGATTATTAGAATTTAGATGCTGTCATGTCATCTGTGAGACTTTTTGTTTGGGCAGAATCTTCATGATGACTTAGAAAAACAGGAAAGGAGCTTAGAGAAATTTGGCGCTGTCACCAACCAACTATTAAAAGAGTGTCACCCACCTGTGACAGAAACGCTCACCAATACACTGAAAGACATCAATATGAGGTATGGAGTATGCTAACTTTGCACATTATTTATATCCCAGTATTACTGTAAATGTAATAAAACATTCTGATGTTTTGAATTTGAGATTTTTCAGATTCTACCTTATTAATGTTTTCATCTTCACAAAACGAATACAGTGGCCAATACATAGTGATGATATTTAGGAATAATTAGAACTGGTACACTCCGAAGGTTGCTCACCTTTGAAATGTAACCATGACCTGTCACTTTTTATTGAATTAAATAGAAATGAGTCCTCCCTGCATTATTTTCATGTTCACATGAACCTTGATCGTGACAAATACAATAGTAAATAACAGCATTTGGTGAGCGATAATGGTCTGCCCATGTGTGCTGGCTCTTCTTCGCAGATGGAATAACTTGCTGGAAGAGATTGCTGAGCAGCTGCACTGGAGCAAGGCCCTCCTTCAGCTTTGGCAGCGCTTCAAAGACTACTCTAGTCAGTGCGCCTCCACAGTTCAGCAGCAGGAGGAACGCACCAATGAGCTGTTGAAGGCAGCCACGAACAAGGACATCGCTGACAATGAGGTGGCTACGTGGATTCAAGACTGCAATGTATGTGCGAGAACTATGCTGTTTCTCCAACACGCTATGCCTAGACTTTGCGAGTTTAACAGGGCTCGTACTGATAGGTGTAAGCTTGGACATGTCTCACCCTGTGACAGCTAACTAAAAATTATTGTCCTATGTATATTAAAGAGTCTTCTAGGGTTGCAGAGCAGAGTTGGACATGTTGAAGATATACGAGTTCCCCTCCCATCATTTCATTTTTCTCACTTTTACTAATGGAATATAATCCACGAGAAGGACTTAGGTTATCTGGCTTTCTTGAGATGGTCAATAGAAGAAATGACCTCATGAGGTATCAAATTGTATCTTTAAGAAATCAACTGTTAAAGTTTTCATCCACTTAGAATTTTTATCTCTTGTGTAAACATCTACAATAGTTTTGTCTAAGAATTTTGTGGTATAAAGAAGTCTTTCTGTCTTGATTTATTGCTATACTTCTTTTTAATAGCTTTTAAATAATTCTCTTTTTCACTGTAGCTGCCAGTAGGCTACTTAAGGTTTTCAAGAAAGGCTCTGCTCTTATTTCATCCATTACATGGCTCTGACTGTTTATCCTTATTTGTCTTGTTTCAATGAACTTGTTACAGAAATCATCTTAGAAACTTTCTCAACTCAGTTTATTAGGATTGGGCAAGTTATAAAAGCTATGTAAATAGAAGTTTAATGTATCCTAATATCTTCAGCCTGAGTAGTAACTTCAACACAAAAGATGAACACTTACAGTAAAAATAATAATATTTGAGTTTTGTTGTGCGTGTGTGTGTGGGGGGGTACATATGTGTGTCTACATAGTTTATTCTACAAAAGCTGCCATTTTCATTTGAAATACACCTGGGCTGTTGCCAGTGTCACGACTGAAGGGCCACCTTGTCTCTTTCTCTTGCAGTAATCATTCTGTGAGCCTAACAGGTCCTGTTCTCTCGAGCTGGGGCCTAGGGGCAGGGAGAACAGTAGTCACATGTTGTGTCTTAGTAGTGGCTACAAACCAGGCAGAGGGGATTGTCAAGGGCTTGTGTCTATGAGCATGTAAGATAGTTTCACAAAACACAGCAGCAGGCAATGCCATGGAAAGAACAGAGATGCAGACTACTGTCACCTGTCACCCCTGCTTACCTGAAGTGTCTGTGGGTTTTATACTCCCATAAGCACTAGAGAGTTGTTAGAACCATAGTAACAGAACCACACACATAGAAGATGCATGAACAAATTAAGACCTGGTAAATAAAAGAGTAGAAAAAGGTTTAAAAAAGATAGAACTGTGTCTTCAATATGATTTCAATTATATAAAGAGGGAGGAAAACAATGCCAATCTCTGGTTCTACTTGTGGATTGTGGTGGATTTGTTTTCTTTGTTTATGTCTGTTTTTCTCCATTTCTTCCATGATTAAGCTATGTTGGTTTTAGTATCAGAAAAGTATTTATGCATAGTATTTTCATGTGTGGATATACATACTAGCTATGTATAATAAGTGTATTTTTGTAGTTATATATATAATAATATGTAGATAAATTTTTTAAAAATTGAATTAAATTCTTGATCATTTTTATGCAAGTGGAAATTGTTTAGCATAGTAATACAACAAGTAGGAATTACATACCTAGGTGAATTGCCTTTTGCCTACTGCTGATTGTATTAGTAACACACTTCACAGATCACATCATAGTGAAGGTATTTTCATCTCCTACAGGACCTCCGCAAAGGACTTGGGACCATTAAAGACTCCCTCTTCATTCTCCATGAGCTGGGAGAACAACTCAAGCAGCAAGTGGATGCTTCAGCAGCCGAGGCCATTCAGTCCGATCAGCTCTCCCTCAGCCAGCACTTGTGCACCCTGGAGCAAGCTCTTTGCAAACAGCAGACAATGTTACAGGTGCAGAGTTCATGTTCAGTGTGTGTTATACACTAGGTATGTCACATAACTTCTGGGCATAAACACAGGAAATGGAGGGCTCATTAGTGAGGCAGTGCCTCCTCCAAGACCAAAGCCAACTTGGAAGTTCCAGTGGGAACAAGAGAAGATGGTAGGGGTTTTACACTGCTCTCTACAAAATAATTTAAAGATCTTTCTGGGAGTTAAGCCCCCAAACTATATCAGCCTCCATGATATGTCCAGCTAATTAACACTAAGGGTCATTAATACTAATATTTAAGCTGTTAAAAAAATCTGATTTTTTAAAGATGTAATTCATGATGTTATTGACAAATGATATATAGAAAATAGGTCTACCTTTTAGAAAATTTACATAAATGAAGAAAACTTTTATATGATTGTGGTCTTGTTATTTTAGAAACAGCTTCTCTCAGAAATGCAATTTAATACGACTATGGAAAGTAGTTTCAATATCCATTTGCCATTTCATTAGATTTTTATTAAAATATCAGTTGATCACTAAAATGTTGATTGCTTTTTGTGGTTCAAGGCTGGAGTTGTTGACTTTGAAACCTTTGCCAAGAGTTTGGAAGCTCTGGAGGCCTGGATTGTAGAAGCTGAAGAGGTGCTCCAAGGCCAGGACCCCACCCACTCGTCCGACCTCTCCACCATCCAGGAAAGGATGGAAGAACTTAAAGTAAGTGTGCTTGTATTTTTGCCTAGATGTCCTCGCTTCCGTCCTCATAATCATAAAGGAAACGCAGGATCAGTATGGATTTACTTCTTTTAGAATTTCCAGGGAAACTCTCAGCATCTCTGCCCTCCTTCCTTCCTGAGAGGAGCGCACTGTGACTGCAGCGAGTGCTTGATGGCAGCCCAGCCCACAGCGGAAGTCCCGCCTCACTCTTCTTTCTACTTCCTGTCCCTCTTTCATAGCTGCGGCTCCCATCTAACAGCACGCTCTTGGTTCGTCCTACTCCACTTCCCTGGACAGTACAGCCTCCTGCAGACCTTCTTTCCTTCCTTTCCCTCACCCACTTCCATGCTGGCTGTCAGGATGACTGACTTCTTTAAAGTTTTATTTAATTACTTTGATTTAAGCATTTCGCATATTCCAAAATATCACACTGAGCTGGGCAGGATGCAGACACAAGCCTGTAATCTCAGCATCCCACGAGGCTGAGGCAGTTGCATCATAAATCCAAGCCTAGCCTGGGCAATTTAGACTCCATCTTAGAATAAACAAGTTTAAGAAGGGCTGGGATGTTTTTCCATAAAAGTCCCTGGGTTCAATCCCCACTATGGCAAGAAACAAACAACAAGCAAAAAAACCGCAACATAACCCAAACTGTAAAATGTGATTGTCAATTAGCAATATTAGATAATTTTTAAAAAGAAAAATGAAAGGTTTTACTTAATCACTAACAATTTTAAACATTCAGTAATGTGGAAAACAGCATATCACAGATAGGCAAATTTTATCATTTACCTGGTTTTAAATCCTGTAAATTCCCGCTGCTCTTAGGAGAAGCACCAGTGAGTCTGGCATAACCTTTCTTTGACTTCCCCAGGCATCTCCTCTTTTATTGCTGTCCATCTCTCCTCCCAGCCCCTCGGCAGTCCCACTGCTGCCCAGTGTCTGGGTGCTTATCTCTCCTTTCAGCATGCTTATCTCTACCAAATCCTTCCCTCCCAAAAAAGAATAAATTCCTGGCTGTTTTGTTCAGTGTCACTGTCTTAAGAAAGCTGCTGCTGTTTGGTGCCTGGCTTTCTGGTGTCGTGTTTCTATTCTCTTCCTTCCAAACTTAATCATGACATTCAGTTCTGTTCTTGTGCTTTCTACAATCAGAATAGTGTCTTACTCCCTCTGTGTGCAGGAGGAAAAGCACAAGGGCTTATCAGTTTTGTTCAGTGTTGATGTCTACTTGTGAAAATTCTGCCATCTAACAGCTAGACCTTTGAATTCAATGATCACGTGAGTTACTTTGTTTTGTGGACTGAGGCCTTCCCAATGAACCATATCTCAACCCTTTTGAAATTCTTTATTGTGAGACTAGGTCTCATTAAATTGTCCAGGTTGAGTTTGCAATTGTGATCCTCTTACCTCAGCCTTCCAGAGTGCAAGATTATAGCTATGCACCACATCACCCAGCTTGAGAAGCTTTATCTTCTTCAGAGATCACAAAACTTTCTGCAGAGACCCGAATTAAGAATGTATCTTTATGGCAGAGCTAAAGATATCTTTAATTTTTTCTTTCTCGTAGCCAGTTCCCTACCTAAAGATAAAAATGCCTGTGGGAATCCCAGAACGGGCAGCTTTCCCTGCACTTGAAGGGAAGAAAGATTTGAAAGCCTGGACTACATGTCTTTGTTGAGACTTAGCAACTTGGGGATTGGATTGGGGACATAAGACTGATGCTTATAAACTAATACAACAGTTTTTATTAGTACATGTTTGTGATACATTCACAGTGTTTAGTTGGTGTATATAGTATCACAGTGTAATCCCCCCTACCCTCTGTATGGGGGATTAAACTCCCAACCACACATTTGCCAGGCAGGCGTTTATGCCACTGAGCTAAACCTCTGGCCCAGCACAATCTTTTTTACCTCCTCATCCTCTTCTTTTGCTCTACCCTTAAAACTGCTTCCCATACACGAAGGATCTATCTTCAAGTTTCATATCATCTGTCTTTTATTTTGTTTTTTAAATTATTTGTAGTTTGGGTTTCTCATAGAAGAAAAAAGACATACAATATTTATTTCTGTATCTGGTTTTATTTCACTTAGCATTCTGGTCTCGAGGTACATCCATTTCCCTCCCAGTGACTTAGATTTATCCTGTATGTGTGAGGGGTACTCCAGAGTGTATATATACACATTTTCTTTACTCTGTTCATCTATTGATGAACATATACACTATTTTCACAAGATTTATTGTGAGCTGTTACAACTATTTTTAATTCATGACAAGAACACAATAAATGTTAGCAATACTGTTACAACTATTATTATTATTGAATAATAAAGTATCATATTAGCATGAATAAAATATAGAGTAAGACTTTCATTCATCAGCATGGTTTTTATTCTTTATCAATTCAAGTGAGAATTGCATGAGTAAATAAATCATGTAAATGAGATAATACATGTAATCTACTAATATCCACAAATGGCTAATGAGTAGCTGTGTAGCTTTACTATCTACAGCAATCCAAATTGAAAAGAAGACCATTTTTCTCTAGCAGTATCTTCAGAGATTGTAAGTAGCCTCAAAGTGCACCTTAGGTCAAACACTAGCTGTTTCTGGAAATCAGAAATTCACAGTGAACATTTCAAAAGCTTTCTTCTGTTCTGACCATGGTGCCCATGAACTTGCTCTTCAATCTTGCCTACAGGGACAGATGTTAAAATTTAGCAGCATGGCTCCAGATTTAGACCGTCTCAATGAACTGGGGTATAGGTTGCCCCTGAATGACAAGGAAATCAAGAGGATGCAGAATCTGAACTGTCTCTGGTCTCTCACCTCCTCTCAGACTACAGAAAGATTTAGGTAAGCAAGAGAGGCTTTGATCCCTCCAATTATCTTCATTTATTTTCTGCTGCCGTAACAAAATGTTACTGATGAAGTGGCTTACAAAGAAAAAAAGAAGCTGATGTTCTCGTGGTTCCGGAGTCTGGGGAGCCCAAAGTTAAGAAGTAAGGGGTTTGGTTGTTGGGTGAGGGCTGCTGCCCACTTGCATGAGGGTCTTTTCTTGCTGCATCCTAGGGGAGGGGGAGCCCACCAAGTCCCCATATAGAAGAAGGCCAAAGGCCAGAGAGCTGGAGGCTGCAGGAAGATTTTTTAGAAAGGGCTTTAATTCCATTTATCAAGGGAAGCTCTCATGGTCGTTCTTTCTCTCTCTCTCTCTCTCTCTCTCTCTCTCTCTCTCTCTCTCTGTTTGGCAGTAATGTAGTTTGAACTAAGACATGATCAATCTCTCCCTGGTTCTTTCACAAATTTTGTATTGAGACAAGGTCTTGCTAAAATGCTCAGACTGTCCTCAAATTTGCAATCTTTCTACCTCATCCTCCCAAGTAGGTGGGATTATATTGTTGTACAAGTGCACTGACCCAATCACCTCTTTTAAATTCTACTTCAGTATTGGTCATTAAGTTTCAACACCTAAATTTTGGAGCAGACACATTCAAACCACAGCACTAGTACATCATTATAGTACAAGTTCATTATTTGTATATATTTATAAATTCTAGGTCTTTCTATGAATACTCAGAGTTGAACTAGAAATGGAAAATATAAATCACAATATAACTTCTCATATTTAGAAAAAAACTTTGGGGGCCAGGAATTTAGCTCAGTGGCATAAATTCCTGCATGGCAAGTGCTAGGTTGTAAGTTCGATCCCCAGTACAAAAAAAAATTTTAATTTTTACTTTTTTCAAGTTCCTTTTCTTTTTAATTTTTGCCACCTAACATGCCATCACCTGAAAGCTTTGTGGTGATTCCATTAGAATTAGAGGCAGAGAGTATTTAACCTAATTTTATATGCTAGAGATATAATCACATAAGCAAACTAATTGTTATCCCTTGCTCTTCATTGTATCAGTAAGTTGCAGTCATTTTTGCTACAACATCAGACTTTCTTGGAAAAATGTGAGACATGGATGGAATTCCTGATACAAACGGAGCAAAAGTTAGCAGTGGAGATTTCAGGCAATTATCAGCATCTTTTGGAACAGCAGAGAGCACATGAGGTAAGTTGTGCTGGTAGCTCCGAGGATTACAAAAATGTTCCAGGCCTTTGGGAGGTGCTAAAATATGGTATATGGGAAAAGCAAAATACTGATCAAATGAATATATTGTTTCAACTTTCTTAAGCTTGAGATTTTGATATCTTGATTACAAAACTGTGCCCAGTTCCCTGCCCTATCATTATTTATAGGCATGTGTCAGGCATCCATACTTTGCAATGTATAGTGCCAGAATTGTCCTTAAAAGCCACCTCCTGTTAGGGCGTGGGTAAGAGGAAAGCTGGAAAGAGTACAGGTGCAGGAGGCTAGACAATTTCCAAAATGCGTTGTAACCTACAGTAATATTACCAAGGCTAATTGCTTCAGAAACTGTGCTCTGATCAAATGTAATCAAATGTAATTATTTGTTCTTTTAAAAATATATATGAATTTTTAGCCAGACATAGTCTAATATGCCCCTAATCCCAACACATTGGGAGGTTGAGGCACAAAGATGACAAGTTGAAACCTAGCCTGGGCAACTTAGTGACTTAGACCCTGTCTCAAAATTTTAAAGATCTGTCTGGGGATACAGCTCAGGGTAAAGGCCCTCGGTTGAATCCGAATACTACAAAAAAAAGAAAAGCGAGTAAGAATTTTATGCAAGGAAATCAAGCTATCAGGTCTCCAAGTGTGCCTCTTGATCAAACTACATTAAAATTATTTCTCAAGAAACACAGAGAACACAGTATACAAAAAGTAAATTAACTTGCTAACTCTTTGTCTCTGTTTTGCTATATATTAGCATAGCTAGGTTGCTGTACATGTTTATGAAATGCACACAGAGGTCTAAAGCTTATGTTCAACTAAGAAAAAAGATCAAAACTTGAGAATGTAATTAATTTTAAAACATTTTGCTGAAATTTTAGCAATACAGAATTTAAACATGTGAAAGATATTTTTTAAATTCAGTTTTGCTGAATTGAGAAATGACAAAATAAAAGTCATAGATCAGAACTACAAGAAGATGTCATTTCACACACACTAGGATTACTACTGCGAGAAAGACAGCAATGGGAGGGTGGAGGATCCTGGAACCCACATATGTTGCTGAAGAGAAGATGGTGAAGCTACCTTAGAAAACAGTTCGATAGTTCCCCAAAATATTAGACGGACAGTTACTCTAACTGTCTGGTAATTCCACTTCTAAGTATTTCATCAAGAGAAATGAAAATGTCTCCACCCAAAAACTTGTATGACTATGTTGTTCACAATGAAATTATTAAGTGGAAGCAACGCTAATATCCATCAATTAGTAAATGGGTAAATAAAATGTGCCATACGAGCCATACAAAAGAATCAGTTGCTGATGCGTATTGTAAGGTAGAGAAAACTTGAAAACATTATGTCAAGTGGAAAAACTGGCCACAAAAGACCATTATTGCATAATTCCTTTATATAAAATGTTCACAATAAGCCATGCATAAAAGAAATATGAACTAAATTTAGGGTCACTTAGGCTAGAAGTTGGGAGGAAATGGGAAATAATGGCTGATGAGTATGGGGTTGCTGCTTGAGGGGAGGAAAATGTTCTAAAATTGAATGTAATATTGTTTGAACAAATCCGAAATATAATAACTATCAAATTGGACACTTAGAATGTGTTTGCTGAATTATGTCTCAACAAGCTGTTTGACAAAATAACAAAAATAATTTGAAAGCCCTTTCTATTGTTTTATTAGTGAAGTAATTTTATTAAATAAAATGAAAAAATAGTGAGTTCAAAAAGACTAGAACACAAATCGTACATTAACTTGCCTTATTGTGTGCTTTCCGGAAAAAAAAGAAGAAAACTTAAGTTTACTTTTAGTCATTTAGTTTTAGTAAACCAAAAACTAAACTATATCTTCAAGCCTATCTTAATTGATTGTTTAAAGATAAATTATTACTACATTACAAGATTTCACACATACTCTGTTTTAACTGGAGATACTTTTTATACTCTTGCTAAAACCAGAATATTTGGAAAGTCATGAGAGAATTGATCACTAAATTAGGAACTATAAAGTATATTCTTCTCTTTTGAAATTACAGTTGTTTCAAGCTGAGATGTTCAGTCGTCAGCAGATTTTGCATTCAATCATTATTGATGGGCAACGTCTTCTAGAACAAGGTCAAGTTGATGACAGGTAGGATCTTTGATAAATTATTATGAAGAAAGGTTCCAGTAAATTAGTCATTTTCTTTTTAATGAGCAGAGTTGAGGGCATATATCCAATCTTCCTAAGGCAATTGTACTATCATGGAGTCTCAGTAATTGAAGGAAAGCTTGTCTGAAACTCTGAAATGAGTGTGTATTGAATCCTTTTAGAGAACTGCTATTATGTGATATGAAGGACATGGAGTAATTGGAAATCACCTAGCCAACCTCCACTACTCATCTGTAGGGACTAGAATTAATGAATAGATCAGAATGAATTGTATCAATGGTTTGTAAACAGATGTTTCTAATATTCTTATAACAATTACAGAAATTTTGTTCCCAAAAGAAGCCTACCTATCACTAGTCCATCTCTCCTCCTGAGAGATGAAAAACCTGAGACCTACAAATGTGAACTGATTTGACCAAGGTCACCTAAGTAAATAGCAGCAGAATTAGGTTTTGCGCTCCTGTGTCTGATTTGTAGTCAACACTGGAATTATACCAGCTAATTTCCTTATGTCCCATGTTTGAAAATGATTTATGACCTTAAACCAGGTTGTATTCACCCTAAAATCTCGCTTGATTTTCATTTACATAGTAAATAAACTCAGAAGTAAAAATCTAGCTTTTCTTCAGATTTATTGCATATGAATTGGAAATTTCATATAATATTTGCATTTCCTAAAAATAATATTTGCTTAAACTCATCTATTTTCCATGGTGCCGTTTGGGTAATTAACTTCATTCATTTTATTACGTATTTACATCTTTCTCATATGTAGGAGCAGTACTTATGATTAACTTATAGTCTTTTTAAAAAATTAGAAACTAAATTATTTTTATTGAGAGCTTTGTTTTTAATGTTTGGAAGTCATTTCAGTTTTAAGTGGATATTTCTTTGGAAGTACATGAAAGATTTGCATGGTTAAGATTGGAACCACAAAATGTGATACTGTATTTATTCTATTCTATGCAAGCCAAACTTAAATGTGAGCTTTACTGATAATTTAAGACCTTCAAAATAAAACAAATTCAAGTGCAATTAGCTTTTATCTTTTGCTTATCATTCCTTGGCCAACTCTATAACAATATTATAAACAACCAAGTAATTAAGTAAAATAAAAATCAAAATTCCTATATAAACCAACATCTATTAAATTTTTAAATGCTAACATTTAGGAGAAAGAGATGAAGATGAGAGAGTTGGATCTGAGGATAAAGAATTTTGAAGTTTGCACAGGAGAAAGAAAAGAAGAAAAATCAGATTGCAGCCTGTTTATAATAGGAGGGTTCCAGATGAGAAATGCATTTGTATCCTAAAACCTAGTTTGTGAGTTTTGTTTTTCAGAGCATCATTCTCAGCACTGAGATGTCATGTGTTTGTAGTTTTTTACATTGGCAAGTAGACAAAAACAATCTGGTTATACATTGTGGAGGCAAGGCATTGGAGAGATCGTGGATAATGACATGTTGTAAAAAAGTAACATTCTCTGGGGAAGTCTTGAGTGTAGGGATTATGCATTTCTGGGTTGACACATAACTTTTAAGCAAGTATCATAAAGCAAATTCAGTTTTGGAGTATGCAATGGAACCTCAGTTCATGAACTCAATTCATTCCATGATTCTGGGGAATATGGACACGGTTGTGTTCATCACTCAATGTGAAGTTTGCAAATGGAAGCGTAATTTTGCTCAACACTTCTATTTGTGAACAATTCATGAACCAACATATACTGTAGTTAGGTAAATAGGTAAGTAGGTAGGTAAATAGATAGATAGATAGATAGATAGATAGATAGATAGATAGTTAGTTGATAGGTAAGACTTTCCTTTATAAAAGTTATTAAAATACAGCTAGTTGTCTTAGCAACCTAATTTTATTTTATTTATTTAATTAATTAATTATTTTAATTTTGGTACTGGGAATTGAACTCAGCAGCCTAATTTTAAAATGAAAGAGCATAGGAAATTTTTGCTAGGATATACTCAGCACATTTTATTTTTAATATTGGCATTGTTAGCTTTCACTGTGTATGCATCATTTTTTTGAGCTGAATCATAGATTTTTGGAACTAAGAGCACATCTGGTTATAAAGTCAAAGTTCACAGTGGCCTAAAATAATAAGTGTCAATAACATAGAAGACCAGAAAAATAAATCAGTTCAATTTGACACTACCCCCAAAAGAGAGAATATATTTGAGGAAGTAAAAGCAAATACAATAGAGAAGGCAACTAATTTGTCACTGTAGTATTTAAATATGTAGATAACACTGGTGGCTACAAAGAACTCATTTGAACAAATGTGTATGAACCAGTTGTGAGGCACAATTTAAATGATAAATAAAAATATATTATTACAAATATTTTTAAAGTAAAAAATACAGAGGTAGAAAAAAAGATATTCAAGAATCCTAAGGTTTTTTTTTTTTGCCTAACATTGAGAATGTTCAAGAAAAATTCACTATCTTCAAGTATATGAATGACCTTTATACAGATCAAGATGACTGGATCATTTTCATTTTCCTAAGAACAAAGTGAAATTAGCCTAAAATGAAGAAGAGACAAGTGAGACTAATATGTGGAATAATTTGCTAAAAAATTAGAGGTATTGATTATAAGAGAATACCAAGAACATTTACAAATTACAATTTTTAAAAATCTTTTTAAAAATAATGTCATATGGTTTAAGTGGCCTATGATTCTTGCTGGCATAACAGTTCTGTCCATCCAAAGTGCCTTTGATTCTAGTTGAAGATAAGAGTTTATAAATATGCTTTGTCCAAAGTGCTTTCCAGTCACAGGGCATACAAGAGGCTGTCACAGATGCACTACATTGCGCTTGGGCTTTGGAACTCCTCTCATTTTTGCTCTTTGTTCCTCGCATGCACTCAGGAAAAGGTCAGTGACAATGACCATGTCAGACATTTACGTCCAACCTACACTGAGACATGAGACACTCACCATTTGCAAACAAATGGTAGTTTAATCTTTGAAAACTAGTTGCAGTAGACCCAACAGCAGATCCTGGCATAGTATTTGAAATCGTTTGCCTTTGATCACTTCTTAGGCAGGGCTTATGGTCATAAAAAATGTAAATATTAGCTGATTATGTTACTACAGCCAAGATGACAGTTTTTCACCATGTAATTATGTCTTCCCCAGGGATGAGTTCAACTTGAAATTGACCCTCCTTAGCAATCAATGGCAGGGTGTGATTCGCAGGGCCCAGCAGAGGCGAGGGATCATTGACAGCCAGATTCGCCAGTGGCAGCGCTATAGAGCGATGGCAGAAAAGCTGCGTAAATGGCTGGTGGAAGTGTCCTACCTACCCATGAATGGTCTTGGAAGTGTCCCTGTACCATTGCAACAAGTGAGGACCCTCTTCGATGAAGTACAGGTAAGAAAGCACACCGTTCTCAATCCTCTTCTGCACCCTTGATCTCAGTTTAAGTTCTCCAAAGTACTCTGAAATGACATTGAAATTAGGAATAACACTGTTATTCCGTGTCAACCAAATATGTAAAGTGATTGCACTGCAAATCCTGTATTAAAAGGGGGAATTAGAATAAAACCCAGTCTCTTCCAAAGACTCCATCACTTTATGCATCAAGGCCCCAGCAGCTTCTTCCAACCCAGCATGGACTGAAAAGGGAATGGACAACGGAAAGATGACTTTGTGTTGATTATGTATATTTAAGTCATGGGCAATTTAAACATGTCATTTAAGCACTCTAGAGAAGGGAAAATACTTAGTCCTCAAGCTCTTTGACCCTTACTTTGATCAGCCTGGAAACTGGGGTTCCAGTGTCTGAGACAGACACTTCCTAGTGCTCTCATGAGTCCCTGCCAGTATATTCTGTGGGCTCTACCTCCTTGAAAACCCATTGTTCTTGGATTCTTTTGTCCTCCAACCTTCTCTGGGAAAACTCATCTATAGACATGGCCTCAACTATCTGCAAGTAGCAGATGAGAGGCAAATTGGTATTTTGGTCACAAGTCTGTGCTGAGGTTCAATTCCTCTATCCAACCACCTTTTAGATTTGTGTTTATGTGAATTGCAAATGTAAGGAATCCTGTGTATCCTCATGGAGGCTGTGGTCTCTATACCAAATACTCCATTTTCTGTGTCGCCAGTCCAAGGAAATATTATCACTATCTATCTGATCCATTGGTCCAGAATCCCAGAGGCACTATAGAACTGTGACCTTCTTTGCCCTTCCCCACAGCTAATCTGCTTCAAGTCTCCATCCCTGTGGCCAAGTATTAAGTAAGAAACATGATTTCCTGCCTGGACAGGCCGTACCTTCCAAATCTGTCTTAACATGTCCAACACATGCCCTTCATCCATTCCACTTTCTACCCCACTGCTGTGTGCTTTTCCTAAAACTTCAGTCTCAATGCATCACTTCTTTGTTTAATATTTTTCCATTAACCTCAATTGTTTGCATTATAAAAACTAAAATTTTCATGCAAAATGTGGTCTTGCCTCATTTTCCGTCACTCGCCTTTATGCATCCCATGTCCCAGCCCCTGGAAACTATGTCCTGTTTCCTGAATTCTTCATGCTTGGCTTGCGCAGCGAATGTGCCCACCCTCCTTCTCTGTGGGAAGGTGTTCTTTCCTCTATCCCTGGTCTTGCTTGTCGTCACTTCTTGACCAGGTTGCATTCACATGACTTTCAGTCAGGCTTTCTTGCTTTGAGGAAAGCATCCTTGTGCCCCTCATTACCATCCTGGGCCACATGTCCCTCTGTACTCCCCAACCATCTGTATTATAGAGAAGATTTCATATTGCAGCACGGCTGTATCTAACCTGAGAGCAGAAAGGAAGAGTCTACCCAGTGCACTTTGCTCTGATCCATGTAGCTCATTCATACAAAGTCTCAGTTCAGGAAATGCCTCCTGGGTGAAAGAGGACGTGCTGTGCACAGTAACTAACATATAGGGTCATTTAAAAATACTAACAGGGAAATGGTAAAGGAAAACTGAAAGAGTAAAGAGCTGCTTCCTTTCAGTTCAAGGAAAAAGTATTCCTGCGGCAGCAGGGCAGCTACATTCTGACCGTGGAGGCCGGCAAGCAGCTCCTGCTCTCCACGGACAGCGCAGCTGAGGCCGCCTTGCAGGCAGAACTCACTGAAATCCAAGAGAAATGGAAATCCGCCAGCCTACATCTGGAGGAGCAAAAGAAAAAACTGGCCTTCTTGTTGAAAGTAAGTTCAGTTAACAGGGCCTTTTTAATAGTTGTACTATTTTCTCCCATTGTTTTTCTGCGAATCAAATCAGGCAAGATCACTGAGTAATACTCTGTACTATTTTGATCTTCCGTGTTTTATTAGACCTTGTCCTATCTTGCATGACTGGCAAAGTTTCCCAATTTTCAGCACTTCATCTTTTAGGAAAATTCTCCAGCAAAGTAATTTAAACTCTAATCAGACTATCCAAGCTATGAATTCTGATTAATGGCCTGTGCTAAGCCTCAGCCATGTGATGACTTTATAAAGCAAGACAGAAATTCAAAGAGTAAATTCCACTCCTTAACCTAAGACTCTAAAATGGTTTTCAAGATTGTTATCTTGTATTTTATAGCAGGGAAAATCCAGCTTTAAAAGATACTCTCAATTGGCATCTTTTTATCCAAACAGGTTGCTGTGTGATAAAATTTCCAGAACTTACATAAAACCCTTAGTTGGATACAGATTACATAATGATCACACAGTAAGTTTAAGGAAATTTAGATTTATCCACACCTCCCACAAGGAGTCTTTCTCCCTCACTGTACAATCCTGCATAAGTAAATAGGCAATTTTAAAAGGGCATGAGCCCCAAGTTCAGATAAGCCCAAGTTAACATAGTAGATGGCGGGGGAACTCAGTAATAGGGCACTTGCTGAACATGCACAAAGCTCTGGGTTCAATCAACAGTACTGCAAAGAAAGAAAGAGAGAAAAAAGAAAAGAAATCTATGTAACCTGCTAATGCAACCTATCTCAATGTCAGTTTTCACATCTTTAGAGTGGGTATAATTCTACTCCCTATATGTATTGTGGGGTAAGTGACACATATTGAACACTAAATAATTGGTAGTGATTCTCTTGGTTGAAGTTACCGTTATTTTAAAAAGTAAACATAGTAAATGATGTTTTTATTTACATTCAAAATCAGTGCTTGAACGAGATTGTTAATTGTGGTTTATCTCTTGTTTGGATCAAAGGTAATACATAACTAAAGTTAATGTAACACATTTTGCTTCTGTTATTAAAGGCATACTTATCCACTGGGCTCATGCTACTGAATGTGATTTAATAATATATTACCTTCCAGGTAGAAAACATTTACAAATTCCACTAAACATCTGGAAAACACTATTATTTGCATACAGCACAGTTCACCAATAATCTAATATGCCTGATTGGTTTTTTCTTCTCTTTGTGTCAGGAAAGGATTTAAAATGTTGCAAGTTATTCTGTGGCAAACATGTTAATCATATATTTTTCTTTGTGATGTGTTTTTTGGAGCTATTCCCAAGACTTAATAAGGCGTGATGTCTGAGTCACTCCATTTTTTTTGTTTTATTTCTGTGTTCGCGTATAAAACATCAGCTTTGATAGATGTTTGCAGACCATGACATGGAGCTATTTCCTTATGATTCATGCAGTAAAAAGACTTGATTATAGCTTCACAATCCAAGTTATCTTTGGAAAAGGAAATCCTTAGCCTTCTTTTGTTAAAAGTTTATTTTATTTAGAGTATCTTGTTTCCCTAAGAAAGTATGAATCTAAATGTGTATATAGCTTGATTTTATTGTGTCCTTTCTCTACAGCTATAATCCTTATCTATTTTTAGCTCTTAACCTAATCCTTTGAGTACACATGCCAAAAATCATCGTTATAATTCCATATCTTGTTCTCCTGTTTCATTAACATCTCTTAATTTTGTCATAAAAAATAAGTAGCAGACCTTATCTGTGTCAGATCCGTGAACAGTTTTTGACTACATCTTGATAGGTTTCAGGGCATGTGCTGACTTAATTGAGAATGTTGCATGGTTTAATCAGAAAAAGGATCTTTTTGTCTACCCTCATTGTGCTGAGCGTTGGTGTAGCTGAGGAAGACAGATACCATACAATAAAGGGGACTGGCTCCAAGTCTGCAAAAGACAGAAAAAAAGGTGTTGCCTTTTGGTTTGGGGGCTTTTGTTTGTTTATTCGCTTCTGTTCATTAGGAAGTAGGGCTGTGATCATGCCTTTTACGAAATTCTGGAGAGGTTTAAAGAAATGAGAATTTGGGACCAAATTCTCAGTTCATTTACAAAACAAAGGCAACTTTGAGTGGAGGGATCTTACAACAGGTGACCCTGTACTGAAGAGTCGGTGATGATGAGTGTGAAGGAAAATGCAGCAGGATTTGGCACTGTATTAGCCACTCCATGATTTGAGCTCTCCTAATTGTCTTTCTGTGGAACTCAGTAATTTATCACGTGTAGAGGGTGCCGAGGGACATGGAGACCAGAAATGGACAGTGTGTCAAAATAGGCAGTATTGGAAAAAGCAGGGGAGGCTTGTTTAGATGAATGTAATTTTCAATGCCAGTAACATACAGACACGAGTTAATTTATCAAGTTGCTATAAAGACCCAACCTCCATATGGTTCCTTTCATTTTCTTTTACTTTCTAATTTCAAAAGAAACATAATGCATCCCAGGCATAAATTCAGGTAATAAAGGGAGTACATAGAATAAAAAGGGAAGCTTCCCTTGTACTGCCCTCCACATTATATGCCCTTCTCCGGAGGTAACCAGAATTCCCAGTTGGATGTGTAACCTTTCCAAACAGAGCCACAGGCACATGCTCCGTCCCTGTGAGCACGTGCAGACCACCACATCCGTGCAGCTGCTCCTGCTGCTCACCCTGCTGTCTCCGGAGCGCTTACCGCACTGTGCATGCAAGATGCGTATATGTCTTAATGGCACATTAGATCTCTGTTTCAGCTTCTTTTTGGGATGAGTTTGCTATGCTAGATACTTAACCCTTCGTAAGCTTTAGCACTGACAAGACAGAGTGGCAAAGCCATTGAGCGTCACCCTCAAGTGTTTCCACTCCTGTGATAACTCAGACCTACTGGCTGTGTTGCTTATATATTAAGTTGAATCACAGTCAGGGTTATCTTTTTACATGCAAATCTCCCAATCCTTTTCACTTATTCATGTGTGTTTTCATCTTGAAAGATAGTCTATATTGTCTTTTCACATTCCCCTGTATAGACACCGAGTGCATTTATAAGTGAGGCTGGGGAAGAGGCAAAGTACTAAGCTGATACACCCACCTCTGCACATAGATTTGCACTCCGATAACATTTTTGAATAACTATGATTCTCTGAGCATTGTGTTTGGTGCACTACTTATTTTGACCATCCAATAATTATAGAGTTGGTATTATTTCCGTCTTCATAGGGAAAACTGAGACATAGAGGATCATATGCTTATTAAAGCCACATAGTTAAATAGTAACAGAGTTCAATTTGAGCTGAACTCTTCCTATGTCCCAAGCATGCTGCCACCCTCTCAGTGGGTGTAGACACATCCTAATATTCATCAGTGTAACTTTAATTCTTTCTCTGGCTATTAAAAAGAGTAATTTATTGTCATATTTTAAAAAATGTTTCTTTTGTTTTTGTTCTTTCTCATTTTATGCCAAAAGGAAAGGAAGGAAGGAAGGAAGGAAGGAAGGAAGGAAGGAAGGAAGGAAGGAAGGAAGGAAGGAAGGAAGAGAGGGAGGGAGGGAGAGAGGGAAGGAGGGAGGGAGAGCGGGAGAAGAAGAGGAAAAGGAGGAGAAGAGAGGAGAGGAGAGGAGAGGAGAGGAGAGGAGAGGAGAGGAGAGGAGAGGAGAGGAGAGGAGAGGAGAGGAGAGGAGAGAGGAGAAGAAAAGACAGAGAGAGAGAGATCCATGCAATTTTTTTCTCTTCTATGATAGGATTGGGAAAAATGTGAGAAAGGAGTAGCTGATTCTCTGGAGAAGCTAAAAAATTTCAAAAGGAAGCTTTCTCAACCTCTACCAGATCACCATGAGGAACTCCATGCAGAGCAGATGCGGTGCAAGGTAAGGGACAGAGTGGAGGCGTCCTCACGCCCTCATCACCTGTCTGTGTGCCTCTGCTGGGACAGTGCCTGTGAAAGCATAATCCAGCAAACCCATGTGACTGTCTACTGGTAGACACAGGATCCTAAGGGTTACAACAGACAGCTTTTGGGTGAAATTGCTTTGCTGATTCATTACATTGATAAAACTATAGTCTAGTTTATGGATCACCCAGAGGAAGTAAATGAAAATTTAAAGTGCAGCATAAAATATACTTAAAAGCTGAGACAAAAGAAATAAAAGCATGCACACTGGGAGTTATTCTATCAGAAGAGTCACATTTACAAATCAGAATAACATTTGGCAGCCTGATAGAAGAATCTGCCTGTAGTAGCCCTTGGGGAACATGCCCTGCCCATCAGCCCTATCTGCAAAGATAGCAGGAAAAATAGCTGATCTCAGTTGAACACATGGTGTCACCAAATCCTTAAATTACTCAGGACTGTGGCTACTTAAAGATTATAATCAGTGTGTCTAAGCATACTTGGAAGCAAATCGGTGCTAATACTGACCACTCCCTGCATTCTGAGGTCAGGATGCCCAAATGGATTTAGTAGCTGTAGGATTTATTATTGTGTTCATACCTATGTAGCCAAGTAGAGACCTGACCAGCAGTCAGGTGAGCAAAGTACCTTTATAAATGGTTTTCTTTCAAATTGTACATCTTTGTAGTCCCTAATCATTTACTACTATAGTGTTAACTCTGGTTAAAATGTTATGCTTACTTAAATGTCCTCGATTTAACCAAAAGTTCTCTGCTTTACCTTGACTAAGAAGTTATAAGTATTTAAAAGAGAGATACTGTCAGCAAAATCCTAGACATTGTGAAAAACATAGATATGAGAATTTTTCCTTTAGTACTAAAATTCAAAGATAATTTTTGAAACTTGAAAAAAAGCCAAGTTAGGAAAAATGAAAAAAAAGGATATATAATATATCGTGGATGGTGAGTGAAATTTTATGTGAAGGTTAAAAAGTTTATGTTAGCCTATGATCATAAATTTAGAAGAAAAATATTAGAAAAAATATTCTGAAAAAGAGGAAGGGGATTTATCAGTCTCCGTCCTTGTGCTGGTAACTATACCAGTATTGTTTTAGTGGATGACATTCACATGCACTCATAAGGACTTTCTGTTACATTCTTTTTGCAGAAGAGAGAACTAGAGCTTCTAGAGTTTGAGTTTAAGAGTATAACTCTTTTCAGAGTTAGCAATTGTCAGTGTTGCCTGAATCTAAAATTTATATTTTAAACATGTCCACTTACCTAGTTGACAGTTTGAGCCAGTCGGTTTCTGGTTACAGTTTTTGTCTTTTTTAATCCATACATCAAAAATGATGTTTGAGCTAGGGGTAGAATTTAGTACAATAATAGGAAAATCTCTACATTGTTATAACAACTTTGTATCTCTAAATATAAACAAAAATATTGCATTTTAATCCACCTGGATGGTGGTCTTTTAGCCAGATACTATAACCATGGGACCTCATTTTTCATGTCCCAGAATACTTGACAATTACCCTGTTTTTCAGTTTGTAGATTAAAAGAAGGCATTTCCATCTAGGTCTCTGCCACTCTTCCCCAAACCACCCTTATCAGCAAAACAAAGTAATTACCTAGGAAATTCAGGATAAAGCCTTGTTTACCTAAATTGCCCGGAAAGTTAGCTGCAAACAGTACCTTTAATTACTTTTGCCCTTAGAAATTTGTCTCCTGTGTGAAGAGACAAAAGGAGATGGAATAAACCCTGCAAAATTCTCTATTCATACATTAAATTAGCTGGAATCTAAAAACAACAGTTGGCAGAGAATAAAAGTTGCACAAATTGCAAAACTGGTCAAAGCATTGTAAAAACTAATGTCGACTCATTTGAATATTGTTAAAGGTGATTTTTTTCTCAAATCACTTTCCACACAAAATCTTTTTTCTCTTAACTTAAATCTCTGATAGTGCAGAAAATGTAGTCAATTATTTTAAATTTAATAGTAACAGTACTAAATCACTATTACACATATATATCACCAAATGTAGCAATTCATTATTTGAAAATGCAAGTTAAAGTTTGGAAATTTTTCTTTAAAATATTCATTACTGTGATTGCTAACTAAACAAAAAGAAAAGAATAGGCATAAATATGTTTAAGATAAAGAAGATAATTCAGCAATGAAACTTTAGTTCAGGAAAAACCATCAACAAAAAGATCAGTGAGATGACAAATAAATGGTAGGGGAGATTCTGCAAGCCGCCCCTCTCATTTCATTAGAAGGCTTTGATATTTATCAGATTAGATGGGAAACAAATAAAGCAGATAACAAGTTAGGTGCTCAAATAGAGTGGGATAGAAAGAGAATTGTATCCAGAGGGAATTTCAAAAACCCCTGTGAAGTTGTTCACAGTCTATGTGCATGAAGATTCAGGATTCTTTTTTAAATTTGAATATAGGAATTAGAAAATGCAGTTGGGAGCTGGACAGATGACTTAACAGAGCTGACACTGCTGAGGGGGACCCTCGCCGCCTACATCAGTGCCGATGACATCTCCATCCTTAACGAACGCATAGAGCTTCTGCAGAGGCAGTGGGAAGAGCTGTGCCACCAGGTAAGACAAGTTCTGAGCCTGGAAATGCTCATGAGGATGGAAACTGGAAAGTGACAGACTGACCCATGTTTAGACGCACCCCATAACTCATACTGCCTTTGTGGGCAAAGGAAAAATCTTGGGGTTTTTTTCAGCTTATTTCAGATTAAGACACCTGTATCTTAACATTGTATTTTGGATGCATCCACACTGGATTCTTTTCCTTTCTCTTTCACAGGCTGCTATAATATTTTTAAGAGGAAACACATTGGTGTGTCTCACAGGTGTGGTTTTTCGCTAAGTAGATATCGGTGGTGTTTTCAATAAGCATGCAAAGAAATACTGTTTGATTTGAACTTGTAACTATGTGGTTTTGTACAGGGAACCACTATTGCTCCTCTTGACTCACCATGTCTTTTTCCTAGTTATTCACAGTTGTTCAACATTGTTAACCATAGTTTTTTGGTTTATTAAGTATCTTTTTGTATGCACAATATCTTAGAAGAGAGCCTATATCAGGCTTTGAGTATTCTAAAATTACTGAAAAAAAATATAATGTACCCTGTCCTTTGCGGGAATGACTTAAAAATGAAATCCTTATAACAATAGTTGAATGAGTTGCCACTGACTTTTTGCAATGTATTGATCAGTTTTGCAATTTATGCAACTCTTGTTCTTCACCAACCATTGTTTTTGAATTTCAGATAATTTGATGTACAAAGAGAATTTCATAGGATTTATTCCCTTTCTTTTTGTCTCTTAACACAGGAGACAAATTTCCCAAAGCAAACTTGAAAGTGAAATAAGGCAGTAAGAAGGCTTCCTAGACAAAGAAAACTATGAGTAGGAAAGCATAACATACAATGAAAACAGAATCATGTATTAAGTTATTTTATAATGTTGTAAAGGAAAGATCTTACCGTGATATATAAGTGGGACATATTTAGTGGGTACCAATAATGGCAAATCATCACAGCATTGTTCATTACCCATGTAAACTGTGCATCCAGCTTTCTTAATTTTGAATTAAGAAATTAATCAGCATACTAGATAAAAGGAAGTTAGCCAAGATCCATTTCTGTAGCTAACTGGTGCCTACAAAGACTTAAGCAAGATAGCACTCAGAACCTGGCTTTTGTTTCCTTAACAAACCTACATGACCGTCCCTACTCAAGACCCTTCCTAGCTGGGCCGACAGCCTCTTCCCTCGTGATTTCCTGACACATGTTCTTTCCTACCACCTCTTGCTTTTGAAACACTGTGCTTCCAGTATTTGCTTGGCCCTGAGAATTCCCCCTCTCCTTTTCAGTCTGTACCATCATGTGGCACACTACTATTCTTTTTTTGAATGCTTATGATCTGATTCCAAGAGTACAAGTCCATTCAGATACAAAGACCATTTTCTTGTATGGCCATTGCCTAGAACAGCTAAATGTTTAATATGTGTTGTTAATTATTAAAACCAATACATCACTGTAATGTCTTTCTACATATATTTCTCTAAGGAAAAAATAGTAATGATATTTTTAGTGTTTTAGAGGTTAAGAGGATTATTATTGTTAAATACTCTTTAATCGGTAAAACTTGTCATATAACAGTGCCAAGAAAGTATTCTTATTACTGATTCTTAAACGTGTATTATAAAACTGCCCAGTAAATTTAGATACACATAGGAATGGTCTGTATGAAAGCACACTTTGGAAGTTACTATTGATTATAATACTCTGTGACGAATTACTGCCTTGCACCTATGAAAAGACTGAGCAGACAGAGGAAGCTGATAGAATATACAGTGTTTCTAGACTCCTTCTACAAAAGCTCAAGTGTCCTAAGGAGAGAAGCTAAGGCACACACACACCCCATACTATTTCAGTGTATATTAAATTATTTAAAACCAGTGAGAGTTTAGCCATGGGTTTGGCTGAGGTACCAATATAATCCTCAGTATAATTCTCAAGAAGAGATGTAGACCAGTGTCTAGTTCTTGAGCAGTTTCCGGTGGACTTGTATCGAGTATGAAACCACAACAGGAAGTGAACCTGTGCCCACTTTTCACTGTAAAAGTCAAAAGCTTCAGTCGAATACAGCGTTATCCTGCTAAGGAGCAAGTAGCCTGTTGTTTTCCTCCCAAAGTAGTTGATAAGAACTCAGGAGCTGCCGAACCACAGTGAGAACAAGGAGGGTGGGCTGTAAGTACTTGTCACAAAGAAAGGGTAAATGCATCAAAGGATCTTGCTTTCTAATAGACTCCTTACGTGATTTGTTGTGCCTGGGTATGGCCAAGGGTTATGTTTGCTTTTATTTGTTTTACTTTATCAGACTGTGTATAATTCTCTTTGAAATATAGACATATAACATCTCGGAAATTGCTTGTCATTTGGAGTTGTTTTTCAAAGTGTCAGGGTAAAAATACTTGAAGTATAAAAGGATGTACTTCCTGTGCAGCTGTCGCAGACTTTGCAGGATGTGCAGCAGATTTGTGCCCTTAAGAAAATGTAAATATGTGTGGAGCCTAATGAGCAATTTGAGAGTTTTGATGGAATCTAAAGAAAGAGCTAATTTGTATGTATGTAACCTAAATATTAGACACATAAATAAAAACAAACGATAGATCTTGCTTACAATTTTTTTTGTTGAAAAGCTTGTGGTCTGGGTTTGCACCCAGAGCTCATAACCTATCTTTTTCTTCGATTGTCTCTGAACTGAAAGCAAAATTTCATGGTGAGTGATAAGGAATAGAAATATATTTTTCAGGCCTGGAATTTAGCTCAGTGGCATAAGCGCCTACCTGGTGAGTGCGAGGTTGTGAGTTCAATCCCCAGTACCAACGAAAACAAAAAGAAAAGGAGAGAGAGAAACAAGGAAATATAGTTTCAAGTTGCTCATGGGAGATACTGAATCCATGGGTGCAAAGAAGGAAAAAAATGATGCATAATAGTAATACTAACTAACAACAGCAGCACAATGCTGTCTTCAACGTGGACCCATCCCTCTCGTGAGTGATTTTCATGTTTGTGTTGTACTGTCAGCCTGCTGTATCCTAGTATACAGGCGAGACTTGAAACGTGGAAGAACATTATTAAACACAGAAAACATCTGTGTAAGGAATTGAGGAAGAACATAAGATTAATTTGCAAGCCAAGAGATTAAGGCTTAGAGAATGTGAGTAACCTTTCCTTGGTCCTGTCACCACTAAATGACAGAGTCTGACCTTAAGTCTCACCTACATCACGATATTTTATCAAATGTTGTGTGGCCATCTGTACCAAACACTTGAGTTTTGCCAGGCCCACTTTTACTCACCATAAAGAGATGTCTCAAATTTGTCTCTCTCGTTGGCTCTGCAGTAGGGATAATAATGTATAACTCTCAAAGTAACAGACAGCATGTTTATTATGGAGTCCTCCTCCTTGCAAATATTGGTCAGAGTGACAGTAATATTGATTCTTAGGTCCTGACCAACCTTTGAGGGGAAACTGCTCAGAGCCAGAGAAATTCATCCTAAGTCTAAAGGCAGGGGTTTCTAACCTGTTCTGAGAAAACAGTTGCCAACATCAAAATGCAGTTTCCTCTTACAATGCCAATTGAGCTAGAATCTTAACTATAGCAGTCCTGAGGCTGGTGCTATGTGATTAAACCCAAAAAGTCACATCCACCAGAAAGTTCACAATCTTGGCATTCCAGCAGATCTGAGCCACTCTACTTTGAGTCAGAAAGGCGAGGAGTATAAACCATCCTGCTCTTCAGTACCATCCTGTGGGGTTTACAGTAGGTGAAATGTGTTTGCAGAACTTTATAACCTGTATTTTCTTTTTTTTTTTTTTTTAATTTTTTTTTTTTGTCTTTTTCCTTTTTATCGGTACCAGGGATCGAACTCACGACTGCCTGCTTGCAAGGCAGGCGCTTATGCCGCTGAGCTAAATCCCCAGCCCAATAACCTGTATTTTCTTAGCTTTCTTTATTCCTATCAGTCTTTAATCCAGGTGAGTGTACTGCCCTTTGACTGTTCTGTACTATTTTGCCCCAAAGAAAATTTAATGATAAACCAAATTATATTAATGGGAAGATATTTAATGTACTCATCAGTAACACCTTATTCAGTGATTTTTTAATTTTAAATGACTATACTTATTGGAAAAGTATGAGTTTTTTAATGGTGAAATTTCACAAATTCTTCCTATCAGTCTTTAATCCAGGTGAGTGTACTGCCCTTTGACTGTTCTGTACTATTTTGCCCCAAAGAAAATTTAATGATAAACCAAATTATATTAATGGGAAGATATTTAATGTACTCATCAGTAACACCTTATTCAGTGATTTTTTAATTTTAAATGACTATACTTATTGGAAAAGTATGAGTTTTTTAATGGTGAAATTTCACAAATTCTGGTGGCTCACTATATGGAAAGCTCAAATTTCCAGAACTGATCATCAGACAGATAAACAGGAACATGGCTAATTCTAAAATGTTTTCTCAGGTACAGAATCATGAACATTCAGGATTGTATGGGACTGGAAATATTGTCTGCCTAATTATTAACAGAACCAATACTAAAAAGAATTTAAAGCCAGGAAGTGTATCACACTTTTGAAATATTTTCATTTTCATCTAAAAAAAAATTCATTAACTAGGGATTTAGCGTTGCAGCATAAGCACCTGCCTGGCAAACACAAAGTCGCAAGTATGATCACCGACACACACACACACACACACACACACACACACACACACACACACACACAAGAGATTCATTTAAAGTACACAAAAAGTAAATGAATTAATAGATTTTGGAATGAGTGCTTTAAAACAAAATGTGGCAAAAATGTTAATTATTTTAAGGTGTAAGGCATATGTCTGGGTTGGTTAGCTTACTTTAGATTTTTATTTGTTTTGAAGTTTTTCCATTATAAAATGTTGCGACGAGACATGAGATCTAGAAGTATGTGTTAATGCTGTTGAACCAACAGTGGAACGTAGCATTAATAGATCAGTATGGAAGGCCATCTTCGAAGTTTCTTACAACTCATCATTCGGGTTTGCTAATGTGTAGTTTGGCATCACTAGAAACAGTCCTTGTGAACATCACAGAAACAAGAGTATTATGAAATCATAAGCTTAGATTCTTAGCAATTATTCTCTAGACCTAAAGAAACAAGCTCATTGTCTGTGATATATAAAGCACACGTCAAACTCAATAATAAAAAAAAGCTCAACTTTTAATGAGGGAAGGGAATTAACTTGATAGATTCTACAAAGAATATATATGAGGTATGATTTAAAAATTCAATGAACATTTAAATTTTTAAAAATCTTACAGTAGGAGTCACATTAACATTAATCCCCTTCAGAATCCTCCCCCTCACTTGAACAACCTATTCCACCATTCTTTCCACTTTCCAAAGTAGCTTCTTTCCTGAGTGTCTGTAGCTATTCTCTTATGACTGGCTCCATGCTTTGAATGGATGTAAAACACTTGTCTTTTCAAGGCCGTTGATCTTGGGGAAGAGATAAAAGTTGTATGGTGCCACATCCAGTGTGCAGGTAGATAAAGACATACCATAGTTTTCTTACAAGCCTGCTTTTCTGTTGAGTGGCACTCAGTGGCAGCATTTGCCATATTTTTGATCACATCATGTGAAGATATTAAAGAACACTGCCAGAACTGCTTCAGAAAGTGACAAAAATGATGGGGTAAATATATTTGAACTGAGGCATATTTTGAAGGGGATTAATGGCAGTGTGTCTTTTACTGTAATAATGTTTTTAATGTAAACATTTACTATATATTTTGAGCATACCTCTTACAAATGGCCATGAAACATAAATTTGTCAACATCATGTTATGAAAGTCGTTACGAAAATGCCCATCAAAACCACAGTAAGACAGCACGACATTCTCACTAGCATGGCCGTAACCAAAAAAAAAAAAAAAAAAAAAAAAAAAAGCAATAATAAGTACAGAAAAGGGTGAAGAAAAATTGAACTGCACTGCTGGTGAAATTGTAAGATGCTGCTACTGTTTGGAAAACATCTATAATCCAGCAGCTATACTTCTAGGTATATATCGAGAAATGAAACCATGTCCATTTGTGCCTGTAGGTTTGTAACCACATTATTCATAGTATACCAAAATCAGATGGCCAGTTCTGTATTTCAGGCAGCAGTGGCCTCAAGGGATGCACAACCCTTGCTCGTTTTAGTCCAGCCAGCATCAGCATCAGCATCAGCATCATTATCCTTGTGCATATTCTCCCACTTTCCAGGTCTCCTTAAGGCGACAGCAAGTAGGTGAAAGACTGAATGAATGGGCAGTCTTCAGTGAAAAGAACAAGGAGCTCTGTGAGTGGCTGACCCAGATGGAAAGCAAAGTTTCCCAGAATGGAGACATCCTCATTGAGGAAATGATAGAGAAGCTCAAGAAGGTGAGTATGCCTGGTGGCTCAGGTTTCCATGCTACAGAATGCTTTGGTATCCTTCCACCTGGCACAGGAGATGGTTTTACAGTTACTGTCTTGTCAAAAGAACGCTATATTTATTTAGTTTAATTTTTAAAATGAGAAATAGGATTGCATGAGAAGGCCCACTTTATATACAAATATATAGAATACTTTCAATTTGTGATGAAATACATTATCTGCTATCTTTGAGCAGGAATCATTTGCATCAGTTTTCTCTTATTTTGCTTTTCTGTTTTTAAAGAGACAAAAAAATCACTAGAGAGGAGCTAAAAGAAAAGTGTTACTAGGGTAAATTAACTGAAATTTTCTCTGTAAAACATGGTCTATAGTCCATCAATATTAATGAAAGACTTTGTTGAGAATTTTGGTCTCCTGTTACTTTTTGAGTTAAATACAAATTTTAAAATTTTATATATGCATTTGGAGCCAGATATTTTTCATATCCATATAGGACTGATCAAATTGAGTATCATTTGGAAATATTTTGATAATTTCATTAAAGTTTCCACATTATTTTTGAACAAAGAATCAATTTGGTGTCATTTTAGTTTGTTTTTGGTTAGTACCTATCACCATCTGATGTAGGGTGTGCTTTTCATATTTACTCCCTTGGCATCTATGTAGAATGGAAGCCCCATGGGGCAGCAAGGGCCCCTGAAGCCTGGACTTTGTCTTCTTCATTGCTAGCTCCCTACATCCAGAGTAGTGCTCAACTTCTTTTAAGAATTCAGAACTTCTAGAAGGGGAATAGCTTTGACCCAGCTTCCCCTTCTAGATCTCTTTCCAACAACGTTAAAGTCATCATATTACACTAGCACATACATACCCATGTGTTTAGTGGCAAAATTCATATTAGCTAAATCTTGGAAGCAGCCTATACATCCATCAACACCTGAGTAGACAAATAAAATGTATTTACACACAATGGAGTAATACTCTGCCATAAAGATAGATTTAAGTCACTTGTAAGAAAATGGATGCAACTTGAAACAATGTTAAGTGAAATAAATCAGACACACAAGCTTAAATAGTACATGCTTTCTCCAGTATGAGAAACCTAAATTATAAATAAGAGCAAAATAAAAGATAGGTAACAGGAAATAAGAAGATAAATCTTTTCAAATGGGAAGATCAAGAGATGAAGAAAGGAGAAAGGGAGGAAGGAAGGAAGGAAGGAAGGAAGAAGATGAAAAAAGGAATTAAGATGTGTTGCATACCAAATCCTCACAAGAATGTGGAAAGCATGTATTGCAAACATGTTCTAATAAAAAAATTTAAAAGAACTTTTTACTTTGCTTTTATTGAATGCATGAATTGTGGTTTTATTCATTTGGAAAAGAAATAGAAATGGTTATATCGTAAGCTTTTTGTGAACTATTTCTACAAGGATTGATTTTAAATATATCACCAGATTAGAGATTGAACAATAAAATATAGTTTCCCACCATTAAGGCCTTCATTTTGTATCTATGTGTTTCTGTTGTTTTAATGACCTTGTTAAGTAACAGAAGGCATCTCCTTATCCCTCCAAGAATATCTGCATAAAATTAATCTGAGCTGAATGTGGTGACGCACATCTGTAATCCTATCACTCTGAGAGGGAGATTCAGGAGAGTTGCCAGTTTGAACCGTGAACCAAGCCTGAGCAAGTTAGTAGTTTGAAAGACTCCCAAAATTAAAGTTGGGGGAGTGATGGCCAGAAATGGAGCTCAGTGCAAAGGCCATAGGTTCAATTCTCATACCACAATCAATCAATGAATCATTTTTGAAAGACTTAATCCAGACTAGTGTGAAAATAATAGTCACACACTAGTAATGCATTCTTGTGCACATGGACTGATTTTCACATGGTGTTCCTCATGCCCAATTACTTCCAATCAGTGGAAAACTATAATTACCATGTTTCTAGAGAAGTTGAATGAATGCATTAAGAATACACTTTTTGACCTCTGTGATTGCTATTTATTATGCAGGATTACCAAGAGGAAATTGCTGTTGCCCAGGAGAACAAAATACAGCTCCAGCAAATGGGAGAACGACTTGCCAAAGCCAGCCACGAGACCAAAGCATCTGAGATTGAGTACAAGCTAGGAAAGGTCAATGACCGCTGGCAGCATCTCCTGGATCTCATCGCAGCCAGGTAGAAAAGGACCCCGCTCATTAGTACACCTGCATGCAGAACTCCAAAGGCTTTTCAGCCTCCCCCTTTTATTTTAGCTAAAAATAACCTCATAAATTACTTCCTTCCTGTGTTATCCCACCATTTTGAAAAGCGTTCATGTTGTTCTCACAAAGCACACTTTCATTAACTTTAAAATTCTACCTGGTTTGTAAATCTCTTGTTATTTGCATGTAACTGAGAGGGAAAGAGTCATATGCAAATAATACCCATTCTCAGGAGAAGGTTCTTTATTTCAGGACTTCATGGGAAAGCAGTCTCCATAGGGAAGAGAGAGAAACTGCTTGTCTACTCTAGCAAACAAAAAATGAAAAAAAGTGACATCATATCCTGTTATATTTTTGGTTAGCACATGTAAGACTAAAGCTGATAATTACCCCTCTACTTCATTATAAAAATAAGGTGCTTCACTGTTGTAATTTTGTGCTTAGCCTTAATAGTAACTTTGGTATTTCCTCAGATCTGAGAGGCACATTATATTCAGTCTCTATTGCAGATGCCAGTGTGAATCAAAGGGATTAAGAGTCAATTTAAAAAAATGAAGGTCTTTAGGAGCAATACAGATTCTGGTGTGATTGAAGGATGCACTGTCATTGGCTGTTAAAGGAGGGAATGACTAAGTAGATACTTGCTTGTAGGTGAACTTCACTTCATGTTGGAATGTAAGTTCCAAGAGATCAGGCAGCCTCATCCAGCTTACTAACTGGATCACAAGCTCAAGTGCCTGGGCTGGCAGTGGAACTTAGTGGTAGGATGCTCACCTAGCTTGTGCAAGGGCCTGGGTTTAATCTCTAGCACTGCAAATAATTACCAAAAATAGTATGGGATTGATAAATATCTCAAGGAATGAATGAATATTTATGTTAATAGTATATTTATGTAGATGTTCATCATCATGGCAGTTATGAGAGATAGAGTGTTACCAACACTCCTGATTTATACTCATTTGGGGGCTATCCCATAATATGCTTTAAAAATCTCAATCGTTTTCCTTAGCTGTCCTGTATACCTGAAATAGTGCCCTCTGTGTATATAGCATCACAATTCTGTATGCTGAGTTTGAAAACACTGTTTTCTTCTATAAGGAAGTCATGAGTCTCTAACTCAAGCTGAGATGATTTCTTTTAATAGTACTGAAACAAAAATGAAATGAATGTTTCTCAACTTTTTAAATGTTTAACAACAGCACTATACCAGTATTTCTTGAACCCTTCCTTTTTGCGAAGGGCCACACCGCAAGCATCACATACATGTTCTTACGCATTCACAGTGCCTTCTGAGGTGGGCATTTTCATTGCACCCATTTTGCCAGTGCACAGGTTGAAGCTCGAGCTTGTCCATGGTCACACACATGTTGAGTGGCAGAATTTGCACTTTGTCACTAGAACCTGTGATGTGAAGAACTATGTTCTCCCGCCTGGCAATTCTGTGGTTTCCCTTACCTGGTTAGAAAGAATGCAGTTCAATGAAATTTAGGCTCTGTGAATGATTTGGGCAATCTGATTTTTCAATCCTCTGTTCGTAAAGAACTTACAATCTGATGGCAACTGCTGGACTCCTGAGAATGCCGTGATAGAGGCCCTGTCCCCAAGGGAGCACAGATTTGCAAAGCAGTTGAGTAAACTAGGGAGCTCAGTGCTCTGGTACATAAGGAGATAAAATGTACATCTCAGCTGAAATTATTCAACAATCAGACATAGGAAGGCTTAGAATCCCAAAGCTGTATTCATTCCCACATCTCAGTCACTAACAGATTTGTATCTCAGAGGGAGAAATCGAAGTCTATTGTACTGTAAATACCTTTTTTCTAGCAAGATGTCCCATTTAGTAAATACCCTCTGGATGTTTTGTCAGATTCTGATCATGAATTGGCTTGGATGTCCATGAAATCCAGTAAAACCCATTAAGTTTCCTTTATAATGTTAGTGACTCAATGGTATGGATAATGGGGATGTACTACATCAGTGATATTTTTAACAAGATTTAGCGTAATGTAACTGGAAGCAGCTGGCTTAGTGTAGGCCCAGCTATTAGCCAACATTACATGGGACTGTGCCATTTTTCCTCAAAACTGTGTATATTTGTAGTATGTCTATATATGGCTTTTCAAGTAAACATTTCCTAGACGTTATTTAATTTGCTTTCTGAAAAGACACATTAATAAGAATGAATCAATTGCATACATATAAAGTACACATGCTTTGCATTACAGTCACTTAGTTGCTTGTCTGTGTGCCAGTTTCTATAGAGCCTCATCATGTACAGAAAGAATTCCACCTCCAATTACCTCCTTCAGAATTAGATCGAATAACATACTGATCATTAATTTACCTTGGTGTTTAATGCCACATTGGATTCACAGTTTCTCTTTTGGCTTCTCCCAAGACACTTGGCTCCCACATTTGCTTTCCCTCTCCTTTTTACTGGGACACAGGCTGCACAAACTCTCCCACACCTGTCTTCAACTGTGGACTGCCAGCTGGGGTACTAAATTCAATGAGCCAGTCTCATCCAGGACTCCCCCCCTTCCAGCGTTTGTCCACAGTGATTCATTGAAGCAGATCATAACTTGGTGTGTACTTCTGGATATTTTTATATGTCTTAAATGCTTAGTAAAGAAAATTTGGAAACTCTTGAAATTCACACACATAAAAGTTAACTGGAGCCCATCAAGCAAATGAATAGACTTGAAAAATTATCTTAAAATAAACATGCTATATTTGTCCCCGACATCATTTTTTCTTTTCTTTTTTCCTTTTTCATTTTTCCATTACTTTCCCCTGTTTTCTCTTTATTTCTTTCTATCCTTCTTTCCTTCTCTTTTCTTTTTTTCTTGTTTTTTGTTCTTTTTATAACAAGGTCTCTCTACATAGCCCATACTGTCCTTGAATTCAGTCTTCATGAACTCCTAAGCACCAGGATTACTTACATCATTGTTTTTAACAGGACAAACATTTTGAATACATGAAGGAAAGACTAATATTTCCTCATTATTGTTCATACTCAAATAGCTACCCAAGGTACAGCCCAAGCACTCACCCACAGCTCAGCTTTGCCCTCCTCCCTTCCCAAACAACCTGTGTTAGTTCTACTTACAACACTGAGCTGACTGATTGAACTGAAGAAAAGGAGAAGTTGCTCCATTTTTCTACTATAATTTGCTGTTCTTGTGGAAGTTTGGCTCGTTACTTTGTATGTGAATCATTTGTCTTTTTCAAGTAGCCTTTCCAGTGTCACAAACAGCCTGCAAGGAAAGTTGCCTGTCCTTCCAGAAGGGTGGGCATCTGCGGCTGGCATTATTTTTGATATCCTTTCTTTAGACCTGTAGCTGCCTCCTCTCTGCAGATTACACTGAGCTAGTTCCCCTTCTTACCCTCGTGGCCTACATTCCAGGAGATCAAGCCTGGCACATGTTAATGAATGTGGGTTTTATTTAGAAACATGACCACTTGTCACCGCTCAGTGTCATGTTATCAGGCAGAGACTACCACCATTTGTCTGGAGTGAGCATTTTCAAACTTCCCTACACAGAGAAGGGGAAACTTTCATCCCCACTCAGGATTTAGCCTTCTGCTCTGCAGATCCTAACTTTTGCAAGTGGAAGCTTCATGGTGGTGGTGGAGGACTTGCGTGCCCTGAGGATGGCAGAGGACGCCAGTGTGGATGCAGACCTCCCAGACTGCAACTGCGATATCACCAGGCAGGAATCTCCTTGAGTTTCTCCCATGGCGCATAGCTTTCAGGTTACGTAGGGTTACGGCATAGACACCGGAAGCTTTAATCCAGAATTTTTTGCATCATTCCGTGAGAATGATTAGTAGTAGACTGTGGGCCGTGGACTCTAAAAGAGTTATTTGTTCGTTTATTGTCTGGTTCATCTACTGAGCATATGCAGCTAGATGGAAAAGCTAATGGCCTTTATTATGACTTGGTATTTCGGTTGTCATATGAGGGTAATGGCTACGGAGAGAGGCTGACACACAGGAAGGAGATTTGGAAAAAGGCATTGCCTGCTATTTAAAGGATGGGCTTTTAGTCAAACTGAAATTCAGCCTTAGCTAGTACACAGCTCTATAGCTGAAAACTCTCTTTTTAATAAACAAGAATCAGATTTCAGAAGGCTGTAGAATTTTGTGTAAAGGCTACTTTTTGTTCATGTCTGTCAATTAATTTTGACCACTTGCTAATATAAATCTTATAAAATAGATGGGTTAATGTACAAATTTGTATCTAAAATAGTAACATTATGCAAATATTTACTTTTAAGATGTTTCCTGTTAGAATAACAGTAAGACAGAATTTTTCTTTTAATTTTTTAAAAATGGTTTTGTTTCATCATGTTATCCCCCAATGAATTCCTGTAAATGAATAGGGTTTCCAAATGGCACACTTGGTTCTATTATATTTAGTATTTAGGTTTCGTTTTGCTGGGGTTATAGATATACTGAATTAATTTGAAGGGAAGTAGTAATGCATGCATAAAATATTAGATAAAGAAATATATGTATTCATTCATACTCATTCAGGTGACAGTGTTGATATTCTGTAAATTGGATTAAAAGAATCCCTCCTAACAAAGGTGAGGTGACTGAGATACATATTGAACTATGAACAGAGAGCCATGAACTGCAAGAACTTAAACATATATTGAGCTTGTTTACCTCACACAGACATGTGACATCTGCAAGCATCTGTTCTGAATTATAATCCTGGATGCTACCAAAAAATAACACTTCTCAAACTTCTTACAATGATAGACAATTAAAATATTGTGACACTTTCCTTTCAAGAAATCACGGAGAAAAAATAATGGAGGCATTTATCCTATGATCCCTGACCTACAAATAGCAAGTTTAATAAGCCAGAGCAAGTATACACACACATCAGTTCCCCCAACAAACAAGGTAGTTTGCTGTTTGTAGTAAATGACAATTTTTAAAAAATGATAACGGAGAACGTCACTCCCACTGCCTTTACTAAATTTATACCTTAGGTTGAGAAAGGAACTTGTTCCTAATGGACTATATGAACAAGCATTTCCATGTCACAATGCCCTTGACGTATCGTACACTAACCACTCTGACTTGGAACTCATGCAATATTATTCGACATTATAAATCCTGTAATTTATTTTGCTGCTATGGACAGTCCAGTGGAACAGCGTTTATTCATGTTTTGTACCTTTTGATCAGATTTGTGAGTTTTGAACCAAGAAAACCAGTGAATGTTAGTACTTGACAAATAGACCATTTGCAAATGTTAAACCTAGAGGAAAGAAGTAGACACAATATCAATGTTTAATTGAAATGTTAAGTAGATAAAAATATTGTACTAACTATACTAATTATTTATGGTCAGTAAGCATTTAAATAATGTCCAAATTTGTGCAAAGCATTGAACTTAGCATGGCGGGGGAGGGAAAATCCAAATGTAGGAATTTATGGTTCCAACTTTTCAAAGAACTTAAGTTAGAGGAGGCCAACTTGTCCATAAATAAAACCAGGGAGTTAAAACAAGGATAGGGAGGAAGCAAGCACTCTGACCTCTAGTGAGCCTCAATAATATTATGAATTTGCAATAAAATTCCATTCCAAAGTATAGTCAGCATTCAGACCCTACCAAATCTGCAAACAGGAAGCTAGTCAAGTGGGAGAGGTTGCTGGGAGCACATTCTTACGGGAGTAAAATCAGGACAGACATCTCAATGTTATGTGCAAGTTTTCTGTCCTATCCCACAGGGACCACTGAGCATAGAGTGTCTTTTCAGTCAGGGACACTATATCCAAGGCTACATTAAATTCCAGGTTCATGTTCAGGCCGTAGTCATTCACAGAATGCACTCCCTGAGATTTGCACCCAGCAGCCCAAAACTGTCATTCATTGACTACTATCCAATTTTGTCTTATGAATGAGAGAAGTATGAGTGGATTGTACAATAAAGCTCTTGGAAATATTGCTCAAGGTGATTCCATGAAGTGTCTGAGAACCAGGTACAATTGTGCATGCAAAGCTAGTTAGAGCATTCTTATTTTGAATGAAATTACGAGTTATAGTAAACATGGAAACACAGTTCCACTCCTTATCAATATAATACATTTTAGAATGTGAATGTAATTCCTTTAAAATGCATTTTTCCTAAAATATTATATACATGAGTATTTTTGCAAACTGAAAATATCAACACACAGATATTATTAATTATAATTAATCAAAAAAGATGGTTATTATTAATACTTGACCATGATGAAAATAATTTTAAAAGCCACTACGTGATATTTCTTTGAGGAAAATCACAAGGAGGAAAAGCGATCATGTCATTGTATGATCACATTTTCATTTCAGAGAAAAATGGTTTATTGAAGCTGTAGTAGAAATGATATCAGTTATAAGGAACTTAAATCAAATTCTTCTAGGTACTTTGATTAGAAGGCATTCTTTGGAGCAGCAGCTCTTGATCAGGGAGATGTGTCAGAAGTGTCTGGAGTGGGGAGACAGAAGGCAGGTGGTTGACACAGGTGAGGTGAATGCACCCCAGGAGATTCTGTCTTTCATCCTAGGAATCACTTATTCAACCTCCTAGCAACACAGAGCCAGGAGACCTGTGACTCTGAGTAGGAGTCTCTACTCTCTGAGAACATTCTATCACAGATCCAGCTTTAAATATTTAACCTCCCTGTAGTCTTAAAAATAGCATGACTCGACATTTTACGATACCTCTCCATTTTGGCCAAAGTGACACTCATTATGCTGAGATAATTTTTGCTTTTCTGCTGTATACTACTATTAAGAGGAGTGCCAATGAGGTGAGCATGCTTCCAAAAACAAAAGGAGGACTCTTGGTCTAAAAGTGGAACTGCATTTTAAATAAGGGCTGGACCAGAAATCATTGATCACAGGCCATCATCACCATAACTCTTCTTTATTAGAGCAATCTGTGTTCTGTGTACATGCAACCATATCAGGCTTTCCACAAGGATTCATAACCAATATTTGCTATTACTTGATAATAACAGAGTTGAGAAATACTGCTATATCCCTCCCAAACACCTCCTTGTACCCTTCCCATAGTGGGAAAACTTTTGAGGACTGATTTATGTATCCTTGCTCTTGGGCCCTTGATGCCAGCCAATCTCTCCTGATCTTTGCCTCATCATCTATATTCACCTACAATTTTTCTCCTTTTTCTTTTGCCTTTGACTTCTTCCTTTCATCCTACAAACATAAGGCTATTCTAAGTAATAAGCTACATTAAGCAGAATAGATTATATTAAGCAAACATTTAGCTTTTCCTTGAGCTCAGATTATTTTGGAGATTCTAGGCCATATTTACTCACTTTCATTGCCTAATTTCTTAAAATAATTAACCACCTTCCTTCCCATAGTGCCTTACATAGGCTAAATGCATTGGACATATCTCTGCATACAGATTCTTTAAGCTGAATTGGGGCCTAAAAATTTTATTTACAGGCAGAAACCAGATGATTTTGGTACAGGTGGTTCAGATCACCAGCTAACATTCCTCCTTGAACCCCCCATCTTCAGGCTAGGTTACACTGTCCTTCCTTTTTTGCTATTCCTTCCATTTCTTTCTTTCCTTTTCTTAGTTGGATTCTTCCTTTTTTAACCAGCCTTTTATAATTCTTCATAGTCCACAGACTGGTGAGTTGACACTCATATACACTATAAACTTTATTTATGGGGCTTCAACTCTATGCCAACCAGCCTAAACTGATGGTATATAACTAAAATTCCCTTTTTTTGCTATGTTTGTATATCATATCCCAAATTAATCCCAAGGACTTGCCCATCCTCATGTAGTATCCAGTTGGTCACCCAAATGCGAAATGCATGATTTTCATCTTCTCTGGCCTCACCTTTTGTCAGTTACGAGCTTAACAATTCAGTCCTTGCCTCTCTTCCCACTGTTTCCCAAGAGCAGGCTTTTGATGTAAACTGCTGGATAATTTTGTTTGCTTCCTTGAACTGATTCCCACGACTTCTTTATGTCAAACTTGCATACTCAGAAATCAGAACTGATCTTATCATTTCTATCCTAATAAATCTCAGCAAAGCTCTTATTAGCCTTAAAACAGCATGAAAACCAAGCAGGTCCTTAACATCTTTATAATCCTACTCCAGCCTTCCCAGCCTTCTTCCTCCCGCTGTGTTTTCTCTCTCTTTGGCTTCTCTTTCCCCGTCTCTCTACCCCAACCTCAGCAGGCTGTGACACCATTTACCTCCTGTCTGTTTCCTTGCCCGAAGCCTTCTTTAGGGCTTGCGTCCATCTCTCAAGATCAGCTCACATGTTCCTGTTTCATTTTTCTTCCATCACAGTGTACACTTCTCAGTGGCAGGGATAAAACTTCAGTTGTTGCCATATTTCTGTCATTAGCACCATGTCTTCCCAGCACCATAAATGTTTATAAAAGGAACACAGAAAAAAACGAGTATTTCAGTGAAATATTACTGCAACATGGCCAGACAGAATTGATCACTCTCTAGTTATTAACCAGAGAATTGGCTCATTTCTTTAGTTAAGTTCTTACCGTGTCCTGTTATATTTCATTGTTTATATGTCCAGCTTTTCAGACAGATAGTAAGCTTCAGAAGAGAAAAAAGCATCTTATTTATGTCTGCATCTCAGCATCTCAGACCTAAGATGTTCGCATATGATTGTTAGATAAGTGACAATCTTACAGAAAGTGGATATTTGGTGGGGGGAGCTGTTTTGAATCATGATAATGCACTAAGCTAGGGCTGATAGTAGAAAACTGGGTGATTATAGACCTCATCTCTGTCCTCTGTTGCTTTTGATTCCAGTAGATCTTTGCTTACCCGTAACATGATCTTTATTGATCAGCTTTTCCATTGCTGGGGCAAAATCCTCAACACTCACAATTTAAGGAGGAGCGGGTCATTTTGGGTCATAGTTTTAGATGTTTCAGTCTGTGGTCAGCTGGCTCCAAGGTGAGAACCTTGTAGTGGAAGGGAGTTATAGAACAAAGCTGCTTAGTCCATGGGAGCCAGGAAGCAGGGCTCAGGAAAGAAGTGCAAGAGGAAGGGACCAGAAGACTAGCCTTAGTCCCTGAGGTCATACTCTCACTATTCTCCCAGACACACCAAGAAGCATCTTTAGTGATCTCTTAAGCATCTCTTAACCCAATCAAATGGATAGTTAAGATTATCCATCACATGCTTTTTCATTAGTGAAACTCAATTTGACTGAATGAATGTAATATATCTCTATCACTTACCTCCTTTTCTTAAAAAGATTACTTTTTTTTGGTTATTATTGATTAAACCTAAGACTTCACAAGTGCTAGGCAAGGGCTTCACCCTGAGCCTCTTTCCAATAGCCTGATGATTTATCTTAAATATGTGTTCTTCCATAACTGAGTTGCAACTCACAAAGTGCTGAAAGATAACCCACTGGTGCCAAAATTATATTTAGTCAGTATCAGAACTGTGGCTACAAAGTCTTTTTAATGACAGTCTGTTGGAAGTATTTTAAAAGGCATTTCTCTCAGGTATTCCTCACAGGAGTATAAATTTTGTTTTTGTTTTTGTTTTTGTGGAAATAATGCTTGTGACAACCATGGGGTGTCTGTCAACATCAGGGCTGCATTGAGTATAATAGTTGCTAAGAGTTATTGAATATACCCTGCATTATCCCACTTATTTAAACCTCTCACACATTCTATAAAATCTCTCACTTTGTAAATGAGGAAACCTTAGTCACTGGAAGGCTCTGTAACCAGTAGGTGGTCGAGTGAGGCAATTCGGCTTTAGACCTAGCATTCACTTCAGTATACGAGGGTGATATGAGCCATCCTTTTCCCAACACTGGATGTTTGGCTTCTACTCCCAGGGTGAAGAAGCTGAAGGAGACCTTGGTGGCCGTGCAGCAGCTCGATAAGAACATGAGCAACCTACGGACTTGGCTCGCCCACATTGAGTCAGAACTGGCCAAACCGATAGCCTACGATTCCTGTGACTCAGAAGAAATACAGAGAAAGCTTAATGAGCAGCAGGTAAAACTAAAAACAATGAAGTGAGTCTATCTTTCTGGGGACTGGGGATTTAGATCAGTGGTTTGAGCACCTGCCTGGCAAGCATGAGGTAGTGAGTTCAATCCCTGGTACCAGGATAATGGGGTGGGGTGGGTTGGTGATTGAAGATGAAACGTGAGGAGGAAGCTAGATCTGACTGGTGGGAAAGAGAGGCTTTATGTGGGGAAGCACTGGGGGCAAATCAATCAATGTCACTGCAGGTGACTCTTAAAAAGACACATGCTCCATCATGGTGCTATGTCATTAGTTCTCTCCAGAGCCTTTCTAAGGCAGTAGGTAAGGTTGAGTCTCATTGATGTATCCAAAATGTCACTGAATTGTTTATGTATTTGTGGGTTAGGTTTTTTAAATACAAATAATGTACAACCCAATAGAGCAAAAGAAATGACTCTAAAAATACATATAGATGACTGAGCACATCAAATTCTAGTTTCTAGTATTGAACACCATAAATTCCTCATAAGAAGTCTTGTTACTCCATGTCTTCATATTGCATTTGAAATTCCCACCAGATTTTTGTTTCTTCCATTATATTTAGGCCATTGTAGCCAAGTTATTTTACTTAAAAATATTCTACAGTACATAGCACTTATTTTTAAAATCCTACAAAATAATTAATGTACTTAATCTTTTATAGATTAAAAATAAAAAAATTAAGCTGATGAGTATAGGTGTCAAAGTCCAGTTCTAAAACTTGAATTTAAATATTAAAATTAGCATTAATTTAAAAACTTTTTTAAGAGTAAAATTCTTTAAAAGATGATTCTGTTTGAGATTTTAAAACTTGCATTGTGAGGCCCCCAAAATTCTCCCAGAGAATTATAATGATAGTAACTGTGTGTATCAGTGATCAGACTTACACTGCTAATGTCCAATATTATAATTCAGCAAATGTACTAAAATCAAAACAGTATCTAGTTAAATATGATAAATTGATCAAAAGCATCTATAACCCCACTTACTACAAAATCTCCAGAGAAATCATAGTAAAGGAGGGACAAAGGATCAAAACCCACAATGGCAAAGAGAAGAGGAGGACAAAATGTTAGAGCTGAGTGACCTCCAGTGGAACTCTAGAAGATAAACAGTGGCTAGAGGAATATTGAAGACTTTGGCAGAATAGAGGATGGAGAAGGTTGATTCCTGTTACAAACTGTCAAGGCTCAGGAAACCGAGATCCAGTAAAAGTGAGCTGTGTTGTGTATAGAGCTGCAAAGAGGAGAGTGTTGCTTCAGAGTCAGGGTGAGGAGTGGTTACACAGGCAGACCCTCCCAGTCCAGAGGCAGCTCTTCCATGCTCGCTCTGGCAGCAGACCAGAGAAGCATGCTATCTACTTTAGGGCTGGAGTCAATATATTAAAGATAGGGAGATGAGGTGAACAGCTGCATGCCACAGTCTGACTGCCTGCTCACTCCTTCAGGCCATCTCCCATAGCATCAGTAACTTATCAGCCAACCTGAAAAGGGAGCAGTCTCTGTGAAGAAACTGACCAGATGAGGAAAAATACCTGCAGGTGGTGATACTTAAGAGAACCCAGCAAAGAGTCCACTCAGCTTCCTTATGGGATGCCTCGTGCATTAGTACAGCGTCCAGTGTCTGACTCAGCCCAAAGCCTTCTTCCCCTCCCGCAGTACCAGGGACTGAATACAAGGCCTTATGCGTGTGAGAGGAGCGCCCTTTCCCTGAATCACTCCCCTGGCCCTGCCTCATTCTTAGCTGTGTGGGTAGGCAAGTACCTCCACCACTTAAGAATTCTTTCACCGTTAAAAAATAAATCAAAATAAATGGGGGGACCTGAATAAAAGGAAACATTATGGAAAGAGGAAAATAGTTATTAAAAACAGAGATTTTTGGACTAAATAAAGAGGATACCGTTGTCTTTTCTAAAAAGAACTCTCAGAATTTAGAAAACTTCCCACAAAGTGAAACAAAAAGATAAACATGAAAAATCGGAGGGAATTATAATAAAATTAAAAGATTAATACAGATCAAAATCCAAGCCAGTTATTCAAAGAACACCAAAAATAATTTTTAAAATGGAGACAAAACTATTAAGTAATAATGTTAAAAATAATCCCAAAGTAAAATGAATCCTTCCAAATCATAAGAGCCTCATGAGTGCCCAGAAAAAGTTAAAACGAAACAAAACCATGCAAGGGACACCACATTATAATTTTGCCAAAATGAGGGATACAGAGAAGACATCTAACATTTTCAGAGTGCAAATATCTGATTTCTCCAAAACAAAAGTAGGATCTAGAAGATAATTGGAATACTTCCTTTGGAAAGAATGAGAAAACTTCTTAATATTTAGAATTTTATATTCTACAATTTAATATACAAAAATTTTACCTCCTGTGCACCCATTTTTCCATCACCTAAAGTGTTGGAAAGAATAATAATCAACTCAGGAGAAAGAAAATTGGTATGTTATTCAGCCGTCACAATGAATGAAATCTTGTCATTGGCAGTAAACCAGTGGAAGTAGAAAACATTATGTTAAGTGAAATAAGGCAGAAACAGAAAGAAAAATACTGCATGTTCTGTTACATGTGAAAGTTAGAAAAAAAGTAGTGGATTTGCATATAGAATAGTGATCATGGAGGTTGAGATGGGAGGGCGGATATGTACAACAATTTGATCAGTGAACACCATATGCATGTTTTGAAATACCACACTGAGCCCCGGCAGTCTATACAAAATTAATGCATGTTAGTCAAAAGTAGAATTTAAAAAAAAAATTCCAGGATGAAGGTGAAGCCGTGCTCCTGCTGATGGCTGTCTTGCAGCTATCTAATACAGCCCAGATTGGAGCAGGGGTAGATGCATGAAGAAGGAGGTTCCAGAAAACGGGGCCACTTGAGGGCCTTCACTATGCTAGAAAAGAATTAGATCTATAGGCAAGAGACAAGAAACAACAACATAAATTAGAGAGTATTAATTCCAAAAACATCAAGTCTTTTGTAAGAAAAGAAACACCATCATAGCATATTTCATTGCTGAGATGTGAAAAGTATTAAATAATGAATCATGGAAACAATGACTGTCACTCTAACTGTAAATTGTTCTGAAACAGTCATTGGAACCCAGTGATCCATGGCAAAGTTTATTTCTTCTCTACAATGAAAGAGTCAACCATGTCTAAAATTTTAAAAAATGAATAACTATCTGTATAATTTTATTCTCAGAAATGTAGGTGAAAATACCAGAAAAAAGAACACCCAAAGATAGAGATGGTTTCTTCTCAAAAAGAGGAGTCATGAGTGGAAAGGGTCCTGACCACCTCATGTCTTCCAGACATTTTTTTAACTTTTTAATGTGTTAAACTATGTGAATATATCTTTTAAATTAAATTTTAAATTACTGTGTTAAAATTACATACCAATGATTAAAAGTAAAGACTTTCTGAAGTCAAATCCTAGGCTCACTACTTTCCCGAGTGAACTAAAACAAACTAGTTAATCATTTTGTTTACCATCATATCCCTTATTTATTAATTTTGGTGATCAGAATACCTACCACAAAGTGTGATTGTACAATTTAAGGAGAAAAGCAGTAAACAAAGCTCATATCACAAAGGAAATGCTTAGTATATTTTATTATAATACTGTGTGTATTCTAACTTCCTTTCTGGAAAAATTTTAAAAATCTAGCCTACAAAAATTGTACCATTTGTGATCTGCACTGGTCAGCGGTCCTATCATTTGGATAAACTACCGACACCCACACCTTAAAGGAAGGGAGGTTTTGGATTTTGGGTCGCGGTTTCAGGAGTTTTAGTTCCTGGTAAGCTGGCTCCAAAATAGACACATCATGGCACAAGAGTATGGTAGAACAAACCCATTTACATCATGGAGGCTGGGAAGCGAAGAGCAGGGGACAGTGCCAGAGGGAAAGGGGCTAATGTCCTGATATAGACCCCAGGCTCAGGCCTCCATGGCCCACCTGGACTCACTCAGAAGTGTGCTCTTCTAATCTCCTAAGCAGTTCCCAATCCAATTACATTGGCAATTGAGCTTAACTGCGCTCGGATCTATACTGTGAAAGATAAAAAGCTGTCTGCCTCTAAAAGGGAAAAATTCTGGCAAATATGTAAGTGGACTTCTTAAATCTATGAGAAATGCATTTACTTCTACTGCCCTGTGATGTAGAATTTTTCCATGTTTTTCTTCTCAGCCTACTGAATTCTTACAGATTTAATTGGGTAGAACCTCAATATAGATAGACTTGAGACAAGTTTAGGGAACATTTTGTCAACTTCTTTATGTTATAATTAAGAGAAATAAATTCAGAGACGTTAGGTAATGATTGAAGACCATATTATCAATGAAATTAAATTTGAGACTAAAATATTTATCTGTGTTAGGGTATTTGTATATTATTGCAAAACCTTTCAAGCGTTAGATTACTATTCCACATATGGACCTTAAGAAAAATACGAGCATCTGAGGAAAAAATGTTGATATGCTATGTGTTAAGTCCATGGGTTTATGTTCAGGTGCCTAATACTTCCTTCAAATGTGTACCCTTGTGATATTACCTCCGATTTACTTGGTGATCTCATCTACAGACTTTTCTTTTTCCTTTAATTTTTGTAATTTTTATGTTTTAAATTAATAATCCCTTGTACCCTTGCTCATGAGATGTTTTATTAAAGATTTGAAAAGATTACCTAAATAGAAATAGTTTAGCAGTCTTTATCTTCTAATTTCTAGTTTATAAAATATCCAAAATTGGATTTAAAAAGGTACTCTTACGACACTTGACAATATTCAGTCTTTTCACAGACTCTGGAACATGATGTTAAGGATAAAAACTAGTGGCAAAGCAATATAATACAATTTCTAGGTATGTGAGTAAGTTGAGGAATTATTACACCCAGAGAAATAAGCTGGGAAACCTCTAGAATTGCACAGAAAAAAGAATGAAAATGTGTTAAGGATGCTGACGGATACGACAAGCAAAAAAATAATACCTGTATGGCTTACTTTTATAATGGAATACATCAAGTAAATTGGGTTAAAAGCTTATGACAGTAAGCTTTCTGTCACTCTAACAAAATACAGATAATCTGCTTATAAAGAGGAAGAGTTTATTCTGACTCACAGATTTAGCAGTTTTGGTTCACGGTTATTTGTTCTTGCTGCTTTCGACTGACAGAGCACAGTATTACAGGGCCTTTACTTCATGGGTGCTGGGACACAAGAAAAGAGGAAGAGAGGGAGGCCAGGGCACCAGTGTCCCTTTCAAGGACACGCTCCTATGACTTAACAGCCCAACTAGGCCTCGCTTGCCAAAGGTTCCACTGCTTCCCAATAGCATTACAGGCTGGTGACCAAGTCTTAACAGATGAGTCTTTAGGGAATGTTCCAAAACTGCTATAGCAAAGCTCCATGGAGGAAATAGTTAGTACGAAGATTTCATGTGTAGGAGTTAGGGAAATCCAATTTCTTCTTTTTCATTATAAGCTTTGTATTTCTATGCTACATCTAAAAGTGTATTCTGAGGGAAATGTATCCTGCCCAATATGGAACCAAGGCTCCTTAAACCACAATGTCTTTTGGTGATACTGGAATTCAGTACTCAGCAAAACTTGCAGATCTTTATAGCTTACATTCTAATTCTTGAGAACCAGTTATTATTAGATAAATATTGAATTTCCATTGATTGGTTAATTGATTGGAATGGAGGTGATATATCTGTAAATGAATTAGGGCAAGATTCATTTTTTAATCATTAAAGTAGTTTTACTCAGTGTTGTCTGCTACATTTGTTTGGTTTATATTTTGGTATTATTTATGTAGCTGAAGTATTTGTAGATCCATTTTCTTGTAGTATATCTTTGTGCTTGCTAGATTTCATAAACAAGGCTCAGGACACTTCATGCATTCAAGCAAGTGCAAAGTGTCAAGGTTTAGCCTGACCATTTATCAGTCAGTGACGTTTCCCTCGCTTGTGTATGAAATTTCTGAATGAAGCATGCAATGTTTTGCTAGGAGCTTCAGAAAGACATTGAGAAGCACAGCACGGGTGTCGCCTCTGTCCTCAATCTGTGTGAAGTCCTGCTGCATGACTGTGATGCTTGTGCCACCGATGCTGAGTGTGACTCCATCCAGCAGGCAACACGAAACCTGGACCGGCGGTGGAGAAACATCTGCGCTATGTCCATGGAAAGGAGGCTCAAGTGAGCTAACGTGTTCAATTAGGGAAGAGGAAAGACGAAAAGGAAAATAAATACCTAGACCACCCATTGTTCAGTGTTTCCCTTTGATCACAGTGTCCAAAATTAGCCTCAACTTCCCAAACGTGCCTTCACTTCATGTAGTAAGGAAAATAGTTAGTTGTAAAAGTAGTATGTAAATGAAACAAGCTAAGTAATATTTAACCAAATTTTTAAAATAGAAAAACAAAAAATTGAAGTATGCTCTTGCTAAATAACTTTGTAAAATTTGCGGTTGTATAAAAACAACATTCTCTCTTAAAAATTTAAATATTAAAAGAAGCATGTTATTCATGTTTTAGCCCTTTGAAATCTAACATAGCAAAAGTACGATGTATAATTATAAAATTATAATGACCTGCATCATTGTGCTCTCTGATGACTCTTGAAAGCTTGTTGTTTATCTTGCTGTCACTAGCTGACTTTTGTCAGGGAAGGTTTGGTGTTAGACAGAAGTTTGCTTTTAGTGGAACCTCAGACCCGGCACATTCTGTCAGCGTAAGACATTTCTAGACTTCCTTGCAAATATCCAAAGCAGCTCATATTATGTGCTTAGAATATTTAATTTGACTAACTTCAAACTCAGAGCTGCAGGGCATGTTTTAAAAAAAAAAAAAACAGCTGTTTTATTTTAGCTCAAACAGTTGTTTCTCTCTCTCTCTCTCTCTCTCTCTCTCTCTCTCTCTCTCTCTCTCTCTCCCTCCCTCTCTGCTCAGCTTGGCTCAAGGCACAGTTATTGTTTGGCACAGCAGTTGCTTACTTGGGCACACTTAACCCTGTCACCCGCATCACACTGGCTCTGGAGCACAAACAGCCTTTAATAAAGGGAATCTGTTCTTTCCTTTTTTGACACAGAATTGAAGAAACATGGCGACTGTGGCAAAAGTTTCTGGATGACTATTCTCGTTTTGAAGATTGGTTGAAGATTTCAGAAAGGACAGCTGCTTTTCCCAGCTCTTCTGGGGTGCTCTATACAGTTGCCAAGGAAGAACTAAAGAAATTTGAGGTGATTTATAATTTTGGATATTTAATGCTTACTTTGCTATTAAAGTAGCCAGCTGGTGGTTGGTGTTCCAAGACATAAACTGACTGTCCGCCCACACATTATTTGTTCAAATAGCTGGAGAATGACTTTGTGGCCACCATTAGCAATACCTCAAAAGTAGGCAAAGAGCCCAGGATTTAGCTCAGTGGCATGGTGCCTGCCTGGCAAGTGCAAGGTCCTGAGTTTAATTCATGGTACCAAAAAAAAAAAAAAAAAAAAAAAGACTAGTCAAAGAAGGCATAAGGAAAATCTTTACTTCAATTTTAGATTATCAAGAATTGCAAATAAATAAATAGTAAAGAGAAACTATGTTAGAAAACAAGATTATAATCCCTCCAGAAGTTCTAAGCATTATTGTTTATCTCACAATTCTTCAAAATCAGCCATATTTTCTAAGATTAAAATTAAAATACAATGACTTTATTTATTTATGTAGTTGGGGGTTTTTTTGTTGTTTTTTTGTTTTGTTTTGATTTTACTATTTTCTTTTTTGGTTCCAGGAAGCAAACTCAGGCCCTTGCCCTTGCCAGGCACAGACTGTACCGCTAAGCTGCATCCCCAGCCCAATATGACGGTTTTAAGCACTACTGAAATCTACTTTATTTATATATTTTCTTGATTTTTTTAATCTAATAGAAGTGTGTGTAATCATTGAATCATTGACAAGAGTTGGCTCTAGAATTGAATGAAGTATTTCATTATAATCCTTTTATAACTACACAACAAAGAGCAGGACCCTTCTTGAGACACCCAGACTGTTCGATTACACTGGGCTAAACATCAGTGGTGCAATTATAGTCATGAAGAAAGGATTTATTCATTAATCGATTCTAGTACCTTCCCTGTTCATACAGTTTATCACTAGGATATCAAGAAACTGACTTCTCAGCTGCTTCTGATGTTCTGAGTCCCTTGATGGAGCCTCACATGGACCATTTTTTACTCTGAATCTTTTCCCTTCTGTTCCCACTGATAAGCCAAGTGTACTTGTCTATACTGACAGCAGTTAGTTTGGATATATTCTGAGCTACATTCCCCTTTGTGCATTTTGTCCCAGTATCCTCAGGTGTTAGAAACAAAACAAAAGCCAAATTCTGCCAAACTGGTTGGACTGTTTTACCTTTTTACATTAGTTAACTTAGACATTTACTGAGGCCTGTTGTGGGAAATCTGGAGTTTACTTTTTGTTCTGATGAGATTTAAAGTCTAAGGGTCATAGCAGGACAGCTATATAAAGATTCCAGAAGTAAACAGCGGTAGATTCAGGTCATCCCACTGTGAAAGTGGAAGTGCCGCTGTCCATGTCTTATTACATTTAGCTTCATTAAGGTCAGAACCTATAATAATTGGCTTATCCTACAAAGCCGATTATACAAGATTCTTTGTGCTGCTATTTTAGACTCATTTTTTATAGCAGAAGTTACTGGTATAGTCAGCTTCTATAATGACCAATTTTATCATTTGCCATGAAGCATGTGGTTAATTTTCTTCAGAGACAGAAATAAGTCACAGAATAAAAATTTTGTATGAAGACACCACCACACATTCCATGGACATTTGGGGAGGGACCTAAATCTGCTGGGGTGCCTGCTCTGGAAGCCATGCCATCACCCCATGTGGACACACACATACTCTTTCACAGGGAAAATAAAGTTTCATAGGTCAGAAGAATGAATTTATTAGGATGGAAGCTCTGAAAGCTGCTCTCAGAAGGAAAACCATTTAGGAGGCAGGAATGTGATAACATGTAAAGGTATTGAACTGAATTTTGTAATTTAGCTGAGTATAAATCAATGAATTCATTATACAGCTTTTTCATGTAATTCCAGGATAAAAATCAGTGATGAATCATACAAAGCACCTCAGAAGATAAAAACTTTATTTTAGCCAACTTATTCTTATGCTAAAGCTAATCCACATTGTAGGGCCAAAGCAGAAAGATAATTTTATTACAGAATCTCTAAACTGCATAAGGTCGCCTCAGAAGTAAATAGCCACTGCTGTGACAGTGGTGCACTAACTCTAAGGGATTTTAGAAAAACTGCAAATAATTCATGAGGATAGGAGAAAAGAAATGAGACTTTCAGAAAAAACTTTAATGGAAAGTTACCTGTTTTACAGAGTGTTTTTCTTAAAGTTATTAACAGCTTCCTCTTAAAGGGCCTGCAAAAAGTGATTTTAATTTTATTCCTAATAGACATCAGAACTGCGATGATTTCTGCGAAATTAGAAAATTAAATATTTTACAAATAAACAGTTTTCTTTTCTTTTTTTTTTTTTTTATTTAATCAGTACCGGGGATTAACCTCATGACCACATACTTACAAGGCAGGCTCTTATGCCACTGAGCTAAATCTCCAGCCCCAAATAAACAGTTTTCTTATAGGCTATCTTTATCTCAGTATTGGTACCAAAAATATTTAACACTTCAAACTCATTTTTGTGAGTTTTTGTGATACTTTATATGATAGCAAAATTTGTTTCCAAGTGCTTATTTTAGAAGCTGCATATTATATATAGTTGTGTATTCATATGGATACACATATGCACATTCCTTGAGATTTACTTGTAGGTTGATTGACTACTACTCCCCCTGTTTTTCATATTCTTCATCGATCCACCACCTTCCTTAAGCTATTGGTTAAATAAATACACTTTCATAAGCAAGGCACTGTCATCAGACTGCCTTTTCCCTGATCTTGTGGAGATACCCCTTGTGTTTTTATTACTACTACAATACGAAAATCTGGAGCCGCGCCTGAGAGTCCTTCACGGATGACCCACACTGACTCACTCCTGTGTGGCCCTAGGCTTTCCAGAGACAGGTCCACGAGACTCTGACCCAGCTGGAGCTCATCAACAAGCAGTACCGCCGGCTGGCCCGAGAGAACCGAACTGACTCGGCGTGCAGCCTCAAACAGATGGTTCACGACGGCAACCAGAGATGGGACAACCTGCAAAAGCGTGTCACCTCCATCCTGCGCAGACTCAAGGTTGAATTATGCTTGTCCATAACTTAGAGCCCAGAAGACAGGACTGGGCAGTGGGAAAGCGATATTGAGACCAGATGTCAGTAATGGTGTGAGGTCAGGGTAAGAAGAGGGGTAGGCGGAGGAGGTGAGATGGTTTGGGGAGAAAATGACTTTTCGAAGGACACTGGGATAGGTCGTGTCATCATGTTAATGTGGACTTTTTATTATCTTCCACTTGTACCCAGCATTTTATTAGCCAGCGCGAGGAGTTTGAGACCGCACGGGACAGCATTCTGGTCTGGCTGACAGAGATGGATCTGCAGCTCACTAATATTGAACATTTTTCTGAGTGTGATGTTCAAGCTAAAATAAAACAACTTAAGGTAATGAGTTATTTTTCTTGTCAATATAGAGAAATACTGTCAATGTAAAGAAAGTCTAAAAAGTTCTTTCCAAAGGAAAAATAGCAAGAAATATAAAAGACATTAATAAAGAACCTTAGCTAGAGACAAACACCATAATTTATATGCACTTTTGTTTTTGTTTTATATTTATTTATTTATTGGTACCAGGGATTGAACTCACAACCTCATGCCTGAGAGACAGACACTGTGCCACTGAGCTATATCCACAATCCACAATGTAGACTTTTAAATAGTAACTCTGTTGCCAGGGTTTTAGGGATTTCTTTGGTTACTGTACTTCTGGTTTGTTTCTAGATCATTTGAATCCCAAGTCCTAGAACAAAACAACCTTCTTATTTTGAAATTTCATTCTGTATCTCCTACAGTCATAGACGCCACGTTAATTTTAACACCTTGTGTGTTTTTCACCAAATAAATCACCATGGCTAATTTTAATGTGAATATACATTACCTAGAAGAATTTCCTAAATAGGATGCTTAATAAGTTGAAAACATCTGCAAGATGGCTTATGAAATTTTCTTCCCACTACAGATGGATGGATTTTTTTTGGTTTTGGTTTTGATCTTTTGGTACTGGGGACTGAACCCAAAGTATTTTACATACATGTTCTGCTGGTAAATTACACTCCCCTGCCCTGATAGATGGGTTCTTTTGAAGAATATTCATTATGTTCATAATTTTGATTATTATAATAAAAATAAGAAAGCTACTCTTAATTTAACCATTAAGTTGAAAGAAATCATAAAATAGTAACCCTGATGTTCTACCCAATGGTTCCTCCCTTCTCTCTTTCACTTCCTTCACACAACTCTGTCAAGTCAGTTCTTCAGCCAGAAATTTCTACCAAGCTATAGCTGATTTTTTTTCCTATGAGAGTCTGGCAGGATCATGGATTTCAATGCTCTTCCATTTTTCCCTGGCGGTCTTTTTCATCATTGGTCAGTTTCAACTCTTTCAGAGTTTATTCTCACATTGACTTAAAATGTATCATTTGAAACTTGTCCCTAGGAATACAACACTTTCAAACTGTATAAACTTAGTCTAAATTATCCCTGATTTCCTTACTTTAACATCATTATCACCTTATGTGTTAATGCTTATGTCCCCCCCAAAAAAGAATCATCTGAGAAGAATCTGTGGCTTTGTCCTTTGAATGATTTCCCTTAGTTGAGTTTGACATAGAATGCAAACCATAATAAATCAAAACGTTTAGATCATGCCCTTGTATTTGTCAGGAATCACCAATGCTACTAGCTTGATAATGTGTTTGAATAGTTTTGTGTTATTCACTAACCGCACTGACTGTGGTGGTAAATCTTACTATCATAGCTTCTTTTCTGATCATAGAATTCTAATGTTTCCATTTCTGTTTTTGCTTTCAATTGTGTGCTCTACTTTAACAAGTAACAGCCTCCTGGCTTGTCATTGTATAAGGTAAATCACATATCCTATCCCCTACGTCAGTGGCTGCAAACCTATGGTCTGAGTGCCACAGCGGGTACCCAGAGCCCTGTCTTTTGGCATGCGAGCCACATCACTCCAGCAGCCAAGCATTGGATAACAGTTGTTTTTCTAAATTAAAACCTCAGTATTCGGGTTTAATTGCAGTGTTGACACTTTGCAATAAAGAAGTGGGTTTTGAGTTGCAGTTTGGGCATTCATTCTCTAAAAGTTTTGCCATCACTGCCCTATGTGTTTTTTTCTAATGAGACATACATACTTACAATTATCTTGTATCAAGGATAACAATGGAAAAAGTCATCAGGGCTTTGTGCTCCCTAGGCCTTCCAGCAAGAAATTTCCCTGAACCACAGTAAGATTGAGCAGATCATCGCACAGGGTGAGCAGCTGATAGAGAAGAGTGAGCCTCTGGATGCGGCTGTCATCGAGGAGGAGCTGGATGAACTCCGCCGCTACTGCCAGGAGGTCTTCGGGCGCGTGGAAAGATATCATAAGAAACTGATCCGCCTGCCTGTGTGTAACGCTAATACTTTTCAGCATCATGAAATCTAGAGAGAATTAGTTATATGGGAGTAGCTATCACAGTAACATGGGAATGAGCCCAGACCCCAGAGCCAGATCCGTGTTCAATCCTAACTTTGACGTGTGTTGACTGTGTCATTGTGGGCAAGTTCTTCACCTTTCTTGCTCAGTTTTCTCAACTGTAGACAGGATTAATCATAGTAGTAACTGTCTCATAGACAGGACTGGGCTTTTTGCTTGTTTTGTTTTATTCTTAAGTATATGTTTATGATACATGATAATTATATTCCTCTTGGGGAATTGGTACACAGACCTATCTCAGTAATTCTCTCTACTTTCCCTTCTGTTCCCCTCCTTCCCACATACCTCCAGCCCTGGATCCCTTTCCATCTCCCCAGAGCTTGCCTTCCTATTTTTTATCATCTGTCTTTTATTTTGCACTTATTTATATTTTGAGTTTCTCACAGAAGAGAAACCATGCAATATATAACCTCGAGACCATAATACTAAGTGAAATAAATCAGACACAGGTTAAATATCAGAAAGATTGTTTTGGTCATCAGATGAGTTATTATACATAAAAATATGAGAAGAGTACTCTTCATATATCTTCTGTGGAATATAAAGAAGCTGCTAGAAGAAATAGGGAGATGGAGTGAGAAATATAAGCAGTTACTCATCTGATGAGGTAATGTTAGGTGAATTTTTTCTTACATTTTGCTACCATAGTTACATCTTGTCTGTATATATGTTATTAGAATATTTAAAATCTTCTATGGTTAAATATATTTTATATCTTGGATAAAGGGGGTAGGCTAATGTTTTTCTAGTAATTTATGTTTGTTCTTAATGTGTATGCCTTTGTGTGCCTATTGGGTTGTCGGTGTGGTACTAGGTTGCCTTTACAGCATATTTAATCATCAATCAATTCTTTAAAGTAGGTCTTAATAGTATTCCCATTTTATTAGTGATAAAACTGAGACGTATGTAGATTAATTCATAGGACATTTCTAAAAGTCATCTGAGATTCTGTTTTTGTTGGTGAGAAGTTTAAAATCACTGCCACGTGGTGGACAGGTGGTAGATCACCTTGCTGATGGTAGATCAGCTCGAGTGATCTGCTGAGGTGGTGCCTGTCAGGGTGAGGAGCCTAAGCCCTGCAGTAACAGAGTTGGCCTGACTTCCCTTCCAGCTACCGGATGATGAGCATGACCTCTCTGACCGGGAGCTGGAGCTGGATGACTCTGCAGCCCTCTCAGACCTGCACTGGCAGGACTCATCTGTGGACGGTGTGCTCTCCCCCCAGCCTTCCTCCAACCCCTCCCTCTCACTCCCCCAGCCCCTGCGCAGTGAGCGGTCAGGACGGGACACCCCGGCGAGCGTGGACTCTATCCCCCTGGAGTGGGATCATGACTATGACCTCAGTCGTGACCTGGAGTCCGCAGTGTCCAGGACTTTGCAGTCTGAGGATGAAGAGGGCCAGGAAGAGAAGGATTTCTACCTCAGGGGAGCAGTCGGCTTATCAGGTAGGGAAGAGCTTTTCCTGTATATCAGCTTGGAGGAAAATAGTCAGGAGTTGCTGCTGTGCTGGAAACATATCAGCTAAGCAGATTCACCTTCTGTGAAACATTGGATGCTGCCATAATGACGAATGTGTGGTCACATGGAAATGTAACCCTGGGGCAGCTCCCCAGGACAGGAAGGAGGCTGTGGGAAACTTCTGAGCTGAGATGATAGGCGTGAGTGGTGGTTGCTTAGGTAGATGAGGCAATGTTCAGTACTTTCTGTCAGCTGAAGTTTGACCCAAATGACAAGATTGTGGCTTGAGTGGAATACAGTAGACAAAGGAAAGGCTGGAAAGGCAAGGGAGGGTGGTCACAAAATGACCTGTTCACCACAAAAAGGAGTTCGGCTCTTGTTCTGACGGGAATAGGGAGTGACAGCATGGTCTAAGGAAGAAGGCGATGTGATCAGGTGCACAGTTTTATATTGTTTTGGTCTAGACACTGCAGAAGAACATACAGGGCAGAAGAGAGTGCAGATGGAAATGTTTTATAATCTAGGATACACAGAGGATAGTGGCCTGAGCTAAGAAGCAGCACTGGACTGAAAAAATATGGAAATGGCAAGAAATCATGAGAAGACTCCTGCAGAGTTAATGATTGACTTGAGAGAGAGAGACACCTCTTGGTGGAAGATGCGTATGCTCCAAGGCCCTGACAACCACGAGAGGGAGGCAAGGCAGAAAGATATGGGCACTGCTGAGTACAGTCAGGCTCAGCCTGATTTTGAGATACTTTTAGAATTTCCAAATGAATAATCCAGGAGTAGGTATATGGGTCTGAAGTCAGTGCCCAGAAATACATTAGGTAGTTATCCCTGTGTAAATGGTAATGAACCCTAAGCACAAGGAGGGAGTCACACAGGAAAAGTGTATAAGGGAAACAAGGAGCACAAAATCCCAAGCAACAAATACTCTAAAGGATGTACAAAGTAAAAAGATCACTATATAGAAGGCAAGCAAACATGGAATAAAGAATTGGAGGCTGATGTTTGGCACTCATAAATGTACGACCTAGTTTCCCTAAAAGGAAAACTGTAACTACAAGGTCATCTGTGACTTTTGTTATGTTTCTGATAATTCAAATCTGGATTCTCAAGCATATGACATTATTTTAAAACTAAAATGATTTCTTGCATTTCTATTTTATTGACACCAGAGTTAGGCATATGGCATCATAACAAGTACTGCCTGGCATGTACCCACCAGCCACAATGACAGTTAAGCACTAAACTGTAAGCTGTGGTGGGCTGACAGAGGAAAAGGAATAGCATGTGTGTACTGATTTTAAAGGCGTGGTAAAAGCATGTGAAATATTAATATTTATGTTGATAACTTGCTATAATTTGGACATCCGGTTTAGTAAAATTTAGCACTAAAATTAATTTCACCACTCTTCTAATACAGCTATTAAATACTTAAAATTACATGTGTTGTTAATAGAAATATTGCTACCCTAGAATCCAGGTGGAAGTCCCTTGTCTGTGACTGACTAGCTGTTTAAACTTGGACAAGTAACTTCATTTCCCTGGAAGTCAGTTTTCTTTCTATACAATGGGAATAATATTCAGGTATCCGTTGGATTTCTGTAAAGATAAATGAGTGCACTCTCAATGGATGTGAATTCCTAGAAGGATCCATTTCCAGAAGCCTTTGGTGAGCATGCGCACACTCTTCTGTGTGCCCGGGAACCACCTGTTTAAAATGACTAACTTCCTTTTTTTCCCTAGGAAAGTTATTTTCCTGCCACCAGAGAATCAAGGTTTCCAGCACTTAGTTGTCAACTTAGACTGTGCTCTTTTTGCAGATGTAGTGATCCCCGAGAGCCCTGAGGCCTATGTAAAACTCACAGAAAATGCCATCAGAAATACCTCTGGTAGGCCTGGAAAGCCAGCCAGTCCATCTCCGCCCTATAAAATCCTTCTCTCAGCACAGCTGCTGTATCGCTCACAGCTTCGGGGCTCACGCATGCTAAGACATAAACCTTCCTCTCTTCCTGCTGTACTAGATAAAAGCAGCTGGTTGGTCCACATCCAGAATAAGATTTAAATAATCAAAAAAATAAGGAAGAACTTACCCACTTGTCGTATCATAATCAGTCTAGAGTAGAGACCTCTGGCGCCCATTAACAGCAGACAGGGCCCGGCCAGTACTCAGACAGTGTGCTTCCACCACGGGAGGGCCAGATTTGTGGGGTTGCCACCTGCCTCTAGCCAGGTGCGTGACCTGGGGATATGTTACACTGCATCTGCTGCATTTCAGAGGTCATGGGAGACAAAAGGGGAAACAAGATTTTAAAATACCATACATCTGTTTTTTGGTTGAAATACTGGGAATTGAACCCAGGGCCTTTGAACTGAACTACACTCCAAGCCCTTTTTACTTATTTATTTATTTTTTGCTTCAAAACAGGGTCTTACTACATTGCACAAGCAGGACTTAAATTTAAGATCTTCCTGCTCCAACCTCCCAGAGTTCTGGGATTACAGGTGTGCGCTGCCATGCCCACCTAAAATATATCACTTTAGTTTAAGAAGCCTTACAAAAGAAAATAACTGGAAATGAAAAACAAGTTCTGCTCTATTGTGACCTTGCATTTCCTGTTAAGGATAGAACTGTTCCTAAAACACAAAGAATTAAAGGCAAATGGAACCAGTTTTGCTCAGTATTGCAAGAGACAAACTGTAGCTCAGGGTCAGTGGATTGCAGAATGATGTGCAATGTGGTATGAAGTTGTGGAGTTACTAGTTTACACTTCTGTTTCTGAAGATAAGCAAAGGGCTCAAAATGAAGTAGCATTAGTAACAGCTGATTTTCCAAGCAAGTTGTAATGAGAGACCCCTTATGGGTGTACTTAGAAAGGCTTTCTTCTAAAGTAAATAAATAAATTGAATAAAGCTTACTTACTAATATTTGTTTTGCTTTCCATTCTGATGATCACTGATCTTGTTCCATTCCAAGACCATCATAGACAAATGTACATAGAGACGCACTCACACAGACATGCACACACAGACACACACCTTGTAATTTTGCAATTCAAAGAGTAGAATGAGCTAAGGTTTAAGCAATGAGGAAGAGCCTACATGTACAGAAGTGCTGATAGGTTTCTCCTAGTTTGTTTGGTTTTTTTTCAGACTAGATAAAAACCAAGTCTCTGCTAGTTTGATCTCTCCAGGCATGTCTATTCTAAGCTAACCTTTTGTTGATTATCCTGAATTCATGCCTTAAATGAATGACACAATAATCAGATCTTCGGTGGCACTTCATCTCCCAAGGTACACAAAGACAAATTAGAGTGTACCTTCCACTGCTTGTTACAGGACTGCAGAAGGAGCCTGAGAAGCCACTGGATCCTCATTCCTGGGGAGATACCATTTCAGATTTTTAAAAGGCCTGCCCTTATTTACAGCTATCAGACAACCAGGGTAGGGGCTGGAGGAGGGAGCAGGCATCCCAGTGTATAGAACCAATTGCAGGACCCTTTGCAATGCCCACTATTCTGGGGACTCTTAGGAAGCACACTCACTGGTATAACCTACTAAGCCTAATCTTCTAGTACGCCTTCACTAAATTTGCTTTTATAATACCCACACACTTGCCCTTTCCATGCTGTCATACTGAAACAGTTTCTGAAACTTCTTGAGCATCAAGCTTGAAATAACTCAAGCAGAATGGGCAGTAAAGATTCTTATGGTTGGCACCACAGGGCATCACAGCGCCTTGGAGTCACAGATCCAACAACTGGACAAAGCCCTGGATGACAGTCGCTTCCAGCTGCAGCAAACTGAAAATGTCCTACGCAGTAGAACTCCTACGGGGCCAGAGCTAGACTCCAGCTACAAAGGCTATGTGAGTGTCCTGAACAGCCTGCTTCTGACCTGTACCTGGATCACAGTTCTGTGACAAAGAATGCTCCATCTGCAATATGAGGGACTTCTGATGCCCACCCCCAAACAGCAGAGCCCTTGAACTCATGGACATGGATGTACAAAACAAAGATCTGATGTTTAAAGTTACCATTTGAGCAGAAATGCTCCATTTTCAACCCCAGGAGCCCATTGTCACGACTAGCCTGTTCGTTTATACTAAGCACTTAATGAGATCCATTTATTTGAGTACAACAAAATCCTTTGATTCCCAAAGGTCATTAGGCATTTTTCCAAATTCTACTAATAATTTTTGGCCAAGGTTATCCTTGAAGTAGCAGATTTTAGCTAATAGTTTACTAATCATGGAATTTTTTTTAGTTCTTTTTCTGGGTTTTCAGTGTATATTGACCTTGGAAATATTTTAGAATCCTCTGGAGTTTTGGTATGGTTTGGTGAATGCTTTGTTTTGTTTTGTTTATGGTGTTAAGGATGGAACCCTCTCCTCTGCTCCTTGATATGCTCATTCTGAAGAAAAAAGATCTGAAGAGGGCCTAGGAGAAAGACAGCAAACAGTTATGGATATTACCAATTGCATTTGAGCAGCTATTAGCTGTGTATGATAAAGTTTATCAAAACTTTATTTGTCCTATGCTAGTTACTGACCCAGTAATTTTTTTCATAAAAGTACCTGTGTCTGTTTCCTACATACATTTAGGCAAGAGAATTTCTAAATAAATTTGTTCCCTGTCCAATATCTTCTTTCACATGCAAGTGAATTTTTAGAAAAAGGAAAGAAAAGTTAATTTCCTATGGTCTAATCACAGTTTATATATATGATATTTTAAGTCAGGGAAGAGAGCCGCTCCAGCAATGTATGTTAATATTAATATTGTCATGATTAGCTCCAAAAGCTATCATGAAACATCTTTTGTAAAATTCTGGTATAATTTTAATATAGTTTATTGATGACTGTGCTTATACCATTGAAATTACACTTAACCTCAGTCAAAAGTCAACAAAGTAACTTAATACCATTGTGTTCTATTGAAGAGCTTTGTTGTTGGTGGTGGTGGTGGTGGTGTTTTGCTTTTGTGTTTTGGGTGGTTTTTGGTTTTTTGTTTGTTTGTTTGTTTGTTTGTTTGTGTGTGTGTGTGTGTGTGCTAGGAATGAACTCATGACCTTGCACATGCCAGGCAGGTGCTTATGCTGATGAGCTACATCCCCAGCCTCTACTGAAGAGTTTTGGAGAGATTATGTAATACATGGTCCATATTGCAGAAATGCCTTAATTTATTGTTTTATTTTTGAATTCTGTAGATGATATTAGAAGTGGAGTTTGAAGTTTTCCCCCTGATTGTAGAATTTAGTCTCTTAATACCTATTACACATTGCTTAAATTTCCTCCTAAAACAACTGGCATTAGTGTTGCTTTGTGCTTTTAAGTATTTGAATTATTCAATGCAGAAATGTCCCATGAGGTTTATAGTATATTAATGTTTCCACATTTCAATTTAAGAAAGACAAAGAAGGAGCAATTTGACAAAAGTTAAGTATTACCTTTCAGCAGAGGGCTCTGGGCTTTCCATCCCAGAATGGTTCAATAAGTTCAAATTCATGAATTTAAAGGAAATATTGAGGACTTCGCATGCCAACCCTGTATGGCCAGTAGGACTTTAAGGCTTTGCTTTTTGTGTCTTTGAATGCACATCACCTGTTGAGACAGCATAGCTGTGGTCTTTGTTTATTTTTAGTAAAGTGACACAGAGGAGTATAACACAGCCAGCACTCCACTGGGCAGCTGCAAAGACATCCTCCCAGAAGCTCTTGCCCTTGTGGGAATTTTGGTGATGAGGACTGTTTTTCATGTCTCAACAGATGAAACTGCTGGGCGAGTGCAGCGGCAGCATAGATTCAGTGCGGAAACTGGAGCACAAACTGAAGGAGGAAGAGGAGAACTTCCCTGGCTTTGTTAACTTGAATAGTACTGAGATGCAGACAGCTGGTGAGTGCATTCTAGGCAGTTCAAAAGGACTTTGTCACACTCATCTTCCATGGTTCTGCTTCACCTCCTGTAGGAGGTTCAATCCTGGGACCCTCTTGCTACCATCTAAGGATCACCCATGACAGAGGAGGGAGAAGGAGCATGTACCTTTATTTTAATGCACTGTCTCTAGTGTTGAGTCAGCTTTTTGTATGTGCGCATTCAGCATCCTGTTGTAGAAAAGAACCAAGAATGGAATCATCTCTTCTGGCACATGATTGCTTATTACTTCAGAAAGTTCCTCATGGCTTTTTTAAACTCCATTCTCATTAGAAATGCAAGTAGGAAAAGAGCCTCTGCTGTCCCGTGGATTACTGTGCATTCCATTTCTTTTTCCCTCGTTCTTTATGGTGGAACCCAAGGCCTTTGTACTGAACTATATCCCTAATCTCTTTTGTTTGGGTATTTATTTTTTAATTTATTTTTATTTTGAGACAGGGTCTCACTCAACTGCCCAGATAGGGCTCAAACTTCCTTCCTGATCCTCCCACAGTGCTGGGATTATAGGTATTCACCACCAAATCTGGCTCTGTTGCTCTTTAAAGTTAGCCACCACTGCTTATTTAAAGCATTCCCCAGCTGGAGAAAACTCTTTACTCTTCTGTGCCTGGCTCTCCAGGTGTGATTGACCGATGGGAGCTCCTACAGGCCCAGGCCCTGAGCAAGGAGTTGAGGATGAAGCAGAACCTCCAGAAATGGCAGCAGTTCAATGCAGACCTGAACAACATCTGGACCTGGCTTGGGGAGACAGAGGAGGAACTGGAACGACTCCAGCGCCTGGAGCTCAGCACCGACATCCAGACCATTGAGCATCAGATCAAAAAGCTCAAGGTAACTGCCTCTTGCCTTTCCCATCGAGGAAGCCACCACATGTGCCATTTGTTCAGAAACTTTTAGCTTTGATATGTTTTACCCTCACACAGCAGTAGGGAAGATGTCCAACAAAACTGGACAAGAACTCATCTCTCCCATAGCCATCCAAAGTCCCAGTGTGTCTTAAGATGGTTTAGAAGGGCAGAGCATGCTTTAGGGCTCTCCGCACATAAACAATCACTCATAGTTTAGCAAAGTGGAATTTTATGAAATGGTCAGTTAGTTTCCTAGAAAATCCGGACACCTCTGTGATCTAATCAACCTTTTTGTAAGACAAATATAAGTAAGAGCAGAGGGTTGCACATCTTTATTAGAACTGGAAAGAAATCCTTTCAAAGTCTGTATCTGTGTGAATTCATGGGAAACCTGGTGATATCATTTGATTTTCTCATATTAGCAAAATTTCCAAAATTGATTATAGCAGTGACAAAAGGAATTGTACTGTAATGGATCAAGCAAAACAAGACTAAGAGTATTTATGAACTACACCTTTGATTTAGGCCTGGTTGGAGATAGTATCTCTTCCCTTCACTCCAGCCCCAGATCTTAACAGTCCCCCGTAGTTCAGCTATTGAACTTCACTCCTATGTGGAAACTGGTGAGTACCATAGACTGAGAGCTCAGTTTTTATTGACAGCTCAATGGCTCCTGGGTTTTCTTTGGAGAGCATCAAGATGTGTTCAGATGGGCTTCTGCTCAGAGTAAAGCTACCCTGGACTCAGAACTACACGTGCTGCTCCCATATTTCTGTGACTTTAGTACATGCTACTTATTTTTAAATGATATCTCTGTGGCTTACTTTTAGAGTTGTTTTGTTTTGCTCTAAATTTTCAGAGAGAGAAATCAGTGTTTCCCGCAGGTATTTTGAGAAAAGTCTCTGCACCAACTCCATGAATTTTTGCACTAGGTGCAGAAAGGGAGCTAAATTTATAGAATATACATAATAAAATGCATTTTTCTGAGGGTCCATAGATTAGTTGGCAGCCCTGCTTTATAACCAAATTCTTGAAAAGTTGCTAAAACAAGTGCAGGGCAGAGTCTGACAGCTCAGCAGGATGAGGGCAGCAAAGTAAGACCTTGGAAGTCCATCTGCACGGTGAGGAAATCTGCCTCCTCTGCCCTGTTCTTGGTGCTTCCTGTCTGCATTCTCTGTGAATAAATCTGTGGAATAACCAACTTCTTTCTACAGTATCTCTTGGTCTCCTACTGTGTCTGTGGTCAAATTTATAGCACAGCATGTTAAGAACCCATTGAAAAGTGTAAATGTAATTCAAGTTGGGAGCATACCAAAACCAAGGAGAAATTAGAAAAAAGTACAGCCTCTGTAAATGTGATTTCTAGTATTACTTACCCCATCTTGATCCATGGACATTTAAATATTACCCAAAACACTCAGAAATTAATAGACAATTTGTGCTCAGGTTCTTGGAATTAAGTTATGAACACAGGAAATCTACAGAACTAAACATCAGTCACCCGCTTTGACAGTGAAATCAAACTGAACTGATTAGCTCATGAAATGCCCAACTCATTCTCTTCCTCATACTAGAATGTGTCCTGTGATGAGACAGTGTCCTCAGCCTGTGGACCGCTGTGCCACACATAAGATCACTGGAGCCTCCGGGCCTGGAATCTGCCTTTTTAAGTTCACCACTTCTTACTTATGCACACAGTTTAGCATACCACTGGTCTAATGAATTAGTATTATTATGTGAGAAAAATAAAAGCAGGTATCCTTCTGCTCAAAGCTGCTGGACAAGATTCTGACTAAACAGCTGTGCAAGGGGCTGAGTTAGCCAGATATCTTAGTTCTCATCTTTCTTCCTGCTTTATTTATTTTCTATTTATTTATTCTACCCTTCCTTGGTTTTTAATTCGCCTTCCTCAAAGATATGTCAGCCATTCTGAAATATGTAATGGTTCCCATGTATTCTTGAAAATTGTGATTTTTTGAGTATGCACATGTATTAATGCAATTGTGTTAAACAAATCATTCTGTTCAGACTTTTTTTTTTTTTTAGTACTAGGAATTGGACTCCTACCCTTGCACTTGCCAGGAGACAGGCACTGTGTCACTGAGCTATATCCCCAGCCTCAGTTTGGACATTTTTGTTCTATACTATATTCTCCTAAGTTGTCAATTGTCATCAGATCTTCTCATCAGTGTCAGTGTGGTTTACCCACCATCACTTCCCTAAGCATCCTGTTAGGGCCAGTTTTAATTAGGATCTTTTTTTTTTTTTTTTTTGTCTTTTTCATTTTCATTTTTATCAGTACCAGGGATCAAACTCACGACCATCTGCTTGTAAGGCAGGTGCTTATGCCACTGAGCTAAACCCCCAGCCCCTTAACTAGGATCTTTTCATTTGCGTGGAACACTTTCAAGGGTCTTACAATATTTTGTAACAGATGTTTTGTCATTATTGTGTCTGTTAAATTGTCCCCCTTTCTTTTTCAGGAGCTCCAGAAAGCAGTGGACCACCGCAAAGCCATCATCCTCTCCATCAACCTCTGCAGCTCTGAGTTCACTCAGGCTGACAGTAAGGAGAGCCAGGACCTGCGCGATCGCCTGTCCCAGATGAACGGGCGCTGGGACAGGGTGTGCTCCTTACTGGAGGACTGGCGGGCTCTGCTACAGGACGCACTCATGCAGTGCCAGGTCAGTGGGGCTTTGGGCAGGTGGCTCCTTGGAGCCAAATGCTGTCACTGTTTTTTTGAAGGAAACAGTTGTTTCTCCAAAAGAATAGTTGAGTGAGATTAACTATGTTCCTGAACTTTTCATTTTCCTAGAGAATCTGTACATCTAACTAGAATTCAAAGACTCTACATCTCATCATCTGTCCAGTTTTAAAAAAAAGATTACTCCCCACATTTGTCTCCGCCCTGCCTTTTCTCATTCATTCATTCAACACATATTTACAGAGCACATAGATATTTCTTGAGCATCAAAGTAAGCATTACACATTTTTACCCATCCATTCCTTCCACAATTATTTGCTGTTTCCACCATGTGCCAGATAGACAAAATAAGTAAAATTGCAGGAAATAGTTAATCAGGATACCTATAGACACAGGTCACATGTAGCAAGCAGTTGAGAACGGCCACCTTGGGAGGGTGGTCAGGGGAGTTCTGTAGATCTCTAAGCTGCCACTGGAAGAATGTTGCTATGAAAGGCTTGTTGAATGAAATGTGTTAGAAAAAGAAAAGCATACAATGCCTTTAGGACAGAAAAGAGTCCAGTATGGTCAAGATGTAGTCAGTGAGGCAGGAAGTGATCAGGCCTGGGAAGGATCTGGAACCGGATCACACAGAGCACTTTAGGTCCTGGCCAGGACTTTGAGTCCTATCTGAATTTCAATGGGAAAATGAAAGATCTGAAAGCTGTAGTTACACTGTTTTTTCCCCCATTTTGCCCACTCCTTTCAGAGTATCTTGCCCACAGGAGACCTTCAGTAACTACAAGGTGTGATTAAAAAAATGTTGTATGTTTAATATTTTAGAGTCTTACAGTAAAGACATATTGCCATTAAACCTCTCATACATCTCCTTACCTCCGTACTTATCCCATCATTTTTGCCACTTTCTGATGTACTTCTGGAAGTCCTCAGTTGTGAGTGTCAGTAGCTGTGCTGTCATGCCTAGTGCAATGTCCTGAATTGATTCAAAGCACAGTGATTTCTGTCAAAAACATTATGATGTGCTCTCACCCACCTTATTTACTGGATCTGCTATCATGAGGCTTTTGACTTCGCCCTAAAGTCAAAATGACAGTGAAAGGTAAATGTTTTGAGTTGATGCAGGACATCAAGACAGTCAGGACCTCATAACTGAAGACACTTGCAAAAGAGGACTTCCAGAACGGTGGCACAAAGTGGCAAGAATGGCAGGATAGGTGTATCTGAAGTTAGAATATTTTGAGGGAGATTAGTGTATCTTGTACTGTAATAATATTTTTAATTTAAACATTCACCATGTTGATCACACCTTATCTGTGTTGAATAAATGAACAAGTGGATGAATGAAGGGTGTACAAAATTGGGCTCAAGCCTTAGAAGATGGGAAAATTTGAATATGCAGAGAAAAGACAGGAGGAGAGTCAAACCTGTCCAGACTATCAGCATTACCCTTCTTTCTAGAAATTAAGTATTTTGATACCAACTTTAGGTCTAAATATTTGCCCCTCCCTTGAGTAATAAATAAGATGTTTTTGGTAAGAAATTAAACTCTTGGTCAGCTACCTACAACAGCATTAAAGACTTCCTGAGAATAGAATCATGCATCTGATCTTAACATCAACATATGTTTGCCAGTGTTAGCAACTGAAAAGAATGGAAATGTACTCTAGAAAGTTTATTACACATGGTTATGTATTTTCATAGGATTTCCATGAAATGAGCCATGGTTTACTGCTTATGCTGGAGAATATTGACAGAAGAAAAAATGAAATTATCCCTATTGATTCTCACCTTGATACAGAGATACTCCAAGATTATCACAAGCAGCTGATGGTAAGAATCTGGACAGTCTAGTTACTTTCAGAGGAGTGGATATTTTTACTTTTATTTCATTGTGTCTAAATTATGCTGTTAATTTACACTCCAGCCTAAGTCTCTAACTTAACTCTTAAGGATTTTAGTGATTTTGAAACAAGTTGCAAACAGCCATTGCTTACTTGTACTAAAGTTAGGTATATTTAATCTCAATTAGCTTGTGTTTGGTAGGGCAACTGTTCAAAAATGTACTCATTTTCAATTTTAAAATGTACTTATTTTTAATTTACACATTCTATCTATGTCCCTAAAATATAGTACTTAGTAGATACTAAAATACAGTTGTCTTTGTTAGAGGAATTAGATACACCATCTGAAATATTAACTTTTGCACCAAATTTTCTGAAAGAAAAACAAAAGAGGAAACACAATAACTTAGTTTATTTTTATCACCTGACAACACCAAAATATACCAGCTCTCAAAAAGTGAGAAACTGCCGAGCATAGATGCATACCTGTAATCCCAGCACTTGGGAAACTGAGGCAGGAGGATTACAAGTTCAAGCCTGGCATGAACAACGTAGTGACTTAGTGAGTCTTAAAATTTAGATGGGAGCTGGGGATTTAGCTTAGCGGCATAAGCACCTGCCTTGCAAGCAGGCGGTTGTGAGTTTGATCCCCGGTACTGTTAAAAAAACAAATTTAGATGATGATGATAATAATAATAATAATAATAATAATAATAATAATAATAAAAGCTAAGTTTATCAGTACTAGGGACGGGGGGATAGTGGGGAGGAAAGAAAAGAAAGAAGTAAGAAACTATTTCTAGGATTATATTCAAATGGAAATTTACTGCTTAGGTTTTTATACAAGGATCTTGATAATAAAAAGTTTAATGTATTTAAGTGATTTTTATAGATGATAAGCATATTTGGGTTCCATTCGGAGACAGTGCTTTGAATTTTGTAGATTTCTGTATTTTTAAAATGCTAGGTTAAATTAATGTTAACGTTATCTTAAATTATTTCATTTAAGACTCACTGATCTAAACTACAAAATTAGCTGCTTTTAATTCAGTACCAGAAGTATCTTAGAAGCCAAGAGGAAATAACTATGCAACTATATTTTTACTCGTTTGTCTCCTGGTATTAAGCTATGTATGATCACTCAATATCTTTTATTAAAATTCTGAGTGTGTATCAGAGCACACCTAGACATACTTGAGTTTTTGCTGTATTTGGATGTTAATGCTTTATTTTTCTATTTAAAAATTATCTTATGTCTCATTTGCACAATACTTTACATTTTAAGGACACATTCACAAATACATCCCATTATGATAGTAAACCTGACACCTCTGTGAACCAGGCATCCAATGAGAACACTGAGATCAGAGAAGTTCAGAAGTCCTGCAGGGATGTTTTGTTTTGGTTTGGTTTGGTTTTGTTTGGTTCGTTTGTTTTTCTTTTTCTTTTTTGACTGAGATCAGATAAGAACACAGCTCCCCATTCCTGCAGCCAGGCATCAGCATCATTTTGAGTGTGCACACCGCATTCTGATGCTCAGCTGCAATTCCCACTTTGGGAACATTGTCCGTCAGAACTCAGAAAAAACTTTCCTTCTTCTATACACAGCAAATACGGCGTGAGCTGTCAGAGTCTCAGCTCAAAGTGACCTCACTGCAAGACATGTCTTGCCAACTCTTGGTCAATGCTGAAGGCACTGACTGTTTGGAAGCCAAAGAAAAAGTTCATGTCATTGGAAATCGGCTCAAACTTCTCTTGAAAGAGGTCAGTCGTCATATCAAGGACCTGGAAAAGTTACTGGACATGTCGAGCAGTCAGCAGGTGAGTCCTCACCAGCCACCAAGGTGTTGCATTTCTTATAGGAGTGGGAAACACTGCTTCTCCAAAGCCTTTGAATGAAGCACATGTCAGAACAGAGTGTCCACTCTGCATCACTGCTCCTCTAAGTCTCCTCTCAAAATGAACACATCAGGTGCATAAAGCTCTATAACAGGACATTCTTTTGATTCTATTAAATTCAGAAGATCTCTTCTAATTGTTGCTGCCAGCTCTATTGCTATCACTGCTGTGGCATTTTATTTCACCCTGACTATTGAAGAACTCACACATTTTTAGTTATGCAGCCATGTTGGAGCAAACCAAACACTGTGGATGAGTTTTGTATTCAAAGAGAATAAAACATGCATTCTCCCTATGTGTACTATATAGTAATTACTCCATAGAAAATAGTCCTCTGCTCATTTGCTTTTTATAAGTTTTTCTTCAGTCTACCATATTATGATAGTATTGTTGATTTTGCAAACCCAGCAATGCTAAGATTTCAGACATTCAGTTGTGCAATACTGTCAGGAACACACTGTGCTTTGTCCTCTTGTAAGCATGTAATGGAGCCATCAACTCTGAACAGCAGCAGTATCAGAAATAACACAGTTCTTATTCTACCAGACAGACTACTGAGTGGCTACCATTTGTTTCTAACATAGACAAATTGGTTTATCTCTTGTCTTGGGGACCTACAACTATAAGACAGTTCTCATTACCTCCCATTCGTATATCATTCACATCCACATCACCAAGAAATAATAAAGATGCAATAAAAAATGTATAGCTATATTTTCCAAAGTACCAAACTCACAGCCAGGAAATCCCAACTCATAACAAAAAGAAGGTATGCTGTTTTCAGCGGTCTGATTTCATTTTTCCCAGCAATCTGATTTGTATGGTGAGGATGGGCAGATGATGGGGGTGGGGTAGGAAATACATTGTGCATATAGACCTCCCACAGCTCTGGGACATGGAGTTTTTAGACGAATCTTTTTCTTGCATAGGATTTGTCTTCCTGGTCTTCTGCTGATGAACTGGATACCTCGGGATCTGTGAGTCCTACGTCAGGAAGAAGTACCCCAAACAAACAGAAACCGGTAACTTTGCACTGGCCATTTTCAAGTGGCTCACGCGCACAAACACTAGGGAGTGACAGTGTGTGTCTACCATGGAGTCCACAGGTTCAGAACAGGAGTCCCCAGGCAGGAGAGGGCTGTCACCATTGCAGAGCTGCTCCCTCAGCCCCCACACCGTGTGGCCTTCCAGCATGCGCTCAGGAATGCACAAGAGCAATTCTGCTTTTTAAAAGAACCAGGGCTCAGTGTGTGGCTGGTATGTGGGAAGAAAAACTATTTTACTTGCTCACATGGCCACGTCAAGAATGCTGCTCATGTGGCCCTTTGGTGGCTCCTTCCTTCAAACCACCACCCCCAGGTCCACCTAACAGAAGTGCCTGAGCCAAAGGTGGACGGACTGAATGTCCCATGAGTCCACTGAACTGATGAGACAAATGGAGGTTCTGTTGATCCTCAAGCAAAGAGGCTTCTGAGTAGTAGTCTTGAAGGTTGGGGCCCTAATGTGGCACCAACTCAAGCTGACCCACCCAGACCACAAGGCTGGTGACGGCTGCCTCAGGGCCACACAGTGAGGATGAAAAGACCAATTTGGCCCTGCTACCCTCTATACCTTGGTTTCTCTGTGTAATTAGAAGCTTGGTTTTTGTTTTGTTATTTTTTTTGTCTGGCTTTATGATTTTATTCATTCTGTTTTTCTTTAGTTTTTAGAAGTAATGATTTCATTTGTACATTTTTTTGTTATATATACTTATGTTCTATGCTGACAAATGTATTATCCTTTTTAGGATTGTTTTTTACTACATTCACTAGTTTCCTATAGATCCTAGTTTAAGAATGTGAAGGAATACTGGCTTTTCTATTCAAATTTTAATTTGAATGTAATTTGTTGGGCTTCCTCCTGCAAAGCAGCAAGCTTACATTACTACCAAAAAATTTAGTATTGCTTCGGTGTTCTAAAACATAAAAAAAGAGTAAAGTGAATTTTACCAGTAAATATCAGAGTCACTTGAGTAGAGTCATTCATGTTTGTACCATAGAAAGTGGGGAAATTATGTCCACTGTTGTGTGGACTCCAGGATCACACTTTGTTTATTTAGTCATTAATAACGTAAATGAATTTATTTGCTCCTCTAGTAAAAGAAAAGCCAGTTTCCTTGATTTGTGGATACTGATCATTTCATTTGATTTGTTTTCCTTTGCTACACTTTTAGTTTAATTTTCATCAGTAGCTTGTCTTTATTTGCCTGGACTGAACATTCTTCTTTCTTTACCCCTGTTCATTGCAAACAGCCACGAGGCAAATGTAGTGTCTCACAGCCTGGACCCTCTGTCAGCAGTCCAAATAGCAGGTACCTTATTCTCCTGGTTTCCACACTGTTCTAGAACCCCAAGAGGATGATGAAAATTGTCCATGATTTAGGTAGGCCTGCGTCCGGTCTGCCTCAGCATAGTTGTGAAATTATGCATTATGATCCACACTCTTTTCTAGCCAATTGGAGAAGATGTTTCTAAATGGAAAGCATAAATAAATCTCAGAAAATAAAATATTTAGGCCACACCAAAATTTTGTTTAACTGCACATAGCTCATTCAGTCTCTTTCATTGAAGGTCACTCTATGTGCCTGTAAGGAATCAGTAGTGGCTAGTGGCACAACCACCACGTGATTCATGGCAGACTTTTATCATCCTCTTTCTTTCTAGAGTTTACAATGAGACACGTAATCGATCAATGAATTACTTTACCATTCACAGAACCCACAAATCTGCATAAAATATACTAACATCCCCAGCTTTTTATTTTATCTTCCTGTTTTATCCAGATTGTGGGTTTTGGATTCTCAAAATGCCAAGTCCTAATTGGTTGTTCTCCATTTAAAATTTATCAGCACCTTCTCTCTTCTGCTTGCCCGAAAATATCTTCAGCCTGCACACTCAGCCAGCCACTCACCTTCCTCACTCTTGGACCCAAGAGCAGTCCATGCCCTGCCCAGTGACCTCCCTCCCGAGGGCCTCCTCCCAGCTGCTCTCTGTGCTCCACACCTTGCCTCTGAGACCCCTCATTTCCGTAGTGAGCAGTGCTTTGCCTTCTCTGTTGCTGATGTGATGTCTGTGCTCCCTTGCCTTTCCACTAATCAGTTCGTGTTTCCCCAGAAAAGTTTCATTTTAAAGTGAAAAATCCTGCCCTTGAAGCTGGTTTTTCATTCTAATCCAAGCAGTTCACTTTGAAAATATCAGACTCTCTGGAAACTTACCGCTGCTGAGCAGGGCTCTAAATTCCTGGAAGGAGGGCGGGGATGAGGAAATGGAGAACTGTAAACAACTCTGAGTAATGGTTTTAGTTCCCCAGCTGTGTGCTGAAGGGACTGGCTATTCTGTTGAGTAATTCTCACTCAGCTGAAGTAATGCAGAATGTATTTTTATATGCTTTCTGATTTTAAGCCTCCATTGGGTGTTTTTTTTTTCTTTCTTTCTTTAAGTTTTTGTTTGTTTGTTTGATTTTGGGTTTTTTTTTTTTTTTTTTGTCCTTAACAAAATAGCAATAATGAAATATAGAGGGAAAACAAAACTTCCAGGGACGGTGGGAGGTAATGATGAACGTATGCTGCTGCTCTGTAGTCTTCTTAACCCCTACAAGAAGACAACTGGTGACCATAGACAAGTCACTGTGTTGCATAATCCTTCCTCTAACTCCCAAGTTGCTGGTGTGCCATGAGCAGGGATGAACACTGTCTCCACAGTGCTCTCTGAGGAAACCGGAGAACAAGTCTTTAGCTATTAAAATGCTGGTGATGAGAAGCGAACAAGCCGTTATGCTCTTAGGCAACACCAGTAGCCATCACCTCACAGTTCCCAGAGATGGCATCAGGCTGTTTCCCCAGTTATCTGAAGCCAGCCCCACAGAACTGAAAACCTTAAAGGCATCATTTATTTGGGCAGAAAATGTTTCCACATGCTTCCTAACAGGGCTTTGCAGCTGGGCCAGCCGCATTCTCACTGTGACATCCACAAGGCGCCTTTCAGCTCTGCTCTGTCCAGCACTGTAGATTAACATCTTTCTGAGTGCTCAGCACAATGTTCACTTCTCTCCTCGGGAGGGGATGGAATATAAATAATCTTTACCTGAATGGCAAACTTCATCAAACACCTTGGCAGGCAGGTTGTGGTTGAACATTCTTGGGTTTCATAACTCCTTGGCACCTTGGCCTGGATGCATTCAACCCTGACAGTAAAATGCCCAAGCTCTGGGGGGAGAATGAACTTCAGTCACCATCCAAGCTGTCACTGTGTCCCTTTACACTGTGATTTGAGACACTGTGTTTGATCTTGCACTGGTCCAGCAAATCTGAAAGGTTACTACAAAAGTGCAGGAATTGAGGATGTTGCCCTGTGAGATCTATGAGAAGAACATTCTAGACACAGATGTTTCTCTGAGAAAGGAAAGAGACTGAGTTGGAAAAGGTAGGGTCCTAATTCAAAGGGAGAGCTTAGTTATGTATTTTCTGTTGTTTAAAATCAGATATTAATAATAAACTAGCCTATTACATACTTCAGTTTGACCTTGTAGCAATTCTACGTGGTTATTTAATTACAAAGTTACATATGGACTGAGGACAGGGGTTAGTGAACATGTATTATGTTTAGGCCCGAGCCCTACCAAATTAATAAAATCTGCTTTCATTAAAGGATTTGTAATGTATCAGAACTCAGATTCCCTAAATTGATGACAGGGTGCTTCCTAGGACCTTCTAAAATTATAACAAATTTTTTTAAAAATCTACACACACATTCATAATTCATAATATTATTTTTTACTTGTGATTTGACTTATTTAGAAGCATGTTTTCAAAGCAGTGCTTGTGGTTCTTTTTTTCCTACATTTCCCTTATAATTTTCCCACCCTGCCAACAAGAATTCTTCAAAACTTTACTTGTAGAAATGACTTGAATGTGACAAATGGGACGATTCACTCTCATTTTCAACAAGACCAAGGATTGCTCTGTAGTCTGGATAAGAGAGAATGGTAACTTCCTTCCAAAGCTGAGAATCATACACTGCAGAATTGCCCAGGACACTGTTAGCCTTTGGCAGCTGCTGTAGAGAGAACTAAGATGGAATGGGAGGGACTAAAAGTCTGGCTGAACCACAGAAGGAAGGAGCAGAGGCCTCATTTTAAAATCCATTCCAAGTAGTCAAATATATTTAAGCAAGCCAGCAGGCTTTTTTCACATATGCTAAAGACTCCTGTAAACGCTATTCAGTGTCTTATGGAATTTGTTTTCAAATCTTTTGTGTCAGACTCTTCCTAGGGACCTATTTATTCCAGGCATTCAGAGAGCCTGGGCACAGAGCAGTTTCCCTGAAAGGCAGGCTGCCCACCTGCCCTGAGGCAGCTGGAGGCTAAGGCTCCAGTGAACCCCTCTTGCTGTTTCCAGGAAGGCTTTCCCAGTGTTTCTGGGGAATTAAGTCAGGCAGTTTAGGAAATTTGCCACATCTTTGAAAACACTTCTAGTAAAACAGGAACACTTCTCTGGGAAAAGGAGCTGAAGCCAACCAACCACTGGGGACATAAGTCAGCACACCCCTTGGATAATTATATAGTTAATAATGACAGGTGGCTGACATTTATTCACTGCTTAATGGGTTCTACACCACGCAAAGCACTGTGTATATGTTACCTCATTTGCCATCTTCCAAGGTGGCTATCGTCCTCCGTTTATAGAAAAGGACACTGGAAATTAAAGACAAGAGTTCGGGTGTGTCCCACCTTGTTAACCATACCACTCTACTGAGGAGCTATAGATGGGTAGGAGAGCTCAAATAACAGGGGCACAGGCCACCCAAAGTGGGGTAGTGCCAGCCAGCATGTTTGATTTGGAATAGAAGATTCGAGTACTAAACTGATTCTAAAAGCTTGTCTTCTGAACCATCTATCCATGGAACACTGGCCTTTCAAAGACCATGAGAGCAGGTGACAAGATCTTAGGCAGCCTAAATTACTTTTGAACAATAAATTTTTGAACAACACTGCTACTTTACTGCCAATGTTGGCTAACAAGTAACCAAATGATTTTCAAGTTTGGCTTTAAATGATGTGTGCACAGTTCACCCATGTTTTCCTTGAATATGTAGGATTTCAAAGTGAGTCACCCTGTGTGTATTTCAGACTTCTCCCATGTCTTTGCCACACATGCTTCTTCTGCATGGTATGTTGTTACATACACGTCATGTGTTTTTAATTCGGAACAGTGACACTCCTGGGCAACAAATCAGGCAATTATTTGCCCAGAAATTAGAAAGAGTTAGAGGAATGAGAAAAATAAGGAAATATTTGTTTGTGTTTTCCTGGATGCCTGAGATATCTCCACTGATGAAGTTCCTTGAGAAACTGCACACATTCTGAATTGGCATGTATTTGTGGCCAGTGGAGAATGACCAAGAACTAGTCAACACATTGCCTTTGTTCTTTCCCCTGTTGAATTTCTCAAGACTCTAGAAACAGGTGATTTTAATTCAACAGATAAATATTAAAAGTACCATTTTACTTTGAGATCATTAACTTCCTGGAACAGAGTCGTCCTGAAGAAGAGGCAAATCTGGGCATGTTAAAACTCTGGTAGTTACTCCAATGGCTGAGTGTTTATTTCAGTAGGTAGACTGGACATTTTTCAGAGCAGTCAACTGCATGAATAGTCACTAAGTACTATGTGTACTCTTTGTCCCTATCTCACCCCATTACTTTTTCCTCGGTTGGCACTCTTCAGTGGTAGAAACCATGCACCAATTAAATTTTATTGAAGAATGCTCTGATGCTGTTAAATGTGCCATGTCCTTCAAAAGACTCTGTAACATGTGAATCCCTATTCCAAACAATGGTGACCTGTCTAGTTCTTTGCAAGAAAAAACTAGTCAATGTGCAGCCTTTGTTTTGATCTTGCTCTTTGACTTAATTTCTTAGAGACTAATAATTGACAAAGAGGGGCTATTTGGCTCGATTGGGTTACATCATCACTTAGATGTGTACATCTTCCCATTTCTAAAGTCTTTCAATGTCTCTCAATGAAAATGAGTCAGATGTTTGGTAGGAGGAAATGTGGAGCTCTCTTCTGTCATTCTGTCATAACTCATCAAGAGACAGGTGGTGAGTGTTGCTTACCGAGGCATATCTTCACATTCACTGAAGGATATGCTGAGGAAAACCTGAATCCACAGTTTGTAGCAGGCTTTCCCACCCTTCTCGTTTCACTGAAGCAAATCATTGAATCAAAGACTGCAAGAGAAAAAATGATTTTAGGATATTAAGGCATCCTCCTTCTTGGCAAATAAAAAACCAGAAGGCCAGAGAGGGTGCTGTAGTTCCTGTGATTGTGCAGTGGCCTGAAAGCAACATGTCCTTGTGTCTGACACAGTGATTTGATGATCATTGTGATACTGTGAGGCTTTGTGGCTGGAGGCATTTATTTTAGATACAAGAAAGCCACTTCCAGTATTTAAGGATGCAGAGATTTTCTTCTTTGCTTTTACATGTAAAGTACCTATGACATCAGTATGACCGGCATGACTATCATCTGTATCACCAGGCAGCACAGCATGGGAAAGTCAAGAGCATGGTATGAAGGCAGGGCTTTTGGAGGTCTGAGTTCTAGATAGAAATCTCCCTCTATTTGTGGGATTTGAGGCAAATCATTTAGCTAGCATTAAATCTCAAATTCTAGTAGCTAAAGTCCCAGGGTTGAAATCTTAAATTCTGCTACTTGCTGGGCATGGAAGCCTGAGCCAGTTCCTTGATTCTCTGCACCTCTTTTTCATTTTGTATGAAATGAAGCTAATAAGCACACAGCTCAGAGGTCTGTTGTGGGGATTAAATGAGAGAACCCAATATAAACGCTTAGAGTGTTGCCTAGCAATCTGAAGAATAAATGTTAACTGCCCTTAGCTACTTAGCTACAAAATTAGGAGATGGATTAGATCTCTCTAAGGCCTCATCTCAACATGAATATTTTATAATTAGATAACTTGAGAAGTTTCTATTTTTCCCCTTCCATTAGAAAGATACAATATATCTCTTTCATAATTCATTATATTTCCACAAAATATACATTTCCCCCTCCCACAAGGTGGCCCATTAGAAATAACTCACTGGGCTTGGCACTAGGGCAGTTAAGCAATTTGACCACTAGATGGTGATTGAATCTTTGTGACCCTTCTTGTGAGACTGTTTACAGGGACAAATTACTGTAAGTCAGAAACCATGTAAAATGTGACACTGAAAAGTCAGACCATCTAGCCTAATTTGAAGAGGTCGATAAAGAAGTTGGCACAGAATTACAGTGAGTTGTTGAAGGCTATACTGTGTAGACCTCAGGTAAAAAGACCTCAGAGTTTAATTTAAAGGTGGTGATTTTGTTTTTATTTTTTCTTTAGACTCCAAGAACTGTGCTATAAACACCATGTAGTACATGGTTGAGATTTGTGGAGAACTAGTTGGTCACATTTCTCTATGGTTTAATTAAGGAGTTTTAAATAATCTCTCTGTGGCCCTTTTTAAGGGGATTATATTTTCTTAGGCATTGTACTACATCCCTCCCGCCACCAGTGATACCAACGTAATCTGTCTTCAGAAATTAATAGCTAATAAAGGAGCTACAAACACTAGAGTTTTCTCAGGAGCCAACCCTACAGAGTTACCTGTATAGTTTTTATATAACTGTATTTTCCTCACATCTCACATTCAATGTCCTTTCCCCTGATGACATTGAGACATTAAAACCATTAAGACATTCATATCAGGTCTTCTTGGTATAGCTATTCTTTCCATTTATATAATGTTATGCAGATATATTAACACTTGTGAGTAAGGTTCCTGTCTTCTGCTTTTCCAATAGTATGGAAAAAAAAAAAAAGCTGATGGCTCCTTCCAAAAGAAATCAGTCACACCCAACACAGATCCTACTTCAATCTTCAATATTTCTCAGGCCTCTCTTACAAATACTGACATTTTCACTAATATGCAATTTAAAAGAAAGATAAAAGTGAGATAGGGAAACTTGGAGTTTTGAGCCTAAAAAACCTTCAAGATGACAGTTTTCCTCTTCAGACAAGTACCATTTGTTTCCCAAAACCACAGATTTAGTGACAGGACCAGTCTAGAATCCCCCAACAGTGTTCGGTGGATGGACTCCTTTGTTATTCCTTGCTCGTACAGCTTTGGAACCCACTAATGTCAGGGTCATATGCTGGCTCAGTGCAAGATGAAACCAGGGTGTGCTCTAAAATTAAGCGTTCACTGGTCTTTGAAGACTGACTAGGACTGTTCTTATCCTTACTGTATGGATTTGGGCATATCCAGGATGGCTAGATGGGATGCTTGGTACAATTCTGACAACACATGTTGCCCAGCGATGTTCCTGATAGTCTTTAAAATAAACTGAATCAAACATCTACATTTTAATTAGCCTAGATCTACCTAATGTATGCTGGTAAAATGTGCAGAACAGTTACCTTTGTTGATGGAAAAGATTGTACTAAATTAAGAGAAGAAAGAGTGGAATCCAAACCAAATTACTCATCTTTGGTTGACCTCAGTGCAGTTTCCAACAGCTTTCTTTGGTTGGGATGTGGGGTGACTTGGACATACTGAAGAAGACTGGAAGCTCACTGCCAGGTCGGGTTGCATTTTGCATAGCCCTTTGGCTTCCAGGAAGGTACAAAAGCAAGAAGTAACATCTCTCCAGTATTTGAATTATTTTTGTGGCTTCTTTTCTCAGGTCCACAAAAGGTGGCTCCGATTCCTCCCTTTCTGAGCTGCGGCCAGCTCGGTCAGGCCGAGCCTTCCTGTTCCGGGTCCTCCGGGCAGCTTTCCCCCTTCAGCTTCTCCTGCTGCTCCTCGTCGGGCTCGCCTGCCTTGTACCAATGTCAGAAGAAGACTACAGTTGTGCCCTCTCCAACAATTTTGCCCGATCATTCCACCCCATGCTCAGATACACAAACGGCCCTCCTCCACTCTGAACGAAGCAAATGCCATCAGCTAAAGTGCCGGGAGCCTGAGGAGTAGGGACCCAGAAGCAGTCCCCACTATTGAAGAGGACCTTCATCTTGGCAGAAGCCCTTGACCAGGCAGCTTTCTCTCTACTCCATATCCTGGAGTGCAAGTCACGGTTTCTGATGTAGATGAACCACACAAGAGGGAACTATACAGAAGGTCTAGAAGAAATTTTGTTTGAGAGTCTGATTGGGTAAGGACGCCCAAAGTTACCCTGGACTTGTGAATTCTGGGCCTTTGGCCCATCAACACATAGCCAAGGACTTGAGTAGATCATCTGGGCAGCTTTCCCGTGGTGCTGCTCCATCCACCCAAGAAACAACCCTCCTGAGCGCCATGTTAGTGTAATACAATCCACCATCCAATCAGTGCTGAAGAGATTTTAGAACCTTGTAACATACAGTTTTTAAGAGCTTATATGGCAACTTTCTATGTACTTTTTTCTTCTTCTTCTTTTGGGCATGATGTTCTAACTTTCGCTTTAGAAGCACAAGCTGTAAATCTAAAAGGCACTTTTTAAAAAGATATAAAGAAAAACTAGATGTAATAAATAAAATTACAGAAGGCTTTATGTGAAGATAAAGTTGTATGTTATAGTATAAAGAAGATATTTATGTAATGTACAGTTTGCTAAAGCCAAGCTTTGTTTGTATTGATTTCTTTGCATTTATTATAGATATTATAAAATATTTTGTTGTTGCTTTTTCTTCCCTAAAAAAGTGACTTTCTCTAAATTATTAAGCAGGCATTAATCCAAATACAACCTAAGTTATGATTTCTATGGAATGAATGAAGCCAAGACACATGTATATCTTAAAGGAAAGAGCATTTGGAGGTAATACATATTTAAACATAGAAGGACCTGGAGGATTCTTTGTTCCCGTTTCCTTCTAGAGCCAATCAGACCTTATGAATTTTTGCATCCTGAATTACTTCTTACTCTCTTCTCATTCCCATTGCACCAGTGCAATAGTCTCCTGGGATCTTCTCCCTAAGACCCCTTCTCTGATTTGTCCTAAAGGTTTGCAACAGCCACCTGAACCTTCTTGAAGCCCTCTTTTTTCCACACACCTTCTTTTCTGCAAAGGTTCCTGGGTTTTTGTTTGTTTGTTTCGTTTTGTTGTTGATGTTGTTGTTGTCAGAAAAGATACAATTTCAGTCAATCATTCAAGTATAAATACTTAAGATTTGATTTTCCCCTCTGACTTTGCCAGCTCATGGAATTATTTGATGCTCATGGCCTTTTAATCTATCATTTAGCAATTTGAGAGCCAGATTTCAGCCTTCTATTAGAAATAGAAAGCTCAGTGACCAGAGCACATATTCCTCTGAGGTAGGCATTGGAGATATTTATTATTAGCCACTGTATTTTTTTTTTTTTTTTTGGTCTTTTTCCTTTTTATCGGTACCAGGGATCGAACTCACGACTGCCTGCTTGCAAGGCAGACACTTATGCCGCTGAGCTAAATCCCTAGTCCCTAAGCCACTGTCTTGTTAGGAATTGGAAGGTACAGTTTTCCATTTGACTTTTATTTCATCAATTTCCCTCATTGCCTGTACCAGCCTAGCCCCCCAGAGGTATTCAAGTTTACATATCTTGCTCTATTTCAAGTATTTCAGCTAAACCAAGTCAGCTGGAGCTGACCTCCGTGGTTTCTGTGATGCACACAACTGAGAGCCATCTCAACACTGAACCCTGAAATTTAGTGAATTTTGGTTTCTGGGCTGCCTTCACACCTTCTCTTTTGATCTTCAGGGCAGGGCCTAGCAGCTTGCCTTTCACACAGGTGCCTGGGTGTCTTCAGCTCTACTGACTGTTGAGAAGCGATGCCTCACATTTTCCTAATCCATTTTGCTTCGTCCTTTTTTCTCACTACACATGCTCTCCTGTCTTACAAGACTTAGTTCATCAGCCAGCTCCTCCTTGACCAGTTTCTGGATCACTTCCAGACTACTTACGACTTCCCTGTAGAGAACTTGGCTTTCGTGGCATTGCCCATTTGCTTACTACTTGTCAGTCTGTCGCTTTCAAATATCCCTTGAGGTCCTCTTCAAGAAACAGTTTTATTTATGGAAAGGATGAAGTTGTCCTTTCTCCCTACTTCTGGAGAGTTTGTGTGCATTTGAGACAGACCTCTCTATGTCCCCATCTCTCCGTTGCCTCCCTGTCCCTCTGGGCCCCAAAGCAGTCCCTGTTCACATGGAATACACCACATGCTCAGGCAGAGTCATCGCAAAGAGCAGAGAGACATCAGGGACTTTTCTTTTCCACATGACTGCTCACTCACTTTTTAAGTCATTCTCCATTACTGAAGAATCCAGTGTTGAATATTACAGAGAGAATTTTTTTTGAGTCATTTAGTGACTGAAACTGAACCCAGACCACTGCTCATAATCAATATATGCTCTACCACCATACCATATCCCCAGACATTGAAAAGAAATACAGTTTTAATTAGGAAAATTCTTATAGTCCATGTGCCTTTTTCTAAAGCCTTGTGAGGCACCTTGTGCTTAGCAGCAGCTTGAAGAGGAGCCAGCCCCAAGGAACCTGGGCACAGAAGCCATGAGGTCTTGGCTTCCCCCATAAGACATCTTGGCCAGTAGCAGATGAGACCAGGACCTCTGCCCAGAGACCTCACATCTTCAAGTGCTTTGGGGGGGGCGGTGTACCAGATCCACACCCAGCAGTTACCTCAGCAACAGAGAGTGGTGTAGCCCTCAAAGGCTTCATGGAAGGGATGGATATTTTGAAGAGTTCTAATTTAACAAAAGGACATTGATTGCAGTGTAAGAAGCTCGTGTTTTGTAGTAAAGACAGAGGAGTCTGCTGAGCCCTAGAAAGGGGAAAGGATGTCTCAAGTGAGAGGAGGAGAAAGACCTCGGGCAAAGAGAACACCAGCTGGCCAGAAGGGTGGGAAGAGAACGCTTAAGTGCATTTTGATGGTGAGATCTGCGCAAGAAAATAGGAACTTTTGGAAAAGAAGAAAGGGAAAATCCATACAGCAAAGATGGAAAAGGCTTAGAAACTAAAAATACTACAGTAAGAAATTCAGGTAGAAAATAAAGGTTTTTCAGGAAAACTATGCCTGGGGAGAAAGAATTAGACCTCCAGGAAGATGGCAAGGCAGCACCCTCCCTTGTTTGTGTAAGTGAGAAGCAACACCTTCCAAGACTCAGAAGGAAGTTCTTCAAGCCAGAGGCTGAGATTACTATAAGAAAACAGGTTGAGGGAGACTGATTTATAGCCTTCACCCTGAGACCAAATATTAAGATAGGGTAGCTACAAAATCATGTTGGCAAGCCGTATAAAAGGCCATAAAGCAATGAACAATGGAGTGAGAGATTTATGACAGATGGTCATGGCCAGATAGACAGGACCCCGGAAGAGCTGGTCTAAGGTGTGCCCGGGGTAGCTCCACGGTTGGGTTCTTTGCTTTGTGCCCACTGGTCTGCCCTCACCATTACCAAACCTCCAGAGGGAACTGTGTATCAGTTACAATCATCTCTGAGTATATGCCACATGGGTCCCAAAAGGCCTGGCCAGAGCAGTAGCCAATAAACTGCCGTGTGGCCAGAACTGCTCCAGCTTCCTCACCAGTCCAATCCCAGCTAGGAGGCCACCACTTCTTGTTAATGACCCATCCAAACACTCCTTATTGGACCACTGATGTGCAGAATTCCTGTCTCCTTCAACCACTTTGGTCCTGAAACAAGGATGAGAGAGAAAGAGAAATCTGGAAAAGAACCCATAGAAACAGTATCTAATTTAGGAATGAGAAGGAGATTAAGTCTATCAAATATATCTCTATTTTCTCAGAACAAATTGCCTCTCCTTGTAACATCTTTGTCATCAGCAGTGTTACAGCAGGATGCATGTTGGAAGATCATTGCTCTGTGGAAACAGAGATAGGTAGAGTAGTTTACAAGCTGGAGGGCAATTTTTAGCTTAGTCATACTCAGCAGTGAGTCTAATTTGGGAGCAGGAAGATGTTTTTCTGAGTGTGGCCGTTGTAATTTTAGATTTAATGATACACCGTGATAACTGTGGCTCATCGCCATACCTACAGCAACCCAGAGAGAATGAAACTGACCAAGAAGGACATTTACTCTTCAGGCTCTGGTTTCTCACTCTCTCTCTACCATTTGTACGATATCTATCAGCAACCTGTTGGGGACTACCACTGAGCAACCTGCATTTTCAGGGGACCCCTCATGCCAGTGAATAAGCAAGCATGGCTCACCAAAGGCTGCGTGGAGCTTCTGCTGAGCAGCTGCTTACAGTCAATAGGCAAAGGCACAGAGAATGAAACTGGCTAAGAAACACAGGCCAAGGCTCTGCAGCACAGCAGCACGAGACCATTTAACAGAACTGAGGAAGCCAAGTAGGACTGGATGAATCTTGTTAAAACATGGAGGTCACAGGAACATGAGTCTTACAGAGGTTTTAACTTGTTACCGAATACAGGTAACACAACTGAGCAGAACTGAATCTGCAGCCAAAGTTGTATTAAAACAAAGTCTCTAGTAAGCTGTGCCACAGATACCACATGTGACACCATATGTGGTCCAGAAGAAATGCAACCTCCCAGCTGAAGAGGCCCATCAGAGCCATGCAGATCTGTACGATGACCCAAAACCTAAGTCTACCTGCATGCATTCTTCAGGCACCTGCTGGGTTCAAAAAGTAAAGCACCAAGCAGCTGCCGACCTCGCCTATAGTTCCAGGCAGCCACTCTTCAAAACACATGTTTTGGCAAGAACTCAGCATAGCCCACCCAGACTCCGTGGGTTGCACAGGTCGATGGAGAGCTGCTACAAGGGATGCACATGGCCAGGCCCTTCCTAAGTATTGTTCCTCATCAGTAATGTCTCTGGACCGTGCTCTGGAAACTTAGACTTGTACCACAGTTGGCCCCAGCTGGGCTTCCAGCTTGACTTAGCCCTCATCTATCCCTCCTAAGCCTTCAACCCTTTCCACTGGTCACAGTGGCAAGTAGACTAAGCAAAATCCCCATCAGTTCCATGGCTTTTAATATAAGCTTCACCAAACAGTAAGTTTCCATATAAATCTGGACTCTTACTCTATGCTCTTATCATGTGCTATTGATCCACTAGCCATTTGCTGTTTTAGTTATAGTAGCAGGTAGTGTAATTAATTATAACAATAGAATATAGGTATATTATTCAGAAAAATACATAAGCCATAAAATATATACATGCATATTATAATTATTAATATACTCACAGTATATTAGATGTTTTAATATATCTTTGGAGAACCACCATCTCTGTCTGTGCATGTGTCCATTTTAAAATCTAGTTATAAAAACATCAACTACTTTCATTCCAAATATTCTTTTTCTAAAGAAAAATTGTCTCATGTCTCTTGATCATTTTCCAGTTTTGTTTTGTTTCAGTACTGGGGGTTGAACTCAAAGTCTTCACACTCAGCTACCTCCTCAGCATCTTGTTTGTTTGGTTGGTTTGGTTTTGGGGGGATTTTTTGACACAAGTTCCCAAGCTCTAACTCACAGTCCTCCTCCTGCCTCAGTCTCCGAGAGTTTTTGGATTACAGTGTGCACTACCATGCGCAGCTTCTAATTTTATGTTACTTTTCTATGGCTTTTGATTTTCTCATTCAAACAGCATGCTATTTATTTAATTAAGGGTTATTTTAATTCTGTAA